GATGGAAGCAAGTAGGAATGGCTCCATTTCTATGGGCTGTACGGAGTACTGAAAAGGAACATCTAATGGCAACGAGAACATGTAGGCAAAGCAGGAAACATCGACTGCATGAAGGCTGAACGGTACCCTGACAAAAGCTTCCCCCGTGTTACTCCAATAGGTGGGCTCGAGAATCATAGATAAGAACCACAGGTGCTATGCACGACCATACATGACCATACATTGGTCTCTTTCGCTATACTGTGTTATGATTGAAAATAAACGCCACATTCCATGTTGCATACCCACGGACAGTATGATACACTACGGTGTAAGTCCTTTTCGTTTACAAATCATGATTTGGGCATTAAAAATCGGTCTCAAGTGCCATTTGTGTGAGATCATCACCGGGCACCAATACACCAGTAGGTGGATCCAATAAGGATTCTTCAGCAGTTCCACTTCAAGAATACTACCGACACCGCAGGGTCCTGGGGTGATGTGTCACTGTAAATGTATTTCTGACTCATGACCAGCCCGTTTTCGCTACAATCTTGTTGTACGCTGGGTACCTACCATGTGGGTTGGAAAGCAAATCTTTGCTGTTGGACTTTTTGTTCTGGTAACATCCGCGTTCCCGTGTTGAGATGCTTTGAGCTATACCGATGAGATCTGGTGTATCATACGAAACACGCCCTAAAGAGCGTGTGAGGTCAGCCTACTGAGCACTTCGAGGTGGTATCAAAATTGAAGACATTATATAAAGTCAACTCGACACAGATTTAGGCGATCTTATTCTAGATCTTTAAAGGATCCTGCGACAGCTTAGGTCAAAGGATAAGAAAAATGGTAGCAACTGGATTGCAAAAATCTATTCCATAATCCTGAGATATGAAAGATCATCAACAACAGTCTAAGTCAAAAAAATATTTTGGACCGATGAATGGTTGGCGACCTAGAAAATATCGAACCAAACCCATGCGATACTTGTGTGCTTGAACATACTTAGGTAGGATGGCCTAGCTTAGGGAGTCGTGCTGAAGGTTCATCTATAATATGTGAACAGCCCTATAACTGTTACCAGCTTATGCTGTCGGCATTCACCAGGTGTGCCTGATGTGTACTAAGCATGGTTAAAGTTCCAAAATGGGAAATATGGTCCGAATTTCCAGAAACAAGAGCTCAGCAAGCACCGCTTTCACCGAAGCAACACGCAATGAGATTGAAGACCTCCCGATGCTAGCCAAAGCAAACTGTCTATTTGCCCCAAAGTTTATTCTCCCTCAATCCATTCCGGAGGAAATATGGATTTGATCTGGATGGAGCGTGTGCCCAGTTCTAATCCAGGTCACGGAGATGTTACACTCAACTCAGATGTGCCAAGAGACGAACGCAATGAGATTTGAGCAGCTTTTAAAGTGGGTTGGGGAGGAGAAGTTCCCTCGTTAACAACAGATAGACAAAGTGTGATGTGATTGCGCATCGGAGATCCTCACTGATTCCTCAGTGGATGCATTGCCTTACATAGGCGAAGGAATATTATTTGGAATCGTCAGGAAAAGGAATGGTGGTCTGACACTTATGGGTGAGTCTATGATCAAAGTTGCTGATACTTCTTTGATAGCTACGTCAGTTGACTGGGAATGGGGGAGCCCCATTGAGAGGGTTCCCGACAAAACTGAGTTTGAAGATCGGATACTTTCCCGAACTTTAATTAAGCAACTATTGGGAGCAGCAATTTGTACGAATTACCTTGTATGATTGTCTACATGGCAACTTTGATATACACTCACAGCGGTTGCAAACCAGGAAATCCATCTGAGGGTTTCTTCACCCGCTTAAGCGGTTGCCTGGTCACCTGTGATTATGGAGCATGACGAATGTTCGGCAGAAAAGTGAGGCTCGTATGATGAAACTCCATCATATTCACTTATGATATGTCTTTGTCATGGACATTCAGGGTTTCCAACCTAGTTCAGATTACTAATTCCCTTAAATGTCCACGGGTTGAGAACCATGGATGAGTTCATGAAAAATTTCCATAGATGGACTAACTCCGAACGCTAAATCCGCATTTAGATAAGCCCAGAACCTTCTCCACATTAGTCACATGGAGATTGTGCCAGCGCGTTCTATCAGATCACATACTCGGATCTTTGGTTGATCTTACTCATTCCCCTTCGATTCCTGCGTGATACCTTGAAGTCCAAAGACCAAACACAATAATGTCCCCTATAACCGTATCCAAAGGGCGCAGCCCCTCCAACAACTCGAACGAAACCTTCACGCAAATGGCCGATACAGACCTGGAATCCCTAGGCCGGCACTGTCAATACGAGTACTGCGGCCAACTAGATTTCCTCCCCTTCCGCTGCGAATCCTGCCACAGCACATATTGTCTGGACCACCGGACTGAAACTGCGCACGAATGTCCTCGCGAAGGCGAATGGGCCCGCCGCCGCAACGGAACAAACACCAGCCGTGAAAACCGCACTGCCCCCGAAAAACCATCCATCTACAATACCGACCAATGCGCCCACACCCAGTGCAAAACCCTCATTAATACCCTCAAAGACCCCGCCGTGCGCTGCCCCCAGTGCAATCACCAGTACTGCCTGAAACACCGTCTCCGCGAGGAACACGACTGCGCCAAGATTACCCCGCTGGGCGCGCGCCAGCACAATGCCGCTTCATCAAACGATACGATCAAGTCTATGTTTGCGCGTGTGCGCACTTGGGGCCGCGATAAGCAGCAAGCTGCTGCCAAGGGAACCCTGCTGCCAACTCTCCCGAAGATGAAGCCTAAACCGAATAGTCCGGCTGCCCGTGCGGTTGCTGTTAATGGCCTCAAGCGATCGGCTAAGGGTGATGCTTCGGTTCCTGTGGATAAGAGACTATATTTGCATACTGTTGGCACGGCGGAGACGCAGGCTGCGGAGCCGCCGGCCGGTGATTTCTTCTTTGATTCGCGGTGGAAGGTTGGCCGTGTGCTTGATGATGCGGCGAAGAAGTTGCGGGTTCAGAATTTGAATAATCGAGTTGATGGGGAGGATTCGAGGTTGCGGATTTTCCATGTTGAGTCTGGGGATTTCCTTGAGTTCTCAGAGGCTATTGGTGCTGGGAAAGTAAAGCAAGGTGACACGATTGTATTGCTACGTGGCGCTGGCGCTGTTCTCGGGAGCGCATGATGCATCTATCTGCCGTCAGTTGCTCTCTCTATTTTTGATTTCTTATTGTCTTTTGCCATTTGAAGCATATACACAGCCTGATACACCTGGAAGCATGTTTTCAGCGATGCGCGAGTTGATCTGCTATACCTGTAGACTCGGAGTTTGAATGGATTGCTATGTTTTATTTCAAAATATGTATAGGCTTGTGGTATACGCCACAGAATAATTGGTATCATAGAAACATCGTGACTCGGACAGTGCCCGCAAACCAGAAACCAAAAATCTATAAAACTCAAACGCTCATCTTCATTTTGATGATCTTGTGAGGATTGTAACCAATGACCTCAAATTCATCCTCCTTCCAGCCATCAACGACCGCGCTACCCCGGTCCTCACGCTTGATACGCAGCTCAGGGAACTCCGTTGGTTCCCGAAGAAGCTGCTCATTAAGCGCATCGATGTGGTCAAGATAGACATGGGCATCACCCATAGTGTGAATGAGAGTTCCGGGATGAAGATCCGCAGCGTGTGCAAGGATATGAGTGAGGAGAGCATAGGACGCGATATTGAAGGGCACACCAAGACCCATATCACAGGAGCGCTGGTAGAGCACGCAAGACAGGGTACCCTTCTCCGTTGGACGGCCAGTCTTTTCATCGAGCTTCATGCCAGGTGGGAACGAGACGTAAAACTGGGCGAACATATGACACGGGGGGAGAGCCATCTTTTTCAGATCAGCAGGGTTCCACGCGCTCATGATGATGCGACGATCGAAGGGGTTGTGAATGAGCTTGTGCACAACATCTTTCAGCTGGTCAACACCCTGACCGGTGTAATCTGCCTTGGCATCGACATACTCGGCGCCAAAGTGTCGCCACTGGAATCCGTACACGGGTCCTAGATCGCCTTCTTCGCGGTGGCCGAGGCCAGATTTGTCTAGGAACTCGCGGCTTCCATTTCCGTCCCAGATCTTAATACCAGCCTCGGAGAGTGGGAGCGAGGAGGTGCAGCCAGAGATGAACCAGAGTAGTTCGGCGAGCACGGCGCGTAGGAAGACTCGCTTCGTGGTGAGGAGGGGCAAGACGGGGATTGGCTCGCCCCCCTCTGGGTTCGGCTTCGAGAGAGAGAAGCGTAATTGGGGTGGTGCGAAGATTGATTGCGTGCCAGTGCCAGTACGATCGGGTCTATGCTCGCCCTCGGAGAGGATTGTGCGTATCAAGTTAAGGTATTGGTGCTCTTCGTGCGAAGGGTCGTGTGGCGGCGAGGATGTCGCGGGGGGCGCGACGACTTGATCTTGAGTCATGATGTAGCTGGAATGAGCAAGAAACAGGTATCAAGTTTTCTCCCAAGATTTGACAGTAAAGAGACACTTCAAGTACCAAGTGGGGGATGGAGAGGGGGCGGATATTGGAGATCGGTGGATCGCGTCGACGCGACACGTGGTCACGTGTGCATCTCGTATTTGATAGTGCTTCAATCAACTTAAGGAATCATCCAGTCAATGTATGAATTGCTAATGTAGATATTGATATCTTCTGCATTATGGACTGCTTAAGTATAAGATAAAATTTACACAAAATAATGACACTGCCTCCACGAAGTTTTAGCATCAAAATACATTAATAGAACTCTTCAATATATAAGATTCAGCCAACGGTTACAAACACTTCTGACCCTCGGATAGCTGTTGCTATAAGAAGAAGAACATTTCAGGAACAGAGCACTTATATCTTATTTTCAGTAAATATTTAATGGAGACCACTCTATGTCCAGTGAACCTAACCCGCTAGAATCGATGCACACACTTTTCTACGACGTGCAGTGAATTTCTCGAAATCAGCGATCACGCAGTCATGAATCTGCTAACAAGTCCACTCCAACTCCCCGCAGAGCGCCTACCGCCCACTCGGGGTACTTCGATCTATCACCCTGATAGATGTCGGAGAAGAACTTGCGAAGGAAAGCCGGGTATTGGTCATCAATAATGGCCTGTCGGATTTTGCCCATCATGGTCAACATATAATGAACATTATGGATGGTCAAACTGCCAAAATATTAGAACCGAAACAACATCGTGGCCAGTCAACACTTACAGATGAGCGCCGACGGTCTCTTTAGCTGTGATGTGGTGCATGTATGCTCGTGTGAGCCCGAGACCACCTTGGTCAGTTGGACGACAGCAAACGCAGGTACAGCCCTCCTCGACTGGACCGAAATCATCGGCGAATGATTTATGGCTTAGTTTGAGGGTTCCAGAGGAGACGATGGCATCGCCGAAGCGCTGGTTGATGTCAGTGCAAGAACCAAATTGGTAGGCTTCTTAAGTCTTACCGCTGTCCGTGTCGGCCAAACACAGTCAAACATATCTGCACCGAGAGCCACTGCTACAACAATATCTTCGGGATATCCCTAGTTCTTGTGATTAGATCAGGCAGAACAACTAATCCAGCAAGACATACCACGCCCATGACGTATCTGGGTTTGTGTTCCGGGAGAATATCAGTGCATGTATCCACTCTTTGGCTGGTCAGTTCATTCGGTCCTCTTTTTGGTGATATTAGAGCCACATACACTTTGCAGAACTCCTCCTTGGCTTCTCCACCAGATAGACCCCCAATGGCGATTCCTGGAGTGTCTCGCGCTACCATCTCTTCACAGCATTGTTTTCGCAATTCGAGATCCAGACCACCCTGGATAATACAAAAGAGGTTCTGTCGCTCGGGGTATTTATGCTCCGCAATGCACCGATCTAGCCATCGCACAGAGCGGTCCATAGCCTCTTTGATGCGAGCATGATCTGGCGAAGTGGTTGCAATTACATCGTCTAGTTGCATGATAATATCAGATCCAATAGAATTTTGGAGAGAAATAGAGTGTTCGGGAGTCAGTAGCCTGGTGATCAAGTTAGTCTTTCGGCTGTTCGAGTTATATAGCTTACGAAGCCACCTACATTGGCGAGCCATCATGGGGACTAAGGAATCGCACTCCTTCCTCTGTAACAGTCGCCAATTGCAGAAGCGACACCATCTGGAAACTGAGTGATAGCATGCCTGGTTAGTAACATACTATCAGTTCTGCAAATGTAGTATATCTCACCCCCCACTATCGGTCAATAGATTCCGATCCCAGCCTTGTAACTTATGCGCTCCACCCACTGCATCTAGTACTGCCTGACCAGGCTTCAAGCCTAAGTGATATGTATTATTCAAGCACAGCATACATCCCGTCTCTCGAAGCTGGTCGTATGTTAGGCCCTTCAGAGATGCCTGTGTCGCGACAGGCATGAAGATCGGCAGTGGTACCGAGCCATGGGGTAGATGGAGGGTACTCGCACGCGCCTTGGTTGTCTATTTGTACCATAACACGCATTAGTCATATGTTACAGTAAGGTTTAAGTGGCTGCCATGCCACCAGGACGTACCGAGCATTTGGCGTGACGATCAAATGTTAATGCGGAGGGCATAGATTTGTGAGTGGGAGCGGTAGTTGACATCTTTGCGATTGATACAGATAGAGACGAATGTGATATTCTAGCAGGGCGCCTGGCTAGCAGACGGTGGCATAGCATGAGGAGGGGGGTTACGTGTTTGCGATGCGATCAGGAACACTTTTATCTGATAAGCTGTTTGTCTGGTTTGCATCTGGATTTCACACGGTACGAAAAATATACAATTGGGACGTCTGTGAACTCATTTGGATGTATTTGTATATCCAAGTATTCATAAAGCCCTTTCGTTATCTAGGTTCAAGGTCGGAGATACTATTTTCTTTTTCTTCTTGGCTTGAGGCTTAGCAATGCCACTATATTGTGCATTCTGGTGCCCCCGGATAAACGTACATAAGCCAAAGCCTACTAAAGTACGAAAAAAAAAACTGTTCAATAGTTGAGATGCTCAGAATGACCCTGCTTCTTACCAATATTTCTCATCTTGACTCCTTGGAAGTTGATCCAATCATCCCTGAGATTTCGATGTGGAGATCCGGGGAAACCCCTTGTTCAGGAGAATACAAGACCTGGATCATATTCCCGCTAAATGAGGCTCACTTTAGATCCAAAAGATACAATTCAAGCTGAAGGTCAAAAGCCGACAATATGTGACTCCAAATACTCCAACACCGCGTCGGAAGAAAAGCCGAGTGGCCCTAGTGCGGGGGACAATAGCCCGGGGAAGCTAAATCACACGGGGGAAAAAAAACCAAAAAAAATATAGCGGTCTGCTCTGATTTTCTTTTCCTGATACACCTCTTCTGTGTGCTCAGGGAATATCGATATTCCTTTCAAGATGGCAACTGAAAAATATATGCACGATGTCGAAGAAGGCTCAGAGGTATCTTTTTTCCTTTGTGTTATAAACCCCTGCTGTTATGATGTGCGAGCTTGACTGACAGTAGCGTAGCTTACCAGCCCGGATGTTGTCGACGACGCTCTCAAAGCACGTGAAAAGGCCTTGATCTGGAAACAAGACCTACGCATCATTCCGTTATGCGCTGCTATCTACTTGCTTTGTTATCTCGATCGCTCTAACATTGGTATGCCTTCGGCCCCCAATGTCGGATGGACTTGAAGTTAAAATATCTAGGCAATGCCAAAATCCTGAATGCGGATACTCACAATGATCTTCTCTCTGAGACTAATATGACTTCTTACCAGTTCACGTGAGTCACATGTATCAATTGAGCAAGAGAATCCAAGGTACTGATATACAAAAGGATTGCACTCATGGTGTTCCTGATCGCATACGCACTGTTTGAAGTCCCATCAAACTACTTTCTAAAGAAGCTCCGCCCAAGTGTATGTCTCAACCAATTCAAACATATCATTCATTCCTACTTATTACAATTCCACTAACAAAACATCAGCGCTGGATTGCCTTCCTCATGATCTCCTGGGGCGCAACAACAATGGGCCTCGGTGGTGTTCACAACTACGCCCAGGTGACAGGACTCCGATTCCTCCTTGGCGTAATGGAAGCTGGCCTCTTCCCCGGCTTCGTATACTATCTTACATTCTGGTACCGCAACTCTGAGCGATCGATCCGCGTAGCTCTTATTCTTGCCTCGGCAACACTCGCTGGAGCATTTGGTGGTGCTATTGCCTTTGGTGTGGGCCATATGAATGGCGCTCATGGTCTCTCTGCTTGGAGGTGGCTGTTTATCATTGAGGGAGCTCCATCTTGCGCGTCTGCTGTTCTGGTCTGGTTCTTATTGCCAGATTACCCGGAGACTGCCAGTTGGCTTACTGCTGAGGAGAAGGAGCTTGCTGCGCAAAGATTGAGTTTGGAAGGATCTAAGGGTTCTGATCAGGCGATGTCTTGGGAGGATGCTAAAGCTACGCTGACGGATTGGAGGCTGTATGCTCATTATGCGGTATGTTTTTTTTTGTGCCTTTTTTCTTTATCAATTTCTGAAAAGCTCATCAGTCAAAAGGTATACTTCGGCATCTCCACGCCATTCTCGAGTCTTTCTCTTTTCACGCCTTCCATCACTGCTGGCCTGGGATACTCTGCTCTCCACGCTCAGCTGATGACCGTGCCTCCGTATGCGGTGGCCTATGTCGTGACTATAGCTGTGGCATGGTCTGCGGACTACTTCAACAGGTAAGTTATCTTAGATTCTAATGCATTCATAATCAATGACCATAACAATAACTTTTCAGCCGCGGTGTTCATTCTGCCATTTTCTCTTTCATCGGGGCAATTGGCTTCCTTGCCTCCGCAGTTCTGCCCGCTAGTGCATATCTAGTAAGTCAGCCAATAATCCTAGGCGAGCACCCAGCCAATAAACTAACCTAAACACCAGAGCCGCTACGGATGCCTCATAGTAGCAGCCAGTGGCGCCTTTGCCTGCATCCCACCTCTACTAGGCTGGCTATCCTCCAATATCAGCTCAACGGCCGGTGCAGGACTCGCGATCGCACTCAACATATCATTCGGTGCCCCGGGCCAGATTGTCGGCGTCTGGATCTACAAAAGCGACGAAGCAAAGATCGGCTATCCAACCGGCCATTGGACAAATGCGGCATTGCTTTTCTTTGTGGCAGCCGGCTGCATCTTATTGAGGCTCTACTACGGGTGGCGCAATCGCCGCGGAGATGGGGCAAGAAATGGAAAGTCTTTCGCGTATTAGATTGGTAGGGCTGTGGAATTGTGGAGAAAGTGTTGATATGACTTGTTTTACGAGCTGCAGGGTGTACGTACCGTATACGAAGTTGGGACTGCATGAGTCTGAGTCATAAAATAATTAATTAGGTTACTGAGATAATTAGAATTAATGGAAAACTATGGAAATTGATACAGAGTACAGAGTACAGACAGCAAAATTTTAACTCAACTCTGCTATCTAATGCACGAGGTAAAGTGCAAGGGTTAGACTGTATTTCTATTGCACATACCGGCTTAGTCTCTGCTCTGCTTTTGTCTCGATTGACGAATTTGAATCATATTACAGATCCATAAATCCTATATTTATTACATATATTCGAGCCAATGATCATGGCGGCCAGTCAATCATTAAAAAAAAATCCAGTACACACTCTCCACACCCAGATCTAACACCCGCCACCGCCGCCGCTTCCACCATCCCCACCATCCCCACCACTATCTCCACTCGGTCCAGCGACTCTAATTGCAGCAGTACCTGTGTTTTGGTGTACACGATGCTTGCTTCTCCTTTTATATGATTTGTGGCCCTTAGTTGTGTGTGTACTGGCTGTAGACGTCCTGACCATGGTATGCGCGCCGCGAGGGTGGAGATTCATATGTCTCTCTGCGCGATGGGCCAAAGCACATGGTGATATCTGGGTGAGAACGATCTGTTTGGGCCGAGGTAGACAGCAGTCTTAAGCTGCTTTTGATTGCTTGGATACTATAGAAGTGGAGGGGCCTGGTTGTAGTAGATTAGGTATGGCTGAGTTGGTGATCGTGATGGCGATGGAATGATAAATTGTCTATATACATTGTATTGCGGTGCGTTGGACGTTGGCAGATGGCAGTATCTGTCGGCAAACCTGGCAAAGCCAGTGCAGGTTATCGAGTAGCGGAGGATAAGAGAAGGAAACCTAGGGGTAGTTTGTGTAGATGGGTGGGACGAAAGCGGAACATTCTTCTACCTAATCTCCTGCTTCTCGCACCTGAATATATTAATTAACCTTACACCGCTACTCCATAGTAAAGGTTTTCTTTATATTATATAGTATTCTAACACGACGTCTTTCAATTTTGCCTGGTATTGAAAGATTGTGCGTCTTAGGCAGCTCGATTTTCATTCACTGCCAGATAACGTCGGTCATCAGAGCCACCACCGAGGCATTGCAGAGTTAAGGCTGAATGTGATGATGGCAGCCTGTATTGTACAGTAGATACTTGGAGAGCCGATCGACATTTGATATGCGTCGCAAAGCATTATGTCAAGCAGGATTCTTGACAATCACTCTTCATGGGGATTTGTATACTATATAGCCCTAGGTGGCTATATAGTGAGCAAGAATAGTACTAGCTCTAATTGCCGAGAAGACCTGTTCTAATACACTATTGTCGAGTTCACCTGAGGTTCAGGAATGAGTTGGGTCAAAATAGGCAATTAAAGTTCAGCGTTCCATGGTTCAGTCGAAAGTAACCCTGGGAACCGACCGAACATGCAACGTCGAGTCTACAACGTTTGGCAGAGATAGAAGTGCTTCGATGTGCCAAGCAACTGAGGTCAATAATCTGTTTTTGATACATATAGATTTATCTTACTAATGGCCAGTGTCAGTCACTTGGAATGCTGCCCAACTTGGCCACTCTGTGTCGGAAATTAATGTTTGGCTAGACACATGGCCAATGCTGTGCTACCCGCGGATGTGTAATTTCGAGCGGGAGGTCAATGCGGCAAGAACCCGCGATGATCAATAGTACCTCAAACGAGAATAACCATGTACGACGCCCTTTTATAGGAAGGCCGGGCTTATTCCAGCCGGTAGATCATGGTCTCCATTAATTGGCATACCAGTTAGTAAAGAAAAAGTCAAGCGAAAGGCAAGATCCACTCATAAAATCCCTGTCGATAGATACTCCGTAATTGTATAGTAAGAAACAAAAGAGAACAATTTGATAGAAAATAAATCCCAGCCATTACAGTCCCAATTCTAGTACCATCCATATATGATACCAACATAGTAGATAATCCCAGTCCAGCTCCACGGCTGAACTTCCAAAATCCAACACAGCCCAGCAAGAGACAGTAGATACCAAAGAAACTCCCACTATCAGGCGCATGCACCCGATCCGAACCAAAAAAGACAAAACAATCAAAACGTATCGAATAGGCAGATAGAACGTAAGTCAAATTCAAGCCCAAATTCTAGACAAATGATTGCCCAGAAAATGGGATGTGTTTGTCCCATTTGAATCCTGTTAACTCCTCCTCGTGATCTTTTGTTCCAAGTCGCTTTCATGGCCGTATTTGCTATGTCGCATCGTGTTTAAGATTAGAACAATTCGCTTTGCATCCGCAGTAGTACGGACACACACGCATTTAGCCATAGCTCCAGTGGGTATCATCTATCCAAAATGCCACTTGAGACCTTTTGACAATGCCACAAAGTAGAATTTCCATCCGAACTATGCAGCAGGGAGTAGCCATTGGAAATTGTCCCGGGTAGGACATCGAACCCGCTCGAGCATGACGAGTCATATGTTCTCGAAGGGACAAACAGTAGTCAGTTGACACAATGCATGAGACCCGAGCCCTTGACCTCTCATCAAGTGGCAGTAAGCACCCGGCCCAGTTCCAGGCTTTCTCTCGGGGCAGACAGCGCAGCAAGAGGAGAGACAAATCAGAAGCCGAAGACAACCTGTATAGGCCCGAATCGGGGGAACAGAAATGATAATTGGTCGCAGAAAAGTGTATGTGGGATGCCTCTTTGAAGGAATACATATATGCACTCCTAGGAAACACGTATGTCGGAGACGCCGAAAAGAGCCAAACGGAAAACTGACTCGCGCTGCATTACACGAGGCCTGATGACATCCAGATACCGTATCATGTACTGAAGTCGTCGGGATCTGGGGTGTGGTGTGTCACAGCTGGTATTGAGGTTTCACAAATGCGAAACAAGGTAGTGACCTGCATTTGGAAGTGGTCATCCGGGACAGGGATAGAGGATGATGCATTATTCCTGGGGGGGGGTTCCCTCCAATTATTTGTCCATCTTTCTGGTGTTGGGAATCATTCCAATAAAGCCCATGATATGGAATCTGTCCTGAAGCAAACCATTCTGCACAGAGTTTGTAGAAATTAACATGAAAGATGTAGTTGTCACCAAGGGACAGTGCATGCATCAGCGGGACTCGGGGATAAAAGGGTGTCGAGAAAAGAAGCAGGTGGGAGGAGAGGAGTGCGGTGAAGGGGATATGTTTTTTTTTCCTGCAGTCAAAAACGCAAGTGAGAGAGCAAAGTGACAACAAAGGTATTGGTTTTTCACATTGGATAGGACTTGTGGATCCCCGAGGGCCCTTCACAGCAGGTGGAAAACAAACCAGAACAAGCACCCACCCAGACCAGGAAATGACAAGCAATAGAGTCCAAGATCAGGACCAGAATCAAGAACCAAGAAATTTGATAAAAACACAAGAAGGGAAAGAGAATGCCACCCAAGACTAGTAGGAAATATTTGAAATAAAGAATACGATCAGAAGCCGCCAGCTCCGCGACCATAGCCGGCCGTTGCCTGCGGGAACAGCTGGCCCTGATAGACCGTAGCAGCACGAGGCTGCTGGTTTAGGGTCTTGAGGGCAACTTCGGCGGCGTCCTCTTTGGCATTATTAATAAACTGACCGTCGTACCAGTAACGAGCGGCGATATTCTGGCCCTGAACGGTGACGGTGCTAGACCAAGCTGTACGACCTCCTGCAATTTCGAGATAGATGTAATTAGCTTTCTGCTGTCAAAGACCCGGGAACTAAAAGTCGGTGTACAAGTGAAGGGGGGCCATTTTTCTCTGTCTTTTTTTCTGCAAAGACTCCACTCCATCCTGCAATGCCCACACACGAAGAACACAGCGGTAGACAGAGGCACACTGTGTATGTATGTACTGCACCGGAGATTAAGAGGGAAATTGGAACAATCTGGTATAGCATGGGAAGACGATGGATGGAGGCTGAAGGGGAGGAAGAGGATTGGAAATCGGGTAAGTACCTCGCCGATCGGAGACAATGTTGAAGACAGGAGGAGACAGCTTGGTGCGTGAGCAATGGTCTAGAGATAGTTAGTCAAGTATTCTTGTTACTCAGGAGGAAGCTGAGGCTGTTGAGGTTTAACCACGCATCCCAATGGCTTACCCTGGAGCTGATCCTGCCAGCTGGGCCGGCTGCCAGCGCTATTTCCTTGGGGACTGGTAGTATAAGACATTGTTGCTTCGTAGATAGATGGGGCAGTACCGGAGGACTGCTAAGATGTTCAATTGAAGAGGTAGATGGGATTGCAAGTGGCGAGGATATGAGTCCACGATGTCTTTAAACCCAATTGAAAGATGAAGTTCTGAGTGGAAAGAAGTCAAGCGTCAAGGGGAAACCACAGGATATAAAAGGAAGAACAGGATTAGATGAGCTCAATTGGATCCGTTTGGAATCTTTCGAGATCTTAAATATCTTATTATTTTTCCAATGACCTTCAAACGAGGACGACATGGGGAGCGGGGAGTCATATAAACAGTGGGCCATATCTTCAAGGCCAGGAAATAAAACCCCGTGGATTTCAGTTTCTTTTTTTTTTCTTGTATATTTTTTTTAAATATTTTGGCATTTCTTTTTTTTTTTTTTTTCTATCAAATTTTATTTAATTCATTTTTTTCCCCTGGGAAACAAATAGGAGCCTAACCGTCAAACCTAACGGAGGGGCTTTTATGCATGTCGATGTGGACATTGCAAAGCGTAAGCCAAATCCTCCCCTCCTTATCCACCAGTCAAGGAACGTAGGCGTAGAAGAGTATGCGGATCATTTTGAGGCTGCAACCTGGAACGGCCCGGCGCACGCCGACTAAGCAAAAAACAGCCCTTGAAGAAACGCTAGACACCACGTAAGGGTTATGGAGGGGCAAGATGCTCCCAAGTTAGTCCCCGCTATATGATAGACTGGAAGATATTGGCTACTTCTCCTCAGATTCAGAGTAAATGACCCTTTTTTTCGGGAGCAACTTGAACGCGGATTGGATGGGAAAAGTGAACAACTCAGAGAACCCCACGTTGGGATTTATTTAATAATTTTTTTTTTTTTTTCTTTTTTTGATTTTTGTTTCTTTTTTTGAGGATTCCTTTTTTGATCTCTCGCCTCACTTGAACACAAGTACTGGATTCAAAAGAAAGAAAACGAAAACAATGACATCTCCCGACATTAGTTTGTGCATGGACTTGAACCGTATCGGCGGAACGGCGGGCTTCTGGAACAACTATGAGAGACTGCATGAGGGGTAAAGAGAGAGAGAGAGAGCTGTGGGTAATCTCTGCCCAAAAAGCGGAGCCTATGGCCACAGCGTCAGTGTCATAGCTTTGATTGTTTAATTGATTTTCGGGTCTTGAAGGATGTGGAGGATGCCCGAAATGTAGACTCTACCCCCAAGTTGGGCCGCATTGAAAAGCATTGCCAGCTCATCATGATGAATGAGATCATGATTATTTTGGAGAAGTCGAATTTCACACATTGACTCGGATAGACTTGCTGGGCACTTTGAAAGCCACCAACCGGGCCGCCCTGCATGAACAGTTGTTGTCGGGCCCAGTATCAACTTAGGGGGGGAAGGACAAAGCGATGAAATGAGGCGACATGGGTGGCATTTCCGCCGGAGAAACGTCAGAAAGCCGTCAGGAAGACATGCGTTGCAGAGATCTCGAACAAAGATACGGCCAAGAAACTGGATCATTTTTCATGTTGTCGGCTAGTCCCGTCGGGTTAACCGCCTGATGTGCAGAGAACCAAGGAAAATTCATCCACACCCCATTCTCCAGAGACCATTTGAATCTCTCAGTCGGAGGGTGTTCGTTTTCAGAGTTGTTGGGCATTCATGCAGAGTAGACAATATCCTCAACCATGGTTCTCAGGAATGCGGCTACATCGTGCGAAACACGTAGAGAAACAGCCGATGGTCGACAGGGGACTAGGCCAACACATTGTAGGGCGTCTAAAATCTTGAAAAAAAAAGAAGAAAAAGAAATGAATTGAATTGAGAGGCTTGCCCCGCACCCAATCTTGATCTGTGAAAGTACATCTATATATGTATGCTGCGCAGTAGACTACATAAGTACCACGTACAATATTGGTACCTACAGTAGTAGACATATATACAGAGAGTCTAAGAATACATAGATTGACTTCTTGTTCCATAAGGCAGCAAGGCCAGGGGTATCCTTCGGGCTGTCGCGCTAAAAACAAAAGATTCATTCAGAACCAATCAATCATAAGCCCTAAACAGCCGTGACAGTTCTTCATATGATACAGGTACCCTAGTCTAATTCTTTCTTGTTTTTTTTTTTCTCCCTATTGCATTCTAAGGAATATCTCAAGGTCTTAATGTAGGTGCATTGGCTTATGCATTAGTATCAGGACAATAGGTCAATAAAGCACGAAGAGGTCTAGCTCAAAAACCGAACCATGGTTCGCAGAGTAAACTAGCCCTAGCTCCAAAATACAAACCATGGTTCAGCTTTTGAAGCGGTCGGGCTCCATATGCACCAGCATAACGATTGGGATGTGAGATGGAAGTGTACGCTATCACGCTTCTCATCTAATATGGAAATTACCTAAATCCCGAGGTCTGCAAGCCTGCTTAGTTCCCTGTATCCATATTAGGAGATCACCCGCAATCAGGCTGTTTGAGTCCCCCGAGTTCCATTAAACCGAGATGATTCGTGTCAAGATGAAGCGAAAAGAATGAAAAATAAGAAGCAAAATAAATAAAAGAATGCACGGCTCAAAATATTCACAAGCTATACCTGAAGAACAAAATATTCATATCCGGCGTCATTCACATCATTAAGTCATTAAAGGCAGCATCAAGCCCCGTGTACCATAAATATCCCGACTAATGCAGGACCAACTCATCCACCTAGCCAGTTCTTGGACCCAAAAATCCCTGTGTCGCTTAGGCGGATCCTCTCCGCTGCAATACCTGGCCGATCAGTCGCCGAGGGCCCATGCGCTCTAGGCTCTTTGCTAGCGAGTATTGAGCGGGGAGGATCCAAGACGGACGCCGCTCGTGATGCCAGCGACGACGAATGCAGTCGTCAACTAGCGCGACTATCCCTGTTGCAACTATCACACTGGAAAAGAAAAGAACCAATTTATCAGCCTCATGCCTCATCATCACTTTGTGCAGGGAGATCACGGTGCATTGCGCATGGCGGATGCGTTGGTGCATTGTACACGAACCACACCCCCCCTCATACAAACCACAGAAAAAGAAACGAGAGCACAAAACGAAAAGAGGGGAAAGATACAAAACAAAAAGCAAAGAGTGTGAAGACCAGATTCAGAGCTAGAGCTAGCAAGAACAAAACTAGCCAGGTGGCTGAGGGGTAGGGCAGGGATTCAGAAGAACTCACTCGGCAACATCAGGCATCGTCTTGTAAACTTCAGGATCACTGATCCACAATGAAGAAGGCGGCACCCAACCCCCCTTGCTTTCCTCTTCAACAACCTCCAGCGGCGCCAGCGTATCCGGTACCAAATGAGCAATGGTCTTGGAAGTCCGCGTGTCAACCAAGTAATAAGACACTTCATGCAGATCACCCTCTTTACGGACCTCCCTCCGCCACTGGTACTTCGTGGACCAATACTCGAACTCGTATTTTTTAGTCGAGCCCGGCCCTTTGCGACGCAGCTCGACATGCGCATAATTCGAGAATTCGAGCAAAATCGTTTCCCCCAATATCGGCAAAGCGCAGTGTCCTTCCTTCTCTTCTTCTAACTCAACCTCTTCAGTCATCCCCTTCTCAACCTCGTCCCGCGCGGCATGGCCATTTCCATGTGCACAGCCAGCCCCAAGGCCTGAGTCCTGCCTCTTCAGCTCCCCATTTGGTGGACAATGGCCATTCGATGAACCAGGTCTAAACCCAGCCAGAACGCTACTCCACGAGGGTCGCAGCGCAGGCCTTCGCTCCTGAGCAGGTACGACCTCCCGCCTTGCAGAATGGCATACCTCCCTCCCCGAGTCGCGGCAGTATCGCCTGAACGAAAACTTCCGCGTGAAGAGATCGTACATGCGCAAGTGAAAAAGGATAACATCGCGCTGGGAACCGTCGCGGAGGTGGACAGGAGTGTCGACGCGCAGGTTCATATTACCGTCGATGGTTGCATCGTCGTGGCGGATGAGCAGTCGTCGCGAGGAGGGGAAGAGAGGCGCGAATGATGAGGGTGTGGAGGGAATTGCGTCTAGTGGGTAGAATTCCTGCCGCTCGTTTACGCAGTAGCGGCCTTCGTGGGGGCTCACGGGCTCGGTTGGTTGAGGTTCTGGGTCAAGCTCGGCTGTGGAGCTTGTTGTCGAGGCGTAAGTTGAGGTTGAGGAGCGGAACTGTACCTCGCAGCACTCGTACTTGACTTCATCTTCGGTTTCGGATCTGTATGTATATTTTGGAGCTGGGTTGGTGGCCCAGTCGGCCCTCTGGGGTTGGGGTGCTATTCTGTCGCTGTGAATTGTTGCTGCCGTGCTTTTTGAGCATGAACTGTCTGTTGAACTGTAGCTGCCCGCTTGGCAGGATTTATAGGAGCCCATGGTGTTAGAGACTATGCTGATTTGGGTTATAGGTGTGTATATGTATATGTTCCACTGATCTACAGCGAAGTCGAAGAGAAGCGGATATAAAGGAGTAAGATCAAAATCAGCCGTAAGTAAGCCGGCAGGTGGTGTGGTTGACCAAATAGGGTATATCAGAGTCAAAGCGATCACCGGGTGTTTGGGCCTGTGGATAGTCCGGTTGATTCCGCAAGTCAAGGAGGGGTCAAGTTCTCATAACATGGGGCACAGGGCATAATAGTGACAAGGAACACTCAAGTAATACCTCCAGGATTATTATCAGGATGATACAAGAAAGATAATCATTTGATCAAAAGGGAAAAAAAGAAAAGGGCAGGGGTGGGGGGTTTCCTGTTTGAGACACAGATATGGGATAAAAGGGGGAATCGGGGAGAATGTAAAGATGAAAATCCAAAGGGATCTCAGAGAATGTGGGAAACTGGGCTGTCACAATGTGTGGGAAGTATTTAGAACTTTGAGTGGGGAAATGGAGAATGTTCAACTCGTCATTTTTGGGTACCCGACTCTTTGTTCTACACATTGATTTACGAGAGCCACACTGTTTCACCTAATTATCTTGGGGTGTGGCACAAAGAGAAAGGCAGAGTAAGTACGGAGTGCGGAGTGAAAAACAAGAGAGTTAGCCTCAGATCCTAGGCTATGAGTGAATGTATCTACCTATAAGGGGTGGGAGAATTCCTTTAGCGCACTATGTGCTGTGCAATGGTCCCCAGAATCAGGGCGAGGATTAGCTGGGCCACTGTGTCTCATCTTAATTCGTGGCTTCATTCCTTTTGCTTTTTCTTTTCCGACCTGAGAACCAGTGAGATGGCGGGGGCCTGCATTGAAATGGTCTAGACACGAGATTCCCTGTACTGCGTATGTTGTACTCCGTACTCCGGGAGATACGTGCAACTTCTTAGGGCTCAGGCCCTTTCGGTCCAAGCAGTTAAGGAATCTAATGTTCTCATATGTCATGGATGTTATGTATGTTATGTAGGAGAGTATATCCCTTTATAGACAGAACTGCAACCCGAAGACGTCATGGGAACGTTGGAAACCGTGGGCCCCGCGGTCCGTTCCGATCCATTGTTCCAAAACCGTGTGGAGACAGTAGCCGAGTTTCTACGGACAGAGATGTATAGATGTAACAATATATAGTAGAACATCATGCCATAAGAGTCCACAGTTCGCCATGGATGATTGTAAACGAGTACATACTTTAGATCGTACGATCTAATGTTCTTAATGGTCATGCCTACCCTCACATGACGACATGATCGGCTGGTTTAAGCGCACAGACTGAGACTCATGATGGGATTCTATAATCTCGAATTTTTCCCTCCGATCTGATTGAGTAAACATAAACACGGTGAACGAATAGCCCCCACTACGCATAGCCAGGTCGACAATTGATCAGCACTGCGTTGATACTTCGAGAAAATATCTCTTGGCCTGCATTGCGACCGAGAAAATATGTGCAATAGAATCTATATACCCGGAGCTGAGCGTCCACGCCCGTGTTCAGGCCGAAATGATTACAATATCCCTGGAGCCCAGGTGAATGGAAGCCAAAACAAAAAGCCAATCTGAAAGACCGAAGAGAAAGAGACGCGAACGCAGCAGACTACACCTGCGCATAAAGGGGCCGAGGAAGCTCATCACCAGGCTTGATCAAGGTCTCTGAATGACAAGCTGGGTGGGAAACGAGCCCGGTATGGCTTCCCGGAACCGGAGGCCGGAAGCCTACATAGGCTTCTCGTCGGTCTTCTACTGTGACGGACCAAGTGTGCAATCCATAATATGATGCAATGGAGTGGACCAACCAGCGACTGAGAAGTGTGAGCGGACTGGGCAATTTTGATATCACAATGGGGGGAAGGCTTGAAACATACCCGAATCCAGCGGCCCGATCATCGGCTAGAGTCTCGAGCACCATTTTCTCACCCTCCCGTTCGCTGTGAGAGCTGATCTCCTCTCGGAGCAGGCGGAGTCTCTCCTTTCGCTCAGGAGAGTCGTGCATCTGCCCATTACGACCGACAAATACGATCTCATCTTCCGAGTCATCACTAGCCAAGTCCTCGGGAGCATCTCGCAACCCCTCTTTCTCAAGCAGAAGCTCCCTCTCGTTCCACTTCTGAATAAACGTACGGACTTCATCTTCCAGGTCTCGGAGCATGCCATGCGCAGCACGCGCATGCTTCAGCTTTGATCTCAGTTCCTTGGGAATGTGATGCTTCTCAGTAGCTCTCTCGGCAGCCTTCAAAGCCGACTGTTGATCCGCCACATGAGAATAGTGGACGTCCCATAGGGGGCAAGGTAATAAGGCATCGGGTCATGCCGAGTATAGGTAGGTTGGATATCCCAGTCCTTTGAAGACGGCGGTTCCGCCCACGGGTTGTGCAACAGACGATCTTAGTGTCTGGTCAGCATTTGCCTGCTAACCCTGCGCCGAAGCCATCAAAGGTATAGAGTTGGCGTTCATCGCGACCTATCTGGTTCATATACGTACCGTTCTCCCAACGCTGTCTTCGACGACTGCCGTCTTTGCCCTTGAGAAGAGCCTCCCGGGTCTTGAGACCATCCCGGCGCAGAGGCTCCCGACGTCGGAAGTTGACTGCCGGAGGCCGGGACTCGACCTTGATTCGTTGGGATGGGATCGCTTCATCGTCGAGAGGGATAGACAGTGAAACGGTGGCTCCGCGCAGACCCGGGCGCATCGGGGTCGGTGTAGACGGCGTCCTCGCTGCAGGGGCAGAAGCAGAGTCTGATAGGGTCAAGTCCTGCAGGGTCGCTGCTGCATGTTGCTCTGTCCATGCAGAGATGGCTAGGGCTTGTTGCGGTGACAGGTGCCCTTGCGAACCCTCTGGGTGTAGACGGGGATGGATAGCCATACTTTACGCAAAATGGGTCTAACGAAGGCAATAGTTCTAGGGAGAGGGAGGGATAAGGATAGGATAGGATTGGGCAAGATAAGAGATACGCCCAGGTTCCAGGTCTGCACGGGACATGCACGGGACAACTCACTAGACGCTGATTGGTGGAGAGCGGATGTTTCACAACCCTAGCCCTAGTTTCCTATTTTGGAACTGGGAATAGGGAGAGGCAGTGGAGTGAAATATTGAGGCTGTACGGAGTATACACTAGCTCAAGGCTGTCTTTCCGTCCATTTCAATTCAAGTACTATGAGCCTTGTCTCCGCAGGGCTGTGAATTCGGTGGAGTTGTTCGTTCACATTCTCCACCTTCAATCCCCAGATTCAAGTTATTTTCTTTACCTTGATGTTCTTGAAAGTGTTCCTGAATAGGTTCTTCAAAGTGTCCTTGAACATCATACCAGTCTATTTTTTACTCTCTAAAGTTCAATAGTCTGTATTGTATATACCATGAGAATCGGATAGATCGGAAGTCCCAGGCTCCCCGTTCTAATAATATGCAGAGCCTCGGTGTTTTAGCGCGCGGGGTCCAAAAATGGCTTGGCACAGGGCGCGACCTGGAGCTTTTAAAAGAAACCTGAGACCCTTCCGAGACTTTTCATTCTGCTTATTCTTTCTATCTTTATTTTCATCATGAAGTTCCTCATTCTAGCGCTGAGCGCAACGGCAACTGCCATGGCCATGGTCAACCCAGAGCAACAACCTCTAGCGCCTTCAATTGTTCAAAACCCGCTGTCTAAGTCGTTGATCGAACTGGCCCCATACCGGACCAGATGGGTAACCGAAGAAGAAAAATGGTCGCTCAAGCTGGTAAGAGTCTCTACTCGAATTGAATGACATGGTACTAATGATCTACCAGGACGGTGTGAACTTCATCGATGTCACCGAGGAGTACCAATCAGGCTCCTACGGTACCCTCCACACCACACGGGTCGTCCACTACCCAGAGGCGATGGAGCACTCGCACGAGATTCTGCCTTTGTCTGAAACCCTCGACAAGAGTAATATGCGAAGCAACCTAGAACATTTCACATCCTTCCACACGCGCTACTACAAGTCGCAAACGGGAATCGAGTCAGCAACCTGGCTATTCGACCAAGTAACTGCCGCAGTGCATGAGTCGGGCGCTAGTGATCACGGGGCAACCGTCGAGCGCTTTGCTCATCCCTGGGGTCAATTTAGCATTATCGCCCGCATTCCCGGCCAAACGGATAATACCGTCGTCCTCGGTTCCCATCAGGACAGCATCAACCTATTCTTGCCTTCGATCCTGGCTGCCCCAGGTGCGGATGATGACGGCAGTGGAACAGTTACTATCCTCGAAGCTCTTCGCGCCCTGCTGCGGTCGGAGACTATTGCCCATGGAAAGGCCCGCAACACCATCGAGTTTCACTGGTACTCTGCCGAGGAGGGTGGTTTGCTCGGATCGCAGGCTGTCTATGCCAAGTATAAGAGGAACCAGCGCAATGTCAAAGCCATGCTTCAGCAGGACATGACTGGGTATGTTCAGGGTACTCTGGATGCTGGCGAGAAGGAGTCTGTGGGGGTGATCATCGACTTCGTCGACCCAGGTCTTACTTCGTTCATCAAGGAGGTTATCACTACCTACTGCGATGTGCCTTATGTCGAGACAAAGTGTGGCTATGCATGCTCTGATCATGCTTCTGCTAGTCGATACGGATACCCGTCGGCATTTGTGATCGAGTCTCAGTTTGAGAACTCCGATAAGAGAATCCACACCACCGAAGACAAGATTGAGTATTTGAGCTTCGATCATATGCTGCAGCACGCGAAGATGAGCTTGGCATTTGCTTACGAACTGGCATTTGCTCCCTTTTGATTTCTTCTTACGGGTTTACATGATGGTCCGGCGTTTTATGTGATATACCTCTGAGCTGGGTTTCCTCGTTAAGAGTACATTGAGGTTTAACCTGATGTTTTTATTTTTCGGTCTCGGGCTTATACCCTACTTACTATCAATTGTGATTGTTGAACTTCCTATCCTGGTAATCTAGAATCATGCTTTTACCTCATTAGATCAAGCACACAAACAATTCTCTCTAAGCCCTAACCTCAGCACTTTGGCTGTGTGATCAGGGGTTATGTGAATCGTAGTCGAGATACAGGTACTCTGTACTGGTTACCCAGCAGAAAAGGTACAGCCGCGAAGCTCAGCTTCTTCTTCTTCTTCTTCTTCTTTTCTTGACCTCAATTCCCCTCACAGAGTGGCAAATCGCACGCGATTCCCGATCGAATTCCCGAATATCCTTGTGCATAACGGCTCTTGATCCGGCATTGCTCCACCTCCGGGTGATGCACCCGAGTATCCCCCTCATGGGGGCAGAGAACAGGGGGAACTGTTCCCCCATTAAGACAAAGCACGCAAGACCGTCGCAATATCCCGGGAGTACGTCCGAGTGAAACCTGAGTGTGGTGGGAGTGTATATTAGATATCTCATTCCTAAATATGTCGTGGTTCTGTCCATACCTACTGAATATAGCAACAGTGAGTCACTCTGTATAAAGCCCAACCAAGTTATTGAGAGTGATACTCTAACACTGGAAAGTGTCTAGCGGCATCGTCCCCCTTACCGTCATCAAAGGAGCCGGTCACGAGTTTATCCCCCTCCCTCGAGGGGAAAACGCAACCACTGCCGACTTCCATTCTATCCGGACCAAGACTGAATCTCCTGCACACTTCACTTCGGGATTCTATAAGATCGAGGCTGGACCTGAAAGACCCGCTAGCTACAATTTTGAGGAGACAAAATATGTCCTCAGTGGTCAAATCGACGTTTTGGTGTGTCTTCCATTTCTTCTATTGAGAGTTGGCTTTCCAACTTCTATGTTAACCAATTACGGTTTCAAAAAGGACGAGGCTACTGGGATTACCCATCATCTAGTCCAGGGAGACTTTGCTTTCTTCTATGTTGGATCTAAGGTCAAGGTTTGTTATTCCTCTCGTACCTTGTTTGCGAGACATCAGCTCTGAAGTAGCTCTAATTTCTCCTCGGTCTAGTTCTCTACTAAGTCTCAGGGCCTTGCTTTCTATGCTGTTACTCGGCCTGCTCGATCTTCCCATCCAAACCTCAAGGGTAGGGAGGAAGACAAGGCTAGGCTGTAGAAAATCGGTCTAGAGTCCATCTAGATAAGAGCTTTTGAGGACTCATGATATCAAGACTATAGTTAGGGATACTTGCGATGTCGACTTCGATCATGTGTATCTCAGAGAGCCAGCAAAGATGCTGGTCTAGCAGATCATTATCGATCTTTTAAATCATCTTGAAGCAAACAAGATTCCTTCATTCTATAACTCTTTGGTTCCTTTGCTTACAGCCTGCATCAGGGTAAGATATAATAACCCAATATATTCATACATATGTTATCTCCCACGACAAGCCCCATGCAATAGATTCGGAACCTACATGCTAGAGTGAGATTCTTAGAACATTATAGCGAAAAGACAGGCCCGTCAGGTCTATCCATCTAATTTCGTGCCTCGTACATCTAGCACACAACATATGTACTGGATAAATGCCTGGCTGGTTGCAAGACTAGCAAGATCTGACCTGATTATATGACAACGGCCAAATTGATGACCCTGTCACCAGAGGTGTATAAAGTACCTATTATCTAACGAAAACCCTTGGTAATTCCTCGGTAGGTGATGAGCGAAGAAGATGCCGAGCATCATACTACAAATATTATAACTGGCTAAAATCATGAGGTTTTTCATTCAACATATAAATATCACCTGGTGACCAATATTTACACTAAATATAACGCTATAGTATCCCCGCCGCAGCACTACAGCACAGGACCGAGGGTTTAGTGCTAGGACCGGACTATCTCTCCAGTACTGGTGCTGTAGGACTTGTTCTTTGTTAAATACTCTACTATGTCTGCCATTTTTATCATTTATTGTCGTACAGCCAGTATCCTATCATGCTTCGAAAAATGAGGGCAGCAGCAATACTATTAACGACCTAACTATCACAGTATAAACGGCCCTGTGTGGGCTAATCCTTTCTGGGTATAGGTAGTTTGCGGCGGGCTGAGTGCATCAGTATTACTCAAGTGATTGGACACCGAGCATCACTCAGTAATCAGAGAGCATCTAATGAGCACGTATGTTGTCCTAAGCACTCACTGATGATCGGTCATTCTACACGTGATCGAACTGAGCATGATCACTGATCTGAGTCCGTGCTGGCATCTATGTACTCAGTGAGCCTGAGTCTGAGCACCCTCATAAAAGCGGCGGCATCTTAAATAGGGAAGCCCTATCCGTTAGGGGAAATCCGGTGCGTATAGGTGCATGTAGGGCTATATCCAGATATGACGTAGTGATACTCACCGGTGTTTCGCACGTGATGCCCCTCAATTCTGTCCAAAAACTAGTCACCGTTTTCATACTTGGTGCCTCTAATTGTCATTTCTACATCCGGCGAAGCGAATCTCCTTCCTCGGGACCAATTGTCCCAACACCTTCACATATACCACCCTTCAAACCGCCCTCCATGACCTCCTCAGCCCCCTATGCCAAAGAGCTACAGATCGCCAGCCTAGCCGTGCAACGAGCTGCAATCTTAACAAAAGAGCTCCTCTCCGCTGTCGACAAAGGCGCCCTTGACAAAAGCGACTCCTCACCTGTGACAATTGCCGACTTCGCCGCTCAAGCCTCAATAATCGCTGCCATCCACAACACCTTCCCCGACGATGACATCGTCGGTGAGGAAGACGCTACAGCCCTCCGCTCAAACCCAGACCTCCTTGCAAGAACCTGGGACCTGGCAACTAGCGTCCATCTCGACGATCCAGAAAGTGAAGCGCTCCTCCACACCCCGCGCACCCCCTCCGAACTCCTCGACCTAATCGACCTCGGTGCGAAGGGTGCCTGCACTCCCACTAGCAGAACATGGACTCTAGACCCTGTGGATGGAACAGCAACCTTCATCCGTGGCGAGCAGTACGTAGTATGCCTCTCATTAGTTGAAAATGGGATCCAGAAAATCGGCGTCCTCGGCTGCCCCAACCTCCTGGAGTCAGGACCCGTCGCCGAACAGCGCGTTGACCGCAACGGTCTCGGTCAGATGATCTCAGCTGTTGCCGGGCAGGGTGCTACTATCAGACCTATGGGTCGGGGTGCTTTATTGCCAGCACGTCCGCTTGAACCTGTTCCGCAGGTTGGAGGTTCCGATGTGCGGCTCATTGATACGCGTGCGGCAAAGACGCAGGATCTCGAGGCTCATGCTCGTGTCGCGGCAAATCTTGGCTGTCCGTGGCCGAACCCGGTAGATTTGTGGTCGGCCCAGATGCGTTATGTTGCTATTGCCGTGCAGGGAGGGTGCAATGCGTTCGTCAAGGTGCCGCTGAGTTCGGAATATCGCTCAAAGATCTGGGACCATGCAGGTGGCATGCTTATTGTGCAGGAATTGGGCTGTCTCGTTACAGACCTTGAGGGGAAACCCGTTGACTGTGCCCTCGGTCGTACTTTGGCCGGCTGCTATGGCATGGTTGTTGGGCCAGCTTCGGTTCATGGAAGGATTTTGAAGGCTGTGAAGGAGGCGCGGGGACTATAATTTTTTTTCCCTTATATCTGGCGTGGTTTTTTTCTACATGTGTTTTGCATGTTTTTGATACCCTAGACAATCATATCATTGGCATCCATTGGTTACTATATTAGCATGTATATCTGTATAATGTGTTCTTCTACCGGCATAAGGCTTCCAAGAGCACTGGCCCCTTCCCCGCGGTATCGTCTCGAGTATGGCGTACATATTCCTACATACATTTACCAGAAAATGTACGTTGTGTGTTTCATACTATTTAAATATTTTCAGGGTTATTTTTAGGCTCAAAATGTCTTTGCAGCGCTAAAGGTTCACTTGCGGGTCTCATTTTCCTTGATTTTCGTCTTTCAAGATCCTACCAGGCATGGACTGTTTTTGAGTGAGCTTTCCCACTACCTTAAGGATTTCCAAATGTGTACCCCGTACGGGATACTCTGTATCGAATAGGACTGTGCACGATGATCTACGCTTGGCAGAAGTTCCAGATTCAATTCTCATAGCGCTCAGTCCTCTACAAGTCAAGTTGTAAGATTGAATATGAACAAAAATTGAGAATATAGATCATGATTCTGAAGAAATCAAGTAAATTCACTTACGACATAGGTAACTCTGAAATATGGGCGAAGAAAAAAAAAGCGTTGATGTCATCACCTCATCTGCATCATTTCCTGTTCTCGGGTTGTTGGGATTCTATTGGATAGTGGTCTGATGACCATAGGAAATCCCTATAAGACTCCCCCTCTTATACCTTATAGCTCGGTCTCTTTCTTTCATTATACTCAGGCTTGAGTAAGATATCTACCATGGCATCATTCAATCCATTCGCGAGACGAGAGACTCATAGTGCCAACTCGTTGAATACCTATCGAGTCCTTGTACCCCTCAGCTGGGCCCTGGTCGTCGTGGTTGGCATTTACTATACCATTCACTCGCCCGACGATACGAAGAAGGGCAAGAAGATCTGGAAACAAGCTAATAAGCATAATACTCCATTCAGCCAGAACACTACTGTGACAGGCGTTTTCTGGTTAGTTCAGCCCTAAACAGCATACCCATGCGTATATCGGACAAGATTATGCTTTGGAACATCCAGGATCTAACCTGCCCTATCTAGGATCTTGCTCCTCCTCTCTCAGCTCAGCTATGTCTGGCACCTCTTTTCTAAAAACAATGTGCTCGTCACGGCAGCTGCCAACGTAGCCACCCATTTCATCCTGAACAATCTCTTCCTAGCAGCTTGGATTCTCCTCTGGACCCGCAACCATTTCTGGGGCGCAGAGATCATTCTCATCGCCCACTTAATCAATCAAACAGTCACCTACTGGCGCCACCGCGGCCTACCGGCATTCGTGCACCTACCCGCCGTCGCCGGTCCTTATGCCTGGACACTTACTGCGCTGTTCTGGAATGGCGCCGTCGCTGTCCATAGCCACAATCTCCCTGGCCGTATCGTTGCCAATATCTTTATCTGGGTTATCCTCGCGATCGGACTCTTTAATATCGTCCTCTGGGAGGATTATATCCTTGGATACTGTTTGAGTTGGTTGACTCTGTGTAAGTCCTTCCTTTGATCGTCATTTTTTCGACCGCTTTGCTGATATATATACTTTCATCGCAGCACTTGCCCTTAGACAAGTTGCCATCAAGATCATTGCCCTGCAGTGGATCTTTGCCTTTACTGTCTTTGCAGTGTTCTTAGCTGTCTCTCTTTACATCTCTACTACTAAGTACACTGGTCGTGACAGCCTCTTCCGTCGCGTTGCCCACCCCGAGTCGACTGATCGGGAGAGAGAGCCACTGCTCAACGAGGGGGTGTGAGTGTGTCGTCATGTCTGCATTGGGCATCCATTGCCATGATACGCCAATTTAGCTGGTCGCTTGAGCATCGGACCGGAAGGCCTGAAAACGAGAATCAACGAGAATGAAAGTATGGAGTCCAGGGAGATCTGCAAGGCCAGTCTTGTTTTGGAAATCGTTATGCTGGGATAATGTAGTCTTCACAAATGGGAAAATGTATCGACCCACTTAGGACTGGGCACATTGAAGACATAAATATTATCGAACACTGGATTTAAATATCGGCAATGGAAAGGAATAAATTGAAAGATCGACAGGAAATTATGCTGTTCTATTTTAATAGGCGCCTGATTATTGTTTCCAGGACTTTTACCCCGTGCTGATAACACCCAAGACCCGGGTTGCCCTGACAACCAAATGCACCTCCACCTTGTTGATGCAAAGCGACGGAGATGAACGGGCTGTACTTGTTTGCCTAGTCAGTTCTTCTTATTCTTTTGACTGTTGCATCTATCTCATCTTGCTTGTGTGTCGAGCTTGAATATTGATATTGTGTCCACATTCCTCCTTTCCTCAACTGTCGAAGTTAGCCCATTCTATCGTATCTTCGAGAGACGATAGATTCTCATCGTCTCATCGATACCCACCTCAGGTGCCATACTATGAGGCAGTGAGTTTACATAAAAAGATACCACATTCCACGTTCTATCATGAACCGCTATCCACAATCCAACTATGGCGACGCGCCGCCCGCATACCTCAACCACGACTCGGCTTCCTATCTGTCCGATCCCGACTCTCCAACCAATGCCTCGCGTCTCAATGGAGGAACAATGCGCTTGTTGCCCAGCGGTGATGGCACCGACGATTTAGCTAGCAGTCACAGGGCTCCTTCGCCTTCCCATTATGACCCAGATTATCATCACACTCCGTATGTATTTCCCCACTGCCTCCAATGTCCCGTTATCCATTTTCAAATTCCAGTGGTTTCCCTCGCAATGGAGCCACGTGCCCCAATGGCTCTAACTCCTTCATTGACCTGAAGGAGAAGCTTGGGGGAACGCTTGTGCCTTGAGCAATTGCTCGTCATCAGGCATTGTTACTGGGCTCAAGCCTACTCCTTCCTGCTGCTTGGTTGATCATCCCCTCTGTAAACATTGAACATTTGATACTCCAGTACATTTGTTTACTGTTTTATCCCTCACCCCACCTCTACATTGGCCCTCTTCCTGCCAGCTTGAACCCACAATGGAACGTCGTCCAAGACCAAGGTCTAACACGAGGTTGCATAATTTTAGGACTGGACAAGATCGAGGCTATGACCATTATTACGAGGTGCCCAGTATCTCTTCACCTTCGCGCCCACCATCTAGTTTGGCAAGTGGACCCAGTATCCCGCCTCCTACAGGAAACCTCGCAGACACTTCTATCTATCCATCTATTCCCGCACGCACAGGATCGCCAGTTCGCCCATGGAGTCCATCACACATCCGACCACCGTCCGTTTCGAGTATTGGGTATGAGCGGGCTGACCTGAACGGTAGCCCGCGCCCCGGTACACCTAGCTCAAGATATGGGGGCAGTCCCCGTCGACCACTGCCTCCTGCGCCTTTGTTCTCCGGACCAAAGTCGACAGTGGATACGAGTATCGATATTGGTGATGCCCATGGCGAAGATCCATTCGGTGGCGATGGCCGCACAATTCACCATACATCACGAGGTAGCGTCCGATCGTTCATGAGTGAGTCGACGATGTTGGGGGACGAGAAAGATGGCATGTCAAAAGTCGACCTTGATGATGGAGATGACGACAACTCCCACATGATGGACCCCAACCTCCATTATGGCCCAGCACCGGACAAGCAGGGCCGTCGCGGTGTCCGGTCCACACAGGTCACCAAAAAGGAAGTTCAGCTTGTCAACGGCGAGCTTATTTTGGAGTGCAAGATTCCCACCATCCTTCACAGCTTCTTGCCTCGCCGTGACGAGCGCGAATTTACACACATGCGTTATACAGCTGTCACATCCGATCCGGACGATTTCGGTGAACGGGGATATAAGCTTCGCCAGCAGATTGGTACCACGACTCGGGAGACAGAGCTGTTTATCTGTATCACTATGTACAACGAAGACGAGATCGGTTTTACTCGTACAATGCACGGCGTTATGCGGAATATCAGCCATTTCTGCTCGCGGGCTAAGTCGCGTACATGGGGCCGGGATGGATGGAAGAAGATCGTTGTTTGCATTGTCGCCGATGGACGAAAGAAAGTCCATCCGCGTACCCTCAACGCATTGGCCGCCCTAGGTGTTTACCAGGAGGGTATTGCGAAGAATATTGTCAACCAAAAGGAAGTTCAGGCACATGTGTACGAGTACACTACGCAGGTGTCGCTGGACGATGATCTCAAGTTCAAGGGTGCCGAGAAGGGAATTGTCCCCTGTCAAGTTATCTTCTGCTTGAAGGAACACAACAAGAAGAAGCTGAACTCCCACCGATGGTTCTTCAATGCCTTTGGTCGTGCCCTTCAGCCCAACATTTGTATCTTGCTCGATGTTGGAACTAGGCCAGAGCCAATGGCACTCTATCACCTGTGGAAGGCATTTGATCAAGATTCCAATGTTGCCGGCGCTGCTGGTGAGATCAAGGCTGCCAAGGGTAAGAACATGCTCGGTTTGCTTAACCCTCTTGTGGCAAGTCAAAACTTTGAATACAAGATGTCCAATATCCTGGACAAGCCACTAGAATCGGTCTTCGGTTATATTACTGTACTGCCCGGTGCGCTCAGTGCTTATCGATTCTTTGCTCTGCAAAATGACGCAGATGGCCATGGCCCCCTCAACCAATATTTCAAGGGTGAAACACTTCACGGTCAGGATGCAGACGTTTTCACTGCCAATATGTACCTAGCTGAAGATCGTATTCTTTGCTGGGAGTTAGTTGCTAAGCGGGAAGAGAGATGGGTGTTGAAGTTCGTCAAAAACGCCGTTGGAGAAACTGATGTGCCAGATTCGGTTCCTGAGTTCATCTCCCAACGCCGAAGATGGCTGAACGGTGCTTTCTTCGCCGCTGTTTATTCCATTTTCAATGCCAAGCAGATCTGGAAGACGGATCATACTCTCCCCCGGAAGATCTTGCTTCACATCGAGTTCTTTTATCAATTTCTTAACCTACTGTTTACCTACTTTGGTCTTGTGAGTTTTGATACTCCTTTTTCTCTGGAGGTGTCTACTAACTTTCACAGGCCAATTTCTACCTCGCTTTCTACTTCATTGCTGGCTCTTTGACTGATCCGAAGCTTGATCCATTCGGTCATAACATGGGCAAATACATCTTCATTGTTTTGCGCTATGCTTGTATCCTGATTATGTGCCTGCAGTTCATTATCTCATTGGGTAATCGGCCGCAAGGGTGAGTTCACAATACTTCATCATGCATTGTGACTTGACTGACGTTACTCTCTAGTGCCAAAAATCTCTATCTCTCTGGTATCATTGTTTACGCCATTATCATGTTCTACACTGTGTTCTGCGCCCTCTACTTAGTGGTCAAAGAGCTACTCGCACGTGCTGGCATTAGTAAAGATGACATGGAAGTAGGGGACGGCCTAATGATGAACATCGTCCTTTCCATGTTGTCAACCGTCGGTCTCTACTTCTACACGTCTTTCCTCTACCTGGACCCGTGGCACATGTTTACCTCTTCGGCCCAATACTTCCTGCTCATGCCCAGCTACATCTGCATTCTGCAGGTCTACGCGTTCTGTAACACCCACGACGTAACCTGGGGAACCAAAGGTGACAACGTGATCAACACCGATCTTGGCGCAGCAAAGACCATCAATGGCTCAACTGTCGTCATCGAAATGCCCTCCGAGCAACTCGACATTGACTCGGGCTATGACGCGGCCCTCCGCAACCTCCGCGATCGCCTCGAGGTTCCAGAGCCCCCGCCATCAGACTCCCAGCTACAGGAGGACTACTACCGCGCTGTCCGTACGTACATGGTCTCTATCTGGATGGTCGCAAATGTCATCCTCGGCATGGCTATCTCCGAAATCTACGGCATTGGTGCTGGTGGTACCAACATTTACCTCGCTATCATCTTGTGGTCTGTCGCTGTCCTCGCTGCTATTCGTGCCATAGGATCTACTACATATGCCATCTTGAACGTCGTTCAGAAAATCGTGGAAGGGAAGACGAAATTCGATGCAGGTAACATGACCAACTTTGCTCCCAGCTCTTATGGTGGTTCGAGTGCCGCTGCTACCTCGGAGTCTGGGGCGCCCCGTCCTGTGCGTTATGGCGGCGGTGCATCCTTTAAGGATAAAATTGCCGAAGCTCGCTGGTCTGCTGGTAGGGTGGTTGGAAAAGCTATGTTCTGGCGCAATAAATGATTGAGATGATTTCTTTCTGTTTTTTTCCCGCCATGTTTCGCTTGGGTGTTTATTTCATTTGGAATTGCCTTCTAGCTTGGCCTTTCTCAATCTCGTTGGAGTTCATTTGATTTGGGCTTTCTTTTGAGATATCAGGTGTTTTCTCTTTTCTCTTATGATGGAAATATTGTCATGATAATGCTTCTTTTGTTGCTTTTTACGTCTGTTGTTCTCTCTTTTCAATTGGCTGGACATGTGTATTGATGGATGTACTTATGCGCCCCCTTTTGGGGCTTGGAATTAATGCTCTGGATGATGATTTCCAGAATAATCGAGCTCCAACTAGTATTCTGTAGTCTGTTCAAGGTCTTATATCCGAAGTATATTTCAAAGTTCTACATTCATATCGCGTGCAGTCTTCAGTTTCAGTACCAGATTCCACGGGAATTGAACATCTATGTACAACTTGCGTACGTATATTCAAATAAAAATGCCACTCAGATCCCGTGAAATCCAATATCGCATCATATAGTATCTCATTTCTCATTAAGCTCGTTCCCCCCAACCTCATGAATACGTGTATCCCGCGGCCCAAGCCCCGCGGGAACATCATCTTGTCTCTCTCCGCAAAAACAGGATACACCAAATGCTGCGCCGAGCTTGCCGCAGCAATCTCATCTATCATAACTTCCTTGTGCCGCAAGTTCTTCTTATAGATCCGTCGCTGCACGAGCATCGTTATAATAGCGATCAGAAGACACCCGCCCAATCCAGCACCGATTCCGGCGCTAATTACTGTTGATTTTAAAGTTGGACATGTGGCACTGGCGTTTGGGCCGGGAGTTCATGTCGTATCTTTGTTGTTGTTGGTGCTGTCGTTGATCGACGAAAGCGGTGATGATGCTTTTGGTGATGGTGAGGTGGAGGATACGGACGAGAAAGAGGACTCGGATGAGCCTGATGAGGAGGAAATTTCGGATGCGAGCCATGTCACGGATACATTGATCATCTGGCCCATGTCTAGTCGCACGGCGTCGTCGCAGCAGCTTGTGCCGTTTACGCTGCAGCACCAGAAGCCGCGGCCTTAGAGAGGGCAGGGAATTACATAGAGGGTTGCATCGGAGACTGTTTGGATAATGTGTCAAAGTCGATAGGTTGAGGGTTTATATTCTTGAGCGAGAAACTTACCCGTATCACAGAGCTCCATTGGGGGTTGTATTACTTTTTGCCAGTGAACAGCAGGGGCTGTCATCTTGATCTGGGAAACAGGGCTGAAAGCTTGAGTCTGCTTCTTTGCCGTTTGTAAGGTAACATTGCCGAGATTGAACTACAACGGTAATTACTGCTTGGAAGATCAGCAGGCGAAGTGTTGCTTTGAGGCAAATCATTTCTTCCTTGGTTGAGAGAGTAAAAGGGAATTGGGAGAGCAGGAAGATACTACTTTGATTTTAGACAGGGCTTTATTTTTACAACCAAGTCACTGAGGCTCGCGAAATAAGTAATAATAGCTTTGGCTTCCAACATTCTATTGGGCTTGTAAGGCGGTTACTTGATCGTTCGGATTGGTTGGGAGCCCGCAGATCACTATGCCCTAAGTCGGACACCCTAAGCGCTGGGGTTTTCACAGGTTTATTTTTGGCGTTAAATTACATGGGCTAAAAAGAGAATTATATGATGAAAGAGAGGTCTGAGTTGAAGGTCCGAGGTAATTATGCTTATAGGGTGATTGCCAGGTGGTTATTGGGTGTCCCTGGACAGTAGAAGAGTGAGAGAGTGCAGAATTATGCTGCGAGTATGGAATCACTAGTCTAATTGCGTTTGATCGCTTGACCTTTTCAGACACTTTCACCATGTCGAATGTTAAACTCCACGAGATTTTTCTCCTACCATATTATCCCACAGATATCAATCCGATTTGGCTGTACCGTACTGGTAAGACCCCGGTCCCTCTGCGATTGACCAGTTGGTTGACCACCGAGGCCACCATTACCGCAAAAAAGTCTTGAAAGATTTAGACAAGTTCTGTATAGGATGAGCCCACTCTAAACTTTGACCTCAGCTCGAAGCTTGAAGCTCTCATCAAGTTAGCAGCGGTAAAGCTCCATGAGGTTTAGCTTTTTCACACCTGTAGTTGTGAACAGGTTACGATAGTGAGAGAGGTCGTTCGTCTCAACCTGACCCATTCTGAGGTACATACCTAGGTCTCGATCACTGTTAGTCACTGTGAGACGCCACAACTTCGGAGCCCACAGGGAGCAAGGTTGGATTTAGTCCGGAATAAACAATTGGATCGCTGAATCGACCATCCAAATGCAGTTGCTCTCGTTTCCAATTCATGGCCCAAAATTTCTCAGACTTTTCATAGAGTCCATCTGTCCCAGCAATGAACTTTGACATGACAGGTAATACTCCCTAAATTTCTATGGCTGAATGACTGGGCTTTTCGGGGTAATAGTAGATCTCGAAACAATTCAATTAATAGGTCCGATCCTTCGGAAATAATTCCATTGTCCACGATGCTGTTCCTAGCAATTGTTGAATTTTATTGTGATCATCCACTCTGAATATTATTCAAGTTCTACGCCAATCCATATGTTTCTCGAAAAGGATAGCGATCCTACGTGAATTAACGTTTACTCATCATATTACAAACTCTCGGTATAGATCTAGCTGAGGTAATTTACGCCATTGCGCTACTTAGCCCAATTTCACTCATATGGCGCAACCCAATCCTGATCAACGTGATGTTTCTCTAGTCTGCTTACGGTGTAAATTGAAACCTCCCAACCTGATATATAATCGACTCCGAATCATCATACTCCCCAATGCGTGATAGGTGATCCCCCTCCCTACACACCCCGCTTCGGTAAACACGGCAATGTATACGAGTCAGGGCTAATATACTGACTAATATCGTTGAGGGGGTCTCGACGCTTGGCTATTTTCTTCAAATTCTGGCTCCGTGCCTGGATAATCTTTGATAATATCAGTCGAACTTCTTCGATCCTGTGAGATATTAAACATGTCAGAAAAAGGCATGGCAACGGCCCCTGATCCTGAGATCACAGATTTAGTGCATATCACGAAAGATGAAGACTCATCCGAACCGCCCTCTACTTTTGCGGTAAAAAGCAAAGTGCACGGTTGTCTCCAAGTTCTTGGTGCTTTCTTTATATTCTTCAATGTCTGGTCTGTCAACTTCATTTTGAATTGCAATTGAATGTCAAAACTAATATCCATGCAGGGGTCTCAACCTCTCATTTGGAACATTCCAAAGCTACTATGCACTCACCTACATTCCATCTTCAACATCATCTGATATCGCCTGGATTGGAACGATCCAATCCTGGCTTTTAATTGTCGGCGGTCTACTATCCGGCCCACTATTCGACCTCGGCTACAATCAGTCCATGATTATCGTGGGAAGTATCCTAGGTGTACTCGGGATGATGATGCTCAGTCTTGCGCACGAGTATTATGCCATGTTCCTAAGCCAGGGAGTCTGTGTGGGCATCGGATTTGGACTGCTTTATGTGCCTGCTATAGCATTGGTCAGCCGTTCTTTTACAACAAGAAGAGCTGTTGCGCTAGGAATTTCGAGTAGTGGTGCACCTGTCGGGGGAATCATCTACACTATCTTGTTCAACCAACTAATATCGAAAGTGGGGTTCCCTTGGACTGTTCGTGTTATGGCATTCCTGATGCTGGCGCTCTTCATCGCGGCTGCTATCTTGCTTTTGGGACCGGACGGACGTGCAGTGAAGGTTAAACCCACCCAACGCAGAAGCCTGATTGATTTGCGCGCTTTCAAGGATTTGCCCTTTTGGAGCTTTGCTATCGGCAACTTTTTCCTTTACCTTGGTTATATCACGCCTTTCTATTATATTCCAACTTATGCCGAGACGAAATTGGGCACATCGCGCTCAATGGCATCCAATGTCTTGATGATTTCCCAGGCTTCCTCGGTTATTGGCCGTGTTGTCTTGACTTTGTTCGCTCACTACTTTGGGTCGATGATCGCCTGGATTGCTTGCGGTATACTTTCAGGCGTTTTGTGTATCTGTTGGATTAGTGCGGACACTGTTGTGCGGTTTATTCTTTTTGCGGCCTTTTATGGTAAGTGGAACCCCTTTTCCTAGGCCATCGGTGCTGTATTTTGACCCAAATCACAGGTGGTATCTCCGGAGCTTTGATTCCTCTCCCACCGAGCGTGTTCACACACGTGTGTCCAGACCCCAAGAGTCTTGGGACTTGGCTTGGAATGGCACAAAGCTTGAGTAGTTTTGCGTCTCTTCTAGGGCCTCCCATCGCAGGTGCACTCGCTTCAATTGGCTCCGATGGCAGTGAGGAACTGAACTACCTTGGTATTCAGTTGTTTAGCGGAATAGTTATGTGTTTTGGTGCGTTCGAGCTAATTGGGTTGTGGTACTTGCTATACACCAAGAGGGGCAAAACGGGGTTGTTTTGAAAGTAGGAGACAGAGTTGTTCATCATTCGCATCAATGTAAATAATCTGTCCGCCATTGAGCAAACACGTACTTTCTTTTGGCTCCCATCATTCTCAACTACTCTTGCTATCTTTCGAGCAAGTAAGATCATATATTTCGGAGAACCGACCTATCACGTCCTCGCAAAACCCTAATGGGTCGGAATTTCGGGATTTGCAACAAATCACGCTTGAGGTGAGTCATGAACTAGTAGCATCCAAAGAAACAATAACATCAATAAGTAAACCACATCTCCCTTGACTCTTGATTCTCAACGAAAATTGATCCATTGAATCCCAAATATGGAATCAGTACGCCCAAAAGGCCCACTTGTCCCCTTCACTTCAGCTCTACTACCAACGACCCAAACAATCCCAGGGCGAACAATCGTCCTCGAGAAGCTCTCCCCAAAGCATGCGGATGACCTCTTTGACCTGACTGGTGGACTTGACACATCCAGGGCAGCTCTCTGGGACTACATGTTTGATGGGCCATACTCAGATGCCGAAACATTCAAAGCCAGCATCGCATTGAAATCCACCTCAACAGATCCTTTCTTCTACGCAATCATCGACAAGCGCAACTCTCTGCCTACTTTTGGAAAGGCAATTGGCTATCTCTCTCTGATGCGAATGACTCCCGACCACCTGGGCATCGAGATCGGGAATGTGATGTACTCGGCGGCGCTCCAGCGCACGACTTCCGCGACAGAGGCAATCTATCTCCTCGCTCAGCATTCTTTCCATGATCTTGGGTATAGGAGATTGGAGTGGAAATGCAACTCGCTAAATGAGCCCTCAAGGCGCGCGGCTTTGCGCTTGGGATTCTCGTTTGAGGGGGTCTTTCGACAGCATATGATTATTAAGGGAAGGAATAGGGATACGGCTTGGTATTCTATTTTGAGAGATGAATGGGATGCTTCGCTAAAGGCGGCCATGGAGAAATGGTTGGATGCTGGGAATTTTAGGGAGGACGGTGGTCAGATTAAGTCACTGCAGGATCTGAGAGCTGAGTTGGTCTGAACTGTTGGGATGCTGCTTACCTGTATATTTTCCATAGAAATATAAAAGGAAAAATGTCTACCGATCTATTTTCTTAATGGCCAACGGCGCTATTGAAGACCATCGGTAGGGTCACTGCACACTAACAGATACACAACATATGCTATGACTATTAGAACTATTATGACTATTGTTATTCATCGATAGATGTTTAGTCTCCAGCTCTAGAGCTGGCCCGGGGCGGAGCCGACCCCGGTTGTGCGTAGCCTCCTTTCTGCCAGGCAAAAATGAGTGTTGAGAAGGGAAGGTGGCGATATGGCCTTTAAAACCTGTTGTTTAGGCCTTTAATACAACTTGAGGGAGAGTCAGTGGTATATCAAATCACCATGTGATGGGTCTAGGGATGTGACACGGCATACATAAAAAGAAATATGAGATCGACTTGACCGATTTTCCCCGAGATCTCATCGTAGTTCTCCATTAGGACCGTTATAATTGGAGATGGATCTTCATACTTCCAAAATTTCAACGAACTCAAGTCCAAGTTTCGCAGTTCCAACCCCCCAGCGGGTCTCACGCCATCGGCTCTCGCTCGTTCTTGTATGCATTTCTATCCAGTCCTGGAAATGATAAACCAAGACATGATATCTGTCCGCAAGGGCAGAACAACCTATAAATACCTCTTATGTCCAAGTATGTCAATCTAAACAACACCTTTCACCCATTCAATCATTCCCCAAATTTCCACACCAACGATGACAGACAACGAAGCCACACCCACCAGAGAATATGGCTTCAACCCCAGTCAAGGCGTAAACTGGTCCGACTACCTCACATTCCGGCCACTCTATCCACCCTCTTTCTTTGAAGAGGTCTTTACCTACCACTCAAAAAAGCCCCACTCTAGCTGGTCCCTTGCCCAAGACGTCGGCGCCGGCTGCGGAATCGTCTCATCGAGTCTAGCCCCCCGCTTCGGCAAAGTGATTGTTTCAGATCCGAACGATGGATACACTGCACTCGCTCGCAGTCTCCTCGTCGAGGAATCCCGCCTTTCCGAATCCAGATTCTGCTTCCTACAAGAAAGTGCCGAAATGAGCTCTGTGAAATCTGGCTCGGTTGACCTGCTCATGGCGTGTGAGTGTATCCACTGGACGAGGCCGGAGTTTGCGATTCGGGAGTTTGCAAGGGAGTTAGTTCCGGGTGGAACGCTTGTGATTACGCATTATCATTATCCGCGCATTGTTGGTAATGAGAGGGCTCAGCAGGCTTGGAAGGCCGTTTGTGCGTTTTATGCGGATGGGGTCAATGATCCGATGCTTGATCATGCGTTGAAGATCTTGAATTCTGGGACTGAGGCTCTAGAATTTCCTGTGGAGGATTGGGAAGCTGTGAAAAGGCTTTATGTTAATGCGCAGGGGAGTATTAAGGCTTTTAGAATCAATGATCGAGTCGGCGAGAGTCAGGTTAAAGATGGTGAGGAGATTGTTTGGGAGGAGGACAATGTGGATTGGATGGATGAGCAAGACTGTGCCTGGTTCAAGGGCTATGCATCCACCTGGACAAAACCGCGTGTATCAGAGTCGGACATTAACCCACTGTGGGATGAGATGGAAAGGGCATTTGGGGGGAAAAGGTGAAGACTGCTACGCCGCTTGTCATGATCTTTGCTACGAAGAGACATACGTAGCTGTGGTGTGAATGTATGTTAGAAAGTAATCGAAGTTATTTATCTTCATTCACAAGCCCTTTAACTCTCTCTAACAATATCCTCGACAACCCTGGCTGCCGCCAGCGTCTCTTCGTCCTTGAACCGCCTCCCAGAAATTTGTAGTCCCACCGATGCGCCCTCATATCTCTCAGGATCTTGGTACTTACGCCACTCTCTCTCATCAACCTCATCTCTGGGGACGTATTTTCTATCACGCTCCGTGAACGCATCCAGCTTCGGATCCACAGTGATTCCCGACGGAAACACTACAGAAGGCAGGTCTACCAAGTTCCAAATCGCAGTATAATTCCAATATTGCGATTCACCCATCACTGCCGCCGCAGCAGGATATGTCGGGGAGAGAATAAAGTCAACACCGCGATGATTGAGGAGAGCATGGTACTCATCCCTGTACATATCGCGCTGATCGTGTAGTGCCCATGCCTCGGGATGAGAAAGGGGCGTACTTCGGCTGTAGGTGAAGGCCCAATCGGTTAGTGGGCGTACTGGCTCCCCAGAGGTGTCAAGAAGCTCGCGTTGCTTGCTGGCAGCGTCAGGATAGTACAGAGCGGACTGAGTCATGTTAGTCTTATGACATGTGTGTGTGTGTGTGTGTGTGTGTGTGTACAACGCAGATTCAGCACTCACAATAATTTCCCAGCCGTGCTGATGCTTATACGGCTCCCAATCTACGACCCTCACGCCTGCCGCTAGCAGCTTCTCTTTGGCATATCTCAAAGCGCGAGTGATAGGTGGATGGGGGTGGACGCAGCTGGGAAAAGGGTCAGCACACTGGTAACGAACAACTACTTGATTCATGACATACCCATCATCCCACATGATAGCCACAGTCATATTCCGCGTCGGCGCAACCGTCCTCCACGGCACGGGCATAAGTGACGTCTCAATATTCCAAGGCTCCTGCTCCAATGCGGCTCTCTGGAACAGCTCTAGATCTTCAATTGAGCGACTAGCCAATGGGCCCACCACACCGCGGATTCCCTCCTGGCCCGAGGCAGCGACTTTGATCCCTGTTACAGGGTTCCGCAGTGTCGACGGGCGGAAGCCGTACACCCCACAAAATGCTGCGGGACAGCGAATCGATCCGCCAATATCACTGCCAATTCCTAGTGGCGCGCACCGAAAACCCATCGAGGCACCTTCACCTCCGGAGGATCCGCCTGGACTAAGAGTCCGGTTGAGTGGGTTCACGGTTGTGCCAGTGATGTTATTGCTGCAGCACAGGTGCTAGATGGTGTTATTTGTGGAATGAACTACTAATCTCAAAGCTGTGCACATACCATTAATGACTGAGGTTGGTTAGTACGAACATGGAAAATGGCGCCGGCTTTTGATAGGAGTTGGAGGAGAAGGGCATCTTCCGTGGTAACTTTGTCCACCCTGTTTTTCTTTTTAGTAGTGTGATGTTTCATGGTGAATTTATACACACCAGGCTACGTATCCCGTGTTGCACGTGCGGTTACTCATGGCTATGTGCTCTTTCACGCTGATTGGTATGCCATGCTGTCCTCGTTTCATTAGGAACTCGCCGTTGTAGTGTTTGAAAAGACTAGTCTTTGTGCTTACCAGAGGCCCGACCAGTTTTCCTGTGCGTCTGTAGTACTCATCATGCTCTTTAGCCCGAGCAATTGCCTCGTCGGCCATGAACTCCGTTGCAAAATTCAGCTATCAAACATGTCAACGCTGGAGTTACGAAAGTGGAGTCTCCTCATCTCACCAGTTGATGGCCCAGCACGGCCCTCTTCAAGAATGCAACTACAACTTCTTCTGCGCTCAGTCTTCCGTTACCCATTTCCTTCACCAGCGCTGTGGCTGACATATCGGTGATGTCAATCTCGCGCTCACTGAACAAGCCGCTTTGCCGGGGGAAGTCGACCACATTCTTCTGCGAGAGTGGCGGCAGCCTGTCGATGGGGAGAAGCCATTGTCCCGGAATAGAGTTATTTAAGTTGTCTTTGCCTTTTTGGGCTTGGGTCTGCCAGTTGGAAGTCATTTGTGTCAAAGCTAGGAGATGGCCGTTTCGGAGGATAAGCAGATGTAAAAGAAAAGAAAGACACGAGGGAATTTCTTGTCCTACTTATCTCTGCCCCCACTGATCTACATGGATATCTCGGGATTGGAATTTGCTTTTCTATAGACCTGCATCTCGCGCAATAGAGAAGTCCATGCTCATATCTGAGCGGAGTTAATTCCGCTCGGAATGTAGGTATCTCAGAATGTCGAAAAATTGTACTGCGTCTAGATCTCAAATATAAAACAGTGGACTAATTTACCTCTCTACTATTGCTGCAACTCACTATCAAATGTTTATGTTCATCTATCTACGCGTCATAGTCACGTTATCCAATAGAGCAATTCAATCCATTTCTTGACGAAAATATCAAGGAAATTCGAAACAATCGGATTTTCAGGAGGCAATGAGAAACTTGCTCTTACGGGGGAACTCTCTGACATGGAAATCATCTGCCAAGGAGTCACCTTCAAAGCTCACCAGGCCATTGTTTGCACTCAGTCAAGTTGTGCTTCCTTTACCTTGAGAAATATAATGATGGACACTAACAAGTTCCCGAGCTCGCTCCCCCAACCGACGAACAAAAGGACACAGGTTGTAAGAAAACTGCTCTCAACAACATGGAAGTATACATCACGGCGGTTAAATTTGAAATTGACTTATTGAAGTCCCTGGCTGCCCGAAATTTCTCTCGATGGGTAAGTGAAAATTGAAACTCTCCAGTATATTTCCCGATGTCGTTCAGCAAGTCATGATCTTGGTGCTTCACATGAAACAAGCCTTCGAGAAATAATTTTCGACGTTATTTCGACGCATATCTTCGACATTATCTTTTGGTAGACTAAGGTAAAAAAGCGATTCTCGGTAGTCAGTAGATTTGCATTACCTTGACTGCGTCTCATCATATGAGGATATCACCTATTGTGCCCAAGTACATTAGTGGCGGCCGCTGTCGGCCGCCACTAATGATCCCTGCCGGGATTTGCAAGCCCAATTCATAATCAATACATCTGTCGTAAGACATCTAGGAATATAAATACTACTAACATAGTCGAACAAAACTCTAATACAATCACCCATCTCTCCTACCACAACCTCGATAACTAACTTACTAAAATGACAACTGCACTTGACTCGAGCGCTATCTTCCGGGTTGACGGCATTGTAGCCGTCATTACCGGAGGAGGCAGTGGTCAGTATAGTTCATCATCGTAATTGAATGAAATTGCTAATATGATTGTGCCACTAGGTATTGGACTTACGATGTCACGGGCTCTTGCAGCCAACGGCGCGCGAAAGATCTATATTCTGGGACGTCGACTGGAAGTGCTGGAGAATGCCGCAAAAGAGTACCCCAGCATAGTTCCAGTCCAAGCCGATGTGACGTCCAAGTCTGATCTCCAAGCCGCCGTGGACCGTATCAAGAATGAAGTGGGCTATGTCAACCTCGTCGTCGCCAATTCAGGCAGCATTGGGCCTGCAGTGCGCTTCAGTCCCAGTGCATCGATTTCCGAACTACGTGAGACCCTCTTTACCAAATTTGCCCCAGAGGAAATGAACGATGCTCTGGCCCTCAATATTACCGCTGCCTTTTTTACCATGACGGCTTTCCTAGAGCTGCTCGATGCTGGTACCAAGAACGCCCTGCAGGGTGGCTTTGGCAAACCCGCCAAGGAGGGTTCCGACGTTCCATCGATCCAGAGCCAGGTCATCTTTACAACTAGTGTTTCGGCATTCAGTCGACACTGGTCGTCATCACCTCCGTATCTTACCAGCAAAGTCGCTATCATGCAGGTAGCCAAACATGCCAGTACCCAGTTGGCCAGGTTTGGCATTCGTGTCAACGCCATTGCTCCGGGAGGTACGTTCGACCTATTGTTGTGTATGCATCGACTAAACGAGAAATAAGACTGACGTTTTATACAGTCTACCCGTCCGAACTAGCTTCCGCGTTAATTGGGAACCGTAAACCGGAAGAAGAGGCATTCGACGACCAGCGGTTTATCCCCGCCAGACGGTTTGGTGGGGATGAGGAGATGGCCGGTGCCATTTTGTACCTGACCAGCCGTGCTGGAAGCTATTCCAATGGTTCAATTCTTCTTACTGACGGTGGTAGACTATCTGTAATGACAGGCACGTACTAGGATCACCCCGTGACGGCCAGAAAAGTTACATCAAGCCTAGGACAAACATGTAATAAATTGAATCAAATTGTTACAAACCCTGTTTTATTTGCTTCTCCAAGATAGCGATGAAATTGACTTTATTCGAGGTATGTAGGAATCGCGACAAGATCGCGTCTTGCTTCCTCACGTTCAATCCCAAAATCTAAAATTGATCTTTGCATCTAGATGGCCATCGGAAATTGGCTGGACTGATGCAGTGATATGCGAAGCCGATCCTCTACGCTCCGAAGCGTGCTGTCATCCTTCCAATCTGATCTGGCATATATATGCTCCAGCGCAGACCGAATGATATACGAGTAGCTAGGAGGTACCAAGTCCGAGCTTCCTGGGCTTCTACAATGTCTCGAACCATCGTGGTCGCAGTATCCAGTACTGTGTGTGATCGCTTCTGCCACTTCTCAGTCGACCGATGCTCGGAGTCGAGGACCTGTGCGGTCTGCCGCTTGTGTATTACAAACAATGCCCTGTGCTGTCAGTCGAAATGGCAAGCCCTCTGTGATAGACTTACTGACCTAATGCTCATGGCAATTGCCTGACAAAAGTCGGTCGATTTCTCATCGACATTGCATTGCTGTAGGAGTACCACCAGGAAGGTCTGGATCGTAATATCTAGATCTTCAAGCTGGGCGAGTCTGGAGTTCAGGCTTGGAATCTCAAACGCCTTGAAAACCTTGTCTAGGAGCCAAGCAGCTTGGGCAGCACGCCCGAAGCCTGCGATGTCGAAAGAGCCGATGCAGGAAACTGGTATGTGGGCTCCATGGATTGACATAGCAGCCCGATGCTGAAAGTCACCGGGCCACAGGGTTTCGGGCTTCGTTGGCAGCAGCATATCGCCGTTGGAAATAGTACTTACTAGTGGTTGCTCAGGCACGGCCACTTCGCAGAAAAAGGCGCTGACGGCAGCTTCAATTTAGTATAATGGCCGGGATGAGTATCGTGGAGAGATTGCATTACCGCTCACAGATGATAATCCCCCACCAGGTATTGGCCGCTTCTGTTGCCTGCAGCAATCTATCCATATCTGAGTGTGCTTTGGTATTGGCAGTAGGGGTCGCATCGTCTTTTTGATACGCAGGAAGACAGTGGAGATGGATGCGGGCGGCATAGGCCATGCGAGCACACCCCGCAATGGCCTGGAATGCGTCCTCTGGCCGCCCGTGAGTATAGTCATAGACAGCCAGTAAGAGTCGCGCTTGAATCAGGGGAAGGGAGATGGGATAGGACTCCTGCACAAAGGTAACGAGGGAGTTGGTGGCCCGTCGGAGGGATTGCTGATCGGCATGAGCAGACACAGTCAGACAGGCAGTCAACAAAAGAACCGAAAACCCAGCGGACGGAATGGCACCTAGCGTAACCACGTTGCTGTAAAAGTTTGAGCGGGAGCAGACCGGGAGATAGCGGTGCGGGCCCTGGAAATAGCGAGCGCCGATGTCGTAGACGAGCTGCCCGGTTTGATGAATTAATTGAAGGACCTGACCATATAGGCTGGCCTCTATTGAAGCTGACTCCGGTGGAATTGACTGCGATACAAAATATAATGCAGAAGAAATTGAATTGCGTCTATCAGCGTATACACAGGTTATCTTTTTCCTGGAACAGTTCTTCGTCAGCAGCAGTCAATGGATTGGGGGCTGTGATCCTTGCCTGATGCAATACCCACAACTAGGCAGTAGCTTGTCGCACTTCGTCTTCCGTGATTTGCAAATGACACAGGCTTGTGGAGCGTGGGATTCTTCGGAGTCGGTCATTGTTTCTGCGAATCAGCCTTGATACAAAAGCAGAAAATATACGTACGAAAGAGGTACTTGGTACTTTGTTATATCGCCACGAACTTGGGGTACTAATCCTTGCAGGGCTGGATTTCTAAGCCGTTTGCTCTCTAGAGACGAAATCAACGAAACTCTTAGTTGATGCACCGATATCAAGTCTTTGTTGAAATTTACAAAGATATGTTCAAATGATATATCTATTCCGGTGATCGTCAACCATGTAGGAGTGTTATCTTGTTTTGTATAGTTCTACTACTCCGTACCTTGTCCTTATATGGGAAGAGACCTTTTTATATTTAATTCCCGTTTCTACAGCCATAGTCTTTTTCAAGGCTCATAGTCGGATCAAGTGGCCCACATACTCTATAAACCCTCGTCTGAGTCTTGGAGAGGGCCCGGAAATGCAGTTGACCAAGCATCTCATTATATGAACAGCCAAGCCTCACTACATATATTGACACCAGGATGCGTGAGACTTTGCAAACCTCTACCAAAACGACAAGGCTTAAAAAAGTAATTCAGTGTATTCAATGTAAGAGAAAAAAAAAAGAATCTCTCCCTCGGGGAATCGAACCCCGGTCTCCCGCGCTTATCGGTGTTAATGACAAGCGGAAATCATCACCACTAGACCAAGGAAGATGGTGATCGAGTTGACTCGACCATTGGCTGGTTGATGGAAATATTAGGCTTGTTAAACACTATGCGCAACATGTCAACTGCTCACATACTGTCCCGCAGACAATCTGGCACCGGGAAGTTTCATGGGAATCAACTTCCGACAACTCGGGTTGCATTGTAATCGAGTGGATTCCATAGGCGTGGAAACACTCGTTGATCACTTGGGCTGTCTTCATAAACTCCTCGACCGAATCCTCGGACACAACAACGTGCACTGAGGCGAGTGTTTTTTGTTGGTTGAGGCGCCAGATGTGGAGTTCGTGGATGGAGTCCACGCCCTTGATCTGGTGATTGTTAGGGAATATGATAATATGAAGATGGGAAGTAGAATTTACCTTTTCGAGGTCATGTTTCACATCGGACATGTCAACTCCCGTTGGCACACTCTCTAGTAGGATCATTCCGGCTCGGCGCACTAGATAGTGTTAGTTTCGCTATTGACTTCTGGTCTCCTTCTGCTGGAAGCACTCTTACTCAGAGGAAACGATGACAGAATGATGAGAATGGCAATAAACATGCTCACGCCGGGGTCGGCATAGTATCGGCCGGCATGGGGTGCTGCGAGCCAGATAACTAGACCGGCAGCCATGACGCCCAGGTTATTGATTGCATCACCAATAACATGAATCATCACTCCCATCATTCCAAGATCACCGTGGTCATGACCACCATGCCCATGACTGTGGCCACCCGAGTCTGCGCAGTGATGTTTTTCGAAATGAACATGTTTGTGATCGTGATGCTACGCTGCATCAGTTGGTCCTCCATTAAGTGAATTCTTCGAGTTGCAGCTTACCTTGATGCTGGAATCATAATGTTCCTCGCCCAGATGAAGAGTCGGCGTCTCAATTATGGGTGGTAGGCTATGGTCATGACTGTGTTCATGTCCAGGTCCATGTTCTAGGTACTGTTAGCGTGATAATAACAACGACCCCAGGAACCTTGCCGTTAAGAAAGACTACGCTGATGATATTTAGGCTCAATCCGACACACCCAATGATAAACATCAGCTTGGGATTTTGAACATCTAGACCCTCCGTCAGTTATGGCCAGACTCTATCATCGTCCAGTCCAGGAAATAGCACCCACGTTGCAAAGCAATAAATCTCTCAATGGACTGCAAGAATATACTAATACCCAACCCAAGTAGAAGAACACCGTTGAAGAATGCACCGAGCAGCTGGGCCCGCTGCCAACCAAAAGTAAGCTCCTTAGGCGAATCGCTGCGCTCGGATTTCTATGCTTCATATCAGCATAATCACCAACAAATAGCCAAATCATCAAGTACCTTCAATGCAACAAGAGCAATGATAAACCCAACCAAGTCATTAAGCTGCAATGCATATTAGCTAACAATATCTCCAATTTCACGTCCGAAAAGGCCTACATAGTGGAAAGCATCCGCAACCAGAGCAATAGAGTGGGTGTAAAAGCCCACTAACCCGATATCAGCACATCATCGTCTATACCAAAACCACTACCGCCGAACCAAGAAGAAGGGCAACCGACGCGAAATCTCAGCCAAGAAGAAACATGTCGATATCCCAATCACAATGCTCAGCCGTGTCGAGCGTGATAGATGAAGGACCATGACTGCGATATTCCAGTAGCAAGAAAAGCAGAAGTGAAACGGAACAGAAATCCTGGAACCTAGATTGACTTTTACGAAAAACCCATCTTTTTACTGCGAATCCTCAATACTTCTGCCTTCCAGAATTGGTCCAGAAAGCAATGGCTGGTCCGATATTCCCGCCGTGTAACTCTTTGCCATGAAATGTGATCAGTGGCCCCGGCCGCCATGAGTTATGTGGGTGATGTGGTATGGGGGAGGTTTATTATGGCGAGTTTTACGGAACAAATGACTCGGGCTCCCTGCAATGGTGGTATATCATTGCTAATGGCGGTTGGGGTATGTTATTTGGGAGGGTTAGTATAAGGCAAAAGTACGAAACGCCGGAGCTACATGGGCCCCAAAAGTTCTGCCAGAGGACCTTGACGGCGTGGAATCTTCCAGGAACATATTTCCCTCCCAGCCGTACAGGAGCTTGTGGATTGGGGTTGTGTGTTTTGCAGATCAGCCGATGAAGAATGCAAGCCCTCCACCAACGCAGTGTATCACAGCATCTGAATCTGAGATCTAACTAAATACTTCATTTATAGTAATCTTGCAGAAACGGAATGAATGCCAGAAAAAATATGAAATGATTCAACTCTGATTAAGCAAAAACAAAACAATTCTCATACAATTTTCATGGTCACATCCAAATCGTTTCACTCAAAACCCCAACTCAAGCAGCAACCTGATCAGCAAGTCCATCCAGCTCACGCGCCCAGCTACGGTGGCGAGAAATATGCCAAATAAACTGCTCAGCCAGACCCTTCGCGTCCGGCCCGACCGTGCCAACCTTTAACAATGAAACTGCATCTCCGTAGCCGGTAACAACACCATACGATTCCTTCAGCGGAGAACCACTCTTCGCAACCGAAACCTCAGGAAGCCCAATCTGCCGCTCAATGAACGGCACGGCCTCATTAGCACCGGCAATAGCCTTGAGATGAGCGAAGGACTCGGAGATCCAATGCTTAGCAACGCCATTACTCGATAGCGCCTGGATATGTTTTCCGCCAGGCACGTAGACCGCATCAAACAGTGTCGACCGCATCCCGTTAAAGAAGTGGTCGGGAACCACCTTCTGGCCAGATTCGGCAGTTACGCCTTGACGCTGCGCACCGATCGTGAAAACAAACGCCCCCCGCTCGCTCAGGACCTCTTTCATCGTGGCGTACTGGTTGAAGTCAAAGCCGTCGGCAAGCAGGATGGCGATACGACGTGTCGAGATGACGGGTGTCTTCGGCATGAATTCAAGCTGGCTCAGACCCTTGGCTTTGGTGCCTTTGTTTTCCTTCAAAGCCTTGACAGGTGTATCGCCGCCCACGTTTTTCGCGACCGTTTGGGCTAGATCCAAATCGATCGCTGCTAGACGCTCAGTCATACGCTTGTAGACGATAGGGTCGTCACAGTGGTCCAGCTCGAAGGAGAACGCCTTCGCCACGTGCATTTTTTCAATCGGTGAGAGCGAGTTGTAGAATACCTGCGCTTGATTGAAGTGCTCCTTGAACTTCTCGGACAGCGCGCGCTTCTTTACCCCCTGCTGCTTTTGCGGGTAACTGACGAAGCCGCCCTGCTCTTGTGTCGCGGGCGGGTTGGCTTCGAACCGGTTTGGCCAGTAGTTCACCTTGCCCTTTGTGATACGGTGTCTGCCCTGGCCATCGCGGTTGACCAGGCTCATATATGGGCATACTGGCCGGTTAATGGGCAGTTCCTCCCAGTTTGGTCCGAGTCGCGAGATCTGCGTGTCGAAGTATGAGAAGTTACGACCCTGAAGCAGGGGATCGTCGGAGAAATCGATGCCGGGCACAATGTGGCTCGTGCAGAATGCGACTTGCTCGGTCTGAGGGAAGAACTCGTCGATGTTGCGATTGAGTTCCATCTCGCCGATGTAGCGGATAGGAACTAGCTCCTCAGGCCAGACTTTCGTGGCGTCCAGAGGGTCGAACTCGAAGTCGTCAGCTTTCTCTTCGGGGATAAGCTGCAGTCCGAACTTCCAGCGTGGGAAGTGTCCTGCCTCGATCGCCTCCATAAGGTCTTTCCGGTGGAAGTCGGGATCCTGGCCGGCGATCTTCAGTGCCTCATCCCAGACGAGCGAGTGCACGCCCAGCTCTGGAGTGAAGTGGAACTTGACGAAATGCCGCTTTCCAGCCTTGTTAATCAGGGAATAGGTATTCACACCGAATCCCTGCATCATCCGGAACGACCGGGGAATAGCTCTATCAGACATAATCTGCCACGGACGGCGTCAGTAACTAGTTCCCGACTCGCCCAACCCAAACATTCAAATGGAAATACTAACCCACTGGTTCATATGTGTGACCTCCGAATGCAGATATTGGAAATCCCAAAAGTTATTATGCGCAGACTGACCCTGCGGCACCTCATTATGCGGCTCAGGCTTAACAGCATGAATGACATCAGGGAACTTGATCGAGTCCTGAATAAAGAAGACAGGAATATTATTCCCGACAATATCCCAATTGCCCTCCGCGGTGTACATCTTGATAGCGAACCCGCGCACATCGCGCACCGTATCCGCGCTGCCTTTGCTACCCTGCACAGTCGAGAATCGCAGGAACAGCGGCGTCTCCCGGCTGGTATCGGTCAGGACCCCAGCGGTTGTCACGTCCTCGGCGCTCTCGTATAATTTGAATTTACCAAAGGCGCCAGTGCCGCGCGCATGCACTACTCTCTCGGGAATGCGTTCATGATCGAAGCGCATTATCTGTGATTAATTAGTTGATATTCTCACGAACGTGTATTACCATATGCATAGATGGATATAGTAGATAGCTACCTTCTCGCGGGCAATTTGGTCTTCCAGGAGTGAGGGCCCAGTCTTCTTTTCGTCTACGACGCGGAGCCATTGATCTGGGTTGGATATTTTGACGCCATGGTCGGTCGTCATGTGCTGCTTGCTGTGGACATCGACGATGTCCTTTTGTAGATCAACCTGTTTGGCATCTGCGGTCTTGGGGTTTGGATTTGCTGCCATGGTATATGTAGTTGATATTAATGAATAATATCAAAGTATCTATATGGAAAGAAGAAGAATTCGGAAAATATGTGACGGTGTGAATTTCCTACTTTATATAAAAATCAAGCTGAACACGGTGCAATCCCCCAATTGTGACATCAATGATGTAATCCTCCCAATTCGCATGTCCGAGGTTGTATCTACCAACAAAATCGTACATAAAGTGGATTATTCAAGTCATCGAGTCTAGAAATGACCGCTTTGCAGGAATGACCGTAGTATGACCTACTGGTACCCTAATCCCTCCGGGCACTTTACCAGCCAATACCGACAGGAAAACCAGTTAAAGAGCAACAAGTCAAGGATCGTTGGGAATTCCTCCTTTTTCATTCGTGGGGCAGTTTCCTGGTTTCCTGTGATCCACAAGAGGGAGCTATAGCTTGGTAACCTCTGTCTATGTATGGTCGATCATCAGGAGTTCAACACTCCAAGGCATTGGCAGTGGGTCCCAAGTGCAGGCGGCCGATGATGTGCAATTATCCCTGGATGCTTGTTGAATTGGACTTGGGGGATTGACAAGATATCGGGAACTCGGAGTGTGACGTCATTAACCAGTGGAAACCATGTCCGAGTGCGTGCTATGTAGGCTCTCAGAGAGATACGTGTCAAGATATCTTCAACTCGGGAAAGAATCAATTCAAGATCCAAGGGGATAACTCGTCATTCCAAAGAAAGGCTATGCTATATACACCAATAGTCAATCTATGTGCACAGGTATCTCTCTATAGCACAATGTAGCGTCTGAATAATAATAATAAAAACAAGAAAGGCAAGAGAAAACAAAACAGAATTTACATGTTATCCTCACTCCAATGACTCCTCGTCTTCTGCCAAGCGTCATGTTCCTTCTTATTCTGCGCAGGATTGTTTCCAAGCCCCGACCCACGCTCCACCCACTCCTTACTTCCCATCTCAGAAAGACGGGATAGCGCACGCGCAAACGCAAACCGCTCCTCATCACCACTGAAGATAGACGTGTTTTTCAGGGCCTGTACGGACATACCGAGATCATCCATGAGCATGCGCATTGCGTCGGAGAGATCTGAGTGGTCTCCGCCGTCGCCTTCGAGAGATTTCTTTACATCCGTCTCGGAGATGAAGAGGTTTGTTAGGGGAACTTCGGTTGTGAGGACTAATTTGGCCTGTTGATGTGGCACGTTAGTTGACCGATGACTGGAAAAAAAAAACAGTGACTAGGAACGTTGCTCGTTACTCACCCTGCTCTCATATACCGCATCGATAAAGGTGATAAAGCGTCTCGCCAGGTCACGCTGGGTATGGTTCATGCTCGGCACATCCGTGACAATGAACGCATCGTAATGTCGGACGAGCTCGAGGTAGTCGGCTGCACCTGTAGCCGTGCCAATGAGTTGCTGGAAGGTGTATTGTGCAGCCTTGCCGCTAGCACGGGGAACCTTGATTTCGCGGCCCCAGACAACCTGTGAGGCTGTGTGTGGCGGGTCATTGACAGGGTCACCCAGGAACTCGAACCACTTCTGCGCATGCTGCTGTGCCTCCTCATCCAGTGGGTGGTGGTAGACGGCAGCCGGGGGCCGGGGGATTTTACGGTAATCTGTTGGGGAGTTGAGGTTGATCACGCTCAGATCAGTCTTGAGGAGATTGATGCAAGGAATGAAGGATTCGCGCTGGATGCCGTTTTTGTACAGGTCGTCTGGATGGCGGTTGGATGTGGTGACAAGGACGACACCATGGGACATGAGAATCTCGAGAAGCCTGTTTTGTAAATTGTCAGCTGAGTTTTCGACCATGTATCGCCCTGGACGAGAACACGCACCGTCGCAGGATCATTGCATCAGCTACATCGGTACACTGGAACTCGTCAAAGCAAAGCACACTTGCGAGGTCGGCAATATCGGCCGCAACCATCGGCAGCGCATCAAAGTCGTTTCCATACTTCATCTTCACCACGTGCATACGCTTATGTACATCCTGCATGAAATTGTGGAAGTGAATGCGTGTCTTGTGCGTGATATTCGGCGGCAGCGTATCAAAGAATAGATCCATCAACATCGTCTTGCCGCACCCGACATCACCATACATGTACAGTCCCTTCGGGAGGTTCTCGGGGATAGTCGACTTCGCTTTTTTCTTCGCACCACCGCCGAACAGAGAACCGAAGAAGGACGACTTTTGCTGAGGATCCAGAGATTCGGGCTCGGGGTGAATAACCTTGGGTGGGTTGTAATCTTTGAGCGCTTCAAAGAGGTCCTGGAGGTTTTGGATAATTCCTGTGGAATTGGCGCATGTTAGCTTGGAACTGTACCTCCGCCACAGTTGGTCGCAATTTACCTCTCTGATACTCATCATCCCTCAACCGCCCCTCCTGCACCCGCACATCATATTCCCTCATAGGCCCATCCTGCGGCGGAGCGGCGGTGGTCTTCTCGCCCGAGACTGTGGCGAGACCACGCGCCTTCTGCGGCAATCGAACGGCCAGCTGGAGGCAGATCCTCTCTGCAGGCACACATGCTAGCGTAGGTCGACTCGGCCGCCGTAGTGTATCGAGCGTCCTTCGTTCTGTAGTATAGGATCTACGAGTGGCGCCCCGCAACCTCGTAGGGCGGAGGCCCTGAGGTGCCCGCAGCGCGCTCGGGAAGCACTCTGCGCATAGCTTTGTCGATGGGCGGCTCATGAGTGTCCTCCTTTGGAATTTAGGTTTGCGGTGTGCGGCGATAGCGGACTCGAGAGCGGGTTTAGCTAGCAAAGAGCGGTTGCAGTGCAAAGGCGTTAACCGAGGTACATTGTAGGCAAAGAATTTGTTTTCTTCCGGAGAACGGCGGGTCCTCGTCAGCCAGCAGGGCCCTCCAAGGTTGGGCTGTAGATAACGAATGACAACACAGAGAAAAATATACACAGCTCCTACAGGTCTTGGTCCAACAATCAAAAACTCTAGATAACCTGTGTTAGATTCCGTTCCTGGGAAAATAACAACCGAGAGGATAATATCACGTGACCCCATCATCGCCGCATTTCTACCGTCATCAATGGATGGGGGTTTCAACTTGGAATGGAAATTTATATTTGGTATAAAAGAGCTGTGGAATACCACAGTTGAGCCACTGTCATGTGAAAGTACTCCTCCGGTATATGCACGAGAAGTAAAAAGATATGTACACGACACAGAAGCAGGCAGACCGGGGGTATGATCCTGAACAGGATGAGATGTAGATCTGATGCGAAATTGACACAGAAAACGAGAAAGCCCATAATGCGACACAGAAAGATTGCAAAAAAAAAAAAGAAAAAAGAAACAAGTAAACAGAAAGGAAATCATGCCGTACATCTCGCATCAGATTCGTGAAATCGCGATCTCGTCCTCATGGACTATGTGGAATCGCTCAAAGAACTGATAACCAGTTTGAAAAAGACAAAAAGACAAAAAAAACGAAGAATAACCACGTGTCATTCAAAAACTCCAATGCTCCAACCTTACTCATGGCAAACATTAATCTGAAGTTAACAATAACCTCATGAAATCAAGGGCAAGTCTATCGCTGACCGCAACAGGAAAGAAACGTGTGCTTTTCAGGCGATGCTGACAAAGAGGGTCAGCTTGGTGTTCCGCTGCATGGCATTCTCCAGGTCCTGATCAGTGTGAAGATCGATATAGGAACCCGAGGATTCATCACGGTACTGCACAACAATGTCGTCCTGGATCTTCAACCGATCGCACAACTTGTCCTGGAGGTGCTGCATGCTCACACCAGACGGGATGCGGATCGCAATCAGGTCATCCTGGAAGAAGACCTTGACTTTCATCGCACTGTTGGCCGATGCGCCGGAGGCTTGGGTAATGGAGCTAGGTTGGCGGTTCATGGGGGGCGGACCACCGTTAGCGTAAGGTGTGGGTGCTGGGGCACGCTGCTGAGATACCCGGTCGGTGGGCGCATTGATTTGCTGCTGTGAAGACTGGCGCGATACGCTTGGTTGAGGATCCACGCCAACGGAGTGCTGAGATCCGCCCGAGAACCGAGCGTCCTCGCCGAACGCATTGGGGTCGATTTCAAAGTCTCCCTCTCGGGGCGAGAAGAGTTCACGCACAAGTTGACAACGCGAGATATGCGGGGGCATAGACAGGAGCTTTTTGATATATTCGTCTAGGTTCTGACGTCGGCCGTTCGAAATCGCGTCCGTGACGTGGGTGACTGGACCCGGCATGAAAGGAAGGGTGCGCCCACGGCCACGGTTGCCAGCTTCGTCTTCGAATTGAGTCAGAAGGGCAATCTGGAAGTCATAGAAATCGTGATAGTAACGCGACAGCTCCCAGCAGCGACCGTCTTCCATCTTCGCCTCGATGATGTACCAGTACTTGTCGTTATCAAAACAGTAGCGCGGGATATAGGCGGAGACAGGGACGAGAAGTTGGTAGTTTTGTTGCGACATGGGCACTTGCGATAAAGTTCCCTTGCTGGCGGTACGCTGATGCTCCTGTTCAAGCGCATAAGTGGTTAGTACAGAATCGCAAATGGGAGCCAACAGGTTTGCCTACATAAACATTGCCATTTTGACTCATTTGACTTTGATGGCCCATGGACATCTTTTCCATGCCCGCGGTGACGGCCGTCATATTGCCACTGCCACCGTGACCAGCCTCAATTTTACCCAGCGTGATACTGCTGTTCTTGTATTCCGCCGTCATTTTTTTCCATTCCTCAACCTTGGGAACACCGGCGCGTCGCACCGCGTCAAGCGGGTCGGTTACAGCCTGTCCGCTCTGCATATCACGCAATTCAATAAAAGAAACGGGAATCAGGCCGGGGCCACCGAGACGACCGATTGGTTTGGCGACAAACCACTCCGGGTTAGATTGGGCGATGACAATAATGGCTTCACCAGCCTTTGCGTCCAATTCATCGGGTCGTTCCGCCTGAAAATCATACTGGACAATTCCATAAACCATGGCGCCTTGACCCTTGAGTGCAGACATTCTGAATGCGCCGTTCTTGGGAATGGAAGAATCTGTGTGGGAAATACCGCGGTTGGAGAATCCTGAGTCGTGGTCCTTCAAGTCGCCGGAACCCCCACTATCCCTCTCGTTTTTGCCGATAACCTCAAAAAAGGAGACGGGCACAAGCCCCCTAGCACTAGGGATCAGCGGATTGCACGCTTCGTACCAATCCGAATCGTCTTCCCTGCTGATAACGTGAAAGAAATCTCCCTTGCTGAATGCCAATTCCTGCGAGGTTCCGGGCTCCGGTTGGTAGTCGTAGAGAGCTTTGATCACCTTGGAAATGCGGTAAGCCACTGCCAAGAATAAGTCGGAAGTGGAACAAGGAGGGGCGAGGGGGAAGTTCAGAAGGCAAATTTCAGATGAATTTGCGCAAGGAAGCAACTCACTTTTTTAGGGGGTAAAATCGCAATGGCGGACTTGGGTGTGATAGAGATATGATGTTTGGGATCTTTTTCCCCCTTCAAGGATCGTCTAAAGGCCTATCATTTTTGTTAAAAAAAAATCGGATTAATTCAAGATAGCATGTGAGACTTAAGGAAGAAACTCACCTTCATGGTCAAGGTAAAAAAAGAGAGAGGGTTCAAGGAGATGCAAAGAGGAAAGGAGGAGCAGCGCTCTTTTTTAGCCATGTATACCTTGACCAGCGTAATCCGTATTGCGGTTCCAACCACGCGGCTTGGATGATTGTCAGGCCCGCTTTTTATTTTATTTTATTTTGCTTTGTGAAATCTTCCCCAGTAGATCTATACTAGATGTAGTCTGGAGTCTTTGATATATCTAGAACAATGAATTAAGATCTGGTAATACATAGCCGGAGGGCTGGGGTTTGCACTTTCTGAACTGTGTGAATCTTGAGGAAATCTTGGAACCCTTCAAGGTTGATTGGGATATACCGTTCAAAAATACCTCATCTTCTATATATCTATCTCGATGGAGGTAATCGCCCTTGGAACCCAAGGCCGAGACATCTCAGTGTCTTCGAACTCGCCTTAACTTACCGGTATGTCTGACATGAGTACCACATTATCGAGATTACCGTACTATCATTGCCGCCGTTGGGCAGACAATCCGGCTAGTGCAACGGAATCACACCCTAGACTGAATGCAACTCTATCTTGTGGCCATTTCCCACCTGCGCATATTGTATACATCTTAGAAGACCAAAGAACGAAAAAGAAGAAGAAAAAAGAATCTTTGCCCCTGTCTAGTAGCCATGGTTCCATGACATCTTAACCGTGGATTATCATATTGTCATGTTCGCCTCAAAGCCGTTCCAGTTTTCCTCGATTAGGAACTTTTTTTTTTAGGAAATTCCAAAGAACGTCGAAACGAACGTGTATGTGCTATAGATACTCATCACCAAAGAAAATGGATGTGTCAAAGACAAAGGGCCTAGAATGGGGAGAGGATACTTAATCCGTTAATTTTAATTTCAATTCTAAATTAAACTGGGGACCAATGCGCGGCTACAATCTGTCGACGGCGCAGGAAACTTCATCTCGATATATGCAATGTACGGAGTACATGGATCATAATTACCAAAGCAAATGGAAGAGACTTGAAGTTGAATCTGGAAATGCGAAAACCAGATTATGCTTGACACGGTCCCTGTGCTCCATACTCCATGCAGGTCTGACCATTGTTAACTCGCCTCACATGTTGATCTTGCACTTCCTGGTACGACCTAGCGTTGGCCCTGATTACCACGTGGCGACTTTCCATATATGGATTCTATTCCAACGTCAAAATTGGAGTTCAAGGTAGAACTCTGCATATAAGACAAGTACTGAATAGATTGAGTATTGTAGGTATTTACTATGCCAATGTGCAATCGCCTCTCTTCATCAGTCTGGGTCAAAGAGTACATCTTTTGGCCTCTGCTCCAAAAGAAAAAAGGGTCGACCAACTCCAGGATCAGACGCCACCGTGGGGGGTATTAGTATCGTAACTCCGCTGGCAATCCTGTGAAATGAGACCCGGGGGATGATGCCGAGAACGAAAAGGCAACGAAGATAAAAAAATGCAAAAACTCTCAAAGGGCTATGTTGTATCCATGTGAACGTATGTGGTGAACGCCTGCTGCTTTTGAAAAAAATACGCCAAAAAAAGACAAGAAAATGGCTTTGACTGAGATCCGGTGGGTTATGATCCTCGGCGCAAGAAAGAGACGGACAATGAAAGCTTAGTTAGATTTGACCTTTGATGTCGACGACGCGGTGGGCGGCTGCTTTCGCTTGATCGAAAAGCGAGCCTGCTTTGCCCGTCAACAGCCTCACAGCTCCGTTCTTCTCCTCCAGCAGTTCTTCGGAGGAGTTGTCTAGAACGAAACGTGCGGTCTGTTCATCAGACTCGAACCCAAGCTCTTCTGTGATAAATCGGATGTTGACATCTGGTTTGTATCTACAAAAGGTCAGCCGGAATGCTTATACAGAATAGGGCAAATCAAAAGACTTACGCCCTACACATGGTTGCGAGAGCACTCAACCGCTCACGGTCGACAAACATGTCCATGAGATAGGCTCCCATATTCGGGGTGTCGAGGTACAGCTGGAAGAAACGATGGTAGTTCCCGAGTGCAAGGGCAGAACGGACATCCAGGGCATGCTTCACGGCCGGGTCTTTCTTATCTTCTGCAGTCACGTCGGCTAATGCGTCGTTCATCGCCGTCCAGTTTCGGGTATAAATGAAATAAAGAATACGATAGGCCTTGAATTCCGTCGGGTGTCCTCCCAACTGCTGCGCATACAGCACTCGTAGCTGGGTCTGGCACTGGTTGTACTCACCAAGATCCCCTTTTTCCAAGGCGATGCGCGCATGGATTTCGTAGACAACGACAGTGAAATCATTTCGAATGCGTTGAACCGTTAGATCTTGACGCAAGGACTTGAACTGGTCACAGATGTAACCGTAGTTGCCATCGTGCTTCCATTTTCTTTTCAATAGATCGAGCGCCTTCTGCAAGACTGGCAGAGGACGAACGCTGTCCGGGTTGGGAGCAGAAGTCAATCGGAAGTAGTTCTTCTCCAATGTTTGGCATCGCCCGACAACGGGGCCTTGATCTGCGTCGGCAGCAGGCATCGGCGATCCTGCAGGAGAAGAGGGAGAGTTTCCGCTGGCCCCCACTCCTTCAAAACGCTTCCTCCTCATTTCCAAATTAGCTTTGGACTTACTAGACTGATCCAGTGTTATGCGTGGTTTTTTCTCTGTGGTAGGGTGAGTAACTCGATCTTCAAAACGATTGCGGTTAGCTTTTCTCCATGGTGGCGATCCAGTCTCCGAATGATGGCCATCAGTTGACTTTCGCTTCCGTGTGGCATCCCCAGGAGAAGCTGGGTGACTGGACGCCCAGTTTGAAGAGCTAGGGTTGGCCAGGATTTTGTTGCGTTCATTTTGCACCATAGTTTGAGGCAAAGGTAGCCTTTCCCAGTCGATAGATCCCAGCTTGTCATTCTGGGCGGCGTCTGTAATGACGTGCCTCAGCTTCTCCTGCATTTCAGGAATGCTCACGCTCGCAACCTGGTTTTCGGGAGCAAAGCAGCGTTGCACATACGAGCGTACTGGTGGTGGGAACTCCACTCGTGTTCGGGCTTCTGTATCAGGTGATGCCGATTGGGTAGGCTGGGCGGGAATCGTTCCATTCATTGGCTTGGTATGATGGGCGAGGCTACGACGCGCTTGGACTGGTGTGTAAGCTGGAGCCGCTGTGAGGTTGTTAGCATCCTGACACAAGACCTACTAGACTCGGGTCGAGTTATTTTCCTTACCTGCTGGAGGAAATGCGCTAGAGATTGTGCCTTGGGCGGTAGAGCGCCAAGGTGGTACGCTGGAACTCATCGTAGATGCAAGATTTGGAAAAAAAACAAAGAAACAAGATGAAAGGAAGTAAAGAGCTACGAAGGGGCAGGTCTCGAGTAACGGCTGAAAGGATCAAATTTTGATCTTACTCCTCGGCTGGTACTGGTTTTGAGATGGAAGAAAGGAATATGAACGTTTATTTTCAGGATGAGATGGTCACGAACCGGGGAAAGGTGAGAGTGAAGTCCACACAGACTCAACCCCGTGACGGTGAGTGATACTCGCTTACTCACCGGACTTTAGTTTGTCCGACTTCGGGACCCTCCCGCGTTATCGCGTTATCGCAATCGCCTTGGCGTAAGTGACATCCATGGATGTCTCTCTCTCTTTATGGATCTCCTTGAAGTTGGGAGCTGATTGGACCTACTAGATGTTCTTCAAGTCGCTGGATCTGACTACTGCACTCAGACCCTTGCTGTTACCCGATGAGATCCTTCTTTTTGTCCAGGACGCAGTGGGGTTGTATGAAGGGTAAGTACCTCATCATGATGGTGCTCCTGATGCGGGGTGCTGATTAGAGGCACAGGAAATACAAAATTCAGAATTATCAAAACGGCCATGCCTATCTCACATCGCACAGAGTGTGCTATGTTGCGGCTGAGGACCCGCGGAAATACTCAGTGGCTATTGATCTGAAAGAACTCGATCGAGTGGAGTCTCAGGTGCGACATGCATACATACATACTGCTTTCGAGGCTTTTTCTCTCAATCAATCACTAACCAACCCATGTATTCAAGGCTGGCTTTTTAAAGTCATCTCCGAAGGTTACCATATATTCCAAACCACAGAAGAAGACCGATAAGACAAGGAGCGCAACAGCCAGCCCGGCTGTAGCCCAACAATCGGCCCTTCATCCGACTCACTCACTTTCTCACCTTCCAGAAACGAATCTCCCGCAGAATTCACCATCTCCAAAGCCAATTAACGCCACTTGGATCTGTCCCATTTGCTCATTCTCCAACCCAGTTCCGTCCAATTTCGACCCCGCAACGACTAGTGCTGCTGCAAATCTACCTCCTTGCCTAGCATGTGGCATCAAACCACCATTGACGACTGTCCTTAAAGCAGCAATCAATGCTGCAACAAGCCGGGAGTCACCATTGCCGAATCCAGTTACATCACCAGCCATTCCACAAGACACAGGCCAACCAGATACCAATGCGTCTCTATCACCTTTTGGTCCCGGGGCAACCGTCTCTTGCCCGAGATGTACCTTTGTGAACCATCCGTCTCTCGTGGAATGCGAGATCTGTGGGGCATCCCTATCTGCTAGCTCCTCAGCGAACGCCAATCGCGTGGACTCCCCTGGACCGCTGTTCGAGCAATCGCACATCGCGAACACGGAGGTTAGTGAGTGTATTAAACTTTCATTCCGTGCAGGCGGTGATAAGACTTTCTACGAGAGACTTAAGGGGGCCTTGGTGCAAAGAAAATGGCTTCTGCAAAATGCGCCCCCGGTGCCTTCACCGTCGCAAGGCACCTCCTCGCCGGGCTTGCCTCCCCTTGCGCCCAGTGTTGAAAGTCCTCTCCCCTCCGCAACACGACCTTCCGGGGTTGGTATTGCGGGATTGGAACGCAGAGGCCTGGAAACCCGGAAGAAAAATGAGCTGGTCATAGGGAATGCCTTCGAAGATTTGGAGGCTTTAATGGCCTCTGCCAAGCAAATCGTTGCGCTGGCCGAAACTCTGGCGCGTGAGTCTGGCATGACTACCAATGAAGGCTCGTCAGAAACTAGCGCGGTGCTATCCGAGTCCGCTGCTGCTCTGGGCATGGTGACAACCAAAGACATGATCAGTTCTGGATCTGAAAGTCTATATTTATCGGAACTTGCGCGTGACCTGGCTGAATATCTTACTGATGACCGAAAAGGCATCTTGCAGCGAGAAGGTGGGATTATGAGTCTAATTGACCTCTGGGCTGTCTTCAACCGGTCCCGTAATGGAGTAGAACTGGCTAGTCCGTCGGATTTCCAGAAAGCAGCGGAGCTGTGGGAAAAGCTCAAATTGCCAGTTCGTCTACGGCGTTTCAAAAGTGGTCTTCTTGTGGTGCAGCGATATGACTGGAGCGATGAGCAGACAATCGAAAAACTTCAGGCCTGGATGGATGAGCTCCGGCGAGTTCCCCCTGACGATTCTGTTCCATGGGATTGGTCCCTCTTTGGTCGAGCTGTTACTGCCAATGAGGCCGCGCAACGGTTTCAATGGAGCGTTGGGGTGGCTGCCGAAGAGCTGGAGATGGCCGAAGACCGGGGTGTCCTCTGCCGAGAAGAAGGAATCGAGGGTCTGCGTTACTGGCGCAATTACATCTCGTCCTCTGAGTGTGATGATTTCTCCCGCCTTGTAATTTGAGGCGGTGCGAAGTCGTGATTGTATATGCAGAGTTGCATACAATCCCCGTCAATCCAAGGGGGTGTGATGATGCCCACACCGAGCATCACAAGATAACAATGCATGTAATCCATCTGGGACCAAAGCACAAGCTGAGAGTCCTATGAGAGTGAGCCCAGCAACGTGTTATGTACCATGTATGTATACATCTAGGTTTTCGATGTGCCAAGAGCAGGGCATATCTGCCAAGAGCGCTTGATGCCCATGTGAATGCTGTCACTGCAAACTAGACATAGATCATCAATGCCTCTACCTACGCATGGTCCAATAAGACATAACAGTGGCAGATGACGCATTAGCTGTCGTTCAAGGAAAATAGGAACCTCGGAGAAACAATCCATCTAATAGATACTCCCGAGGTCAAGCCACAGATCCTAGAAAGGATAAAGGTCGTCTACTACCCTATTCTAGTACAAAAATTGTCTCAAAGTAATCTCATGTACAATTCTTGCCGGCTGTTACGTGGTGTTGGGTATGCTTATGTATATTCCTGGGTAATGATCTACACCTAGTCCCGGGATTTGCATAGTATGCACACCCTGCAGAATTCATCACGAATCACACACAGCTTATGAGATACTAGAGCAATGGGGCTAGCAATTGGTTTCCATGGGCTTCATTTATTCACGTACTCCGTACAGTTGCCCAATATGCACGTTCTGTATAACACGCATATACACACATACACGTCCATAGTTCTGTGGTCCGCCGCTATGATTTTCATTAGAATTCAAATTGGATGCCTGTTTTCCATGAATAATCAAGGACCCAGCCAGTCAACCCCTTTCAAAGCCCACACTCAGTAATCAGGATTCAAGGACGACTTGAGATGGTTGACCTCCACAATATAGACCTGATGTCCCATCGACACCTGGACCCATGCTGCTGACATAATCGCATAGCATGGCCCCGGGGCTCAAGGTGGTGACCCCACTGATCTTCCCGTACCGATAGATCCACCACAGATGTCCTGGCTTTTGGGAACCTATCGATCCATCTTTGACATCAGAAACTCCTTCACTCTCCCAGGAGAATGATTGGCCGCTTCCAATCCTCTCAGGAGTAATCATCTCCTGGTGGGAAACTCAGTGTCCCCTAATTTCAACAACCCTTTCTTCTAATCAACCCTAGTACTTGATAAATGAATTTCACCACAGGATATCGAGATACTATACTGTGATCCCCTTTTTGCTTCCCCGATAAATCAAACGAACTAATCAGCTGCGTCTACCAACAAGATTGAGACCCGTGTTTGTTACGATCTCTCGAAGTGAAGCAACGTCATGAAAATAGGTGTGAAGGCAAGATCTCATGGCAAAGGAGTGAGTCCAACAAGATTGAGACCCGTGTTTGTTACGATATCTCGAAGTGAAGCAACGTCAAGTTCAAGCCGATCACTGCCCTGGGAGCTTGAGGCAATTGCGCCGTTGAGAAGATCTTCTTTAGTAAGATAAATGGGCCGTTCAAACGGCCCATGAACCGGGAAAAGTCGGTTGCTGAAGATCATGTATGCACTGCCGGTAGAATTTCGTCCCCAGAGTTCGATTGTTCCAGCAACACCTTGTCTGCGCTGGAAAAATTTCACAATAAGAACCTTACACACATTTGCCCCCACTCCTTCCAACCAGAGTTTCGCATCTTCAACGAGGCTTCGATACGTCTGATTGAAGCCAACCTCAATAACGATTCTGGGTTCATGCAAACTGGGGCTTGTGAAGTAAGAGATGAAGGTGTCAGGTTCTTTTTGATCATCGGTGTATGGAGGGTTCCTGGCAGTAACTCGCGGGCTTGCTGTTACCATAACGTTGAGAAGTTCATCAGGAGTAAGTTGACCGTTGATATGCCAACGCATGAGCTGTTGAATAAACCACGCATGCGGGGCTTCGTGAGTATAATTTGGCATTTTGAGAGTGATAACTTTCCTCTGGAAGAACAATCCTTTTCGAACACGGGGAAATTTTGTGTCGAGAAGTTTTAAAAGATCAATTGCAATCTCATGATCCACCGAGGTAAGTTCGACAAACGAGTAGAGAGACTGGTTGAAGAATCCACTGCCTTGAATTTTTGCCAATGCCTCGTCGGTAGACGTGATTTTGTCGAGGGAGATTTCTTTGTCAAGGGCGTAGTCTCCACTGTCACAAGACTGTTCGGAGATCATGCTACTAGCTGGCGTGGAACTGAGTGGTGAAGACATGATGGGCAAAACGAACAGGAGAAGGAGGGTGCTTTGTTGAAGATGGAAAGCGCAAGTATGGAAGTAGCGAAGTCAAGTATTTATAGGGGACTGATAGTACACCGCCCTGGCATTAACCCGGCAGCCGATTTGAAGTATGTGTGGCCATCAATTGGGAAAACTCCGGGCGAATGACTCGAGCCCCCGACTTTCTGACTGACATTACAATGGAAGAACTCATGATGAGTCCCTCAAGCTTCTCAAGCTTGTATGTAAAAGCTCAAGGTGGTGTTTATTCCAGGCAATCTATTCTAGCGCTATCATTGAAGGGTGTGGTGGTTCTCGTAGTAGTCAATGGCGTTTTGTCGGATCCACTTATGTGGAGTACAGTGATAAGAGTACTGATCTCGATTTAGTGAAGAGGACTTTCGAAAATCAAGATCAGCAATAGATGTATAAAGTAAACTTGATGTCAGACTTCAATTGAAAAAGAGAGAGCGGAAGAACAAACAGGACCCTCAGTTTCCCCGCAAAGTTATGCCAGCAGTGACGTCACACTTGGACATCGGTCTCGTACAATCTCGTACACTCCTGTATGTTGTAGGTATTCCCCCTAATTCGCCTCCATACGGGAAAAGACTGAGAAGAACCTGATTAAAAATACAGTAAGAAAATTTGTTGAACACAGCAAAAAAATAAAGCAACGAATTCTCGCCCCTCAGGCAACAGCATCGAGCCCAGGCAGTGCATAGCTCCCTTCTCTAGGCAAAATCTACAAAAGCGTCGAACAAAAGCACACGAAGAATCCAACAAGCAAAGGCCAAAGCAATTACACCTCACACTTCAATGCCAGTCTGAAGATCGCCTCAGTTGTAGTTTAGTCGCTTTCTTCGTCTCGTGTTGCTTCTTAGCCTCCGCAGCAATGGTGTCCTGCCACCCTAAAAGCCCTCTCTGTTCAGGTATGTCGACAAATCTTAACTTTGGCCCCCCACTGCACAGCATAGTAATGCCAATTGTCATCTTGTCAAGCCCGATCCATGGAGTGAGCCACCTTTGCTTTATGTAGAAGCACCACCTATCGTAAGCCTAGAGCCGCGTCAGGTCCCCACCTACCTTCACAATAGTCCTGACTCTCTCCAATAGGGAGTTTGGGTAAGATTGCATTGTAGCATTAGTTTCGACACCGGTGCACTTCTTGTTCGGATACCAACTGAGCAGCTCGTGGAGGTTATTCGTAATAACAACGACATCTTTCATAGCTGTGCAGCCGCCTAAGGTGGAGGCGGGCGGTACCTGAAATAAGCAGGAATGAAAATGTTCTTTTTAAAAGCAGGTCTCTTCACGTAGTGTAACAATGGGGTGGTACACTAAGTGCCATACCTTATGGATCGCATCGCCTGCCATTATAGTACGCCCAAAGCACCAGTGGTCCAAAACTCCTTCTTCGAGAGACATCATCTGCGCTTTGGTGCGAGTCCGCCACATTTCACTGAGTAACACTGGTCTATAGATGGGATAATATGACAGTTTCTCTGCCAGTGCCGCCATGTCTTCCTCTGTGAACCGAGCCCGGTTGGGCCATGCACATTACTGGTCCTTGGGGGGTTTGCAGTGCACGACGAATGAAACAAAGATCGGCTGGCACAGAAGTAAGAAGGGGAACCGGTCGTTTGAGATGGAATGCATGTCCTGTGGGCCCAATCCGGGGATAGGCGGACACTGCGCGACAATAGCGTTGTAGGTGGCTACCATAGCTAGAAGATCAACCGGTAACTTTCAGAATTAACATAGCTTTCGAGAGCACAGGAGAGGGATCCAGTATATTGTCTCTCTGTAGAAAAAATATAATGGGGGATTGCATTATTGGCATTTTTCCACATGATCTCGCGCACTTGGTGAATCCGTTATGCCTCGAATGTTACTCTTTGATATCAAGTTTGTCGTCGCTTGTAGCAATCCCTGGCTTCTGATAGAGAGTCCGATAGATGAATCAGTCTCTCTTCGCCATGCTCTGGCAGTTCGTCGGAGCCACTATTGTACAGCCTCAATATCTCTTTTTGGTGATTCACTATGGTCAGCATCCACGGCATCCAACACTTCCCCAAAACGAAGCCATGGCAATATTTGCTACGACTATCGCGATACTACTCTGTCCGCTCATACTATGTGCTCCATCATGGCTGCAAGCGAGCGAGTGGCCACCTCATGGGGGCAACGTTGGATTGGAGCTCGCGTTATCTTGTATCAATGGGGAAATGTCTGCGATAGAAAAGACTGACTTGATACTTCTCCTCCCCGGCGTTATAGTACTAGGGCCTGGAGGGGCGGGGTCGTTCGGATTGGCGGTTCGTGAGTCGAGGTTGAGACAACAATTCAACAGGGCCAGGAAACTATACTGATAGAGAGCACTCACCACCCGGGGGACGATTTTTGACCGAACTCGGCTCGATCGCCATGATTTTTGCTCTCGGCAATTTCTCCAGAGATATTTGAGATAGGGATAAGTCTAAGAAAGTCACTATGATACCTTGCAGAATGTGCCGATTTTCATCTCTCTTATTCAATTGTGTCCCTGTCGCTTGTGGGGGTATATAATCAGTACCCACAGCTATGAAACTCTCCATATCCGAATCAGAAAAAAATCTTGAACCCCGTACTTTGAAAATAAAAGTCTTTGAGAAGCATCAAACCCATTTTCACCTCGCCACCGCACTGTAGCTCCGAGGTCGGTAGTTACTGTGGGGAAAAGGACGTTATCGGGAATCCCCGCGGAATTTCCCATGGGGGCCAAATAATTTGAACCCGCAACAAATTTTGCTTCTTTGACTCAATTCAGTTTCAACTCAAATTTCACAAAATGTCCAAGCCAACACGTACTGCTGTCAGCACCAAGGGTGCACCCGCCCCGCCCCCAATCCTTTCACAGGGTCTGGTCGTCGGCAACGTCGTCTACTGCTCTGGCCAGTTGGGAGTAGACCCGGTCACGGGTGAAATGGTGGAGGGAACTATCCAGGACCGAACAGTATGAGAGACGCCCTATCTGATGTATCTATTTTCTGACATATTCAACAGCGACAAATCCTACGCAACCTCAACGCCGTCCTAGAGGCTGGAGGGTCGAGCCTCCAGGACGCAATCAAGGTCAACATCTTCCTTACCGACATGGCCGATTTCTCGGCAGTGAACGAAGTCTACGCTACTTTCTTCTCGGATCCTAAGCCGGTACGTATTCTCTGATCGGAAAAAAAATAATGAGAGAGAAGGACATACAAAATCCGTAGAGACCATCGTCTGGAATACGCCCGTCTTGCTTTCTGAAAAATGAACCGTTTCTAACTATCAGGTCCCTTCTAGGTCCGTACTTGTATTGCCGTCAAATCCCTCCCGAAGGGATCGGATGTCGAAATCGAGTGTTCTGGCCTGGTTACAAAGCCCAGCAATGGACGCAGTTCTAGACTTTAAGACTGGAATGACGATGACGTGGAGCATCAGACAGACAACTCCACCTGACAGGGTTGGCTCAAAATTCTGATGGCAAAAGAATCACAGTGGGAAGTAGGTCACATGATCTGTGTATAATTTACAGCCGAATTGGAAAGATTACGACATGCCTGATATTGACCACTTGTAACTTTTGTAACTTTTGTTCTGCATCTTTCAATAAGTACAAGCTAAAACCAAGGACGAAGAGTGGAGACTGGAGCTGTGGTGCTCAGGAACAGGGTTAGCGTACACACTCGCCCATGGTACAGCTGATGAGCCCCTGGAAGTATATTGTATAAAAAGGCTTTAAATACCAGGAACATCGCTGGGTATTGTTCATGTCTTCAGGAAAGAGAGCTAAAATTCAAATTAACCTGGGATAGCCCAAACAGAGGGAATGTGGCTGAGTCAATTATAATCAAACCCGTGGTCCACTTATAGCTCTCGCATAAGCTTTGTATGCTTGATTCTTGGTTCCTGCATTTCTGAAGGCTTTTCGATCTCGAGGTTTCATGCAGCATGCAGCCACAAGCCCTTGCACAAATCTAGAGACAAGAATTTGGAAGAAGAGGAGACAAAAAATGAGAAAAAAAAAAAAAAAACCGGCGAAGATAAGACTGGAATTTCTCGGCTTGATTGTTCTCACACCATTTGGCATTGGTTGGCATAATCTCAAACACACTAGGAATGCTGAACATCTGAAAATGACGACAGGAATGAGGGGAAATCGTAGCTGCCAGTTCCTCCATTCCGATCGGGGGCACGTGGTGTATCATATCATGTTTTGAAAATTCAAAGCTCAATCAGCTTCCAATTTACGCTCTGTGGAATATTCCCTGTGAACTATGAGCAGGTGTTCGTGTCGGTTGATTGTATTAACCTATTATTCCGGGGACAGAACCTAAAGCTTAGAGTGTGAGACAGTCTTATTATTTGCCGGATTTAGAAGACCCAATTTAAGGCAGGGCTTATTCCCCCCCTACTTCCATATCGGATTGAACTAATGCTGTCCCACAGTATATGACTCCCCAAGGGAGATAGTTACATCTGTCTCACGAGACTACAAAATTCAAGAGTCAACTTGTTCCACAGAACGCCAACTCTCTTACCGAGCGAACTCTCAACAGCGGCTAGTCAGCACACCGTTGATTTGATCTCTTTGTCAGAAGTTATACATAGAAAAGTCGCTTGCACAGAGTATGCTTTTTCCGCCTTTTTCCGCCGTCTTGAATAGACTGGAACAGGGAAAACTATTTTAAAGATATCTAACAAAAAATGGGAAGCCCACTGAGAAGGCTATTGGAAAGACTGCTGAAAAGACCACTAAAAAAGACCACTAAAAAGCCCTGTAAGAAAGAGGTCAAAAGGCCGCAGAAGCGGCCGTCTACACTTGTTGATCATAAACCAGAAAGAGCTAAGTGCGCAAGACTGGCAGCCGGTCCCAAGCCACTAACGATAATTATGGTAATGTGAGCCGGGTGCCTGGCAAAAAAAAACCCGTAGACGGAAAGAAGACAAGGGCCGTAATTGGGACCACGCACTTTGGGAGTTAACAGCACGTCCAGGAACGCGTGTGGGAAGGACCCACTTAGTCTGACGCCTCCGGGCCACACCAAACCTGACTGGGAATCGTCTACTCCGCCCACATTGACTTGCGCGTTTTTCTTTTGCCCTATCTTTCTCTTTTTATATTATGATGCGCGGCTTAGGTGGGTTTAGCTCAGACTCCATTCTGGCCTTCGATAGTCTCCGAGCTAATGGGGCTATTGATCGGCTTAAATGAAAAACGCTTTTTCAGACCCTCGGACTTTTTTGGTTATTTTTGGCCGGGGGTAAAGTAAGTGCCATTGTGTGTTACTCCGTACTTTGTTCGAAATTAGGACAGAACTTTATATGTAAATGTAGTAATCCACACTCCGTTTCTGACATTAGTTATAACATCTATGTACAATATAGGCGATAGATTAACTCAACTCAGATCTGAAATTGATTTACAATCGCATCGCGCTCGTTGGCCGTCGATCGTGATTTCGCCAAAGCCAAACTAGATTATAGATATCATTGTCCTCTAGATGGTGTAAGGGAAATCAAACTCAAATATGGTCCAAGTACCCATCCAGTAGTCTCTATACTATATATGTCGAAGAGGGTTCCATTCAAGCGTACTGGTACTCCCATCGTCGACCTATAGGGAATAGGTTCATTCTTTCTGCGATGGACATCTATCAGCATGGCGTGACCCATCATTGCTGCTATATGCAGAATACATAGTCCTCCGTGCTTACCGGCCAAAGTGTCTAATGACCTTGGCTTGGCGGTCTCGTGCAGGTTAATATTTAGGACATACGGAGTACATAGCTCAGCTATGTTGTATATGGTCCCAGATGAGGGCCTCACGATTGACGTGGCCGGTTGCTATAGGTATCATGGTACGGCAGAAAATTTTGATCAGATCAGGATATACATGTATCATTTGAACATACAACATCATAGGATTGGGATCGATTCAAGTAACTTTGTACCGAGTACTCCGTACTCCGTACATGCACATGAACGGTAAACGCTCAGGGGCAAGTGCGTGGCCACATCCCAAGCACCTGCCAGACGCTCAGACCAGCTCATCAAATACATTGAATTTCGGTAAATTACTGTAAATTACCCTTGTTGACGCTGTCACAACGTGTCCCGCCCCCCATTCCTTCCCCCCTGATGATGAAGTGATCCTCCTCTTCGTCTCTGATCCTTCGACCTCATTCACTCATTTGTCCTTTCTTTCTCTCCCTTGTCTGTTTTTACTGTCTTCACCTGTTGACTTTCAACAGCGTTTTTGACCTGGGCCAATTTCCCCTTGCATCGGTCGCCCGCGTTGCCTGTTTTCCCTTTCTTTGATCTTGTTGCCCGGACGGTTCTACAGAAAGTCATCCTTCGCTCCTTACAGCTTTTCTAAGCCCACACTCGTTTTTCACCTCTTGGGGATCGTTTCAGATTGATTCAAATCCCCTTTCCATTCGTTTTTATCGTCGAATTATTGTTTGCGCCCATTCGATCTGTCTCATCGGTTGCCATCGAGACGTTGAATACAATAAGCTTGCAATTGTCAATTTATTACCACTGTCCGAAGTCTGGTTGTGTTTGAAACTCGAATATTCCAGGCGATCTACTTCTCGTTACACCCCCTGATTGTTCATGAGGTGTTAACAGACGGTGGCTATCACATTTTTGTACACTGACCTTGGACTCACTCTGGGCCATCACGTACAGAGTTGTCCAACATGCGTCCCGACGCCATCTCCGTTCTGGCAGCTTTCCTCGCTGTTGGCGGTATCCAGCTCGTCGCAGCCCAAGATCTCCCCGAAGCGCACGCTCAGCGGCCGCGCTGGTACTTCCCGCAGGAAGTCAAGCGAACGATTCGCAGAAATGCTGAGCCCGACCCTAGCTCCCTCGACGGCCTTTTCGACAATCTGAAACCTATCCAGCTTTCTTCCGCGGCTACTACTACCGCCCCGGAAAGCTCTGCCGCTCAGCCCCAGAAGGGACAGGCAGTCGTTGTTGTAACCATCTCGGTCGATCCCAAGAACCCCGAGATCACCCACCGTATTACGGGTACTTCAATCATCGGCGGTGAACCGACTGGTACCACCACCACGACTACCCAGCAGACAGGAGGTTCGAGCACAGAGGCTACCAGTAAGAAGAGCTCCGAAGCCGCATCTGCTGATGCGGAAACCACACGAAACCAGGGGTCGGTGGTCGACTCATCCGTCAAGGCTTCGACTACGCCTGTTTCGACCAAAGCCTCTACCAACGGTCTCGTTGGTGATTTGACATCGGGTTTGGGTAACCTGCTCGGAGGCGATACCACATCCTCGACTGCGACCACCACATCCTCGACTGCGACCACCACCTCGGACTCGTCGGCCAAGATAACTTCGGCCGCGTCCTCTTCATCTGCTGCGCCCTCCAGCGAGGGTCTCCTTGGTGACCTGAGCTCGAAATTAGGCGGTCTTGTCGGCGAATCAACAACCAACAGCTCCGCCTCTGCGACATCCACTGTCCCCTCTAGCGCCAACAAGATCAGCAGCGCATCCTCGAGTGCAGTCTCGAGCACATCAAGCTCGGGGTCGGATCTCCTCGACCTTTTGGGCCTAGGTGACAAGTCTTCCACCAGCAAGAGCACAAATACTACCTTATCTTTGGGCACTTCTAGTTTGCCTACCATCCCAGTCAGCGTGCCTGCTTCTACTACCAACCCGCCGTCGACCACTCACACTGCAACTGCAACTGCAACTTCTGGTGATCTCGTCGGCAGTCTTATCTCGAGCGTGGATTCCCTGATTAGTGTTACATCTACTAGCACTGGTAGCACTGCTTTGATTTCTAGTGCGTCTAAGCCGAGTACTCTTCTGCCGCCCAAGTCGACTGGTCTCATTTCTGGCCCGGCAGGTACCAACACCGGTGTCATCCCCACCCCAACCAGTACACTTGGATCGGTCCCCGTCCCGCACTCGCACAGCTCAGAGTCTACATCTACATCTGGATCCGAGACTGTCTCTGGATCTACCGCCACCTCGGTCCCTTTGTTAGGCACTACTACGACCTCTGTTTCCGGAAGTGCATCTTATGAGGGCTCCAAGGTTCCCACGTCCACCTCTCACCCAGCATTTACCTCTCACCCCTTGTCAACTTCGACGACTTCGACAACAACCTCGAGCAAAGAGGTGAGCACGACCAAGCCCACTGTGGAGTCTCAAACCCCGACTGAGACGCTGGCGCCCCCCACCTCCAATGTCAACGACTGGATGCCATCGACCATCCTTATCGTGCCTACCGTGACGGCCACCCAGAGCTCGACCTCTGGCGAGACAGCGAAGCCAACGGCACCATCACTCCCCGGTTCTATCACACCATCGCACGAGGTGACCGAGCCCCCGTCTGACTCTATCTTGCTCCAGCTTGGTTTCAACAGCCAGCTGCCCTGGTCATTTGTTGCAACCACTCCCTTGTCATCATCGCAGATCTTCAACTACACCCCCCAGGCTATTGAAAACGCTTTGCCAGCCCTCTCTGCTAAGGACGGCCCAGTTATGTTTGCTATTGAGCCTTACTACAACTGGAAGTCCACTGGCTACAACGCCACCATTGCTATCTTCTATTTCCCTCGAGATAAGGTTGACGCCCTGCAAGCACTCAAGGTCAACCCCAACTCTGCTCTATACAAACAGAATAGCGAATCCATCAAGTCATTGATGGCAATGGTTGATCCCACAATTCCCCTCGAGTTCTCCGGAAACTACCCCAATGGCAACAGCGACTCGACTGGCGGCAACACCCAGGGCGGCAGTGATGATGGCCCGGACAGTGGCAACAACAACAACAACACTGATGGTTCTGCCGGCAGCTCCAAGGCTAAGGCTAGCTCTGTCGGCATCGGAGTCGGTGTTGTAGCCGGTGCTGCGGCTTACGGTGCGGGTATGTTCTGGGTTGCCCGTCGCTACCGCAAGAGAAAGCAGCTGCACCAGCGCTCTAGCTCGACCGTTGAGCAGATGAGTCAGGGGGGTTCCGCCGCTGGCTCGATGTTCGCTGCCGGTGGCCGTGTCCCTAGCCATGGTAGCCGTGGAACTGCTCGCTCGCAGATGATCAGCGCTCCCGTTATGGCGGAGAATTCTTTGGGATGGAATTAAGCACGCTTTTGACAATGCGACGTATAAACCACTCCTTCCATCGCCCTCCCCCTCCCCTCCTTTTGGACCCTATGACAACAATCAGAGGGCATTGGGTTTTCGAGGACCATGAATCCTTCTGAGATAACTGCTCCTTTCAATGCGCTCATGCTCTCCCCACTCTCCGTCAGGGGTAGGGACAGAGAGACTGCACAAAACTTCATTTTCATTGTCCATCATCCATCAAGGATTTACATGTCACATATCACGCATCTCTTCGTTTTTTGTGCAATTTTTGACCGGCCACTTTTCTTCTCAACATGATACTCCGAGCGACGGTCCAACGTCACTGCGTGTGTCGCGTTATCTTTTTTTTTTTCTTTCTTGACATATTCCCCCTTTTGTTCACCAAATACTTTTTTTACCCCTTTACTTCTTTCAATGGTATTGGGACAACCAAATTTGGGACGAAATCTTTTCTCTAATTTTGGCTCCCACTCGAAAGCTCTCTCTTATGAACTATTGGTCATTTAGTCTTTGGACTTGCACATTAATATTGGATTTGGGTGGCATCTTTTTGACAGAGCCGATGGCTCTTTCCCCTGCCCTTATTTCATTCCTCTCCGTCTCTCCCTTTCGATGTTGTATCAATTGTGCTATTCTTGCTTTCGCGTCTCTGTTTCTGTACAGATGTATGATGTATGTCCAAGTGCCACTTGGCCTTGTAGATGTGGACGGGAGCCTGTGAATGAAATGAGTAGATCTCCTTTCTTTTCAAATATGTCAGATGAATGTAAATTGTAATGTATGTATGCTTGTTGAGAAGGATATGGTTAGATTCCGAGCAAGGCGCTATCTATGAAGCCAGTCAGCTATGTCGATCTAACACCGTGGCTGTTACTGTTATAGACCTCCGCAAAGCCCACAAAGTCCAAATCCCACTGGGCTCTGAATGGGGGCCTATTAGAGTCCAATAAACACCAAACAATATAAGCGTTCTAAGAAACGTGACTTTCTTTACCTTATGTTTAGACCCCGTTTCTCGCCTTTATTTTCAGGGAATATTTCACTATCTTAACTGACATAGTATTACTGTCTATTAAACTTATATGCTACTTTTAAACACTCGAAAGAAACGCGTTATTTAGGTAGCTTTCAAGTCAGAGAGGGTCACTTAAAAACGATAGTACGCCCCTTGAGGTCTTCCATATATATCTGATATCGAAATATATGTTGTCATTTTTTTTGGACCTCCACTAGTCGTATTTAATTCCAAGTCAAAGTGTATACTTATATAGCTAGTATAATGATTTATTCTAAGTTCTACACGATTAGTAGAAAGGTCAGAGTACAGCGATTTCAAGATGCTAGTTGGATGGTGGACCCCCCCCAGATAGGCTATAATGGGGGCCTTGCGGGCCCCCACAAATGGGCTGTAGGTTGGGCTTGGCGGGAGTGTTACATCGCATTACATTCTGTGGGTTCGGTGAGAGTTTACAGATTCGTATAACTACATTCATCGAGCCCTAAGTTAATAAACAACATAATCTTTGTCAGAGAATCGGAGTTATACAAAGATAAACGACACACTCTTCTGCTTAATTGCCAAAAGTGCCAACTTGTCCAAATCAGAGTCAGAGAGCCCTTGATCATCCGGCCTCCGTGCCCTAATAACCAGGTTTTGCCCATAATGGTGCTCAAATTCAACTTGGGTATCCCAATCGAAGAGTGGTGAGCTCTCACGGAAGTAATATGGCTGGTCTTTCTTCGTAATGAGGTCAAATTTCTGCCGATGCACGGATTGGTGAGCTGTTATGAATTCCCCAGAAGTTGTTACTGCGACACTACAGTGCCAAGGACTCATGGAAAATGAGTTCTGCTGCGGAATAAGGGGAAAGGACAGCTTCGTCTGCCCCGACGAGGGATGGATGGAGAGACGGAGCGAGTCAGGATAAATTTGACGTACTAGCTCCGCGTACTCCTACAATCCATGAAGTTAGACTTGCCATCTTATATAGCTCTCAAGATGACCTACCACCCCGCGTACAATCATCGCCTTTGCAATGATCTTGATCCTCTTCTTATATTGTTTGGGGCCAGCACAGTCCTTAGTCACTGGGCTGAATTTTAGATCGACTTTCATGAACTTGTCGTATCCTGCATTGAATTAGCCATGAAACATTGGCTGGATTCTAAAACCTTACCACTTACCGTTATAAGTCCTCAGATAATCCTCATCGCCTTTCAAAAACTTATCGACATCAAATCCCGGCCGTCCACACCGTCGATGGAGCTCAGCCCTTGATAACCCACAGAGCTTCACATAATCTGATTTGGAAATATGTGCGCCAGTGTAAAGCCCAAGCATATTCATAATACGATGGAATTGGATACAAGCATATCCCTTCTCGACAGCGATCTTCCGTAGTCGATTCCCATACTCCCATACTTCCTCATCAGAGATTCCCGTAAGATCTAGGATTCAGGAATCAAATCAGCATCAGATCTTGTATATGGCACCCAAATAGAATAGGAGAGCGTCATCTCACCATTATAGCAGATCCCATCTGTAACAATAACCACAACTGCACCAGGCGGGTAAACAGCCTTGATATCCCGACAAAGATTCACCAACCGTGCCAACCCAAGCTCATCCCCCAAGTCCGGAAGTGCACCTAAAACTTTGTCCATGCGGTTATTACTCTTCATCGGAAAAGCAGGTAAAACCATAGGAATTGCCCTGTTGGCTGCGATATGTGTCTGCACGCGTGGCGTGAACGATGACCGGCCAAGCCATTCACCGGCCGCAGTTGTGCGCTCGTGGGAGCCATAGCGCTCCACGACATTCATTATTTTCTCTGCCTTTGAACGGATTAATGTGGCACATATTGTAGGTGCGCTAGGATGAGTCTCGGTGGTGACATCGGGATTTTGGGGCACTAGGTGTGGGTTTGATAGGAAGGATACTTGGGTGCTTGGGGTGGAGGTGATGCAGTTCAAAGAGATGTCTAGGTGGGCCGAGACTTGAACAACCGTCGGTGCTAGCATTTTGATATACTAGTTCATAATAGACTGGAGTGGGGAGGTTGGGATTGCAGACAGGGATTGGGAAGGGGTAAACTCGGTATTCGAAGGCACTCGTGATTTATAGGGGTGGTACCCTTAAGTTTTGTATTGGAATTAGGTGGCCAGCTATCGCCACCTTCCTCTTGGTTTCTTATGCTCTTCGTATGCTAAGAGGTATCCGGTGTTCAGCCCTCTCATGTGTTGTCCCGTTCCTTGCCATTTTTGTACTTCTAGTAACTGCTGTTCGGTGAATTCTTGAATGGAAGATGTACTGTTGCACAGACAGATAGAATGATATTGATCCATGTTTGGCTATATTGTGCTAAACCCAGTGCATTACCGGGATATAAATCTTTTCATGTGTCCAGATCAGACATTTGACTGAAGATCCTCGGAGAGCAATATAGATACTGTGAGTGGATACACCGTATCGCAAACTTGGTACTATATGTGACCAGTCAATGCCCTCGCGACTGTACTATTTTAGAAAGTATGGCTGTTGAAACTGACTGTTCATGCATGATTTGGCACATGCCGTTTCCCAATTAGGCCAGATGTCGGGATATCTTACACGAGAGGTCGGGATAGCAGGGACCCAATAAATGTCTCAGGCAAAAGCTTCCCGGGGATAAATGTAACATGACAACGTGATATCTCACGATTTCGACGGCTGAAGGCTGATACATCATGAGAAGTCAAAAGGGTATCGCTTCATAGCCTGACTATATTCTTACCAAGACCGGGGGATATTCCGTTAACCAAACCTCCGTCATATTCCATCAGGTCAGAACCGTTTAGCCAGTTGGAACTCTGCTTCCCTCTTTTCCTTTCTTTCCCTGTCCACTCCGCTAGATAGTGAATTCAACGCACGCGCTCTACCCATCGAGACCTCTCACTATGTAGCACTAGAACTTCGCATCTAATATTGCCTCCGAAGCCTTATTCTAGATAATTGAGCCCATTCGTGGGATTTGTAACTCCCGCGAGGAAACTCCATTCACAAGAAGTAAGAAGCTTCCTTTTCTCGTTCCCAGCGATACTCCATTCGCTTCGCAGTTTCCATCCCGACTTCGATACCACCATAATGCGCTGAAATAAACTCCAGCATCACATCAATACCTGCAGTGATTCCAGCAGACGACCATATCTCAATCCCAGGTAGCAACGACAGGCCGTCAGGCACCACATCCATGGGAACACTGTCACGCAGCCACCGTCGGTTGCGCTGCCACTTCACATCGTTTGTTTGTTTAGTGACATCATCGTAGCGGGCTGAATTTGTTGTTACCTGGCGTCCATCTAGAAGCCTAGTCTGCGAAAGAACATGGCTACCGGTGCAAATAGTAATGATGCTGTGGCGGACATAGGGTGCAACAGCAATTAGAAATTCCTGAACCTCCTGCGTGTTGGAGACTTTGGCTTCATTGAGTGTATTACTGTTGTAAATACGGTTTAGACGTGTCCCCGGGCCACCTGGGATGATCAATACATCGATAGGTTTGATTTTACCACTTCCATCGTCGGTAACTTTCCCTGCTTTTAGAGAAGTTATCACCTCAGCGAAGGTACATTGTGGCAACATTTGCTGGTTGCAAGCGGTATTGGTGCTTGACGGGAGATCAAACCGCCATTCTGCCTTGGAAGGTGGAATCGGTTTCACTGAGACTGGGTCGAGAGTTGCCGCTGATACAGTCAGGGTGATTCTCGATGTGTCAGGATACTGCGTGCGAATGTTGAGAATGTCCAGTGGAGCCGCCACATCCAGTAATTGAAATCCTGGGAACAATGGAAGGTGGTAATGGAGAGGTCTGAGGGGCATCTTGTGTAATGCTCCGTTGGAGAACCCCCGTGAGAAGATGAGTTGGAGAAAATATGGTAAGGGGGTCATTTTTGAAACAGAGAGAGTCATGCTATTTGTTGATTCAGATGAACTATTCCAAGGTCAGTTGATATGACTAAAAAAAGGAGAATGTATATATAAGTTTATGTGAGGATGACGGCAATATTAATGCAACACGCAAAACCAGTATCGTATGTACAGTATATGTTATGCGTTAAGGGTGATGCCTGATTTAGGCTTAATACGCATCTCTGGAGTAGGACAAGTAGATACACAACAGAAATCTCTATTAAGGATATGTTTATGTACAATCATCTCAAGCCCCCGAAAAGTGAGACCAGACTACAAACAAAGCTCCAGTCAAGATGCAAATACCCCCGAACAGTTGCGCGTACAGGTAGTCACCGCCTCGTAACGCGATCAGCTGTCCTGCTATGTAAGGTCCAGTCAGGAGTGGAATGCTATTGATTGTGGTGATCATTCCAACACGTGTACCGGATTTTTCTGGGTCTTTGGATCCGAAGTACGCATTGGCAGCCGGTAACTGACTTTGCGCACAATTTACCAGTAACCCATATACTGTGGCCCAGATGAACATCCCAACGTGGGTGTGTACACCAATCCACCCTAAAATGGCGATGCCGCAAGGGATTGAGACTGCAATGCAAGTCCTTACTGCGCCCAGCCACCGGTCCGCCACGAATGCGGATGCGATGCGGGATGGAACACCAACACCGTTCATCAGGATGAGGAGGAGAAGGGAATCGGATGCGGTAAATCCTGTGTGAGCTTGGGCATATTGTCTAAGCTGTAGATCATGTCAATTGTGTCGCTCAGGCAAGGTGAACTCAAGCAAAACTTACATAGATGTACGCAAAGTAAATACCCTCGAAGATCAGGAATGAGCCGATCGAGAACAGGAGGTAAGGGCGTTCGCGGAATGCGCTGAAATCAACCCAGGGAGGCGGCCTCCGAGGTATAATCCGAGATCTGGTAAACTTGACAATGATAACGCCGTTGAACAGAATAATGGCCGCCATGATCCGGACAGTCCATGCGAAGCCGATATTGTTGAAACACTTATAAGCCACCACTGGGAAAACCATGCCCCCAGTTGCTGCTCCACAAGAAGCCAGCGAGACGGCCATTACTCGCTTGGAGTTAAAGTATGTCGCATAGAGCGAGATCATGGGGCTGAAGACGAGCCCGTGGCCAATTCCACTGACGATGCCTTGCGCTAGCCAGAAATGCCATAGTTTTGTGCCGAATGAGGTCGCCAATGCTCCAGCAACTTGCAAGAGACATCCAATGGCAATACATAGTCTCAGATATCCCGCGTCCATTGCCCGGCCTGAGAAAGTGGCCAGGAAATGGACAAGAAACATTTGCACTGCTCCGATCCAAGACGCATTCGCCGGGCTGACATTGAGAGCCTTGACGTAGTATTCCTGGAAAAATCCATACCTATATTGCATTAATGAGTAAGATTCACATATGTGACGGCGCTCCCTTACGATGTGATATAGCCCCATACATTGAAGACAACCAGATGTCCAGTCAGAACCTGGGTCCAGGCCACGAGACCTCCATCGGGGATCTCATTATTCTCCGCTTTGCGATCTTCGTCTTGTTGATGAGGATCTGGGGGAACAAATAATGGAGATTCTTCGGTGAGAGTAGCATAGGTGGTGGCCGATGTGGTGTAGGACGAACCGGCGGCAGTCGAGCATGCTCCAGTCCCATTGCTCTGGGATATGTTTGGTTGGCCCATGTTGTCCGGGGAGGCTTGAAAAGAGCAAAAAGAAAATGTGCCTTCCCAGACTCGGGAAATAAAGTGGAAAGCGGGCAGTATGTATAGGAGAGTTGGATTCTCAAATGTGACTTAAGTGCTACATTATGGAGGCGATGCACCCTTCCCTGCAGAAAGCTTGCAGATACGTTCCGGGCGGAGAGGGGGTTACTTTTACAGAGTATTAGATTGTGCAAGTAAGTTAATTAATTACGATAAAATTATATGCTGCTGCATTCGGATATTCAATGCTGATCTTGACGCGGAGGAATAACAATAACATCCCAACACATAGTCCCATTTTGCTCCACGTATTCTGGAATTCCTTTACATACTATTTACAATGACATTTGAATACGCCCCAGATGATGTGCCTCAGAAGATTATCGAGGTGTTAAAGCGGTTCTGCTTACATTCAAGCAAAGATGGCCATCAGAACGACGTCGGAAGGGTGTTTGAATCAGTGCCTGAGAAATTGAAGATCGATATTATGGCAAACCAGCAGATAACCATGGTCTTACCTGCATTCCCGTGGAAGAGCCCGAATCAGGACAAAGTCCTAGGAGACGGGGCTGATCTAGGAGAGGAAATGGGTCTGGCGAGGTTGAATCACCTGTGCGAGGAGATCTCAAAGGTCTACCCTTACGGCACGCGACTTATCCTCATATGTGATGGACCAGTGTATAACGGTGTGTCATTCTTGATTTCCAGGTATATAATTCCCAAAATTGGGACCAAGAGACTGACAGTGTAGATTTGGTTGGCGTTCCCGACGACGAATATTACGACTACGGCATTGAGCTACGCAAATTCGCCCAAAAGAAACAGTTCTCTTCTATCCAGTTTATCCGATTGATAAACTTGTTGGGATTAGGAGATGGCGAAAAAATCACCAAGGCAGATTATCTGCGTCTCGTCCCCACCTGCAGGGAGAAACTGATGTCACCCACGTACTTTGACCCGACATTTGATATTGAAAACGAGTTGAAGACAAATCCAGATACCAAGACAACATATGAGAGCTATTTCAGTCGCATCTCAGAGGATCTAAAATGGGCCAAAGGGTTTGACCCTATTGTCGCGGCCGACCCGGCGCTCTACACAGCTGAGGTGTCCAAAGTGGCGAAAACCATGATCAACAGGCTCATCGTAAGTTTCAATGCCATGCTATACTGGATCGTTTTATTTTTTAAGGAGTCTAGCTCACTGGCTCACTGTCTTCACAGGCATATGAAGCCGTCATTAATGCCACACTCGGAAAATACATCCGTCTGTCGATTCACCCTTCATTGGGGCGAAACAAGATCTCTATTCCCCTGCTGCGACAAGGTGACCTGTTTGGTGATATGCCATGGCATGCAAGTGTAGTGGTACTGTCGAATGGGGAGATTCAAACCGGAAACTCGCGAGAATTTCGCAAACTGTACGAGGTCGTGGTGAGGCATGGCCGGCCTTATTACTTCAGAGAGCGGAGCCCAATGTATGAATGGGAGGCAGAGGTGGAGTTTCAGCATGACTACGATGGGTTGATCGTGAAGAACCCTTTTCAGAGAGCCCAGATGCTTGGTAAGGATGATCGCTTGAAGCTGGCTCGCTTGATTGTGCAATATCAGACCAAGTCGGTTCGGGTGGAGGGCTTTGAAGTATCGAATGACGTGTAACTATAATTTTAACTCACTGATAGCATATGCTAGTGGAAAAGAGAATACAACAGAGGTAGTTTACACGGACAGTAAGGCATAATCAGAGAGCAAACAGCCCTGGGGGAACTTTGGGAGCTTCCGATACCTTCCATATTTAAGGTGATGGGTCTACCCCACATTCTTCTATTCAGAACCACGGGTTCTCCCCTCAGACTAACCTGACTCTGTCTAGATCTCAACTCTATTGTTCTCAATGGGATTGGATTGTTCATCTTGCATTGATCATCTCCAAATTTCAAGAGAATCTAGTCGGCTCCGATCTGATCTCGATCTATTCCCAAAGACAGATTTTTCTCGATTGATGATATGGTGTTTGGGCCTAGTATTTCTAGCCCTTCTAGAATTGCAGAGGAAAACATGACATCAAGAAAGTCCCCACTAGCCACATCTCTATGGGGATACAAATCGGACAGGGGCCTTCGGCTACAAAGAGATGGGCAGAAAGACCACATCAAAGCGGATGAAATGAGGCTATGTATCGTGTTCAGAATGGGCGGGTATAGATACATTAGCAATCCCAGTGGATATCAGTAGGAATAAGAGATTAAAGAATGCAAAATGATATGTATAATAAGTGGTGTACAATAAGCGATAGGGGAGATGCGCCCATAAGCAAGAGAGAGAAGCCAAAAAAAAAGTATGCAGGCAAAGTGAGGAATAGAAGTTAGTGTGTCTACCTCATTCCTTCTTCTTCTTATCCGACTCCGATTCAGACTTTCCAAACCAGCTCGTCAGTGACGCAATCCCACCACTGCCAGTCTGGCGACGGAGATCACGCGCTCGCTCCCGCTCAGCCTTGTACTCGTCCCAGGAGATATTTGCCGCAGCAGCAGCACGGACTTCTTCTTCTTCCCGGGGAGGGAGGCTCTTGCCTGGCAGTGGGCGGACGGCTGCTTCGCCGCCGTAAGCACGAAGCCCTGTGCGGAAGACCCACTCAACAGCCTCGTCAACTGGATGATCGAAGATATACGGAAGGAAGGGGACAACTGCGAGACCAAGCTAGAAAAAACGGTTATTAGCATCATATTCGCCAATTTACGCTTTCACCTGAAAGGAAACGGTACATACCCCGACCGGCGTCCATGTACGGATAAATGCAATCTTGACATCCTTCACCATCCTCCCAGAATAGCGGACGACACTGTGGATTGTGAATGCGGGCAATCCCATACTTGCGATACTCTGGAAAACCGCACGCTTAGCCATGACCATACGATAGTCCTCCGCAAGCGGGATTTCGGGAGTCGGCCAGTCTGGTTGCTCATCCTTGGAATCGGCTGAGCTGCCAATCGTCATGTTTCCCGTCACCATGCCCTTGAGAATCTGGTTCTGCGAAGGCTGTGTAGCATCCTTGTATGTCTCGCCTGTAGGAGCTAGTGCGTTCCAGTTCCGGATATAGGCCTTGTAGCCTTCGTGGCCGACATCGCCAAGTAGGTATGACCAGGATATAGCATAGGCAGAGCGCACGAGCCATGGGTGCGCGATCGGACGGAAGGACTCGCCGATGTCTGAGGTGTAGGCGACATAGCGATGGGCAGACAGAAGAATGGTGCGGATACGATTGGCGTATGCAGCATAGCGGAACGGTGTTTCTGTAGAGTTGACCGAGCTGCCATCAATCGAGGTGCTCATAGTTAGTTTCTGTTCTGTCCTTGTGTGTTCGATTCATGTGAGTTTGCGGAGCGGGCCAGTATGTCATCGACTCAAGCCGGGAAGGGCCCGTGGACCCACTCCACGGCCTTCTCCCTTTTTCTCTGAGTACGCGACAACTTTCTGGCTAAATATTATATATATATAAAGGTAAGAGTTTCACATACTATTGGGAGTAGAGGTCCTCATATTCCTCCTCACGATCCACCAGTCGTTGCAATTCTGCAGGGAGCTTCTCTCGGACTACAGGCTTGTCCAACACTTCCTGCGGGGGAGACTGAGGTTCATGTTGGCGGCCCCAGACCATTGCGAAAGTAGTATGGTATGTTCGGTTATGGGGTATGTAGTGGTTTTGAACAAAGCAACGCTTATTCGTGTGCCAAATGACGAGAATGCAAGGCGAAAGGGTCTTATAATATCAAGGATGTAAAAGAGAAAAGCTATGCAAGGGAAGAAACAAGGTAGGATTGAAAGATTCTCACATTTACCGCACACTACCGCCGGAAGACACAGCCATAGCCGGGATATACATTAGCTGTGGGATACTTCCCCCCGAGATTCCCCTCCGAGGTCCCGTTGGTATCTTCCGGATCGGGATCTGAGGTAGCAGTAATATACAGGATAGCTCAGGACTGAGCTCGACATTCATTGCCCGTCATCAAGGGTTTCAATCTGAGATTTTTCCTTCGTCGGATATCAACTGGAATTGCCGATGTCCTTGTGTTGTAATTGACTTCAGATGCCCATGCACCCGTGACGCTCGTTCTGGGGATGTCACATGATATCGGATATAGCCGGGTGGCCGAGCACCCTTACCTAATCATCCACAGTTCCGAAGTCATGTGAATGATCTAACCAAATCAGGAAAGGCGGTATCCGTGCCGACCTCGTCGTTTGGTCCAAGCCTGAGGATTCCGTCCACATCGCTGCCAATTGAACCTCTTGCTATACCTCAATTCCAACCCTAAAAAATGGTTGTCTACTACCAGATCGCCGGCAAGAAGGTCGGCTCCCACGTCGTAAGTTTTCATTCCTCTGGAAATACCACTGCGCGCTCGCCATCCCTTTCTCTTCGCGCTTCTTGCGGGTACTTGTGAAACATGAAAGTTGACCGGGTTCTCTCCACCCCCTCCAGCTCGCCATGGCCACCCTCGGCAGCATGTTCGCCGGCTCTTGGCTCGCCATGTCCGGTGGTGAGAAGCCCAAGACCGCTCAGGGTCCTCCCATCAACGCCTCCTCCAAGGATGAGGAGAACTTCGTCCAGTATGTCCAACACCATCGCGGAGAACAGACAGCCGCCGACCACAAAGTGGATCTTAATGTCAGCCTTTGAGCATCTTACTGACTGTCTATCTTACAGGAACTTCATGAAGGAGGTTGATGGCGGCGAGAAGAAGCCCGCCGCTGGCCATTAAACCACCCCTCGACACAGTTTATATTGATGGAACGGTCGAACATGGGCAGCTAGGAATTGAATTCAAACAAAGTACTTCCGCTCTCGTGCCATTTCTAGCGCGCAACGATGTGTATCCGCCCTTCCGCAGCGCTTTTTGTGACCCACGGTTTTTTTTTCCTCAAGCTACAAGGACCGATTTTGGGATGTCGGCGGATGAGGCTCATTGATCTGTACATAGGAGGCGTGTACGCTGCATAGAAAATTATCCTCTTGACACCGGTTTCTCGGGGCTGTTCTTTTTGGGCAAGATCGATCGCAGAAGAAAGATGAGTGGTACGATTGCTTTGCCGCAATCCCTCGCCGGGTCGCTCGGAGTCTGTGGTCGATAAGAGCCATCTGTCGACTTTTACTCTATCATTTGTACTGCTCTCTGTAGCTCCGTTCGACTTGCTTGTCCAGCTGGTGGGAGCGCTGTAGCCTGAGAGACCATAGAACGAAACAAGATGTAAACGTAAACGGCATAGAACATGCACACACTGAAAATTATGAAAATATTCACGCACGACCTCCATACAAGATGATTGACCTCAAATAAATGAGTTAGGTAATTCAAGTGCTACTACCACTGTGTTCAACCAAAAGAGCTTAACAGCTATTCCGAGGACTCGAACTCTGCCGCAGCCACCCTACCTACCACTTCACCCTCACAGCAACCCTCTGCCCGAACCAACAACCAGAAAATCTGAAATGAAACCCCTCCCCTTTCCATTCCCCTTGAATATTGGCACAGACATTGTCCACATCCCACGAATAGCACGCCTCCTCACCCGACCCAACTACCTCCCACGATTCACGCGCCGCATCCTCTGCAACCAAGAACAACACGAATTCCACACGCGCTTCAGCGAAGTCCTCAAAGCGCGCGCCGCAAACCACCAACAGCCCCCACCCGTGCCAGCAGACATAACACGCTGGCTGGCGGGCCGCTTTGCGGCGAAGGAGGCGGCGCGGAAAGCGGCACCGTCTGGTGCGGCTTCGATTGGCTGGAAGGACGTCATGGTCCGGGTTCAGGAGGATGGGGGAAGGTTTGGCGAGGGTGTAAGTCGGAGACCTGAGATTGTCTACCTTGGAAATGCGCTGGATGGGAATGCGGGCGAGGGAAAGGTTGCGAAGTTATCGATCTCACATGATGGCGAGTATGTTGTTGCTACTGTGTTGGCTTCTGGATGAATTGTTGGGTCCATGAGGCTCTGGTTTGTTGATTGAATCTCATTGCACTTGTTGCAGTTGACCCAGCACCAGACGGCGAGCAGCTACTTGTCTGGTACGAATGCTGTGATGGCTTCAGTGGGGGACTACTGAGGAGCTACGGGGGACCCATCCTCTTCGAGGAAGAGTTAAGAGAAGTTCAAGGCTTTGACATGATCTGCCATCTGGCTCAATGCTTGCATTTGAGAGATACTGATCAAGGTACTTCTACAACTCGTGTTGGCAATGCGCTTCACTCAGGGACATCACCAATTGTCTGATACGCGTACCTCGAACGCTTGTAGTCGGCGGAACTTAGGTAGATGGCATATACCCTAAAAATCCGGAAGTAACATCTCAGGGTATATTGAACGAATCAATCATAAAAAAGAAGAAAAGATCCGAAGTCCACGGACCTGTATAAAACATCGACTATTTACAGTTGCTACTTGTTACCTGCGCTATAAGCGGCCCGGATATTCTTATCGCCCATCAACTTTCGACCTCGGTGACTCCCGGACGTACCTGACATATTCCATATTCTTCAGTATTCTTCAGTAGAAAACGTATGTGAGTGTGAAATCTTTATGCTGCGGGAAAAAAATTGTCGACCCCTATCTCTGTCTTGTAACAGCTTGGCCTTCACTTCGGATATTGTGCTAATCAGTCGCAGTAACACATCCATAAAACATGCCATTCTCGCATCACAGCCATTCGGGCCAATTCTGCCCTGGCCATGCCCAAAACTCCCTGGAGGATATCATCAAAACTGCCATCGACAAGAAGATGCAAGTCTTCTGCCTGACTGAACATATGCCCCGCCATAAAGAAGATTTCTACCCCGAGGAAGTGAGAGTGAGGACGATCCCATTGCAAGACCCTGAATTAACCAATCATCCAGATCGAATATGGCACTACAGAAGAAAGTCATGCAGCAAACGAAGCTGCTTACTGGGAGGAAGCAGTTTCTCTCCGCGAGAAATACGCCTCCCAGATCAAGATCATCATCGGCTTCGAGATTGACTGGATCCGACCCGCCTCCAAAGATTTGATCGAGCGCTCACTGTCACGGTTTCCTTTTGAATTCTTTATCGGCTCGGTTCACCATATGCACACCATTCCGATCGACTATGACCGGCCTATGTATGAGCAGGCCCGAGAGCAAGCCGGCGGAACAGATGAGCGGCTATTTGAGGACTATTTCGATGCACAGCTGGATATGCTGGAGAAACTCAAGCCGCCTGTTGTGGGTCATTTTGATTTGATTCGCCTGAAGAGTGATGACATGGAGCGGAGCTTTACTACCTGGCCTGGTGTCTGGAGTAAGATTTTGCGGAATTTGGATTTTATTGCCTCGTACGGCGGTATGCTGGAGCTCAACTCGGCTGCATTGCGCAAGGGAATGACTGAACCATATCCTAAAGCAGAGATTTGCAAGGTAAGAATGCAATCTTTCGTTGCGTATCCTGCGACTACTAACTTGATGGTTTATAGGAATTTGTGGCGCGTAAGGGTCGCTTCTGTTTATCTGATGACAGTCATGGAGTCGATCAGGTTGCTTTGAACTTCCGCCCTGTTCTTGAGTTCTTGGATCACGCTGGTATTTCAACGCTGCATTATCTACAATTGGGAGCGTCGGTGTCATCTCCTGCGCCCGATGCTCGGTTCCCTACAACACAAGTTGCGGAGGTTTCAGTGGAGGACGTGAGGAAGATGGCATTTTGGTCATAAGTCAATGATCTAGGCTGTGGATCGATGGGATTTTGCCTTTTTACATATATGATATCTCTACTGTCATACACCTAGGTCAACCTCCCCAGGCCAGTGAACGAATGACAATGTCTTAGTCTGATCTCCTATATATCAGCCCATTTACCTAGCACTCACAACTGGATCCCCCCGCTTTTTGCAAATCTTATCCCTATGCGTTGTAGTCCACGCCCTGTTGCTTTGGGGCTTTTTCTAGCCATTACCAGCTGCTCTTGGCAATTTCCTGTTTCCAAAGCAAAAGGGCCCATTTTTCCCGCTTCATAGCCCTCGTATTCTAACAGTTTATTATATATTCAATTAATAGATCATCAAAAGTAATATAAAACTATAGATGTGATAAAGCATAAGGCAGCAAGGCAGCAAGGCAACAAAACCGACATTACGTCGTGTCCCGGAAAAAAAGTGGATAATCTGCCCCTCCCGAGGTCCCGTTCCTGTTTGTTTCTCTTCAACTCTCATATTCATCTATCACATTCAAAATGGGCGTCGAAAAGAAGACTCTGGTCCCCGGCAACGGTGTTGACTTCCCTAAGAAGGGCGAGAACGTTGCCATTCACTACACCGGCTGCTTATATGATGCCGAGAAGCCTGACAACCACTTCATGGGCGCCCAGTAAGCCACTCGATGCAACCTCGATGTGATATCAGGCACTAATACATCCTCCAACAGATTCGACAGCTCTCACAAGCCCGGCCGTGGTCCTCTTGCCACCCCCATTGGTGTTGGTCGTCTCATCCGCGGTTCGTTTCCAATTATTCGAAGTCTAGTGTGAGATAAATAGTTTCATTCAGCTTGCTAACTTGATTTAGGCTGGGACGAGGGTGTTCCCCAGATGTCCCTCGGCGAGAAGGCCATCCTGACCATCAGCTCGTGAGTTGCTGTTTTGAACTTTGCGCTTTGACGCTGCTCGACCGAACTCTGCTAATATTCAATTCTCGACAGTGACTACGGCTATGGCGACCGGTACGTACCAACCAACCAAGCCCAATGCTGAACCAACATATTGTGTTTTCTGCGATATTTCGAATACCTCACCATTCCAACCTGTGCCTTTGATTTGGTTCTTTGTGTGAGATCTGTGCTAATATCAGATCGTTCTAGTGGCTTCCCCGGCTTGATCCCCGCCAACTCTAAGCTTGTCTTGTAAGTAACCAGATTCACTCTTACTATTCCATGCTATGAATCCATGAAGAACAAGTAAGCTAACTGTTCACAGCGAGGTCGAGCTCCTCAAGGTCGGCACCAGGAGCGTTTAAATCAATCGCTCTTCCCGACTTTCCGGCCAGTTTGAAGATACGTACATACCAAACGAGAACAGAATAAGCATTTGGATCATTCCTGGTCGCCCCGTACGGCCGACAGGCTACTTGGATAGCAAAATCAAAGCTCAGTCTCTTTGCAGTCCATTGATTTGACTCGTTACCCAACGAAGAATGTCATATGGACCAGCACATGTCTGCCATTGGTTTCCCTTGTCCCTCCACATACCGTAGACGCTAGCTTAACTTACCTCCTCCGCATCACCGCGCGATGCTATTGATATAATCAATCCCATCGGCACGGTAGGTGTCTGTCTCGATATAACTATCATGCCGAGGTAAGCGGAAAACAAAGTTCGTCGCGCGGGACGAATACTTGGGCCATTTGGCAACATCAGACACTAGAAAACAGTCAGCTTTCCGGCAGTAGGATCAAGCCCCACGCTTGTTCTACTGACCAGCGTGTCCATTGGGGTCCAAGTCCGCCACAAATGACATCCACATCCGCGCCGCCATTTGTCCCAGTTCCAAGCGCGCAGGGTCGACTCCGAGCGGTGTGATAGTCTGCACTGGGTTCGCAAAGACGAAAGGGATCTACATAGCCGGATCCAAGCGTCAGTTTGTCTTGCAGGCTAGAAACTTGGGTGGTATCCACTAGGCGGGTTACCACGTACCTCTGCAAAATGTTGCACTCCAATCGTTGTCGAGCTATTCAACGCCGCCACATCCCATCTGTATGAATATACATTGTCGTGCAACTTGGCCATATGTTGTGCCAACATGCGCCGTGGTCCTACCATGGTCAGATCCCCGGCTATAGATCCATAGCGCTTGTACATGAGCCCCAGCGAGGGCCAGGTGATATTACCCCAGCCATAGGGGCAACCGATGGCGGGGATGTTGGGGTAATAGGATAGCAGCTGGGTAGCTTGCGAACGGTTGAGGACCCAGCGCTTGGATGCTGACATGCTCGCTTAGGACGATGCATAACTAAGCATGGGGTGCAAGGGCACTTACTAGTCAATCCATTAATGCAGTCCTCATCGGTGTTTGTGCCTGTTGTCCCGAAACTGGTGCCTTCGTCGGTATTTGTCCCTATCAAGATAGGTACCCGGGCCAATTTTCCTTGTCTGTAGCTGATCTGAGGATACTGCGCTATGAATGAGCCATCGACAGTAGCAAACCATTCTAGACCCTCGTTCGCAATGCTATAAAACTTTACGTAGGGCAGTTCACGGAGACATTGTAGGGTGTTTGTGGAATTGATGCATCTGGGCATAGCATATCAGATTGTGCTTATAGAAACTTGTTCGGCCTAGACTTACCCAGCTCTCTCGACGATTCGGTTGTACATTGGCTGATGCCATTCAGTTCCATTGTATGGTGGGCCGACAGCGTTTCCAGAATCCATGATTGCTAGTTGTGCTTAGTTCGGTGTTGAAAGATAAATGGATAGATGGAACTATACCAGCTCTAAAAAGACCCTCATTATCGCCATTGTTGGTCACCAGATGGGCTCCGACACTATATGCACCACTGTTTATTCGAGAATAAGCACTTGTGATAAACGGAGAATGTATTTCCAGTGGCTCACGCTGACTCGCCCCAGATAGTGATTTTGCCAGGATCACCACCGAACGCATGAATATTCTTCTTCACCCAGCGCATAGCTGTACGCTGGTCGCGCAGCGCTAAATTCGTGTTTCCTTCGGCCTGAAATTGGTGTCAGTCTAGAGGATCTGCATCCAAGTCTGTATATAGTGCCCTTGCCCTACCCTTACTTCCTCGGAGTCAAGGAATCCAAATGCTGCCAGGCGGTAGTTGATAGAAACACCCATGACTGGCTTGCCGTTTAATGCGCTCTGTTCCACAATGTAGCTCATGTTATATCTGTAGACAATGTAGCGCAAGGTCAATGACTCCCGTCGAGCATCCTTCCCAGGTATGAATATTCATACCCAGCCATTTACTCCTCGACTAACATACCTCGGGTCTGCAGTAGCACCTTGTGCCCACCCACCACCAAAAATCCAGATCATAACTGGAAGCAACCCTTGATCCTCATCGGCATTAGGTCGGATTATATTCAAGTTCAAGCAGTCTTCATTCAAAGTGATCAGACCCTTGTTGACCAGGGTGACAGTGTCGGATCCATATGCAGGACAGTCATTACCATACTCTGTTGCATTGTAGTACACTGACTTGGAAGTAGTGCCGAGTCCTGCTATGGGTAGGTCATAAGTACCAGAATCACTATCCTTGGATGTGTAGGTACTCTTGATCTCGGCTGGTGTGAAACGGATTGGCTCGTCGGCATATTTGATGCCCAGGAAGATATCCTGATTGAACTCTGGAAGAGAGCGACCTACAAAGATGGTCTTTGAGCTTCTGTTGCTTGTTGAAAGGGTTGCTGTTGGAGGGTTTGATGTGGTGTCTGTTGACTTGGAGAGGGATTCGGCTATTGCCCCAGGGATTATAGAGAAAAACAAGATCAAAAGGAGCATCGAATTACTTGTCGTTGACCGCATCCTCTTAAGGTTCGAAGTTCGAGAGGAGCCCAACCGGGCTGAGGGTAACGGCAACCTCACTTTTATATAGTTCGTTCTCCCTCGCCTTTCACGGGAAATTGTATCACAATGAAAGCAACCCCACTATCAACAACTTGTCTATCGTTGGGGATCAGCTATGATTTTTGGTGCCCTGAGTGCTCATAGGTGGGAAAATAAAGGTGAAACTCCGGGCCAAGGGTGGAGAGCGACTGGTCTTTCCGTCAAGATTTGGTTGTACTTGCACAGTAGTCAACGGTAGTCAGGTATAATCAGTTTGCTATCAAAGAGCTAGATAAATACAAAAAGGAGACGCATATCAGTGCAGAGTGGTCTACTTGGAGACATTGTTCCAAATAGCGGAGGGTCGGGCTGAAAGCCTATGCATGAGATAGAACGAACCGTTGCAGTAGCAACAAAACTGTTGAAGATATTGTACATCCGAGGAAAAGAGGTGGCAGGAGGAATGTCTCAGTTCAGTTCAAAGCAAGACAACCCCATCATGCAACAGCTTGGCTATTTGATACATTGGGTGAATATGTAATCGAGTTAAGGAGCTGTATACAAATGACAAGATCGCGTCTAAGATGCATCCTGTCCTATACAAACTTCTCATGCAGAGGATTCCCCAATGCCAGATATTGTGACCTGGCATGAGAAAATAGCAACGCCAAAGGGAGAACAAAAGCATCTCGCTCAGGGAAAAGAAAATGGGCGAATAGAAGTGACGCAAAAATCGTGGGCTCCAAAGAACACACACACACACACGGAGACTCTTATTATGTACGTTTGGAAATACAAACACATTAATCATCCTTGACTCGATCGCCATAGGCGGATGAGCTGGAGCCTGCACCAAATCCAATCGCACGAGACCTGCTCGCTGCCACCACCGAAGGGCTATTGTATTGATTAGAAGAGGATGAGGATGAGACACCCTGTAGCTCAGACCTCCGCGATGCACTCTTGAGCGGGCTAGGGGAGTTCCGGCCATCCACTATCCCATCGTCCAGTTCAATTAAGTCGTCCATTCGCCACATATTGCGACCCCTGCTACTGCCCTGCTGGGTGGGTGGTCCTTGCTGCAGCTCGTTGATGCCGGCCTTAGCGCGCGTTGCTACCTTTCGAACCCATCCCTCAAAAGCTCCGCCAATGTTCTCGAGGCCAGTCGAGGCATGGGATGTGACAGTGGATAATGAATCAAAAGAAGCTTCCTGGGTATTATGCGGAGGTTGTGTTGGTGCGAGATTCGGCATGTGCTGTGCGAAGAATCGGGTAAACCCATCTAGCGCAGGCCCCGGGCCAGTTGAGGTGGGGTCAAGCGTTCCCACCCCAGTGCCAGACAGCTGGATACTACTGCGCTGGCGGCGATGCCGAGGACGAGCCGGGTGTGTCATTTTGGGTTTTGGCTGGCCGCCGTTCGGTCGAGTCCGTGGCAGTATTCCAAAGGATGAAGGTGGAGGTGGTGATCCGGTAGGAGACGGAGGAGTGATTGTTTCTCGGTAAGAATCGGGAGGTTCTGCATCCGAATAAGATATAGATTTTCGACGTGTACGTGGAAAGAATCCCAATGCTCTTCGAGGAACACGGCCAATTTGCACTGGTCCGGGAAACCCATCCATGTGCACCCATGACTCATGCTTCCAAGCATGATTTCCATCGACCCCAGACGCAGTTGTAGACGTATCCTGTTTAGTTGAAGAATCATCTGTAGAGGGAGCGGTGGGGGCGATCGAGCTGTCGCTGGGATCTTCGTCGTTGTTGCTCAAAAGATCCACAGGCTTTTTGGAAACAGGCCGGCCTTTCACGGAGCATGCATCGACTGGTAGGAGGACAGTGTTTCTGCTCTGAATGTTGTCGTTGGGCCAAAAACCGTTCGCCTTGCGAAACACTGCGGCCTGGCAGCCATATTTAATCGTCACGCCAGTGATAGTGTCTGTGGGTTGCACTTTGTGTATATAGGCCAAAGCGTCCTCATCATGCTCCGGCTGGAACGCTTGGTATGAAATGTCGCCAGAATCGCGTCTTTTGTGAGGGAGCGTACGGCTTGCAATCGGATCGCTATCAGCGAGGAGCAGCGCTTCCCTCTTCTTGGCCTGCACCAAAGCCTGTCGCTCTTCCTTTGTCCCAGTCCCAAACTGCGGAGCGGTGGGTGCTGATGGACCCCACGTGGACCTGGGGGTGCTCTTGATATATACGTCAGACCGAGATGGTTTCCTTCGCGCGTGTGTTTTGGACACATTATTCGGAGCGACTCGTCCAGCATCACTTCCCAGTACTGAAGATGCTAAGCTTTGAAGAGAGGACCATGAGGAGTCCAGAAAGTCCGCAGCACCTCCCGACGGCGAGGCCTTTGATGATCCACCCCAAGGAAATGATGTTGGCCCACTTCGAGTACCTCGGTTGATCGGTTCGGTCGCGCGTGACGGGTGCTTCATTGGAAGTGGTGACGCTCCACGGGATGACAATGGCGAGGGAGTCGCTCCGCGGGACCGAGTCGTTCCCCTGTCGCAAGGGGCAAGCGTCGTTGACAGCCCCGAGGAAAGGGGTTGGGGGCCATCCTGGTAGGAGTTTGTAACATTTGTGTCGTCTTCGTCGTCCATGAAGGAAACTAGGCGGCGAGGGCGCGATCGAACCGTGGAGGTTGAAGTTGTGCTTGCGCTGAGTGCGTTGGAGCTTGGGGAAGCATTGTCAATGCTATTTTGAGAACTCATTCCTGTGAATCCAGCAAATGGATCTAAGGATGCAAAATGAAAGCCCCCTTAGAAGTGTGTACCGCCAAGGCACCAGTTGCCATCAGAGTTGATCTAGGAGAGACCCATTCGTCATCCACCCCGAACTGGCATTCGTGGCCTTTTGATTGGAAACACTGGCAGGAAAGGTTTGATCATATATTCAGGTACTCCAAAATATAAGGTAGAGACTTCCAACACAAACCCTTTGGACGAAGGTATGGAAACCAAGAGAGTTGAGGGAGGATAGGCGATAGGAGGCCAAGGAGGCGTGACGATAACGACCCGCAGACCTTTGAACGTGGAGTACAGAGTAATTAAAGGCAAGGTTGTCCACAAGAATTACAATAAATATGAGGACTAAGAGACAGGAGTATTATATTTTTATTTTCTTTTTGTCTATGCAGACAGAGTGCAAGAAGACCGAATTCTCAAGCCATACTAATAAATTTATTCTCAGGTGACTTTGCCGCTCGGCAAAGTAGCAGTACTTGAGGTTGCTATGTGAAGGCCACCTATTCTGTGTACCCGGTACTTTGTCGGCCCCCGAGATATCTCCCTTCTCCACACATATATAAAATCACCATCGAATAGAATAGTTAAGAATGCGATTAGAGAGAAATTCGAGAGCAAGGTCTGCATTAGATTGTATCCGAACCATTGTACATATGTCATCAGAAATTCTATCAACAAGCCAGCCGTACTAGAACAAAAGATCCATAAGATCCAAAGACTAAATAGCCATTCACTAATCCAAAGGCCAGCATTTCCAGCAGATTACACCAAGTTGCCGCGCTGCGGGACAAGGAGAGAGTAAATATCAACCGGACGACTACAAGTGCCTCACATTTACTCTGGCGGCTCAGCCATCACAGAGTGTCGAGTCTCAGCTTCCGATGTGGCTTCAGATGCAGTACTCCAGTCCCCATCCTCCTTCTCGGAGACTTTGCTAGTTGGCGTGGATAATGGAGCAGGCTGAGGAATGACCTTGATACCACCAGCACGAGAGAAGAAATCTTCCGTCCGAAGACCGCGGACTTCTTGAGGATCCATCGCATCCATTTGAATCCCGCTGGCTTTTTTGGCTCGAATAAGCTCCCGCACAGGTACCATTGCTGCATCTCGACATGCTTCCTTGATATCGCTACCAGACATACCGGCCATAGTCTTGACCAGATAGTGCAAATCGAAATTATCACGATCAACTTTCGTGTCCTTGAGAATCAGGCTGAGGATGCGAAGGCGCTGGGCAATTGGAGGAAGGGTCACAGGGAACTTTTTGGGCATTCTTCGGAGAATCGCCTCATCAATATCTTGGATGCGGTTGGTCGCTCCTAGGACAACAATCCGTTGGGGCTCTCCCGTCGAATTCGCCGAGGTAAGGCCATCCCAATGAGTCATGAACTCTGCTTTCACCATACCACTTGCTTCATGCTCACCGCTTCGCCGGGTTCCAAGGACAGCATCAATCTCATCAATGAAGACGATGGCAGGTTGTAACTTACGCGCAAGCGAGAACACTGCATTAACCAATTTATTGGAGTCGCCATACCACTTCTCTGTCAAAGTTGAGATGTGCAGGTTGATGAAACATGCTCCACTCTCTGATGCTAGAGCTTTGGCAAGCATGGTCTTTCCGCAGCCAGGCGGACCGTATAGGAGGACCCCAGATGGTGCAGTCAACAAAGACGATGTGGAAGCGTAGAGGTGGGGCATCGTCAGTGGGTAAATGACCGATTCCTTCAATTCCTCAATGATTTCGTCAAGTCCCCCGATATCTTCAAATGACACCTGGATATCCTCTGGCGCAACAACATCCATCGCAATCGCTTGTTCATATTGGTTCAAGGTGAGCTCTTTCTTTCTTTGCCCCTTTTCCCGTTTACCACCCTTCCGTGGCGCTTCATCGTCTGAATCATTCACGCCTTCCAATCGACGTATGATGGCGGCAGACTTCTGTCGTTGTTCCTCCTTCTTCTGGCTCTCTGGGTCGAAATCAAGGCGTGATAGAAGGTAACGAATGAGGAAATATGCGGATGCAGACTATCTTAGGATTAGAGACCTTCAGTCCTGTTTGTAACAATAGATTTCTCACTGTGCCTGCAACCATCACCATTTCTTGGAAGAACTGCTGCCATCTTCGGCCACCGGCTGAAGCCATGGCGATAAAGGAATTATGAGATAGAGCGCAGTGGTGGTTCAAATTAGAACCACTAAATTAAAGCGACAATTGGATAAACAAAAGTAAATTAGAGTCCACTAGAAACAAAAATAAGACGAGTCGAAGATCGCTCGGCCTTGTGGCGCGGGACTCGGGGCGTCACATGTCATAAGGCGGAGAAGGCGGTGTTGGGGGTGTTGTTGTTGATGCGCGTCCCGCGAGTATGCAATAGTCGTCAAAGAATTGTACCTAGGCACACCTGCACAATGCCCAAACGGAAAGCTCCTCGTAAACTTTCTGGCTTACTAGGCTCAGACGACGAGGACATTATGCAAAGTGAAATGGTAGAAGAACAAGAAACTCACGAGCCTCCCGCCAAAAGACGAAGAGGCAGACCGCGTACCTCGAACGAGCATGTGACCGAAAACAAACCTACCAAACCTGCCACCCGAACAAGAAAGCAGCAAGCAGCTGTGGCTGTGGCTGAGCCAGAACCCCCTGCAGACAAAAAGCCCGCTCGCCGAGGACGACCCAGAGGAAGCAGTCGTGCAGCGCAAGATGCGGAAATGTCTGTCCAGGCAACTGAGGCGGAGGCTATAGTGCCCGAACAAGACGATGCAGACAACCAGGAGAATGAAGACCCGCATGTCTCAAATACAAAAAAACAGCCGCCCAAGAACACGAAGCCTGCCCCAATACGCGGTCGAGGACGACCCCGTGCAGTCAGTACACAGCTTCAGGCAGATGGTGAATTTGAGTTTACCCCAAGCGGCTCTCGACACGTTAGTGTTCAAGGAACTCACACAGAGCAAGGCGAGCCGACCCCTCTTATTCGTGCAGCGAGCCAAGGAAGAAACGAACCGGAGGTCGAAGACTCTCAGCAGACCGAGCAACCCACAGCAGAGCTCATAGATGAGACCATCATTCGCAAGGAACCAGCCTATAATCGTAAATCGATGTCCCCTGTGAAGAACGCTCGCTCTCGGTTATCCATGTTACGCAACTCACAGGATTCTTCTCGTAAACGCAAGCTTGGGGGCACCGAGTCTGATCAGGGCGGAGATCCAGAGCTGAGGCGCAGGCTAGGAGAATTGACCAAGAAGCACGATTCTTTGGAAAGCAAATACCGCAATCTACGGGAAATTGGGATTGTCGAAGCCAACACCAATATGGAGAAGCTGCGAAAGCAGACTGAGACTCTTACGAAAGGTATGATCTTCGATTGCCTTATAACCACTAGAGCGGATAAACTGATACATTCTCAGCATCGAATGAATTGGTTGCCTCGCTGAAGGCCGAAATTGATGCCCAGCGAAAGCTAGGACTACAGAGCCGTGGACTCCAGAAGCAACTCAAAGACCGTGATGACGAACTAGCTCGACTCAAATCTAGCGCCGATGAGGCACAAGCACAGCTTGCGTCTGCCCAGTCCGAGGTCAAAGCTTTACAGACCAAGCTCGCTGCGGCACGGAACACAGCTGCCATTCTCGAGGGGGCTGCGAAGGTCCCAGGCAGTGCCATCAAGGGCAGCGCCGCTAACCGTGCTAATGCAGTTGCCACCGCTGAAGCGGCGCAGGCTTCACAGCTCGCCCAATTAAAAGAAGACTTATATAGCGATTTAACAGGATTGATTGTTCGTGATGTCAAGAACAGAGAGTCAGATTACCTATACGATTGTATCCAGACTGGAATGAACGGAAGTAAGTTGCTCAATTTCCTAGTGTTTAAGGGCATCTTTCTAACACTCTTGCAGCTCTTCACTTTCATCTCGTCGTGCCAAAGGTCTCCGCTGATTACGACAACACTGAGTTCCAATACCTGCCTCACTTGGACTCTAACCGCGATCGCGACCTGGTCAACTTGCTACCAGACTTCTTGACTGTGGACATCACCTTCGTCCGCGGACAAGCAGCCAAGTTCTATACGCGCGTCATTGATGCTCTCACAAAGCGCCGGTCTCTTCCAGCGCAATAGCAATACTGATATTGAACATCGGTCATTGGTGTGTTTTTTTTTCCATCGGAATATTTTAATTCCTAGGGAGTTTATTCGAGGACTAAGAATTTCCTGTTTTTGTTTCGATGAGCCCAATTTCAGCATCAAGGTTGTTACATACTTGCGTTGTACTTAGTGGTAAATGTTTGCCAGTGGGATCATTGCTCAGTGAAACACACTACGTAGTGTGCCCTTTCAATCAAACATTTGTAACGTAGCTTTGGTTCTCATCAATATTGTCACCACATCCTATACGCCCGATAGTCTGTTGATACTGATATTTGAATTGAGGTTCCCCGGCAAGATACTATCTTCTTGCTATAATATCCACTCAAAGGAGGTATAAACCCCCAAACTAACTCTATAAGCGCACATCTCTATACATCACTATATCGGATAGATTCATCTCTATATCTTTTCTTTTTTTTTTCTGGCTTTGTTAAGATAGAGTAAGCTTCAACAGGGAAAAGAAGTAACAAAACACAACTATAACACATGTTGTAAATATAGAGTAAATAACACAAGGTCTATGATTGGCTCTCACCGCCAAGTTCCCCAATGCGTCTCAGAAGTTGACGGGTTGACGTGTTGTGACCTTCATATCTCCTTTTTTTTGTAAATTTCCAACCTTCGTGGCAGTGGACCACTTCCACTCTTTTGAACCCTTGAGTATCTAGGCATAGATCATGGCGCGTCTAGGCCGCGTGGGGTTTCTCGCCCTCGCAGTGATCTTTCACTTGATCTATACATACTCAATCTTTGACATCTACTTTGTCAGTCCAATCGTTAGTGGCATGCGATCATATGGTGTCGAGCGGTCATCTAATGCCCCGGCACCTGCCAAACGTCTCGTCCTCTTTGTCGCCGACGGTCTACGGGCCGACAAGGCCTTCCAAGCTTTCCCTGACCCGTCCCCCAACGCCGATCCAGAAAACAACGAATTGATTCGCCTGTCTCCCTTTATTCGCTCGCAAGTCCTCTCCCACGGAACGTTTGGCGTCTCACACACCCGAGTCCCCACCGAATCACGGCCAGGCCATGTTGCGCTTATCGCAGGTCTCTATGAGGATGTATCCTCCGTTACCACAGGATGGAAGATGAACCCGGTGAATTTCGACAGTGTTTTCAACCAGAGCCGACACACTTGGAGCTGGGGCAGCCCTGATATCTTACCAATGTTTAAGGAGGGCGCCGTACCGGGCAAAGTCGATGCGGAAATGTATAGTGAAGAAGCGGAGGACTTCACCGTCGATGCGACCCATCTAGACACTTGGGTCTTCTCCAAAGTCCATGACCTCTTCGAATCGGCAAAGACCGACCCGAACTTGGACCGAAAACTGCGGGACGACAAATTGGTGTTCTTCCTCCATCTGCTTGGACTGGATACCACTGGCCACTCTTTCAGGCCCTACTCGAATGAATACCTACACAACATCAAGATAGTGGATCAAGGAGTCCAGGCCGTCACAGAGTTGGTGGAAGATTTCTACGGAGATGGCAAAACGGCATTCGTGTTCACCGCAGACCATGGCATGAGTGACACGGGCAGCCATGGTGATGGTCATCCGGACAACACGCGGACACCGTTGGTTGTCTGGGGATCTGGTGTCGCGCGTCCAGAGCTCTCCACTGAGGGGATTGCTGCGGGTCATGAAGACGGTTTCTCGGCGGATTGGGGATTCGACCAAGTCCGTCGACACGATGTAGCACAGGCTGATGTTGCCGCGCTCATGGCCTACCTAGTCGGCCTTGACTTCCCCGTCAACTCTGTTGGTCAATTGCCGCTGGACTACCTCAATGCTAGCCCGAAGGAAAAGGCCCTGGCTGCTCTCGCCAATACGCAGGGTGTTTTAGAGATGTACCGCGTCAAAGAAGAACAAAAGAGAGACGCAGTGATTCGGTATGTGCCCTATGAGCCACTATCGGGCTATCACGAGAACTCCGTTGAAGGCAGACTGGCAAAAATTGAGGCACTCATCTCTAGTGGTGACCATGAGGAGGCTATTGTGGTATGTGCCGAGCTTCTTCGCGTTGCTCTGGAAGGCCTGCGCTATCTACAAACCTATGACTGGCTATTCTTGCGGACCATTGTCTCCGTTGGATACTTGGGTTGGATCGCGTATGCGCTGACTACGGTTATTGATCTGCACGTCTTGCATGGAACATCGGACTCTCACCGGACGACCGCGAGTATCTCATTCTTCTCATCGATCCTAGTCGCCTTGTTCTCGGTGTTCCTTTACCAGGGCTCATCCTGGCGCTACTATTTCTATGCCTTCTTCCCGGTTTACTTCTGGGAGGAGGTTTTTGCCCGCCGTAAGGCTCTCGTTGCCGGTCGTCAGATTGTCTTGGGTCATGTGTGCTCCTTTACTGGATACCTCAAGTTCGGACTCCAGCTACTAGCATTCCTCGGTGTGATGGAGGCAATGGTTCAATCATATTTCCATCGCGAAATATTTACCGTCTGCTTTGCTTTGGGTGCGTTGTGGCCTGTTATTCATGGCTTTGGCTTCATTCGCAGCCATGCGGCATTGTCTGCGACTTGGGCTCTCGCTTGCGGTTTGATGAGTTCGTTCACTCTTCTGCCAGTAATCAAGGTTGAAAACCTTGATACAATGTAAGCTCCCTTTCTACTGCAATGGCTTTTACATGGCTAATTTATCTTAACAGCACATATGGCGGCTTGCTCATGTTCCTTACTGGCATTTTGTACTTGCTGTTTGAGGATGCTATCATCGGACATCGCGACCCGGAATCTAAAGAATCGAATGCTATTGGTCGTGTGGGCTCACGCATCATCATGGGAATTCAGCTCGGCATGGTTCTGCTTGCTGTCATCGTCACTAGGTCATCTGTACTCTCTCTCCAGGCTCGCCAAGGCCTGCCGTTTGGAAATATCGTGGTTGGATGGGTCGTCCTAGGTAAGTTTACACGGCAGCTTGTCCTCGGACCACGGAAATGTGTTTTTATTGAGAAATGCTAACCAACTTTCAGTGGCCTCCCTAACGCTTCCATTCTTCCACCGTCTGTATCCGAATAGTCATTATCTGCACCGGCTCATGATCATCTTCTTGACCTTCTCGCCAACTTTTATCATTCTCACAATATCATGGGAAGGCCTGTTTTACTTCGTATTCTGCATGACCATTGTGACATGGGTTCGTCTGGAACATGCCGTTTACGTGCACACAGCAGACGCCTTGAAGAAACCTAAGAATCCTGGCATGACGACCATTGACGGTGAAACTTATTACTACCGTGCCCTTACTCTCTCCGACGTCCGCGTGGCACTCTTCTTCTTTTTCCTGCTGCAATCAGCTTTCTTCAGCACCGGCAATGTGGCTTCGATCTCGACCTTCTCCCTCGACAGCGTCCGCCGCCTTATCCCCGTCTTCGATCCTTTCGCCCAAGGCGCACTCCTGATTCTTCAAATCCTCATCCCCTTTGCCATCATCAGTGCCAATCTAGGTATCCTTAACCGTCGCCTGGAGGTACCCCCCAGCGCGCTCTTCATGGTTGTCATGGCCATCTCGGACATCATGACCCTCAACTTCTTCTTCATGGTGCGCGATGAGGGCTCGTGGCTTGATATTGGAATGACTATTAGTCATTTCTGTATTGCCAGTGCCCTTTGTACCTTTGTGGCGGGTCTAGAGTTCCTCAGCGAGCAATTTGTCAGCGGTGTGGACTTCACCCCCACGGGGACAGCCGTTGGGGCGGTGGTCCAGACTATTGAGGAAGCCACCAAGTGTGGCCACGAGGACCGCAGGGAGCCGAAGAAAGCCCAATCCAATGGGGCCAAACAGCCTAAATCCAAGGGCAAGGGTAAGGGTAAGGGTAAATCAGGAAAGAGTGGGTGGTCATAATTGGAACATGAGACTATACACATACACCCTCCACATCACTTGGTTATATTCATATTTTCCATGTATTTTATTTCCAAAAAAAAAAAAAAAAAAAGAACAGATCAAGCCTTGATAATATATGATAATACACCAATCCCTGCAATTCTATCCGGGGGCATCCGGCCTAAAAGTGAAACCAGGAGAAAATACGGAGTATCAAAACGAGGTCGAAGCTCAAAAAAAGTTGCCGAGGCATCACAAGCTCTAAAGAATGAGATTTCCCCAACTTGACCATCCCCGTCTTTTTCTTTTCTCCACAATTTCATTTGACTTCTCAAAGGAGATCGTATCGACCTGGTACTCTGTAGTGTCCTAAAAAAAATCTGAAACAAAGCACCAAATTTACTCTACACAAGTCTATAGTAGAGAAGATATATATAACATATACTCAAGGTCCAGTCACACTGCATATACATGCGCATATCCAATCAATCTGGTTGAATATCAAGTTAAACTAGTCTACCGTCCAAGCCCATCTATACCCTCCACACCGTCGCATCTTAGACTCTGTCATCCTACCCATTGGCGTAGAGCCAATGCAGGTTGTTCGAACCTGGGACCAAAGACCCAAGCCCTCAATATTCCCAGATGTCTGAATGGAGGCTGAATTGGTATTTCCACGCCTAGTCAGGGACGATTTAGCGTGACGAAAGGATTGGCAATGACACAGTATATCCCTCGAATAGATTCCCACCAAGCATTCCAATTAGGTGGGGAGTACCTTTTGTCGATCTCTCCATATTTCTGTGTCTGTGTTTCGGTGGCTTTTTACACCCTTAGCGCTTAGGTGCTCCAATATGGGCTGTTGATGTTTACTAGGGTTCTTAGGGTTACCTTTTACCCCTTTTTTTCCCCCAAAAAAAAGGGAAACAGAAGGAAATACTATAGAGAATATGGCTATTACAGTAGATTATTACAATATGAATATGTTTACACCCCAATCTATACAAGATATCATCAAATCCCAAATGTGCATAAAATACTCCGTAAATGCTGACCAAAGAACAACTCCACTAGGGAACTTGATATTGCCACAACCCAACTTCACCTTCGATATTCCTCTCTCTCTCTCTCTCTCCCCCTCCCCCCGGTACTTTTTTTGTTTTCTTTTCATTTTCTGGTGATCGCGTGGCGTCTTTGCTGTGTTCGAGAAATCCCTTTATCTTACCCTTGATACTCCATACTCCGTACCCCATACCCCAGCCTCAAAACACCTCTTTTCTTATATATATACCATATTGCTTCCCCCCCGCATCCTTTCTCCGACCCAAGTCTACCATTCCTGAATGGGGAGACTGTGTGGCCATGAGTACTGAATTTCACACCGACCAGCTATCGGACAACAATCCCAGTCCAGCTCCGAGCAACGCAGGCTCGACGGGGACTTCGGGCATCACAGTGCGCAATGGTCCACAAGGCCAACCGCTGAGTTTCAGAAGGTAAGCCAGTTCTTTCTACCTTGGTCTTTGATATTGGCGACATGGTGATTTGGTCGGATTGTGGGGGGAGTGTGCGGGCGCAAAGATGAGAGACAGGGGGTTTTCGGTTTTTCGCATTTGTACCTGAAGGGAAAACTCTTCCAGTTAAGCATTCATATACGCTTGCTAATCCTTTCTATCTAATCTTAGACAGCGTGCATCACGCGCCTGCGAGGTACGTCTAGATTTTTAGGACGCGACTCTGGGGCCGAGGTTCTCACGCACCTCGGCTCAGTTCCTTATCGCGATACATTTCTCTCCCCTTTGGTCCCGGTTTTGGAAGAAAAAAAAAAGAATTGTGGCTGATATCTCTTATTTGACTCAATTTTAGACATGTCATGCTCGCAAGGTGAGTTAAGTCTCGGTCACGCCTTTCTTTCTTTTTTTTCCCCCTTTCCAACCCTCTAACCTGTTCCCGTCGCCTAGGTTCGATGTGACGCAGCCAGTCTCGGGGTGCCTTGCACCAATTGTGTTGCTTTCTCAATCGAATGCAAGATCCCGTCACCGAAACGAAAGAAGAACAATCAGAACAAGAGCAAGGAAGATTCTCAGTATGACGATAGTCCACCGCGAACTGCCTCCTCAATCGTCGATGCTGCTGTTGCTCACTTCCGACCCACAAGCACCGAGGAGCCGGCCGGTTCGGTATCTGGCTCTATCTCTGCATCTAGGGAGAAGGAAAAAAGTTCAGAATCGGATGAAAAGAGCGACGCCTTTGGATACCAGAACAACCGCATGGGCGTCGATGGCATGCCTAATACCTCCCTCTCCGACGCCGAGGCGGCCCAACAAGCTTCGACCGATAACGCCTATGCCCAATTCATGAAGCCCAAGTTTGCTCGGGCTCCAATAAAAGAGGCGGGCCGGGTGGCATACTTGGGCGAGTCTTCGAATCTGTCTCTATTGGTACAAGATCGCCACGGGACAACGGATGTCGTGCACTATCCGCTCCCACCGAATATCAGAGGGTCCCGCGCCCGGTTGACGGACCTGGATAACTTGGAAATTGACATCCTGCATCAGCGGGGCGCATTCTTACTCCCGCCCAAACCGCTGTGTGATGAGTTGGTCGACGCCTACTTCAAATGGGTGGCGCCCGTTGTGCCGATTATCAACAAGAGTCGCTTCATGCGCCACTACCGTGACCCCAAAAACCCGCCCTCCTTGTTACTGCTACAGGCGATTCTGCTGGCAGGATCGAGAGTCTGCACTAACCAACAGCTTATGGATGCGAATGGCTCGACAACCCCTGCGGCCATGACTTTCTATAAGCGTGCTAAGGCGCTGTATGATGCTAACTACGAGGATGACCGGGTCACTATTGTGCAGGCATTGGTGCTTTTGGGCTGGTATTGGGAGGGACCAGAAGGTGAGTACTCAATCTATACTAGTCTATCTTAATTCTCTTCTAACTAGTTACAGACGTCACCAAGAATGTCTTCTACTGGACACGGACCGCTATGGTGGTAGCTCAGGGCTCTGGAATGCACCGCAGCGTCGAAATGTCCCAGCTTAACAAACCCGACAAAAGACTTTGGAAAAGAATCTGGTGGACCCTTTTTACGCGAGATCGCTCTGTCGCTGTCGCACTGGGACGACCGATTGGAATCAATACAGATGACTCGGATGTTGAGATGGTGACCGAGGACGATTTCATCGAGGATGAGCTCGACATTGTCGCCGAATACCCATCAGATCCTGTTCACGTCCAATTCTTCCTGCAGTATGTCAAATTGTGTGAGATCATGGGATTGGTTCTGTCGCAGCAGTACTCTGTGGCTTCAAAATCACGGCGTATGAATGCAATGGATCTCACCCACTCAGATATGGCGCTCGCCGATTGGCTGCAAAACTGCCCTAAAGAAGTATGCTGGCAACGCTCCAGGCATCATTTTTGGGCGGCTCTTTTGCACTCTAACTACTACACTACGCTCTGTCTTCTTCACAGGGCTCATATGCCGCCTGCCTCATCCGCGCCCAATAACTACAGGGTTGAAGAAATGGCTTATCCATCGCGAACAATTGCCTTCCAAGCTGCTGGCATGATTACCTCTATCGTTGAGAACCTGCAAGCACATGGGGAGATCCGATACACGCCGGCCTTCATCGTCTACAGTCTATTTTCAGCCTTGATTATGCATGTGTACCAAATGCGTTCCTCGGTTCCTTCGATCGTGGCTACCTGCCAGGAAAGAATCAACGTTTGCATGCTAGCTCTCAAGGATGTATCAAAGGTCTGGCTAGTAGCCAAGATGGTGAACACCTTGTTCGAGTCTATCCTCGGAAACAAGGTGTTGGAAGAACGACTCCAGAAGGCTGCAGGCCGGAGACATCAGCGCACACGGCACGGAGAATCATCTTCCAAGAGGCACGACCCGCCGAAACGCAAATTTGACGATATGGACATCGGCATGCCAAATGGCGGGCCTACACCCCCCGTGTCATACGAGCGTTCCCGGCCCCAGACACCCGCTGTCACCCCTTCTCGGGAATTGCACCAACCCCCTCCCGGCGGTCAACAATCACCAAACAACCATCGTGCTCCTCACGATCCAATGACCGGCACGGGTAATTCCCGAGCCAATACCAGGCCCACAACCCCATTCAACGGCCAATTCTCTCTACCCGCCACACCCCCCGATTTCTTCCTAGTAACCCGCACCTCGCCCAACCTCTCTCCCTCCCTCTGGGAGAACTTCCAGCCAGACCAACTCTTCCCAGACGGTACCGCCTTCTTCCCGGAATTGACATCGCCGCCCCAGCCTGCTGCAGTGGACCCATCACTCCAGATCCCATCTCAAATGCCCTCGGGCATGACCCCGCGCCCTAATCCTATGATGAACAACCAGCCGCAGCCCGTCTCGGGCCGTAGCATGTCTGTCTCCCATGGAAGTCCACCGGTAGTGTCAGGGCTACCGGGCGCGATGGGAATGCATCCCAACCCGCCGCAGCAGATTTTCGGCATGGAAGGCCAGCATCAACAAGCCTGGCCGCCCATGCACGGTCTTGACGGCACTATGAGTGGAGCCGCAATGGATACTGCTAGCCAGGACAATGATACCTGGAGTAGTAGTTCCCGTAGCGGGCCGACTGCACCAACAACGCTGAATGTCGAGGACTGGTATGTTTCCCACACGGCCTTGTCCTTGTATGATTTGAATATCATCTTGCTAACACGCAACAGGTTCCAATTCTTCGGTATCAACGGCGGTTTTGGCGATCTGGCTGCATAAACAATCACGATCTGGACTAGTTACGCTTCATGTTTATGTTGTTACGCTTTGCCTGTCGAGAATGGACTTGAGGGGTTTGGAGTACAAAGTACGCCTACAAAGTACACCCAGGGTTCCCTTTGCAGATTATAATCTACTTGTTGTGTTGGTATATACTTTCATTATTTCGAGCTTTTCTTGTTCCGGTTCTCAAAACGGATTGCTTTCGGGGCGAGGTGGGTGTGGCGGCGTTTGGTGTGGGATCGTCTGTTCTATCTTAGGAGATGATCTGGTTTATGAATATCCTTGAAGGTGGTAATATTCTGATTGTGTCTTCTGTTATCTCTGATTTGGGTAATGTTGGGAAAACTTCATGGACTGGCATCCAGAGGGAGTTGGGATGGGAGTATATACAAATTCCAATGTCTTCACATATCCACTCCGTATTTTATTCTGATTTCTCCAGGCAGAATCCTATAGTTAGCTACCTATAGCATTAGATCAGACTAGAATAATTAGAAAAAAGAAAAGAAGTTGATATATCTCATATCACCCGACCCCACGACGCGTCCGGCCGCGTCTGATCACAGTAAATAATCCACCTGTCAACTTCTTCGACATTTGAACCCACTTCTCCTTTTCATCTATCCCACCTACCTCATCACTTTTCATTACAATGCCTCCCAAGAGAAAGCCAACCGACTCCACCGCCAGCAGCGCGAAGAAGTCCAAGGGCCCAGCAGCAAACAGCCCTGAAGTAGACATGGAAACCGAGCGCGCACTGGACAAGCGCTGGGCCCCCGTCTCTGTATCCCGTAACGCAGAATCGGAGTTCAGATTACGAACCCGCGACCCCGTCAAGGCTTTCAGTTACGTATGTCTGGGATGCGCGCCTTGGAAGACCCAAATTACAGACGACGATTCTGAGAATGAGGAAGACGAGGAGTTTATAGAGCAGAAGAAAAAAGACGATCTGGTTGGTGAATCAATGTTGAGGGGAGAATGAATAGTCTCCATTACGGGCTATAGCTAATTCTGATACCAGGAGGCGGACGAAGCCACTACCCTCAAGCCTGCTTCCGAGCATCCAGGAGAAAAATGGATATTCACAAACGCCGGTCTGGCTAAATGGATGGCACTGAAGCATGGTACTGCCGTGCGCGACCCAGACAACTTCGAGATGTATGTCTACAATGACTTCTGTGGATATGCGATTATGGAGCTGGTGGAGAACCTGCTCCTTGATTTTGAGGAGGCCGCCGGTGATTGGAAAATGCAGTGGGCTATCTGTGAAGCGACGGCGTTATATTTCCAAATGGATTCTTTCATGCCGATGATTGGGTTTGTCTCACTGCCTCCGGGTAGAATACTGTGTGTCGACGAATCGCTAACGAGTGCAACATATAGCTGCGACGACGGAGATGGCGTCAAGGCGGTGTGCATCGCCTTCGCCACCATGTTCCTAAGTATGCTTGCCACTCTGGAACGAAACGATCTCTTCAAGCCAGACTCGGAGGTAAAGAACCTCGGAGCCGTCATCGGTCTGTTCATCCGCTTCATTGTGGATGTCGAACAGTACGGTATCGACTGGGATAGCCACGATGCGAAGACCAAGGCTTATGCCGCCAAGCACGATGTCACAGTTCACGGCTTGAACCATGAGCGCTATGAGAATTCGTCTGGTGAGACGGTTGATCTTCCCGAGGCTACCGCGGGTGCCAATGATCCCTGGGGTTGGCGAAAGATATTAGCAAAGCTGAAGAAGGACAAGAATGGACAGCTAGGTGGTGATTCAAAGGACATCACGTCTTGGACTCCTGCAGAGCGCAAGAAGTATGCCTTTGACAAGAAGGATCCCATTCCCCGGAGTGCCTTGACTCATATCAAGAATGGCAGGATTATGGAGATGGGTGGCTGAGTGGCTGTGTTTGTGTATACTAGGATCATTGACACCGGAAGGACTGTTGTCTACGTATGTGTGGGTATAGTTGTTGAACTTCACTATAGCATGGCCATCGCTCACTGTATCCGAGGCAACTAAATGCCCCAAACACCCAGAGGATCAGACCCTATATCCCCCCTTGACTGTTGTAGCTTTTTTACATGCCTGACCAGAGTCCCAACCGAGATTGGACCGATCAATGTGCAGAGCGAGATTGCCCAGATGACCACTAGATAGATCTCAGATGGTCCTTCGGAAGATTTACTCAAGAACATTCCCTTGCTTTCGGCGATTGAAGCGATAAGGTAGCCCACTTCGCCTCGGGCAACCATTGCTAATCCCAGTATAGAAGGCGGGTACAAAGACTTGGGTTTGGGGGGAGGGAGATGTAGGAATCGGGGCGAGAAGTGAGTGGAGGAGATCTGGTCGTTGGCCGAGACCCATTTTTAGCATTATCTGGGGTTGAGACTTCTGCACTGTCATCTTGAGTTGCTGGTCGTTGCGGGAGTTTCTTGTTTCGGTTCGACTTTTTGCTGATAGCCCGTGGACTCGCACAGTAGGCATGAGTGTATGCTAACAATTTTTTGATTGTAGAGACTAGACCCGACACAGGGCTCGGAGAAAACCGAATGAGCCATAGGCCTGTGATCATTTTTCCGATTGTCATCAGTATGGCGTAAATAATCCCACGCCATACAACCTGGCCCGAGAACATTTTGGTTATGGGGATTGCGAATCCGATGGACGCCTGCTGATGTTAATATGTCCCTTCTTGAATCGAATGGAATGACTCACAAAGAAAAAGGCAAGAGAACTCGCTTGACCGGCGCTTCAAAATATTTGCTGTAGACAATTTTACCCGTAGCCATGTCATCATGAGTACTTTCAATTTCTCGAGGTTGCGCACGCGAAGAGAACGTCTCTTCGGTGCGCCTGCTCTTGCTATTCCGCGCGCTTCGTCGATGGTTGGAAGTCAGCTCATGATTTCCACTAGACTGCAGACCAGCAATTGGTGTTTTTACTTCAGCCACCAGCCCATCAAACCAAGAAACAATCACTCCGGCAAGGTAGGCAGCAAATAGACTCGAAGTTCCAGCATACGTTGCACCAGTCACGACGCCGATTAACACACACGTCTGTGCAAGGAATGCAGAATTCGTAGTCTTTAGAAAAGCTGGCAATGTGTCTTTGCAATCAAGCAATTTCTTTAACCCTGGCTGTAAACAGAATGTACACAGCAATAGAAGACCAACAGCAAACCCGATGGAAACAAATATAGGTCGAATTACAGTCACGCCACTGAACGAGTCGGCACTTCCAAGATTGGAAATAATCTGAATCATGACCAGACCAATCACATCGTCTAGCATTGCAGCACTTGTGGTGACTATGCCGAGCCTTGTAGTTGTCAGCTGGGTGGTTGAGAGTATAGTAAAAGTGGTGCCGAGGCTTGTTGCACTCAAGGCTGCACCGGCTGCAAAGGACTGGAGAGAAGTCGCCGACACAAGTTCCTTGAGAATGAAAGACAGCCCCATGGGGATACAGACTCCAGTGACGGCAACGGCTGTCGAAAGAAAGATGTTTGCCTTCAAGGACTTGATTGATGTTGATAGACCGCCTGTTTATTGTAAGGGAACATAACCAACAAGGCAAAAAAAGGAGAAAAAGGCACACACTTACCTTCATAGATCAAGAGTATCAGCCCTAAATAACCAATCTGCTGGATCACTCTTTCTGTCTCTTGATCGAACCATTGTGCCCCAGGTGTGCCCCATAGGACACCGATGAAGAGTTGACCAATTAACCCACAGTAGAGAATCTTGTCCAGGCAGGAATTGATTATGTTCAGGGTCAAAAGAAATCCAGTATAGGTGAGGACTGTTTTGATTGATGGTTCGTGATAGGCAAATGCCGGTTCCGATTCGGATGCCATTTCGGTTATTCCTCTCTAGGTAAGGTATTGCAGAGCCTGGGTTTATTTTTTGTTTTTCTTTTCAGATTTAAACTCCATAGAGGTGTTTAATTAAGGGTCCATAGTCAAGTGCAAGATGTATAGCCTGTGATGAGTGAAAGCCTTGGGAGCTGCCCAGACCTCGGGACGCCAAGTCGATGACTAACGAGACTTTCTTGAGAGCAGACACCGACATATCTTATATATCTATAGACATAGATATAGTATCATATCATTAGTATCACACAGCTTCTAAATAACTAGTACGGTATATCCTTGCCAGGAATATCTATATCACAATGTTAGAATGCTTAGACAAAGAGCTTTCGCGATGTGACAGACTATGCATATAGAATCCTTACTACTCCGTACTCCGTACATGATAATGTATTCAACATTCATAGTCTATATCTTCACATTAAATACAAGTGTCCTATGAGTTTCAACCCATTTCAACCAACCATAACATCTCAATCTCCATCGATATATAAAGGATATAAAAGATGTTGACTCATAAAACTCCACATACTTGCATGCTTAATCGGGACTAGCGGATGACGAAATCGCAATGAGCGTGGCTCGACGAATCAGCGACGACTCGGAACGAGTCAGCTTGTCTGGGGAGGGAGAAGATGCGTGGTTGTTCGTCCTTTTTTTTCTTAGATTTCTTATTCTCCTGTTTACTCCTGTTGATTCCTGGCATATTCATTTTTGTTTGCTTTCAATTACCTCACTCTCTATACACTTCCCTTCTCCCTTCTACCCCGCAGCGATGTCGGCCTCAGGATCTGGAATTCCCGATGCTTCGGGGTCATCCAGCGGTGTGAAGAAGGGTTTCCCTCAGGTTGACCTGTCTGGAAATGACCTTCCACCTTCTCCTGCCCCGTCCAGCCCTCATGCCGGTCGCCGGTACAATATTGCCACCGAGCTAGTCTTCACCGAGGGCAGTGACCAATACAATGCCAGCAGCGTTCCTATCTATCAGGTACAGATCCATCTCGGTGATACCATGGTCCATTCAATTGGAAATGCTGACCATCCTTAATCGTATAGAGTGCTACCTTCAAACAAACCTCCAACGCCGGCGGTGGAGAGTATGATTATACACGGTCTGGGAACCCCACTCGAACACACCTTGAGCGTCACTTGGCCAAGATCATGTCGGCACAGCGTGCCCTGGTGGTGTCATCTGGCATGGCAGCCTTGGATGTGATTACAAGACTTCTCCGCCCCGGTGATGAGGTGGTCACCGGGGACGACCTCTACGGTGGCACCAACCGTCTGCTCAAGTACCTCTCCACCAACGGTGGAATTGTTGTGCACCACGTCGACACCACACAACCAGAGAAGGTTGAGCAGGTGCTGAGCTCGAAGACAACTATGGTGCTGCTCGAAACCCCCACAAACCCTCTCATCAAGATCGTCGATATCGGAAAAATTGCTACCGCCGCTCACGAAGCCAACCCTGCCTGCATTGTCGCCGTGGACAACACCATGATGTCTCCCTTGCTCCTGAATCCACTAGATTTCGGTGCCGATGTCGTGTATGAGAGTGGCACAAAGTACCTCTCCGGTCACCACGACCTGATGGCTGGTGTTATTGCCGTGAACGACCTGCAGCTCGGAGAACGCCTGTACTTCCCCATCAACGCATCAGGATGCGGCTTGTCACCATTCGACTCTTGGCTACTACTGCGCGGCGTGAAGACGTTGAAGGTCCGTATGGATCAACAGCAGAGCAATGCTCAGCGTATTGCCGAGTTCCTTGAGTCGAATGGTTTCAAGGTGCGCTACCCCGGTTTACGGTCGCACCCGCAATACGAACTCCACAATTCCATGGCGCGAGGTGCCGGTGCTGTGCTCTCGTTCGAGACCGGTGACACGGCCATTAGCGAGCGTATTGTGGAGAGTGCCAAAATTTGGGCTATTAGTGTTAGCTTTGGCTGTGTCAACAGTCTGATCAGCATGCCCTGCCGTATGAGTCATGCTAGCATTGATGCGAAGACACGGGCGGAACGTGCTATGCCTGAGGACTTGATCCGTTTGTGTGTTGGTATTGAGGATGCAGATGACTTGATTGAAGACTTGCAACGAGCGGTATGTATTATGTTTCTCCCTTGCATAATTGAATTTCTGCTGACTTTTTCTTCCAGTTGGTGCAAGCTGGTGCGGTCAATGTCACTCTGGATGGTATTGAAGCTCGTTAGATAGGTTCAATTCTTAGTATTTGGCGTTTGGGGGACTCAAAATATGAAGAGTATAATGAAGCAAGCCTATACTCCATTGTCAATTTCAATTTTTATTATATACAACCGTAGACAAAACAATATCAAACAGCCCTGAAGCGTTTATCCGGCAGATAAGCTATCGGGCCGGCATCGGAGAGGCCGGCGCCGGGTCGCGCCCGGGTCATTGTCGTCCGAAGCTGGGGTCAATACTCCAGATATAATCCAGCGTCTCGCATTCCTAATTCAGTTTCTCTCATTTGACCTGTGTACTCTCTGATTAAATGCATAATCTGTCTCTTTTCCAACCTATATGAGCATGAATCGGGATGGTGTTGCGCAAGATACAATATTTCCAATGGCGACAATCAAGCAGGAACAGCCTCAGGAACGACAGGCCACACGTCTGACAGCTTCAACATGGAATACCAAGGACATGAGCAAGCGACTCGGTGTCGATGTCATTAGCGCAGCAACAGCCGGTGCGCTGACCTGCCCATTAATCACCATTATTGATCGGTAAACTATCACCACTCTCAAATGCTTATCCATAAATACAAGACTAATCCCTCCAGTGCAATCATGGAAAAAGCCTCAAAAGGTTTCCCAATCGGCCAAACGATCAACCACTGCCTCCGATCTATGGTCGCTAGACCTAGCGGTTTCTTCTTCAGCGCTCCATTCCTCCTCATTTATACCCTGTACACATCGACCTACCTCACAGCAAATATAATTGACACGCTCGGATCAACAACACGCAACCAGCCCTATAATGCCATCGACACAGGCCTTCCCAAGTTTTTCGCAACAACAATAGTCAACATGACAATCTGCGTCTACAAGGACGCGCGCTTCGCCAAAATGTTTGGCGCCTCTCCTCCCTCCGACTCGCCAGTTAGAAGCAGCGTCATGAACACAAACCCAGTCGCAAGGAAGTACGGCTCTGCTCTCCGCGCACCATGCCCTCCTCCATCCGCACCCATAGCACCAACCCCCCAAATACCGAAAGTCTCCTACGGCCTCTTCTGTCTCCGTGACAGCATCACCATCTGGGCTTCTTTCAATATCCCCGCCCTTATTGCCCCCTCCGTCCCGGACTTCCTCGCCTCAAGCCCAACTATGAAATCTAGCATCGCGCAATTCGCCTGTCCTGCTGCTATGCAGTTTGTTAGTACGCCTATGCACCTCCTCGGTTTGGATCTTTATAACCGTCAGCCTGCCGGTGGTATGCATTGGACTGAACGTGCGGCGCGGATTCGTCGCGATTACGTGCCTAGTTGCTTTGCGCGTATGGGGAAAATTGTTCCTGCGTACGGTGTTGGTGGTGTGGTCAATGTGCGGATGAGAGATTCCTTGATGAAGAGAGTTGAGAGGGGCGAGTAATTTCTCTTTGACCTGATATCAAAGGAAAGGCAATGATTCTTGTGGACCGGAAAGGTAGGGTTTTGGTGGGCTAATGACTTGATGATCTCTTCATTTTGTTCTTATTTAATGTTTAGATTTGCATTTCGTGATTGATCTTGAGATCTCACGGTTCTTCCTCATCTCTCCACTCATCCTTATGGGATTAATGCTCGGCGTTTTTTGTTTTTTGGGCTTTTGCTTCGGTGTTTCATATCCCCAGACTTTGTTCTATGATTTGGCCGGTGATTATTTTGGATTATCTCTTTCTCTACTGTCTATCTCATACTTAGATCGGGGTGTACTTACCTGGGATTTAGCACAGGCCCGGGCTTTGGACTGGTTTGAAGGGTCTTGGCTGTTAATAACTTGGAACTCACTTTGGATATCAATACTTTTGATAAAATTTTCTGTTGAATTGATATATACTCGGGAGCACTAAATAGGTACTTTGGTAGAAGAAAAGAGAAAGAGAGTAAAACTAATCTAGCAGATGATATTCCTTATCAAAAGCAATTTACCACCTATAGAATCCAGTTAGCCAATTGTCATAATCTAGCAAGGAAATCACAAACTTACACAAAGGGCTCAGAATGCAAATATAGCTCCTCAAGCTCGCCCCTAAACACCCTCGCCTGCGCCAAAGCTGCCGCATTCCGAGTGTCATGTAGCATAGAAGCAGGACCACAAACTAAAACTCCAACCCGCTGCTTCTTCTCAAGATGCATCCCTTGAATATGTGCCATCTCAACAGTGTGTGCAACAAGACCAGGAAGATCAGGCCGAGCATAGCGGTGAACATTCAAACTGAAACTTCCCGTGGTGGTAATCTCAGCCGGCGGCATTTTGCCAGCCGTGCCCTTCACCTCGCCTGACTCTGAAGTCGAGGGAACCTCCGATACTTGTTGATCAGTGACGTGCACAGACACCGCAGTTTGAAACCCGTTGTCCGAGTCTGCGGATAATATGGTCGATTCCGAGAGTCGTGATTCGATCTCCTCGATATACCAATCTGCCATGGCGTGGTCACGGGTTGAGAATACAACTTGGAGGTTTCTCCTGGAGGGTGCTCGTTTCTCGCTCGCCGGTGAGTCTACCCCCGTCAACCGGAGTGCTTCGTCGACCATGGCTAATGAGAACCCGCCTCCCGAACCGCCAGCTATCACTAGGATCGTGTCGAATTGCGCCATGTGGGGTTCGCTGACGCCGCCATACGGCCCCTCTATCAAAATCTTCTTCGTGCAGCCTGGATTCTTGGCAGCCATTGCTCTAAGGCGTCCGGTGACGCCATCGCGTGGTTTGATATAGAATATTATTCTCGAGGCTTTGCCTATTTCGTCTGGATTGCGACATGCGGAGGAGATAGTGAAGGGATGGGCGGTGAGTAGGTGTAGGTCGGATGTGAGGAAACGCACGAATACGTGCTGACCGGGGGTCCATTTGATGATCGATGGGACCGAAACGCGGACAAGACCGCTGGGGAGGAGTTCGAGAGTTGCGTTGTGAATTCCGTGCACTAGATAGGTACGGATATGGCTGGCTATCAAGCTTAGGAAGTAAATCACGCCCGAGGCTATGAAGTAGTCCCTGCTATATGTCAACTCAAGGTCATCACGGGGTATGTGGGCGTCAAATATACCAGGAAGAGAGCCGAAAATCACAGTGAAGGAAGAAGAAGATGACAAACACTACCGCCACAAAGATGTGCGTGGCTTTGAAGAATTCGTAGAACCTGTTACTGTGGAAGTGTTAAGGTGTTGTCTCATACATAGGCTAGGTGTGATCTTACCGAATGCATGACAAAGACATCAGGGTTAGATATGTCTGTGATATGAGAGAAGCAACTCCTGTCCAGTAAACAACACTTGTCTTCCACTGATGAACCATGTCCCCTTTTCTGATGTGGTATATGATATACGGGAATGTATGAACCAAAGCCAACACAAACATCGCATAGCTAGTCCAGTGGTGGAACACTTGAAGTTTTTCATGCGGAATACCAGTCACCCCAGAGATCATGTTGGCTTTCGTGCTCAGTGCCCTGAAAGGAGATCAGCACCGACTGGCATGCTCCAAATCCAATACTCACAGTACAAAGGGAAGCAGTGCAAGGGCCATCCAGCCCGATCTAGTCGCAATCGGAGGACTACTTCCATAAGAAGCATCTGTCGGCCAGTAATAGGGCTTTGGGCCGAGTGTCATCGCTATATGAAGTTCAGCCGCCATTGTCACATCTTCACGAGTCCAAACCACCCACCGAAGAAGAATACAGCGCCAACTGCCCCCAGAATCATCACACCTAACGCCGGAGACCAATAGCGCAGCGCAGGCACTCGATATCCCCGATAAGACAAGTATCGTGAGACTGAAGTGAACCAGCGCCATGATCTATTCCGTTTCACTCTATTTGGAGTGAGTCGTATAAGCAAGTGTGATATTGTGAATACTCCAATCACTGCACACATGAAGTAGACGGTGCTTAATGCATAAACATGGTCGGCTTGGTACCTGGAACAGACCTCCGATAAGCACATGTACATGTAGGTCACTCAGGATCAGGTGCATACCAGTATCGCCAGCGATAATTGCGATAGAGACATTGGGCTTCGGTCAATTTGCACTTGTCGGCGCGAGACGAATGAAGCATCACCGGCTGATCAAGCCAGGGTGTGCCTTGAGCCTCCATTTCCATCATCTTGTACCGAAAAGAAGGGCTACTAACACTTGCGAGATACGGTCAAGGAAATACAGATATCATGAGAGATCTAAAGTATCATCGGCAAGTCTGGAGCTAGTTTGCTTTTGGACAGTTGCGGAGGACCAAAAGCGGGAATCCTCTATCCTCGTTGTACCTGTCGAGAGGTGTTGGATGGCCGTTCCAATCATTTCAGTCATTTCAGTCATTTCAGGTACTGTCATCAATCACCTAAACGGATCTGCTCCCAATTGAGCACATTTAATGGATCGATGGGGTCTACACTCATTTCAGAGACTCGTGGTTGGTTGGATTGTCAAAGGCTAAAATGGAGTAGAGCACATTTGCGCTTGATATAAATTGAATCGGACATCGGACATCCGGGGGCTACTGTCCCTTGGAAAATACTACCTATACATCATGCATATATCTTGCATCTCTGAATATTCCGGGATTCTCTCAAATGCGAGCTATTCAACGCATGCGGAGCAATCGAGGCTTGAGCCACAGTGGATAATTGGTCTACCTGAGGGACTATGTGGAAAGATGTTGAAAGAAAAAATACCTCAATGAGAGAGTCATAGGGTAGTATGCACCAAATCAAAACTAAACCAATGAAGTAATTGAAATGATACCAAGAAGAAAAAAAAAAGAAGAAAAAATCAAGGTACAATAGGTCTGCATCGGGACTAGCGTCTCACATGGCCGATCCAACCCTACATTCCGCATTCTCCTAGTCGATTGCGCTATGATCCTGAGTCTCACGTCCTCTGTTGAAGGGGTATCGCTGCAATGGATACATTACCCCTGGTATGTCCCTTGGTAGTGGAGATCGGGCTCTCACTCCTGATTTCATGCATCATCAGCGCACGGTGGCCTCCACGTACACTGTCTGCTTCGATGCCCTTCGCCCGAAGCACGCTGGTAGCCACACGTGCCGAATCCCCATCGTAGCATACCATAAGAACGTGATGCCTTCCTAGATCTGAGACTAACACGTCGTCGTTGAAGATTCTCTCCAGTTCCACCCATTGCGCCTCCAACAACCCCGGATCGGAGAACGGTGACGCGCTATGAGACCCAAGACTATACAATGGCAAATTCATCGAACCAGGGAGGTGCCACGTGTAAAAATCATTTGCCTGGCGCAGGTCCACAATGCGTTTCTGCGGTTGAAGGGCAATCTCGTTCAATAAGCTTTGCGCAAGGGATTGCGGTGATCCATAAAAGTGCGGTAGGACCTCTAATGCATCCCGCTCCCAGCTCTCATCATATCGATGCAGGTCGACTTTGGTCAGGCGCTAGTAAATAGTTGGGGGATTAGTTTTGTATCTTTTGGTTTTTATTTCTTTGGCCAAGATAGACTCGTTCGGGGGTAATTACCTCGTTTCGGATTGGGTGGAATTGTTGCTTGCCCAACTTTTCAAAGTACTCATCGATGTACTGGTACGGCAGGTCGCAGCAAAGAAAGACGCAGTGGGTTGTGCCATCTGGTCCTGCGAGCTCAGGTAAAGTTCCCGCAACCTTGCGCTTTGCCAGATTTTGGAAGAGTCCTTGGAGGTTGAACCCGGAGGATGGACCACAGACCAGTCCTTCTCGGCATAGGTTTAGGGAGAGAGTATAGGACTCGGCCGACCCGACTTCTTCGATGGTATCTACGGCTGCTCTCCAGGGAAACTCAACAGGGCGCATGAGAGCATATGACCTAGGGCCAGGTACCCGATCACCAGGGGCAGTGCAAACACCAAGTCGGTAAACAGACGGCTTCACGTCTTTAAAATAGGTCCCAAGGCCGGTCATGGTACCAGAAGTGCCCATACCAGCGCAGAGAACGTTTATTTCAGGAAGCTGCTTGAATATCTGGGGCCCGGTCCATCGGATATGGGACTTCCAGTTGTTGTTGTTTTCGTATTGGTTGGGATTGACAGTCGTCTCTGACTCCAGAGCCAATCTTCGGGCATTCTGAATACCGCCTCTTTCGTCCAATGGCTCTGGTTGAGACGGCCCACCGAACAAGGTAATGTCGAGACCGAAGAATTGCATCAACTTCAGCTTTGCGTCGCTAGTTTTGTTACTCAGGAAGGCCCGGGTATCATTCACTCCGTGCATAACTCGGGCAACCATTGACATCGAAATCACTGTTGACCCGGAGCTGTATTCGATGATCTGGTCTGTCTTGCCGGAAACAACGCTAGATTCGAGCATGTTCAATGCTGATCCCCTGTTAGCTTGCAATTGATGTTTACTGTTCTCCCAGGGCTTCTCATACCTGGCATTGCCTTGACATTGTTTGCCGGATGCATGGTCATCATTTTGGCATATATCCGCACCCCATCTTCATGATAAGGGTTCAAATGAGGTGGGAGCTCTACAAGAGGTAGAGGAGGCTGACAGTCCGGGTTGAAGTATTTTTTCAGCGAGTCGGTACCAAAGTACACATTGCGCTCATTCATATTAGCCATTTTCTGGGAAGAATTGGTCTTCTTGCCCGGGGCACCTTTAGTGCAAGATATAGATGTGGATGATCGAGTACGCAGATAGCCTCTCCTGCGCGAATTTCAAGAGCAATGTTCTCGAGGGGTGAGACCAGATATGAAAACAGAAAACCCCGGGTCTATCTGGGTAATTATACAGAATAAATTTCCATAGCAGTCCATCACTTGCCCCTCCATCCTGTTGCGTCTTTCTTGGCGTCCAATAAGTAGGAAAGCAAGATCTACTCTGACTCCACTAATGAATATCCCACCACACGAGTCAGATATGAGAGGGTTGAACAACAAAGGTGGACGCTGGAAGCCCTGGAAATTTGCTACTACGATGAATAAGGAAATTGGGTGGAGCGATCTCGGGGATATCGAGACAGTCCGAGTGTAGATCAGACCCTGTAAGGTAAGCCTATTCGTCACACTCATAAATATAGAAAGGTTGAAAACGGAATGGGGTGGACTGGAACTGCGTCATGCTCTAGTATTCTTGCCATCTTCTGTGCATGATTTGACAAGGTCCCCAGGAACGAATTCAATCCCACAGGTCCTCACATTCAATTTCCTATTAGCTGAAAATCTTCCGATATCCCGATATACTGCACTGAGGGCCGGGGACCTTGAGGGCGTTTGAGAAGTTTTGTCAACTTTGACATGCAGATCTTCTGTCAAGGTGCTCAGACTAGGCGCCGATCTCTGATCGAACGAATGTGGATAGATTGGAGAGATTACTTCGTTTTGACCTTTTGAGTGGTTTCGATTTTCTCTCTCTTTTCCTCACTATCTAGCACGTCTTTAGCTAAGTGTATGTTTGCCTTCTATCCCTTTATATCCTTTATACCCAAACGCCATGACAGCGATATTCGAAAATTCGAAACCAACAGAGGAGGTTGCGGTTGACAATGTGAAGAATGTCACTTTCAATGAACAAACCAATTATGTGCCTAAACGCACTATCATCACGGTTAGTAGATACAACAATAAGCAATATATGACCCAGTTAATGACAATTTCAAGATTTTCCTGGCGTGTTCCAGCGTTGATCTCCTGGCATTGATGGACCAGACGACGCTCGCAGCCAGTTTGTCTATCATAGGAAACGCATTGGGGGCCAGTGATCAGACCTCCTGGATTTCGGGCGGTTACTTCGTGTGAGTACTCTTTGCTCTTGTGGTAATGATACTATTCACCTAACACTCACGACACAGAACATCAACATGTTTCCAATTGCTTTATGGAAAATTATCCGACATTTGGTCTCGCAAGCTCGTGCTCTTTGCCGGACTAGCCATATTCTTCTTTGGATCATTGGCAGCTTCCCTTGCGCAGACAGCCACGCAATTGATTGTCTTCCGAGCTTTCACCGGTGTTGGCGGCGGTGGTCTCATGACGGTTGCACAGATGATCGTCAGCGACGTTGTCCCTCTTCGTGAACGAGGCAAATATCAAGGTATTCTTGGTGCCGTCGTTGCTATTGCTAACGGTATCGGTCCTGTCATCGGAGGTGCACTAGCTTCCATTTCCAAAGACTCGTGGCGATGGATCTTTCGCTTGAATCTGCCACTCACTGCGCTCACCACGTTGGCTGTTTTGTTCTTTATGCCCCTTCGGAAAGTCACTGGCGATTGGAAAATCAAGTTGAAGGCAATTGATTTCTTTGGTGCGCTTCTGGCTCTCGGTGGGACTTCGGTCTTGCTGCTTGGTTTGACTTGGGGTGGCGGCGAGTATGAATGGAACTCGGTGCATGTTATTGCAACTCTGGCGATTGGCCTCACCATCTCTGTTGCTTTTGTTGTGTGGCAATGGAAGGGTGCATCGACACCGCTGGTTCCAATGCACATCTTCCAGGGTCGGATTGTGAACGGCGCTTGTCTGACCATGTTCATCAACGGGTGGAACTTTTTGGTACAAGTTTACTATATTCCCATTTTCTATCAGCTGGTGTTTGGATATTCAACGGTAAAAGCAGCAGCAATGCTGCTCCCTATCACACTCATGCAAAGTATGAACCCTCTTCTTGGTTGTGGTTCTGTGCTGACTTCCCTCGCAGCTATCAGCAGCACAGGTTCCGGTCTTGTTGTACACTGGGTAGGCCGCTACCGTGAATGCATCCTGTTTGGATGGATAATCTGGGCAGTTGGCCTTGGTCTTTTCTCAACACTTGATCAGCATTCGGGATTGGGAAAGCAGATTGGGTATGGCATTCTGACTGGTGTCGGGGTTGGAAATACTCTGCAGCCGTACGAGACCCCCTATCTCGATCCAATAAAATACGCTAATTCCCTGTAGCTCTCTCATTGCAGTTCAAGCCGGTGTTAAAAGACGGGACATGGCGGTGATAACTTCATTCAGAAAGTGAGTGATTGCCACAGTCATGCTAGCCATTTTATGAAGCTGACAATGAGCAGCTTCGTACGAAACCTCGGTGGCACTCTAGGGCTCGCTATTGCCGGAACTATCATGTAAGACTTCATTATAATCTCTGGCTTGTTCCCTCACTAATCGACACAGAAATAATATCCTCGCTTCGTCCATTTCAAAGCTCAATCTCGATGAAATTCAGTCTCGCTCTCTTCTCTCGAGCCCACAGAGCTATCTATCAAAGCTATCTGTAGAGGACGCTAAGCATGTCCGGGGTGTGTTAACTCCGGCATATCAAAAGGGGTTTCGCATCATTTTCATTGTCGGTGCATCCCTTGCAACATTTGCTTTCTTTTTGGCTTTTTGGTTGATGCCACAGGTTGCCTTGAACCGAGCGGACGATCAAGCTTTGAAGGAAGAAGGAAAGAAACGACTCAATGGAGGGTTGGACGAAGAAAAAAAGTGACAGTCAGATCTCATCAGCTTTGGTCGTCAAAGGTCGGATCTCCCTATGGACTATGTTAACTTGAGGAAGCAGATAAATTCAAAGACCAATCTCCCAGTGCCGCATGCTGATCTCAGTGTGCTCCAGAAAGCAAAAGCCCATTTATCAGTTGCATATATCTAAGGGTCCCCAGATTTTACCCCTTAATGTATATTATATCCAATTCCAGTCAGAACATCTATCATCCCGACAATCTTGTTGAATCTGGTCTGGGAAAAGAGCCCTTCAATTACCCTTTTGGGATGTTTTACATCAATCCTTCTCCCGTTATCTCCCAATACCGATGGACCAGTCAGATTTGGATCGCTACCCCAATCTCATTGACCATGTAACCCCATTCGATGCCTCGAACTTGGAAGCCCTGGCGGAGCTGCATATTTCAAATTGTATCCACCGGAGAAACGAAGCTATGGGCTCAGCCGATATTGATGCAAGTCGCCAGATATCTCTTTTGTCAACTCACTGTAGACCATGGGTTCGCGCTTACAGAAGGCCCATTGGGGATATTTGATGCTGCGATCTAATACACGTCAAGGCATCATAGAACATGTGACTTTATCTCAAACCAACTTCCAACACTTTACATCATATTCAGCATGTTCCCCAGAGACTGGGCAATTCCCATATACGGAGTCAACTCCGGTGACAAGCTTGTACAAGATTACCAGGGCGTCATACTCATGGCTACCCCAATCCCGCCATACCAATGCAAAAGTAGGTCAACATTAGGAGTCATGCCTATCAGGATCAGAATAGATAAGTATTTTCACCTTTTCCATTCGTGAAAACTCCCTCATGTAGGTTAGCTCAAGCCTCGGAGGCATTGGGAGGAAGATGTCATCTCTGTCCGATTTTCTATTTGTTATATGCTCCGTCCTTGTCCCTTCATATCAATCAATTGACCCCATATTCCCGAATTGGCAACTCGTCGCCCATCCGTCCCCATCTTGAAAGCTTAGCTGGAGATGGTATAAAGACAGTCCCAGTCATATTTTTCTTCCTGTCCCCAAACAATTCAAGTGATTGACAATCCAACATCATGTTACCCTCTCTGACCTTGATTGCCTTCGCTCTCCTACCAGGAGTGCACGGAGGTGTCATACACCAACGCTGTGGCCCATTGGCTAATTACTACAATCAAGATACAAAGGACTGGGACACCTACAATACCGGCGCCTGGCTAGATAGCTGGTGGAACAACAATAGCGAAGTAATCGCCAAAAAAAGGGGCGGGTTTGCGAGCGCCTTCGGTCAATGGGCAATGGGAGACCCAGACTGGACGTGTTTAGATGTCGGCTCAAGCTCAAACTGCAATCTGCCGCTATGTGATAACAGAGTTCTCAATAGCCGCGGTGATGATATCCGCCCTGCATACTATGTCCTCGAATCCATCAATCGCCTGCACGGTTACTTCGATGGTATTGGCGAGGCTTTCACCACTACTGCTTTGGGTGCGGCTTTTTCCAAGGACAACTGGGCTGAAACTTTTTACAAAGATACAGAGGTCAAAAGTGTCACTGCACTCAAGGAGGTACTCAACGTCTTCGTGATGATTATTAGTATTGGTGCTGTGTTTGCTGGACTAGGCTCCGTTGCACTTGGTACCACTGCTAATGTTGGCGCTGCACTTGCCAGTACTGGAAACAGCGCTGGGTCCATTGCTATGGCTGCTCAGTATGTGATACTTCTATCTTGGAATGTTTGTCATGTCTATATTAACAACAGTAATAGTGAAAAAGATACCTTTGACAAGGCCGCCAGCCTGGGTGCGGTTATAGGCAACATCGCTGTGGACGCGAAGGAGTCGTTCACGACCGCTAACAACCAGTTGATGCGGGGCCAACAGTATGGCAACGCAGATATTCGACAATACATCGCTAATGGAGCGTTCCTCACATTCCCAGGGGTCGACAAGAACGCCGTCATTGATCAAATGAACACTATGCTAATTGGTACTGCCATCAATCAGTTGTACCGTACCCAAAAGGTCTTTATCATGGGTGGCGGTGCCTGCGGCGATAACCAGGGAATTGGTTCTGGTCCCCAGGAGGCTGCCGTTTGCCGTGATAATAAGGCCTGGTACCTATACTACTGGCAGGAGAACGATGTGTTTTCTTTTACTCCCCATCAATGGGGATGGGTCAATCCGCCCCCTGGGGCTGACAAGCTGGGTCAGGGTGATTATGCGAACATCCATGCTACTGTAAGTGCCATATAAAACCACTATTGCATGATACTAATTTCTTCCTAGGATATCATCAACTCCTCTCTTGATGCCTACAATACCGCTGGTTTTAACTACACTTCCGAGATAGGTTCCAGTCGTGCCCTTGATGCTATCAAAAATTCCTGGGGAAATCCCGCCGCCCAAGGTGCATCCTGGGAGGGTATTTTCACAATTCCAGTGTGTGACATCGGCAATGCTATCGGCGCCGATTACGTTGGCAAGGAGTATATCTTGCAGCCATACGGCCACGAGAGTCGCCCTGTCTGGTGTGGACCGATCTGCAAGGGCAATGCTCATACGGCCCAAGACGATGCTCAGACGACAAAAGACTTTATCAAAGCGGCTAATATGGACAACTTTGAGGGTTTCAATCATCTCTGCCCTGAAACCCGACCAGGTCATCCTTCCTATCGCCCGCCAGGGGGTCGCGGGTCAATTTTGGCCTAAATGCCTTTGTCCAGCTATGAGACTGCATGTCTTTTTATTCATTGGGCTTGTGAATTCCTCTTTGCAAATGTGAAGGCTTGGTCGGGTTCACAGATCTTTTCTATCCATGTATCTCAATTGATTTACCTATCGTATCTCATAGTCTATGTTAATGGGATTATTGAACCAGCAATGTTGAACAGAAATGGCTTGTAGAGCCTAAACAGTTTACCATAGAGACATAAAGCACAATTTCTGAAGGTTAAGGGCTGGATTTCTGTTCTCAGTTAGGAAGGAAATGATTGTCTGTTTTACTTCTCTTCAGATTTCTCTAACAGACGGTATTGTAGGGGTAAAAGAACTGGTCTCAAAAAAAAAGCCATGTATTAAAAAGAGGGTAATGCTTCTCCCTGCATCTTGAACGGTAATAAGAGCCTACGCAATTATCAAAGAGAAGTGAGGAATGTCATCAATCATCATGTCGTCTGAAACGGCCCCAAGCAAATAAGATTCACTGCACGCCAGTTCAGATCCACTGCACAGACTGGGGGATCAACAGCAGAAAAGAGAAGTTCGTAACGTGTAGACAAAAGTACACACAGGATCATGTGTCCCCAACTTCGACGACTCGTTCCACAATCCAATCCGCAAAAGCCTGACCCTCGAGTTTCCACCGTCCATCAATCCACACATCAGTGAGCCAGTAAGTCCACGGTTTATTCAAAGATGTAAGCTGCAAATCCCAAAGTGGGGCCGTCACGCGGCGACTCGCAGAACGAGCATCCACCCCTGCTGAGAGATCTTGATTTACATTGCGGAATTCGACAGCCGAAGTTGGGTTACTGGTACCAGAATCGCCTTGCCTGATCCGCCATTCGCGCTCGGCTTTTTCGCCTGCGCGGCGGGCGACCGCTTCCTCGTCTTCTGCTTGGTATAAGTTGCATTTCGTGCACTCTGTGCAGCGAGACCCAGGGTTGATGCGGAAGTGCTCGCAAAAGTGTTTGTAGCCTTCCGGTTCTTCGAATTCGTCATCAGACATGTTGCCTGCAACCTGCTCATTGTTAAAGGGATTGTCGGGTATATCGCCCGGGCCATCAAAGGCATCTACCCCACGGAGGGCACGGGGAGGCGTGGTTGTTCGTGGAGGGGGGCCTAGTGCCTTCCGGCATAGGTAGCACATGGAGTAGCCACAGACGCAAGTCAGTTTATTGCAGCCTGAGGATTTGACAAATGAGAGGCAGCAGCGGGGACAGGTGCGTTTCACGGCGGCGGTACGGGCAGCCTCGACGGTAGCGCGCAAATCCAGGAGCAACGGTTCATGACACACATGTGGATCTCGCCACGGTTTCTGGCATGTCATGCAGCTAATGCGTAAGCAGGAAGGGTTGGCACAGGTGAATCGCTTAGGCCGAATCTTGAGACAGAGATTGCGAACGGCATTCCCAAAGGCCGCTGTTACGGTGGCTGGGTCCAGGAGTAATAAAATAAACACAGGAATTACGAGTAAGGGTACGAGGTCAAGGAGGAAAAGGATCATCAGAATCGTAGGAATAGTGCCACCGTCACGACGAAACCGCCAGCGAACACCGCGGGATGAAGGGTGGTAGACGGGGTCAATTTCAGCATAGGAGCAGAACGGACATCTAACGAGCTTCAGTTGTGACTTCATAAGTGCCTCAGAGGAGAGCCGATCCTCGAATTTGCGGTATGTCTCGAAGCCAGCCGTGTCGAGAAAAATTGCCTGCTTGACAATCTCCGGATGAAGACATCCATTGCACGACCCAACAGATAGCGGTGCAAGACACTTCAAGGTAGAGCGCTCCAGATCGACAGACTTTCCCCAGCCCTGTCCAAACAGTGCTTCGTAGACGGTTCTTTGAATACAGAGGTAGCAAATGATATGAGTGTTGGTTGAACATGTCGCGATCTGCTCGAATGTCACATCGGCAAAACAACACTCGCATTCGTAAATGGCATTAAATTCTTGAGCTTCCTTCTCGTTCAGCTCTGAAGCAAATCGGAAATCTTTGTCCTGCTGCTCTTCGCGCTTCTGTTGCAACAGCGGGGCCAACAACATCTCGTGGAGCTCTGCATCCAACTCGCTGCATCCGGTTTCTTTCAGAACAGGGACAAGTTCCCCGTCGACTCGACGATGCCATGCCAAAAGCGGATGTTCCTCGCGGTCCTTCTTTCGCCTGAAAGACGGGAACATACTGTTGAATGTCGCGCGCCATGTCCGACGAGATAGGTCCCGGAGCATCGGTCGAGCCCGAGCATAGCTAAAGTTCACTTCAGCTAGAACAGCCTCCACGGTACTTTTGTTCAGACCAGTATATTCTCTTGTCATGGCCATCCGCACGGCGGCCTTGTAATTATTGGACCGAAAGCGCTCCTCGGGAGGGACCAGGCCACTATCGCCAAGGTCATGTCGAGCAAAGTCATCGCCCCAAGGAGGTACGCGAGCACTTCCCTCTGCCTCGGCTTCAGTGGTTCCTTCTGGGATATTCCACCGCCCCGAAACCCATTTCTTCTTATGCCTAAGCAGCTCCTCCACACACACTTGTAACCGGCTCTGTCCGTCAAAGCGTAGCAGCAGCTCACGGAATACCTCTATCTGTACATCCGGAAATATGCGAACCAGAGTCTCGAGTGCGGTATTGAGTTCCTCCTGTTCCCTCTTGTGTTCCTCTGTTTCGTGAGCCGAGAGCTGGACGGGGCCGCGGGATCGGGAGGTATTGCCGAAAGGGTTATTTCGTAGCGCTTCGAGAGTAATAGAGTAGCTGTTGGGAGAGGGACCAGTCTGCCCTAGTGATGGCTTTCGGACATTGGGACTGGATGAGGAGCTGGTTGAAGAACCAGAGGTTGACTTTCGGTGAGATTGCGTACCGTCGGGGCGGGATGAGGAGGATTTGGAGAAGCCGGGGACTGGCAGCGAGAGCACCATGATTGTAGATTTACATGGTTTGGAAATATGAAAGTGTCAGATGTCTGCGAGATATGGGAATTCAAGAATGTGAAGCCTGCCCAGGTGAGAATGATTTGTTACATAAGACGTTCCGCAGGCCTCTCAACCTTCAGGTGACTTGTGTACTCACAGAAAGTCTGGAGAGTATTTCATTCGCCATGTACATCGCGTACGATATCTTTGAAACATATGAGCTTCAAGCCACCAAAAATCATTGCATGCTACCAAAACGAGTGAAGAAGAATCATGCCATGTTCGTCAAATGATATACGTCCTCCCTTAGCAATCCTCTCCTCTTCAAATTATATTCTGGCACAAAAGATGGAAACTCCTTCAATCAATATCACTGAAATGGCAAAGTATCTACATTGACAGTGCAGACTACATCTATTCAAAAAGTCCAGATTGTCCAGTGTGATTACCAGATTCAGATCTCATTGACCTCATGAGGAAAACCAAAGACACGCAAAAGCACAGGTAGTATATACAAAAAAGCAACAGTCTGATCCAAGTGTTTCGACTCGCTTTGCCTATGGGAATATCGCTTTAACCAAATATTTCATACTTTACAGCTTGGCCTTGGCGCCCTCTAGGAGCTCGGCACCGGCGCCGGTAATGGCAGGCTTGCCAGTCTCAACAACGGTGGCCTGGAACAAAACGGTGTTGCCCTCCTTCCACATCTCAGTCTTGAGAGTCTGGCCAGGCAGGACAACACCCGCAAAGCGAACCTTGAGGTTCTTGTAGGGACCAAATTTGGAGAAGACTGCCTTGGCTGACACACCGAGCGAGCACAGACCGTGCAGGATGGGGGTCTTGAATCCGCCGACCTTGCTGAACTCGGGATCGATGTGAAGCGGGTTGCGGTCGCCGTTCAAGCGGTACAGCGCTGCCTGGTCCTCGGAGGTCTTCTCCTCAACCACGGCATCGGGCTGGCGCTGCGGCGCCTTGTACGCAGCAGTGGCACCCTTGGCGCGCACGGCAGTGGGCTTAGGAGAGCCTCCGAAGCCGCCACTGCCGCGGATGAAGACGCTGGACTCGTTGTAGAACAAATCCTCGCCGGTCTTGGCATCCTTGGTTGTGTACCCGGCCACGACAATGGCCGCGTTGCCCTTATCGATAACGTCAATGAGCTTGGGATAGGTCAAGGTATTGGCGGTGGTGGGGATGGGGAATTTGCGAACCTCCATGTACTGCTCGCCGTGGAGCAGCATCATGGGGGAGAAGTCCTTTACCAAGTCGTCCATGTTCCAAGGATTAGCGGTGTTAAACCAGGGGATAACACCGTAGGAAGGAAGGGCCTGGAATTGATCGCTGTTCTCGTAGACAAGAGGCAAGTCGGTACGCTTGGCGCCCACACTGAGATTGTACAGGATCACATCGCGGTCCTCGTAGTTGAAGGGAGTGCCCTCGCTCGAAAGGGTCTTGGCCTTCTCGATATTCTTCAGGATCTCGTTCTCGCTGGAGGGATTGCCATGTACGCGGTTAGCCATGTTAGCCATGATTTTCTCCGCGCCGGCCTGGCCGTCCTCGGGGTGGTCAGCGCGACCATCATCGAAGTTGGTGATCTGCTTCCAATTACGAACCACCTCCTCCGGGGTCAGCTGGACGTCCACGGGGAAGCCGTGACCGCCGGCGCGCTGCCAACGGGTACGGCCGAACCAACCACTACCACACTCAAACAGACCCTTGGTGGAGGGTTCAGGGGCCATATCAGAGCACAGCAAGACCACAAGGGGGGCAACGTAGTCGGGCTTGAAAGCCTGGACCATCTCTTCGGGCATAATGGTACGGGTCATATTGGTACCCGCGTTAGGAGCAATGGTGTTCACCTTGATGTTGTACTTGGCACCCTCCAACGCTAGAGTGCGAGAGAAACCCAGGATACCAAGCTTGGCAGCAGCGTAGTTGGCCTGGCCAAAGTTGCCGTAGATACCGCTCGTACTGGCAGTGTTGACAACACGGCCGTACTTCTGCTTAAGGAAGTAGGGCCAAGCAGCCTTGGTGACCTTGTAGGTACCACGCAGGTGGACATTGACAACGGAATTCCACAGGTTGTCATCCATGTTGTTGAAAGCCTTGTCGCGCAGGATACCGGCGTTGTTCACCAAGATATCAATGCGGCCAAAGGCATCAATGGCGCTCTTGACAACGGCATCGCCATCCTCGCAATTGGCCTTGTTGCCCACAGCTTTACCACCAAGCTTGATGATTTCCTGAACCACAGGCTCGGGATCAACAAGATCGTTGACCACAACGGAGGCACCGAGCTTTGCGAACTGCAAGCAGTACGCGCGGCCGAGACCGGCACCACCTCCGGTGACCAGGGCAACACGGCCCTTGAAGTCAGGCTCCTCTCCCGGTTGAGCGCTAGGCATCTTCAAGCCGTCTTCCAAGAAGCTCATGAAGTCAGCAGGGCCTGTAGGGTATTCGGGCTTAGAGAAATCATTGACATCGTTCCACTTCCGGGCAATAGCGCCAGGGGTCAGAGAGTTATCGGTCTTCAGGAGAGCACCCTTGGCTCGCTCCCAGCGAAGCTTGGCAACATGGCCACCCCCGACCTCGTAGATACCACCGGTCTCTGTAGTGTTTGATGAGTGCACGAGGGCAGCGACCAAAGGAACAACCCAATCGGGCTTGAGGTTCTCCAGAACATCCGGGGGCATGACAGTCGCAGTCATGCGGCTGGCAGCTAATTTGGGGGTTAGCTTTCCCAGTTCATGTTGGGGTTGGGTAACTTGCTTACCGATGGGAGCAATAACGTTGGCAATAATGTTGTATTTGGCACCCTCCTTAGCCAGGGTCTCAGTGAAGCCGACCTGGCCGAGCTTGGCGGCTGAGTAGTTGGCCTGACCGAAACTGCCGAATAAACCGGCAGCCGAGGCAGTGTTGATCACACGGCCGAACTTTTGTTTGCGGAAGTGAGGCCATGCGGCTCTTGCACACTGTACAGAAAACAAACTATCAGTCCCTGCTTCGACGGCTTTTTGTTATATGTCCGAGGATTCTTACCTTGTATGCACCGTAGGTGTGAACTGTGTTGATCAAATCCCAGTCGGCATCCTTCATGTTCTTAAAGCTTACATCCCGCAGAATACCGGCGTTGTTGAGCAGGATATCGATGCGGCCAAAGGCCTTGATAGCGGTCTCGATGATAGCATCACCGTTCTCGACACTGTCGTAGTTGGCGACGGCCTTACCGCCAGCGGCGCGGATCTCCTCGACGACAACATCTGCAGCCTGGAATAACTGTGAGCATCTGTCTATCTGGATTTGGTGTTGGACATACCTTTCCTGACTTGCCCTCACCCTTGTGAGAGACACCGAGGTCGTTCACGACAACATTTGCACCCCTTGAGGCGAAGAAGAGAGCATATGCTTTCCCCAAACCACCACCAGCACCGGTGACGACCACCGTTTGATTATCGAATCGCAGTTCGGACATTGTGTGTATGTGTGTATGTGTCCGAAAATAAGAGAGAAATAAAAAAGAAAGCTGGAGAAGAGGGGAGTTTAAAGCCAACTCGGCAAGCTGAGGACCTCGGCACGTTTTCTGTAATTAACGAAATATCGGGGTATCGTTACAATGGCAGATCGCCCCGTATCACATGCCGAGTAGATATCCATACCTGATGTACTCCGTATGTACTTTAGATTTCATAATATATACAACATACATTGCCTAGGTACGGAATAGATTATACTACACTTATGCAAATCATATGTGTATATCGAGATATACGAGTACTTGTCTCTAGCTGACTCAGGCATGCCGCATGTGACGGGCAACGTCATTATCATGTGCTCTATTAATTTGATACAATTGGACTATTGGACTATTGGACTATTTTTCAACTATATCAAATAATGTGACGATTCACTGACTCCAATCTCGATATAACATACTCATATATCAGGCCGAAAGTAGCGGCTGAACATACCCCGTGGGGGAAGAACTCAGATTCACTCGGCCGATTGGGGGAACATTGAACTTTCCCGTAGATACAAAATGTCCAGTAAAAACCTACAAGGACTCAGCTAAAACAAAAAAAAATCAATATGCCTGAAATTGTGGACGACAAGTCGCAACACTGCATCCCCTTCCTTCTCGATCGCCTACGCGTTCATAATGAGCGGCACCGCGGTAACCCCAGTACCCCACCATTTTTCATCGGCCTCAATGGTGTGCAAGGTGCGGGCAAGACAGTCCTGGTGAGTAAATTCAAAGCTAGTCAATTTTTTTTCTGGCCTCGGGATTTCGCCGAATCTCCTCGGGACGGAATCTCTAACTTCCATAGGTATCCGCTCTTAATGACACCCTCCGCTCGGAACCATACTCGCTCTCGGTCGTGACATTGTCACTTGACGATATATACCTTACCCACGCCGATCAGGTAGCTCTGGCACAAGCGCATTCTTCGAATCCCCTCTTGCAGCATCGTGGTCAGCCCTCGACACACGACCTCGCGTTGGGTGAGGAGGTGTTTGCTTCGCTCGCCGCGGAACGTCCGACAGCCATTCCGCAGTATGACAAGTCTGCGTTTGAGGGCCAGGGCGATCGTGTTCCAAAAGCACAATGGGAGGTTGTCAATAAAGAGAGTCAGGATAAAGTCAAGGTCGTGATCTTCGAAGGGTGGTGTGTCGGCTTCCGTCCGTGGGATGACCAAACCTTGCGTGCGAAATGGCAGTCCGCTGTGCGTCAAAAGGAGAACGGCAACTATGACGGGCGACTGGGTCATGTCAAGCTCGAGGACGTTGAAGCTGTAAATGACGCTTTGAAGCGATATGATGTCTTGACTGAGTGGGTTTCCTCGGCCATTGATGATGACACATTAAACAGCTTTGCTAACACAGGTTTCCTTCACAGCAAGCTTGATGCTTTGATTCATATGTATATACTCTGTCCCTCAATATACTTCAACTCACTGACCAATTTCAGCGATGCCGAAAACCCTCATTTCGTCTACGAATGGCGCCAGGAACAGGAACGCACGCTCCGTGCTGTCAAAGGCACCGGGATGACAGAAGAACAGGTCAACCACTTTGTGGACGGCTGTATGCATATACTCGAAAGAGCAAAGACATCATTAAGGACAAAATATACTGACAATCGATATAGATTATCCATCCTACGAGCTCTTTACTGAAACCCTACGGGAAGGTGCTTTCAAGCCCGCACATAACCCATCAGCACTGAACTCGGACTGGCAAGGACGACAGCTCTGCCTTGTGGTTGACCGTAACAGGAGAGTTCAGAAGGTCATTAAAATCTGATCTGCGTGCGCTAAGATAAACACATTGGAAGGAATGCAATATCACAGATAAATTGAATATGTATACATATTTTGCCACATATCTCAGGGGTATCCCTACTCTAGGCTCTGTGCGGGGTTTACTTTATTTAAAATAGGATGAGAATAACTGCTTCGTACAACGAGATTGTCGCTCAGAATCCCCAACGGCTGGCAAGTCTGATAGGATATGCTTTATCTGGACACATGTGATCAATCTGCCAGGCTCCAGATAGACCGAGCTACTAAAGCCAACTAGTTAAGTATAGCAATTAGCTTGAGATTTGGGCAGGGTTCGTAGAATTACGAAAGCTCTTTTCAAAAGAAAACAGGAAAAAATAGCCAACAGAATACATAGCCCAAATGTCACGAGATTCGGACCTCGGGACAGCCTTCGGCTTCACAAAATGCCGGTGACTGCCAAGAGACTGCGATACCATGCTGTAAATAACAGGCACGACTGAAAATACGATGGGTTACTTTTGAATACAATTACGAGATGGGAGTACGAGGGGAACAGGCCCATGACCATGCAATTGGGTTGCTTGAAGCATTAAATTAATCGGAAATCCCAGACCATAGTACCGCTATAAAAATTGACCAATGGATATAAACAGCCCGTGCAAAAAACAACCCAAGACAGAAAAGTCATAAATTTTTGATAACATTTTTGGAGTTGCGTTCAGAGAACGCTCCAAGCCGGAATCCTCAAGAAGAAATCTAGTTCATCTGGCGGATGAGAGCGTTGATGTTCTCCTCACGGTTACCGGTGTCACCACCCTCGATGTAGTGCTTGAACTTGCGGGCGCGGAAACCACCGGTGGGGTTGGACAGCTTGAAGGGCCAGAGGAAGTTGTTGGCCTGCTTGAAGTTGGGGCCAACGGTGTAGATCTCGTGGATCAGATCCTCCATGCAGACGATACCGAACTTGCCGAGGTGCTCCTCGATGATCTGGTTATCGGTGAGAGGAGTGCGCTGCTTGTCGACCTTTCCGTAACCACGCTTGTACAGAAGCTCGCGGACGGACTTCAGGTTGGGGTAACCGTAGGCAATGTAGGGGTTGACGATGGTCAACATCTCCTGGGTAGCCTTGGTGAGACGAATGAAAGTACCAGAGTTGATCTGGAGCAGACGCAGAAGCTGGAGAATCTTGCGGGGCTTGGGAGCAATCTTGTTGATACCCTTGATACGGACAACGAAGACGAGCTTGGGCTCACCCTCAACGAAGAAGCTGCCTTCCTGACGAGCAACACGGTTGAGGCGGATCTTCTCGCGCTCAGCGGTGCGGTACTCCTGGACGTAGGACTCGGCACGCTTGAAGATGACACCGCGCTTCTCCTTGTTGGCCTATGAGTCTCAATTAGCGTGGGAGTTCTCCAAAATCTTGTATAATAAGATGGCAAGTGGGTTGTGTAACTAATGTCAGACCCGAAAGATGGTTGACAGACGACAGCATTGACCGTGGTAGCGGTCTAGTCATCGTGAATGGTGTTATGCATCATGTAGTTGGAAGGAAGTGTGTGACGGTGAGGACTGAAGGGGAACTGACCTTCTTGGTCTTCTCGGCCTCGGCACGGCGCTCAGCGCGGGCAGCCTCCTGGGACTTGCGCTTCTTCAGAAGGGTCTCAGGAACGAGGACCTGGTTCTGGGTGGGGACAGAGCTGTGAAATGTTAGAACAGTCTGTTTTCAAGAAAGAAAAGAAGAAGACTGCGACAATTCGCCGAGTGAAAGAACTGCAGCATATAGCGCCACATTCTCAACTGAAGGCATAAAAAAACTCGACGAAATGTCTTTAATCAGTGAGGGCCAAGGCATTGCGGTTTCAAGATCGATAACAGCTTGGTACTAGCCATGCATATTCCAGCACAGTCTTCGCAAGCCCGATCACCCACGACAGGCCATTGATGCCTTCATCCGACAAAACCCCGAACAATGTTCAGGAAATATTTGTTGACACCTTTCGCTTCAGGTCCATAATGCTATTACCACATCATGAGCGCCCAGAAACGATAGTTCACAACAATATTTTTGGAGGAGAAGGCGCCAGGCGCTTTCAACCTCAAGACTCCATCACCCTCTTTCTGTACCCAAATTTCGCTCTGTGATATACGAGATGTGTATCCGAGATAATTGAGATTGAAATAGAAGGCAGGAAGGATCGAGCTGGTACCTAGCCGTCATCATTGTGGACAAACGGCTGGCATCCCCAGCGAGAAGGACGACTATACCGGCAACCTTACAAACTCAAGCAGAGATTGCATCAGTCTTAGGAACAAGTCATTGGGAATCATACGTAGTAGCGGCCATTTTGAAGGTCCGGACGAGGTCGAGAGTCGGCTGGTTGTCGAAGGATGTCAAGGGAAGAACAAAAAGTAAGAAGAAAAGAAAAGTAAGAAGAGACTTCGCTTGTGTGGGTGCGGGTCCCTCTAACCATAGGTGGCTAGCCCATTACATTACAGCGCTAACCCGTTCTGGGCCCAACCCTTATCGGAATCCAGATAAGGGCTCACCTCTTATCAGATGACTTCATGGATGTCTGACCCGCCTGGGGTAATTAGACTTAACCAGGACTAACTATCAAGTGAAGTCTGACCCCTTACCCTCACTCTCCACACCATGTCCCGTCGTGGAGTCGGCCTTGGAGCCTTTGCAAACCGAACCCAGACAACACAGTCTTATGCTACTCATGGCGCCAATCTCCGGTCTACCCATACTGCCTCCCTACAGACCCAGTTGTCAGTCTTCCAGTCGTTGCTCCACACCTTTGCGCTAGAACATAGCTCTACCATAAAGTCCAACCCGACATTTCGAGCAGAGTTTGCCCGGATGTGCAACACCATTGGGGTTGATCCCCTGGCCGCAAGCAACGTCAAGGGCAAAAATGGCCGCCGCGCACTGGGAGAAGGGGGGAGCTTCTGGACTCAGATTATGGGCGGGGATATGAATGACTTCTATTTCGAAGTCGCAGTTAGAGTTGTGGAGCTATGCAGAGAGACCAGAAGCGAAAATGGTGGACTGATTGGCGTTGAGGAATGTCGGAAGCGAGTGGGGAAGGGCAAGGCGATCGGGAGTGGGCTCGAGGTTTCAGAGTATGGGGTTACCACCCCAGGATATAAGAATGTATCTACCAGTGGCTAACTGCACTATGTGCTTGACAGTGACGATGTCCTACGAGCAGTTCGGTCGCTCCAGCCTCTTGGCTCCGGGTTCTCCGTCGTCAATGTCGGCAGCAAACAGTACATTAGGTCCATCCCTAAAGAACTCAACAGCGATCAGGCAATAGTCTTGGAAGTCATGCAGGTGCTGGGCTTTGTCAGCGTTTCAATGCTGCGATTGAACCTCAAATGGGAAAAGGCTCGAGCCCAGACTGTAATCGATGACTTGATTGCTGATGGTCTAGTCTGGTTGGATGCCCAAGGCCCTGAGAAAGAGTACTGGTCACCTCAGAACCTTCTGGGGGATAGTGGATGAAGTGAGAAACTTGTGTGATTCGCATACAAATCACGATCGTGATAATGCCTCACGTGGTCGTCCATCGAGTCACGCCTTTCCGGGAGAATCCCAATGAAAACATGCGACCCTTGCGTCCTTTCCTGTCTAAGCATTAATGATGTGTTGAACAGTTGGCGCTTCAAGGGCAACATACGCCCTTCCTTTCCAGGCCTGTTGGTCAGCTCACGACGAGCTACAGTTTTTATTTGGCATTATTCTCTGTGACACTCTTCTAAGGCCATCGAAACTAAAGAAAGAGGCCATCAAACTCACACAGAGAGATACACGCTCTGATGAGTGAATACGGAGTATTATTGGCAAGGATAAAGTACATGCCGGGTTACCGGAATTTATCAACGGAACAGACCCCTTGATATCTCATTTGTGATGCATTCGTGTAAATTTAGCTCAATAGCAATAACGACATATACTACTGGGCTGACGAATCTGAAGTTGCGTGGATTTCATTTTTAAGCATTGGGATTGGGACACGACATTGCGTGATACGGAGTGCCGAGCATGTAAGATAGCCCCCCTTTCCCCCAAGAGAGGCGTTTATAAAGTGTCTTACACGCCATCTGCGAAATGTAAAAATCCATTGATTTATCATTCAGACAGACGAGGCATACTGAATGTACCCTGCCACCATGTCCCGATCCAGTGTTATAGCGACGGACCCCGTTATCTACGCTGAGTACCAGACCACATGGTCCGATCTCCCGGAAACCGAACAAGCATGGATTTCTAGAGCTCGTGAGGTCTCTGAGGTGCTAGCCAGAGACGCTGCCCAAAGAGACCAGGAGAACAAATCACCGCGCGCCGAAGTGGCCCTGCTCAAGTATTCGGGCCTGACAAAGCTTCTAGGACCCAAAAAGTACGGTGGTGGTGAGCAACCCTGGAGCGTTGGCTATAAGGCAATAAGAGAGGTTGCAAAAGGAGATGGGTGAGACCTAAGCATCCCTCATGGCTCTCGGTGATAGTTCCTAAGAAGAAGACAGATCTATCGGTATGCTGCTTGGCTATCACCTTCTCTGGTCCACCATTGCAAATGTGATGGGCACTCCTGAACAAGCCGATCGAACCCATCAGTTGATCATTTCAAACAATTACTTTGTCGGTGGCGCTGTGAACCCACGCGACAATGATCTGAAGATCACTTCAGATGGAGACCACATCGTATTCACCGGGAACAAATACTTCAACACTGGAGGCGTTGTATCTGATCTCACGGTTCTCGAAGGTATCTTGGATGGCACTCAGGATCATATATTTGCGTTGGTCAAAACCGATCAGCCCGGTATTCAGTTTGCTCACAACTGGCACAACATTGGTTTGCGTCTGACCGAGTCTGGGGGCGTGAAGATAGAGAATGTCCAGGCTTCTTGGTCCGATGCACTGGGCTGGGATACAGCTACCAAGAAACCTCGTGATGATACCCTAAAGATTCCCTTCCCTACTCTATTCCTGCCAACGTAAGTGCAAGTCCATCAAATACTCCATGTATTATGCTCCCTCGGCAGTTGCATGAAATAAAGCTCACTCGTTCTCTTCCATAGCATCCAACTGGTCTTTAGCAACTTTTACTTGGGTATCGCTCTCGGGGCTTTGGACTTCGCCTCCAGATACACTACGACCGCAACACGTGCTTGGCCTTTCGGCGGCGACAACAAGGAATCAGCAACGGATGAGTTCTACATCCTCGAACGTTATGGTAACTTCTTTGCACATCTACGTGCCACTGAAGCCCTCGCAGATCGAGCAGGCGATCAACTCTCAGGACTTTATACTCGTTATCAAACGCAAAAATCCGGTCTCACAGCACAGGAACGCGGAGATGTTGCGGAATGGGTGGCTAGCGTCAAGGTAGTCACCACAGACGTTGGACTTAGGGTTACTTCTGGTGTATTCGAAGTCACGGGAGCCCGAGCCACTGCCTCCAAGGTCGGATTGGATCGATTCTGGCGGGATATTCGAGTGCACACTCTTCATGATCCAGTGGCGTACAAGAATCGGGAATTGGGACGATATGCACTTTTGCATGAACTCCCTGAGCCTAGTTGGTATACTTGAGGGATTAGAATGAGATCTTTAATTCATATTTATATTTTATACGTTATATGCTATATGCTATATGCTATATGCAGGGTCAAGCTGTACAACATAAAAAAAAAGGGTATGCAGATAAGACGGGCCGATAACATTTCGGTCCGACTTTTTTTTTTTTTTTTTTTTCCCCTCCATCTTTTTTTTTTTTTTCTGTGGGAAAACCATTCGACAGCTGAACTATTCATTTCTTCATTCTTATCGAGCTGTTTGATCATCTTCATATCTCTATCCAATTCTGGAATTATCCTATCCATTGACCGCCAACATGTCGGACGACCACAAGCAATATGCTACTTACAACGATGTAAGAATTCCATATGGACCTAGATACTATCTTCAAAGAAAAAAAAGATGGTATCGAAGTCAATGACAACTTCTCAACCCTCAAAAACCTCCAACCCCACAAAATGTGCAGATTGTCTTATCGCAGTCCACAATTCTAATCCGAAACTTTAAAAAGACCAAGACTAACGCAAAGATTCTCGACAGGTCCACAATCTCTGCAAAAAGTCGGCGAAAGGACCTCTTGAGAAATTCCAAATCAACCTTATAATCGCCATCGGTGGTGGTGGTTACATCCCTGCCCGCATCCTCCGGTACATTCAATACGGCGTACCCTCTGGGCTATACTGATCCCTACTTGAACAGGTCATTCCTCAAGAAGACTCCCGATGCCCCTAACATTCCAATCCAGGCCATTGGTCTGTCTCTATACGAGCGCTTGGGCACAGACAGCGTTGAGGAGGCCCCCGGTACCGAGGTCAAACGTTTGCAGTGGCTCGACATGAACTCCTCGATGGCCAACTTGATTGGCAAGAACGTTCTTATCGTTGACGAGGTCGATGATACCCGCACAACCCTTAAATATGCCGTGGAGGAGCTCGAAAAAGACGTTGAGGAAGCTCGGAAGCAGCTCCCTGCCGGGGACGAAAGGAAGAACAAGGAGACCAAGTTCCACGTCTTCGTTCTGCATGTATGATTCTGTGTCTTCTTGGAGATTGATGGGTTTGGCTGACAATTGAAATAGAACAAGGACAAGGTCAAGAAGGGTAACCTGCCCACAGATATGACGGACAACGACCAGCGTTACTGCGCCGCGGTCACCACTGGGGATGTCTGGATTTGTTATCCTTGGGAGGCCGAGTATGTTATACCCCGAGAAATTCCTTTAGAGATTGTGACTGACTTTTCTTCCTCCAGAAACATTGAAGAGCACGATCGTCAAGCTAAGTTGCATCCTATCGTTGCTCAATAGAAAACTACCGTCGAAGAATTCCCTACCGATGCCGTTCAAGAAGGAGTTTTAAGTGAATGATTGCATTCTCATTAGCATTCCATTTTGCGCGGCGGTCTGGTGGTTTATATCAGTGACTATTTCGGTCCTCGATTTGACTGTCCATGCTCAGATCATGTGCATAAAGCTGAGCATGTATTTTTTACGATATCCTTGATGAATTTCTATAGAAAAACTTCTTTCTGGCAGACCGGCAGGCTGCTCCCTCACCCCAAGACTATTTGACTTGAAACTGCCGTTGCGCTCCATCCTCTATTCTTTTCCTCCCGTCACCACCGAGAATCCTGTCGTAGCCACCAACCGGAAAGCTGGGACAAGGACTTGGGTCGTCCAATTTTGTTTTGCAGACATTGAAATGTAGACGGGTATCAAGGGAATATAACATTGGTAGCGGAATTCAAAAAGTCTCTGGAGCATAGTGTGTTATATTGATCCGGCGCAGCCTTTTCAATCCTGCGAAGACAAAAGCCTCCGTGTTCAACCACCAATCCACAGCCTGAAATTCTCAAGAGTCAAGGCTCAGAGCCTGTCTGCCTGGGTTCTGGGCCCGAGTATCTTGCCACCCAATCCACGCGCGTAGTGATTTCAGATTTAATCAACCTCAACTTTGCCCTGGCGCAACTCCACCTTGGCAAGCTCGATCTCCTTTTGTAGCTCGGCGTGTGCTTCGGGGACATCGTTGAAAGTGAAGATGGCCACGCCTAGGCGGGCGAGGAGATAGCAAGCGAAGACAATAAGTGCGTAGAATGGGAGCTAAGTAATTGTGAGTTAGTTTTTTTTCCATCGACACACTCGAAGACTAGAGTTGGAGCCGAGGGGAGTCTGTGGAGCGGGTAACGCACAACTGGAATGACTTCAGTCTGGACAGTCTCGTTCAAGGGAACGAGTCCAAGGAACAGGGAAAGGTATAGCTGGTCAATTGTCAGTAAGATCCATGCGGAATTGTGCTCCCCGCTGAGATGGAGCCACTTCGTAGCATACCGAGGAGACAAGGAGAAGAACGGAAAGGGTCTGGACAGCACGCGTCATGGTGAGATCGGTAGATAAGATAGGAAATTTTCACAAAGGAGAGGAGAGAGGTCAATTGTGAAGATAGCGCCGATTTATTGTAGCGAAAAGGAGGGACTTGGGGGTGTTGCAGTGCTGTATGCGGCAAAGGCCAGCTTGGGAGATGCGCTTCTTGGCGCCCGGACCTGGTCACTGGTCTTGTGTACCTGCCAAGCCTATAGCGATATCTAGGGGAATTGGGATTCTCAAACGTTGCTGTATTTATGGATTGTTAGGTACCTATTGATCTACATCTAATTCTTCTATATGCTTGAAAGAATAGAAGAAGATCAAAAACAGAAAAACATTAACTAGTTAGTAACTAGTAGTTACCTGCACGAATCCTGTTATGTAAGCAATGATCAACTCCAGGCGCCTCGATAAAAGGGCAGCATACATATTATTTCATACTTGACCATTGTCATAGAGGCTAGCGTCACAAATGAGGTAGAATGTATTCATGTATATTGTATGGTAAGAGAAATTCATGTGAAAAGCCCTGCCTTGGCCTGGAATCGGTGCATTTCCATCTGTCCATACCATCCATTACTACTCCTGGACCTCACCTGAGTTGAGTATAATACAAACTTGCCGCCATACTGCTCCTTGGTTCCCGTGCTCAGAACCTCGATCATCCCGGTAATATAATTTTCAAGGGTGTTGGGCGCCTCCTTCAAGCCCCAATCCCGCGCAGCTTCATTACCCATGTCGGTCTGCACCCAGCCAGGATCCAAGACAAACGCATTGAGCCACTCATTCTCGGCATTGATCCGAACACCATATCATTTGACAATGAACTTGGATGCGCCATATCCGCACTTAGCACTGGGGGTTGACGCCTAGGGATAATTGGCTTCCATTTACTGTGTCCAAAGTCGAGCAGACATACGCGAGGCCACCAGCTCCAGATCCCATGATGGCATAGATGGGGTTGCCGGTGGACTTCTGCAGCAGACCGTGTGTAGCTTGGTACAGCGACACAGCATTTAACACGTTGATATCAACATGCTCGACTATATCGACCCATTTGACGTCCTTAGCGAGTGGATACAATTTGGCAATGCCGGCATTAGCGACGACGATGTCGAGGTGGCTGATGTCATAGTTGGTTGCTTCTTTGACTGCATCAAAGGCAGACTGCTCAATTCCTGCTTCATACTTGACTACTATAACACGACTACTCTCTGCTGCGGGTAGCCGGACAAGTAGCTGAGCGGTCGAGTGCGCTTGGTCACGGACGGCAGCTATAAAAATCTATCAGGGATTCAGGTTCAGTGATTGGCTCGGGCGAAGAGATGGTCTTACGTGGTCCGGTTTGGCAATGAAATCCTTGACAAGCCCTAAGCCCAAGCCACGATTGGCATCACTGACCAGTGATGAAGACGATAGTTGGGGCCATTGTGAATCACAAGGATCTTTTTGAGGCTCGATTATGATATATTGGAAAAGACAATGAGAATCTGCAATGACTGATTTGACTCGAAGTAGGTTCGGTCAAATGCAGTGAAATTGAGGATAATGTTCTATACATGTGTACGCATATATATATATATGATTTGGGCGAGAATCAAACAGAAATTGTTGATTATCAATCCATACATATCCCCCATGGGCAGGATTGGAAGCTGGAGGCCATGGCACAATCATCCGATGATAATTTCAGGTTTCCTGTCCAGGTGCCACTGCACTCCCAAGCCTGAAAAGCTGATATATTCCAATTTCAATGAATGATTGCGTGATGAATGACTGATCTACGCATATCCATTATCTTGAAATGTGAAGGCGGCCAACAGCGCGTATATCTATATAGATAGTTCCTGATAACTCCATTGCCGAGATAAGTCCGATATTTCCGGATAAAAAAGAATGTGTTGCAGTTTTCTGCTCTCGAATTTATATTGGAAAGGTAAAGTTCATGATTAGCATGTAGAGCCAAAATGTAAGGACGTGCGAAATCAGTACCAACAATGACAGGGTTTGAGCCAGAAACAGCCGTAACAGCTCCAGGGCTAACAATAGTATGATATACAACGCAGCGGAAGCCCGAGATCACGTTCTTAAAACGTGCCCTAGACCCTACGCCAAGGAATGAATTTTCTGGGATTTACCTGCCTTCAATTTTAATGACCGGAAAAAAAAGTTGCTAAGCTATGAGAACAGGCTAGCCAGGAGTCGAATTGAGCCCTTTTGGAATACTGGGTATCTTGTTTTATGAAGAGATTCAGTGCGCAGTTTTTGCACATGGTAGGAAACAATTTCGAAACAGAAACACTGTGAATGTCATCTTCTCCCAAAATTAGAAGCCATAGGCTACTGGTTTAGGAACTGTAGGATAATGGTTAGTCCATCAAGCTTATGTAATTCTCCCTAACCGGGAAATTATCATGATTCATTCCTTGAATATCGTGGTTCGATTCCGCGCAGCTCCATTCTTTTTTTTTTTTTCTTCTTTCTTTTAATGTACATATTATTTGCTTACCAAAATAGTCAAAAGCCCGTGAGAGAAGAAGAATCCCCCTGGGAATGAATGGCTTATCAAATATCACTTGCTTATATACATTTACAGCTCCTCGAGTTACTCATTTCCCCTCTGTTCTACGCACATATCTGTTACCTGTCGGCCCTAACCTAAACGAGATTGGTGCCTGAATCGACCTCAGGCACCACACTCCGTCTCTTCACGAAGGGTCTAAACTTACTTTGTATCTGTGATATTTCTGGCGACAAAGCCGCTCGTCTTCCACTCAGATCGATAATCCATTTTGGGTCCTTGTTGCCTAGTTCAAAGTCAAGTACTCTCACATCGGAGTAAATTTGTTTACAGTGTTTGAATTGTTGTGACGAGGTCAACAGGCTGCCATCTAGGCTCCCCCATCTAGCTGAGAACGTCTTTCCCGTTCAGGCAAAGTGTTGATAGCTTCACATTTTCAAGTCCACACGGACCCTTCAAAATTACCCCCACTCCGGAGGCAACTATCTGACCTCAATTCAGCGAAATGTCCTTCGCGGGTATATCTACCGCCCAAATGGCCGTCCATAGGGAAGCTGGCAACTCAGTCTCGAGAAAGACTGATTTGGATATTCCTTCTGTCAGACAGATTCTTTCAGATCTATCGGAGGTTAATTCCTCTTTACCACCCCGCACGGAAACCATTGACTCGGAAGAGCAACAGGAGATGTTGCATGAATTACGAGAGATCATTGAGAAGGCCCAGGTGGCTGACGAGGGTGGAAAGAGCTTCGATCTCAGTGAGCTCCATGCATCCCTTGAAGAGGCCGATGCAAGCGAAAAACGCGGGCGACGGGACGCCGAGACCCTGCAAAGCGTGAGGGCTACTCTGCAAAAACTCTGGGCTTGTAACTCCGAGTACTTGGTTCAAGCTGCTGAGATTATTGCAGATGGTAGTAGAGATCGTGGGTTAATCCTATCTATATGTTACTCTTATGACTTGCTAATATTGGCTCAGCCTCATGGCGTGCTCCATTTGGCCAGTCTGGTGTTCTGAACTTCTTTTTGGATGTTGTTTCTTTGAAGGGCGAGGTTGATACCAGCTTATTGCTTCACTCTCTACGGGTTATTGGAAACTCCTGTGCCGATACAGGTATGCTGCAATTGGTTATATCCATGCCCAGATAACTAATCTTGATGCAGATGAGAATAGGGAGATCGTCGTCAAGGGAAACCATACCCTTGCTATCATTCGATACTTCCTTGATCCAGACTTGATCTTTGTTGCCATTCCGGTCATCTATAACATTTGCATGGATTACAGTATGTTCAGACGGAACTGGGTGGTGATACATGTCTTGCTAATGTCATATCAGAACCGGCACATGCTCAGATGGCTGCTAATCGGGCAGCTTACATCTTATTGAAACTGATCAAAGATGGTGAGATCGAAGATAATGAGGCCCTACTTCATTTCTCATACGATTTGATTGAGTTAGCCTCGGAACAAGGTATGCTTGGTCTCAACTTTGGTCTGTCTTCCGATCTAACGTACAATCTACAGCCGAAGGTATTGAGAACTCTCCTGACGGAACAATTCTACTCCTAATGGAGCTTGCTGTTGATGAGACTCTTGATTTTGCGCATTTCTCATCATTGGTAACTTCTCTTGCTGCTTACCTCGAAAAAGAAAAGTTCCAGAATATTTGTGTGTCGAACGGAATGGTGGAAGGCGTGCTGGACATCCTGCGCCATTCATTTTCGATTGTAATAGATCCTTCTTTGAGCGAAGATGTTAAGGCTCTCGCGCAGCTCCGCCTGAAAATTAACCAGGCTTTGGCTGAGGTATCGGCATCACCATTCTTTGCCAAATATTACCCCCTTGACTCCCCTCTTTCACAGACATTGAAGTCATGGGTGGTTGCAACCGAAGATCAACTTCAGATTTGCGCCTGTGTCATGCTTGGAAATCTCGCCCGGTCCGACGAGGTGTGCCAGGTGATGGTTCGGGACCTCAAAATACACGAAGAATTGATATCCGTCCTTAGGGGCGATGCCCGTGGTGCGGTCCTACACTCTTCGCTTGGTTTCCTGAAGAACCTTGCAATTGCCGGCGACAACAGAGCCATTCTTGGAGAAGCTGGCATCATCCCTGCAATCTCACGATTGTGGGCATATGAATCTGTTCCGCAGGTTCAATTCTCGGCTGCAAGCATCGCGCGACAAGTGATTATCTCCTCAATGGATAATATTTCCCGTCTTCTAGCTCCTCTCTCACATGATCTTGATTCTCCGGCTCACCAACGGACCTATCTCTCCCTGCTCCTGTCTCTTTTCGAAAAAACAGACTCGACACCAATCAAGACTGAAATCGGACGGACAGTTGCTTCGATCTGTCGGACTGTCAGCCCCAAGGCTCGCAGTGGCGATGAAGAAGCAACGTCCTTGCTTGACCGGCTGTACATCCTGCACGAGGGTGTTTCGCTACCAGTAGGGGCGATGATCACACAGACTCAATGGCCTGTAGTGCGCAGTGAAGGCTGGTTTGCTCTAGCTCTAATGGCGACAAATAAACTCGGCTGTGCCGCTGTTGTGGACTGTTTGCACAAGACAGAGGTCATCGAGTTGCTCAAGACGACGCTAGGCAATGCCACTCACGACCAAGATAACGCCGAGGAGGCAGACAAGTCGCAAGAGACCAAAGACCGTGACAACGCTTTTGTGCTTGTACAGGGACTGCTGACGAACGAGGTGATTTTCCTGCCATAGAATAATGTTAGACATATGTTGACTGAAAAATAGTCTGGTGCGCTTCCTACCGGTTATAGAGATATGCTGGAAGACTTGGTGAAGGTCAATGCATTACAGTTGAAGGCTGTAAAAGATGCTTAGTTGGAAAGTTCCAATACTATGTGATGCTCCTGGAACACAGGTGGGATTATGGTTGCATATGAGGTGATGCCTCGGTTAATCTGTGCTCTGATATAGACCGTGGAACCAATCTTGTCTAGAAACGGAATCAAATAAGCTCGTAAAGCATCTCTTGAGGAACCGAAACAGAAGTGACATTTCTCGCTTATGTATTCCTGAGAACATGGTACTTGGAATTAGATTTTTGCTGTAGATATAGAGATCGCACGAGCACCCGAACAGGAAGAATCCACTTCTGTATGAAAATCCAGTTGTAGGCGTGCAAAAAAGTCGAACAAAATCTTTGGATATATACATGAATAACTTCCATCAACTGGGCCATAATTTGTCGCCCAGGAGGAGCTTATGGATCACTCAGTCTGCAAACACACTTTCTCCTGCGCATATGCCCGGTAACGAGTTATGAGGTCCGTGGCGTCCAGACCAGCCGCACCTTGGCGAGCAGAATAATGTGAAACAAGGCCCTTGCCATCTATAATGACATGCGGACGGGAGCCATCTGACATATGCCAATTGTGGACGGATCGGTTTTGGTTGTCGCTGCGGAAGATACGGTGCAAATCCATTGCATCATCACCCCAGAAGCACCCAAAGTTATCGCTGATGGGCTCAGTCGGGTCGACCCATATCGGGAACTTGTAACGGCCCAAATCGTTGTCTTCTAGGTGTTTTTAAAAAGGAGTAATGTTGCTGCGCACCAACAGTCCAATCATGCAATGTCGGACCGTTCTCGGTATATACGGATCTCGCGATAGGATCTTGACCAGAGCCCGCATCTCTAGGAAGTAGCCAGCGATGCCCTTCAAAGGGCGGCTCAAAGTCTTTGTGTACGGTGAAGCTCGGCGGGCCCTGCCAGTGTGGAAGACTGGAAGCGCGCCAGTCGTGCTCCAGTTGCGACTTTGATCGGGATGGTTGTTTCACGTCGTACAGTTCAGGCAGATATGGGAGTGCAGTTCCCGGGTGACTGTGAAGAGATGCAAGGGCTGCCTCATTTATCACATTCGCCGATACCATCAGCGCGCTTGGATTGTCGAGTTTTGTCTTGACGATGCTTGGAATGGCGTTATCCTCCAGGAACAGGATATCGCCATCGATTCGGATGTACATCACATTATCATTTGCAAGTTTCCATTCCATCTCATGTCCCCGAGAAGAAATAGCATACTCGGGTGTTTGATTCACAATAGAGTACAGCCATTCCATGCTGGCAGCGTCATCGGTCTGCGGCACAAAGACAACTTGATCCAGAAATCCACTATTATGGAACAAGTTTTTCTGGAATGGTGTTAAGACGCAAATCATACAGTAGGGGCAAGATCATGCATACCTGCAAATAGCAGTCCAAGATTGCTGTACGCTCATGGTAATGAAACGGAACTAGAGCGACTATCTTGAAGCCCTGTGGCTTGGAGTAACGACCCGTTCCGTGCGAGAATGCGAAGAACGGAGAAATCTCCTTGCGAAACAGTAATGAAGAGATATCAAAGAGTATAAGTCCAGGGTTGAAGTAGGCTAACACCGTCAAAATGATGCATGCATAGCCAATAACACCCCATAGAAGAAGAAGAGTCCAATCGCGCCAGTTCGAGTACTTATTCTCATTGTTGGACTCAACATCGCGAAGGTTCTGGGTATGACCCATAATTAACAGCTCTCGCACCATCTAGCAGTCGTTTGGGAAACCGAGGAAGATAGAAAAACCACTGTGAATTTCTAAGCATCATGGTCCAATTTAATGTCGAGTAAGACCATCTTTCCGGTCATCTTGGTAAGGCTTAATGATCCGTTTTCGGGAATTGGATAATAGCAGCCACTTACAGAAACCGATATAAAAGAAGATCGACCCCTCAGGCCTTTTCCCTTGACAAAAAGCTAGGATCTACCATGCACATTGCCGGATTTGGTTATGATTGACGGCAAGTGCACGAAGGACGAGGAATGTGGCTGTGGAATGTAGACGTCGACGGCTTCAAAAGAACTAGACTCAGAGCTAACAGAGCTATTATTGATGTACAACGTACTCCGTACTCTGTACAATCCAGAGATCTATCATAGATGACTTTATGCATACTGCCCAAGTTATGCATGGGTGTTTCTAGTGTTTGTCATGTTTGTCATGTTTGTCCCCCATGACGTCGCAGCACGTGTTTCCAAGGTTATTCCATCGTGGACCACTTTGATTCCGAGGTAAGTTGTCACTTCTACTTTTCTATCAACTTCCTAATTCTATGTTAATATTTTATGCCTACATGATAACATGAGGGTGGCCGGTTTTTTCGGCCGTTTTTGTCTCAAACGCGGACTTCCGCGTCTCCCCCGACAACATTCCAATCGCCCGCCATGGCCTCGGCAACTACTAAAAGGCACACCGCGAAGGGCTCCCGTCATATCCGGGGTACTCATGGCCACTCTGGCGCCAGCGGCCTTTTTAAAACTAGCGGAAGAAAATGATCACCACGACAAGACCGCAGAAATGCAGATGCTGGAGGCTTCGCGCGAAGAGGTCCGGAAGACGGTTTCACCCGACGCGCAAGGCCTCTCGAAGCTCTGCCAGACAATATGGGTCTATTTTTATTGTTATGTCTATGATCCCATTGCTACGGGAATTCGCTTCGTTCACCTTGCCATCATATTTATTCCGGTCGTTGCTACGGTGCCCGCCATATGGCTTGGTCGCAAAGTCCACGACCGGGATGGCGCACGGTCTGGCACATTGTGGTGGTATCGATTCTTGGTGAAGTCAATGGAGCGGGCTGGTCCTGCGTTTATCAAGGTGAGCTGATGCTTTGGTTGGCGAAGAATTTTCCATTGAGATTGAACTGACAAGCAGACCTCTTGAATAGCTCGGCCAATGGGCTGCCTCACGAACAGATATCTTCCCACCCGAAATGTGCAATACAATGTCGTCACTTCACTCAAATGCCCCCGCTCATTCACTTCATCAAACGAAGCGCATCATCTCCAAAGCATTCAATGGACTACCATTTGAGGACATATTCGAAGAGTTTCAGGAGGAACCGCTGGGTGTTGGCGCGATTGCACAGGTCTACAAGGCGAAGCTGAAACCGAGTCTTGCTGCAACCAATGAAGAAGAATTGGGCGTTGAACCACCAACGCTAGGCGAGAAGGTCCGAAAAAATGTCGACGTGCTAGTCAAGAGCTCCCCGCAGCGGGTACCGTCATCGTATGTCGCGATTAAGGTGCAGCACCCCAAGGTCGAACAAATGATACATAGGGACTTACGGATCATGTCATTTTTTGCTCACATGATCAATGCCATCCCCACAATGCACTGGCTGTCTTTCCCTGATGAAGTACAACAGTTTGGTGAAATGATGAAGCTACAACTGGACCTTCGGATTGAAGCCGCAAACCTTGTCATATTCCGCCGAAAATTCAATTCTCGCACTACTGCATGGTTCCCATACCCATACTTAGAATACACCACTCGTGAGGTGCTGGTTGAGGAGTTTGCCCAGGGCATCCCGTTGGCCACCTTCTTGGATATCGGAGGGGGTTTATATCAGCACGATATCGCGAATGAAGGCCTTGATGCATTCTTGCATATGCTGCTCATAGACAACTTTGTCCATGCGGATCTCCATCCGGGGAACATCATGGTTCGTTTCTACCGGCCCAGCGAGCTGGACCTCTCCCTTGCCAAGCATTCGCGTGCATTTGATGCCCCGACGCGGGCCGAACTTGATGTGACAGAGGCAGTCCTCAAGCGGTTACGCCCGAATCTCAATAACCCCGAGGATTGGAACGCTGCTCTTTCTCGGCTCAATGACGAGGGGTATCGACCGCAGTTAATATTTATCGACACTGGTCTTGTCACTCAGCTAAATGAGACTAATCGGCGGAACTTCCTGGATCTCTTTCGAGCTATTGCTGAATTTGACGGATACCGGGCTGGTCAGCTTATGGTCGAGCGATGTCGAACACCGGAAGAGGTCATTGATCCGGAGATATTCGCTCTGAAAATGCAGCATTTGGTCCTAAGTATCAAATCTCGAACCTTTGCTCTGGGAAGTGTCAAGATTGGCGATATTCTCAGTGAGGTATTGACTATGGTCCGCGGGCATCACGTTCGGTTTGAAGGAGATTTCGTCAACGTTGTCATTTCATGTCTCCTGCTGGAAGGAATAGGACGTAGTTTGAATCCCAACCTAGATCTGTTCAAAAGGTGAGTTTTTCCCTCCATGAGGCTTGGGATTCGTTTGAATGAAGCTGAATTTGTCTAGTGCACTTCCTATTCTACGACAACTGGGATCAGGAGGCTCATTCTTGCAAACGGTGCGCTCGGGCGACTACTCAATGCTTTGGGTTTGGGTCGGCCTGGAGGCTCGTGGAATGCTGCAGGCCAGCATCGAGAGTGTTGAGCATTGTGTCAAGTACGACCAACTCTCCCCTAATATATAAGACCTTTCGCCATGCTGTTTTTCTACCATACACGCCGGATTTTTCACTGTTGATTTAAGCTCAGATGACATGCATGTTCGTTGAATGATTAGAAGAAAACCACACTATCTATTTTGATATTTTACAGACATCCACTTCTTTTTCAAAAAGAAATTTGCAAGCAAAACGGGAACCTTCGGATGTTTGTGGGAGGGATAACATTAATGCAAAGATATCATTATCATATGTCCATTTTCATAGACTAACGGAGAAAGACCGAAGGTGTGATATAAGACAAGAGGGAAGAAGATAAACATCATACATGCACAAGCGAGGATAAGCAATGGAACGCCAGCGTCATGCCTTTGAATAATTACAGAGTGGAGTGGACGAACAGACGGCCTAGTGTTACAGCTGTCAAGCTCTCTTAGCGCGAGGCCTGTTCACGAACAGATGCGCCACTAGCCCTCCACCAGACATCACCTCCCCATCTCAATAAGCGCTCTGCAGCGGCCGTCGGTGTATCCAACGCAGGGCGGATATCGAGGTGGAAGACCGGCAGCCCGTGGGGATCTGGATCTCCAGAGTAGTAATCAATGACATATCGAATTTCCTTCGGGCCCGAAGGTGTCTGGCGGATGACATACCAATCGTGGCGGTCAAACGGAGGGCTGGTCCTGTTGGAATTATGGTCAGAATTATGGCTAGTGTGTATAACGCGAAGACACTCCTTACTGAAATTTGCTTGGGTACGCCCAGCTCAAGGCTTGGTATATCTGTGCTTTAGGGGACCACTCTTGCGGCCGACCCTGGAATCGGAGCAGGCGAGGCTCAGAGGTCGCATCAAATTTACCATTTTCGTCTGCATAGGTCAGGTCCATGCTCAGGTTCTCCTCGCCGCGCCGGCAGTGTTGCCATCCGGACTTGAGACCCTTGGCGAATACGCGCTCCCATCCCACAATTTCATCCCAGGCGCCTTCATTCAAGAAGTTGTGCACTGCAACCATCGACTCTACCGCATCCTGAGGTGTGTCTGTGTGTCCTTTGCGCAGCATGGCGTTGTACATCTGTTGTGGAGATGGATATTCCCAGTTTCCTTCGCCGTCGCCTCTTGGGATTGAAGAACCTTCACGTTCAACAGAAAGGTCAACCGTTTGATTGGCAGCGCGCTCTTGGGAGATAGACGAGAACATATAGTTTAAAGGATTAAGCTTTGACAGAGCCGAAGGCTGCGTATTGGCGGGTGGCTGCGGTGTTTGCGCCGGTGCTGATTTTGGGGCTGAGTAAAATGGAGAATCTTTCGATTTCATAGGGCAGCTGCTGGGAGTTTCAACAGCAGGCGTTGGCGGAGGTGAAGACTTCGAGCCTGGTTCATGCATCGGGCATCCCGGCTTTAGATAAGAGTCAGTCTGAATCAAAGCTGTTCAGGATGCGCAAAACGAACCGGAGGAGATGCATTTGAGGAGGCATGTGGAATCGAGACGGTGGAAGCCTGTGGAGTGTCTGCCCAAAACCAACCCATTTTGAAGTATGCAAAGAAATTTTGTTGGTAATATGCAAGGCGAAAGCGAACACGACAAAAGACCGGAGAAAGCGGACTTTCAATTTTCTTTGGATGACATAAAGCTACCACGTGATAGGTCGATCTTAAAGCGGTTAAATGTACACAAGTTTAGTCTTGGAGAGCTTCATACTTCATCTTTATATCTCTTTTCGATCTTCTTACGTGTCTATAGAGAAGACGCCTGTGCGGTTTAGGTCTTATAATGTCGTGTATTCTCTATCATTTACACTTCCCACTCCTGGTGACAGTTCTACATAAAATCATGGAAGAAAATAAGATTTCAAAGAACTACATATATATATATACACATATATATACATATCAAAAGATTTGTCTTGTATACGAACTTTCTAATACTCATTTTGAGCTATCTAGGTAGATTATCTAGAATGTTAAGGTGTTGTGCCTAAAGGGCAGAGGCCATGCTCTCATCTCTATATACTTCATGAAAGATCTTTTTATCTTTTCGCTCATTATTACTATTACTGCTGTTTTGCCCGTGCAAAATATACAAGTGCCCATAGTTGAGGGCTACGTAAGGGAGAGTGTGCCCGTTCCAAAAAGAGAAGACAATTCCAGTTCCTCCGACTCGGACATCACAAACCCAGTCATCGCTTCGTCCCAGACAGAACGCCAATTCAAGCTGTCCAAAGCCGCAACAAAGAAGAATTCAGTCATCAGTTTCGAAATTTGCTCCCACGACTGCCACCCACATATCATTGCAACACGGGCCAGCCGCTCCACAAACCACTGCCGCTCAGGCTGACCAAAGGCACCTTGGGCTCCGACGAATAGTGCCCAAACATAAAGTCCAAAAGTTTGAGTTGGTAAACCCACAAAGAGAGCCAACTTGCATCCATCCAAGGCTGTCTTGAGGTGTTTCGTAAGGGCTCGACCCAATCCAGATGATGAAGGCGAGACAATCAGGAAATGATTGAGATAGCAGATAGAAGCAACTCGAGTCACTGCCTCAATGGGATGAAGATTGGGCTCTGGGTTGGAGGAGCCTCCTGCGTAGATATAGCTGAGAAGCTGATGCTCTGCTTCGCAATTGAGGATGCGGAAGAAGTCTTGGTCACCTGGTTTAATAACCGTAGGATTTGTCTGATAAGTAATGCTAAAAAATACCATGTCCCGAAGCACACTTATGATCCTTAATAATGGTGAGCTAAGGAATGTATTGGCATAAAAACCCGTGCCTAGTCTGTTGAGAGGAGACGAAGCCAGTGGTCTGATTCGCTGTTGAATCTCCGAAGGGATTGGCTGTGCATCCCAAGTCAATGGAAACACGGGTTTGGTCATTAGACCCGAGGCGGCTTTGATGTCAGTTCTAATTCATCAACCGTGAGCGGAACTCAGCAGAGAGGCGAACCGGAGACACACGTACGTGATGATGGCAGACAACATAGAGGAAGAACGAATACTTTCGTCTGTTATTCCACCCCGCAGATCAACCATACTTTTGAGTCCTGTTAGGTGAGTATGGACCTCACTGAACTCTCCGATTATCAGCTGTGAAGTGTTAACGTTAACACTACAACATTGCAACCCGATATGCACGAGCGGAATCCATACCGAACCAGTGAGGAGGTTGATTATGGTATCAAAGGCCTCATTGCTGAGTCTGCGACTCGGATCCCTTACTTTTGCACTCATCTCTTGAATGGACTTTGCTCTCATCATGCAGTAGTCAGGATCGTCAGTAAGCACCGAGTCCCAATTACCCGATCGCTGGCTTGCGAGGACGGCTCGATGTGCAGCGCACATGCTCATCAGCCCAAAGAAACTCCCCGGATCGGAGAATGAGGACCGAACCATTAGTTCCATTTCTTGATTTGAATCTTTGCTCGTGTTCGGGAATGTCATCGGTACAAATATGGTTTTCCCTTTGCCCTATAGTCAGCTCTAGCTCTGGAGAGGCTCATACAGCACGAACATCTGAAACGAACAGAGCAATAGGCAACACTGAATGAGTAATACTTACAGTAGTACACCAAGTGTGCGACCATTGAAGGAAGCTCACTGGTACCGGGCAAGGTAAAAAAAGGATCAAGAAACCATGATGTAGGTGGATTAGGATCTGAATGGAGAGGCACAGGATAGCCAGCACACCACCTGACAGGACGTCCTCGATAGATCGAGGTAAACCCGTCTCCAGAGTCCGCATCCAGTATGGACGAAGCAGATGACTGAGATGAAGCCCTCAACGCCAGTCTTTGTTCATCCGGATCATCAATAGTAGCCTTGGGGGCACCAGATTGACGATTCTGTCTGGATGTTCGTTTCAACCCAGCGAGTCTCTCACGTCGGCGTACATCACGCATGACATGAGAGCGAATAGCCTTGCGTGCATTGACATCTTTGATTCTCTTGGAGGTCAAATCATCGTCGTGATCGATGAATGTAAAGGAAGGCCGATCCAGCGGCGCGGGTTTGGCCTTGGGTTCTAGTCGGGCACTTCAGTTCAATCTCCCCACAATCGAGGAGCGTTCTCTTTGGCGCAAGACTAAAACATGCTGGTGAAAATAGACAAATAGAAAAGAGTAAGATCAATGTGAATTTGAGTTCAATAAATAGGCAAAAGAGGCAAAGGAGACAAGATTCAAGGTCCAGTAAGAAGATCCCACAAGGTATATCAAGACTAGAAAGCACTGACCTGAATGGGTATGCCGAAGCGAACCAAAGGCGAAAGGCTGCAGATGATCCATCCGAAAGCCAAGGCAGAGCAAAAGACAAACCAATAAAGAAGTGGATAGAGGCTCAGTTGGGTGAAGGCGGATTTAGAAGAGAAAAGGAGCGCAGTTACGCTAATGCGGGAGCACAAGCCCGATTTAGCTTGAATCGTCTGGGATGATCCGGTGCTCAATGGTGTAACAATTTATATTCGAAATTAATTCAGTATCTAGTTCAGTATTCTCACTCTAATGGTTCTGAGAATGCTTGTCAATTCGCTAAAGCAATAAAAAAGAAAGAAAAAATACATCACGAAAAGGGTATTCTAACATAAAAAAGACTAGTACAATCTCATGCTCGCATATCACTTATGAGTCGTGAAATTAGTGCATAGCCAAAGAAGACGACAACACAGATCCAAATTCGGTTTCGTCCAGCCCAGCCTTGACCTGCCTCTCTCGCAACATGTCCACCGTCCACGACGGAACCGATTCCAGGAGCACTGCCGTTGGGTCGTCGACGTAAAGCACTCGTCTCCGGGGAACACTTGGTGGGCGCATCGGGATCAGGTAAGATTTGACCGGTGGTGGAATCGATACGATGCTCTTTCATCCAAGCCCAATTCTCCTGGTCGAGTTCAGGCCATTCTGTGCGAAACTTCAAGCCTCCATCTCCGGCCTTGACATTGTTGATACCCTTGGAAGTTCGAGTGACACCGGCGGTGGCGCTGATATGAGAACCTCCCCCAGTCGAATTCCACCACCGAGATCGCGCGGCAAGTACTCTGCGCTCACTTTCCGAGCCACTGACACTTCCTGTGGTCATCTCTTCACTGGTCATGAAAGAGAGAAGGCCGATGAGAATGGTCGAGACTTCCCAGGCGGGGTTAAAGGATTTTGGGTGGAAGTCACTGATGCTTAGACACAGTCGAGTAGAAGGTTGAAATCGGCCACTGGGGGTGTGCATGCGGATGGCAGGAGGAGCGAATGGATACTCTGGAGGAAATATCAATGTACCCCAGTATTGTCCATTTTCATAAGGAGTCCCTGGCGGTCCAGTGAGGATGTAATGCCACCTAGAGCAGGTTAGCTTCGGAGTTCTGCGGCAATGTGGCAATGCGAGGGGTTATATATATAGATATATATCTATATGTATATTACTTACTCAAGGATATTAGTCTCAGATGGATGGGTCACAATAAATGGTGTGGGATCTTTTTGGATATTTTGGTATTCACGAGTGAGCTATAGTAAATATTGTTAGACACTATCCACGGGATTACAGATTGAACTTAACATCCGACCACTTACCCGTTTGAAAGCCGCTTTAGTCGCCATCTTTGGTGATATGAGCAGAAACAAGAAACTTTGCAACTCAAAAGAAGACAACGCAGTGTTGTATGACCGTGAAAGCAAATCCAAGGAAAGAAAATGAGGGAAAGAAGTAAAGAAGTTGTGGAATCAAAGGCCGCAATCAGGCGCTCATGTTCGCTGGGTCACGTGGTTCCATATATTACGGGTTTCGCGCATCCCGATCTGTTCCCCGGAGGCTAAAAGTTCTGGCCATTGCAGACGCCAAAATGTCTTCCTCTTTTGCTGAAGGAGACGAGAGCGTTAGTTTAGATCTCAGGCAGCTTATGAATTGCCTGTGTGTCTAGTTGACCTTCTGCTGACTTCTCTCCGCTTCTAGGTCTTTGAGCGTTTGCAACAGCGAGCGGACCCCAAGGTGCTGGAAGAGCAACAGCAAGCTGTAAATGAGCGCATGCAAGCTATTTACCAGAAGGCCCAGAATCGACTTGCTGAATTGGTATGGTCTTCAACTCCTGGAAGCTGTTGACAACAGGCAATTCTTATTTAGTTGCGGAGTTTCCCGGCTGATCGCGATGTCTACTAGATCGACGAAAACTCGACTTTACCTTGTACCATCTCCTCCGTTCAAGTCACCAGTGCCCCTAATACCCGGAGAAGTTTCCTTGAGCGCAACTTAAACCCACTTTTGAGCGCAAACAAGGGTCGGCCCTATACACTGTCCGAAGTGTTGCGGGAAGTGTCGGCTACTGCAGATAAACTTGGACGTTTCGGTATGAGATGAAGGGATACTAATCACGATGAGGTGGCTACTAATATAATCTCAGATTTATTCCACCAACCTATTTCGGTCTACTTGGATGAGTCGCAAGGCCAAAATGGCATGCGTAACATTGATGTCCATCTGGCGACGCGAGAGAAGTCCCGCGTGTTGATGAAGACCGGAACAGACTTGGGAAATGCCGAGGGCTCAGCCTACGGTAATCTTCTCTGGCGCAATGTCTTTGGTGGCGCCGAGACTTTGAACTTGAACGCTTCGCTCGGTACCCGGACAAGGTCCGCTTACCAGGCTGCATTCGAGACTCCGGTCTTGGGTGATCCTGATTTCCGCCTAGAAATTGGCGGTATTGCAAGCTCCACCCAGAAGTCTTGGGCAAGCCACGAGGAGGTTCTCAAGGGTGGCTGGAGCAAGCTCCGATGGATATCCAAATCAAGCCACCGTCACGAATTTGGATATACCGGTTTCTGGAGACAGCTTACTGGTCTTGCGGAGAATGCCTCTCCTACCGTCCGCTCAGATGCAGGTGACAGCGTGAAAAGCAGCATTTTCCATAGCTGGGTTAATGATCAGCGGGACAATGCCCTGCTGCCATCTCGTGGCTACTATGCCAAGGCCTTCAATGAGCTCGCCGGATTTGGCCCGCTCAAGGGCGATGTCTCTTTCTGGAAGTCTGAAATTGAGACACAAGGTGCCATCCCTATTCCAATTCCCGGAATCAAGGGTGACAGCGGCGTCAGCCTCAACACTGGATTCCGTGCCGGTCTTCTCTACCCTCTTGGACTGGAGTCCAACCCCCGCCCGCAACTTTCCCGTGTCAACGACCGCTTCCAGCTTGGAGGACCTACTGATGTCCGCGGATTCCGTCTCTGTGGTCTCGGTCCTCGTGAGGGTGTTGATTCACTGGGCGGTGATGTGTACGCTGCCGGAAGCGCCAACCTGCTGTTCCCGCTTCCCCGACTTGGCGCTGAGAAGCCTGTGCGGTTTCAGGCCTTCTTGAACGGTGGCCGCTTGCTGTCTCTACAGACCTCACAGAAAGCCACACCTACTACTAATGGTGAGGTGCAGGATGCCTTGGTCTCAACTCTGTCTGAACTACAAAATGGACTACCAAGTGTCGCAGCTGGATTTGGTATTGTGTATGCCCACCCTGTGGCTCGCTTTGAGCTTAACTTTTCCTTGCCTCTGGTGTTGCGAAAGGGCGAAGAAGGCCGCAAAGGTCTCCAGCTGGGCATCGGTATCAATTTCCTGTAAACATTGGCAAGTTAGATTTCTTGCGAACTCAACCATACCACTCATACATTGCTGTACCAATTTCAATCAAGTTCAAATTAACTATGAGCATTCCAAGTACAAAAAGAGAAACATCGTCTACCCTCCATCAGAGTTTAGTTCGGCGGGCCCGGGCCCCGGGCCCATCATATGCTTAGTCAGCAGACACCATTGAGGCCATTTCGAGCTTCGAAGCTCTACAACATTTCACACTCTAGCCGGTCGCTACTCCCCAAGAACTCATAACACGTCTCTCTATCCGAAAACCAACTAGCGATCTCCCGAAATTTAGGCCGTCAGTCGCGGCAATGGCCCAATACTATCCACAACAGCAGGGCTACACCCCCCAGGGCTCCGCACCACAGAATCTCCAGTTCTTCCCCTCGTCCTACTCCTCGGTTTCCGGTCACACAACCCCTTCACAAGCATCCTATGGCGCCGGCTTTGGTGGTGCCCCCAATCCCTCCGCGCAGACTTACCCTGCTGGTGGTGGGTACGGGGGCTTCGGGTCCCAGGCCGCTGGCGTTAGTGGACGGATGGGCGAACAGGGCGGCCTGAGGACTGGTTGGTTGGCTGCATTTGGGACGGAGGGGTATGATGGTGAGCCACCGCTGCTGGAGGAGTTGGGTGTCAACTTTGAACATATCCGGACCAAGGTAAGTTAGATTGATTTTATTGAGCGTGTTCAGGAGACGTGGGGTCTAGGTCTTGCGGGTGGCTTGTCGTTTACTCCAGCTTTGATTTAATTGCTCTAGTCGACAATGATTGTCCGATGTTGGATGCTAACGGTTCCATCATCTAGACTTTGACTGTTCTCAATCCCTTCGCCTCTATCGATAACCATCTTATGGATGATAGCGATCTCTATGGGGCTCTGCTCTACATTGTCTTGTACGGCACTTTCCTTCTCCTCTCAGGCAAGGTATTCTACGGCTATATCTACGGCGTTGCCGTTTTCGGCACCGTCGCTTTGCATCTGATCCTCAGCCTCATGTCCCCTGCTCTTGACACTGTCCCAACCCCCAACGCCGCCGACCCAACCAGCTACAACCCCCATCACAAACCCTCCATGTCTGGTGCCTCGGCTGCGGGCCATTTTTCTGCTACTTTGACTTTCCCGCGCTCCGCTAGCGTGCTGGGCTACTGCTTCCTTCCTTTGGTGCTTACCAGTCTCATTGGTATCATGATTCCTATGGACACCATGTTTGGTTATCTCCTGACCATTGCCGCTGTTGGCTGGTGCACATACAGTTCATCGGGGATGTTTTGCGCCGTGGCGCGCATGAGTGGCATGAGGGGTCTGGTGGCATACCCGTTGGCTCTGTTCTATGTTGTCTTTGGAATTATGGGTATCTTCTCTTCGCGCGGCACCGGCTCACTGGCTGCAAAGACAGGTGCGGCTTGAAAACATCCTCTTTTGATTGATACACGTTCTCTGTCTATGCATTACATGGGTCATCCTGTATGCCAGTGGCTGCGACGTCTAAGGTCTTAATTTCCGATCAGCCTTGCATTTTAATCATGAATATTACGAAATTCTAGCTGTGTTTGTACACCATTCATTATGCATTATAAGATTCGTCTGTCTTCTTCATTATGAGCTCTGCAGTCCTTCACTTGATACAAAAGCAAGCCCATGTTCCATATCAAATCATGCCTAAATCACCGTCTAGAAGCATCACGTACTCGGACTCGTCGCACCCTGAGTTGGTGCCCATTTGGACAGCCACTCTCTCGCCTTCTCCAAATCGCCGCCCACAGCTTCGGCCGCTGCAATACACCATGGTAGGTCATACACTTTGTCATTGCCTTCAGTGCTCTCTGCTGCAATCAACTCTGCGACGTTGCGACGTTGTTGACTTGTTTCATCAGCACAGAGGTAGAAAGGCGCCGTATTTGGCACATCCGGCTGCGTATTGAGAGCTTCGACAAGTGGGCGTGTCAACTTCATGATTTCCCCCACACTCATCGCGGCCGGAGGACCAGAGTCAGATGCCATATTCTGCTTTGCCGTTTTGCAATAGTCATTCTGGCACCATGGCTTTCCACAACCAGTCATCATCTGGGAGAGATACCGGCGTTCAATGCGACGGCGCAGTGCTTTACCCTCTGGGTCGTACGTGTCCACATACAGCGGTCCGAAACAGAAACTGCACAGGCCAACGGAGTCATTGCCAGCTTTGTTCAGTGTCCTCCCGCAATTTTTATTCATACATATGCGAGGCGCAGGTCGAGAAAGGCGCTCTAGGTCATGGTGACGAAGATGGGTGTTCATGTCCCGTAATCGGATAATCTTATTGCACAGATGACATTCGGTGGTGCGTCCTCCATCCACCAGTTCATGTGGAGTGAGGCCGGAGAGCATCACTTCAGGATCGCGGAAATCAGGGTCAGAATCGCCTTTCTGTGGCACGAGAAGATGGCAGAATTGACAGAGAATTAATTTTCCGGGGCAATCTGTAGTACGGTGTTTCGCAAGACTAGAAAGTCCTTCGAAATCTCTAGCACAGTCAGTGCATTGGTGTGTCTGGTGGAAAATGGCGTCGTGCTTTTCTTTGCTTGGTGCATCATTGCCATGGCCGGAGTCGTGTGGGCAGTGCCAGTGGCTTTGCCACTCTGGAGACCGCTTCTGGAAGACATTTTGGCACTGCGGACATGATATATTATTGCGGAGACAGAAGTTTTCGTGGAGAACTAGTGTCCGTTCAGGAACCCATTGGTGGCAGTTTTTGCACTGCACATCGCCAGGCTCGTGGGACTCCTCTGTATCCTTATGACTAAGCGATGAATCCAATGGATTCAGTGTGATTCGCAGGTGGTATTGCGATGGCGAATGCTGCGGTGGATCAATTGGTTCACTGCTTGCAGCATTGGCATGGACCGCTATATAGAGAGCCTCGGCGTCTTCAAGAACCACATTGGTGGGCCGAAGAACGATCTTTTTAGGTAACTGGCCCGAGAAGATCCCCAAGGCATGCATGTCTGACCTCGGACGACTTCGTTGACGAGTAGAAAAAGGGCTAGCAAAAAGACTCAGTTCCGGATTGTCCGTGGTAAGCTCGATCTGGATGGTCTCCTGGCGATTCCAATCTCGAAGCTCATAATCCACATATTCCCCAGGCAATACTTGTGAATTGACATCTTCACCAACGCTGAGTATACCACCGATCGAGCTGCCACTAGTCGTACCCGGCGCGCGTGAAGCCTTTTTCAATCTCTTCTGTAGCGTTTCTCGGGCCTGTTCCTCAGATAATGCGACGATGTCGACTTCAAGATCTGTATCCACCACGCATATTCCTTCGCCTTCAGGAAACACCTTGTCCACCAAGAACCTAAACGACTCGCTCCGGGTGACCGGTACAGTCAAAAGCTCGCCCGTCGTGAGGGTCGTAAAGTTGTCTCGTAAATATCTTTCCAAAAGAGCCTTCCAATCTTCAGGATCGTATCCAGCTTCCAGCGGACGCAGACGAACATAGGTGCCTTTAGGTAGTTGCTTCGCATGTACTGTGACCGCGGGGCCAGTCCTTGGTGGGGTTTCCCCTTCTATCTGAGGCGCCGCGAGGTCTTGTCGTCCGTCATTTTCGCTCAAAAACTCTTCATCCTTGATCTCGAGTGAGTCTCTGAGCAATTTACTCAGTGCAACTTCATTCTCTTCAGCAGAGAACTCCCGAATACCCGCATAGATGAACCGGCCATTCAGAGGATTGACAATGCGGAAGATTAATGGCTGGGGTAGTTGTTGTTGGCGTTGCTCGACCTCTTGACGAGCGCGCGATTCGGCGGCGAAGGTGTGGTGATTGAAAGGATCGAATGACGAAGTAAGTACACGGGAGTTCCCCGGGACAGCTTGAATCGGAGCGGCGGCTAGCAGTTGTTCGAGCGCAGATTGCGGTAGAGTGATTTTGTCACCGGTTAACTGGGGCGCCCGGTCTGGCGATGCGACGAGCAGCTGGGACGACCAGACTAAGGTATCTTGGGCCATGATGGGTCCTGATAATGATCAGAGAGAGAATGCATTCTATAAATGAGTGTTCCAAGGTGGCGACAGACCGCAACAGCGACGAAGGCGACAAAAGTCAATTTTCCATACTTCAGGATCACCGCTTTACTCTCCGCTTAAATCTCCGCTCATAGTGTAGCGGGTAGGGGTGATGAGTCTGTCTCTTTCATTGATGGTTCTTATGAATGATACGTATCATAACTTTGTACGGAGTGCTTCTTGTTTTGTTTTCTTCTTCTTCTCCAAAATAGATATATCCCTGCATCTATTTGTATATAGATCTTAACCTAGAATATCTACAATTCTGCCTGACAAAAGACAGATTTCGCCTGATTGCCGCTATTGCCGTCCGCAGAGCCGATAAGAGATAAGAGATTCAATTCTGGAAGCCTCCACGCTGGATACTTCGCTTTAAAATCATAATGTACATGCGACCTGTCGATTACCAATATAAATTTGGATCTGTATTCAAATTTAATAAAAGTCGCCACGCATTCTGCCACGAGCACTGGTATTGCACCAATCACACTGCGAGAGATGTTAGTATAGTGAACGCTCTTGATTCAATGGGGGTTGGAAGACACGCACCAGTGCCTTCGAGCATCCCTCGTTGTGGTGAATACAATAATCACCCTGGCAGCCTTGGCATGTGTGCTGACATTCCAGCTTACAGGAAGCACACTACTATGGTTAGAAGGAGCATCCGAAAACCAAAAGAGTTACTCACAGTTGGGCCACATTCCCAGCAGTCTTTGCTAACACCTCGTTCCAGTCTCTGCAAGACAAAAATCAGCGAAATGGACGACTGGTGGGGCACATTCAGTTTGAAAATACCTCACGTTCTTGCAGTTCAGCAGCACTGGCGTGGACTGCAGTCTGATGCGGGGACAGGCTTACTCGGACACGCTGCGGGTTTGGCAGACAGTTTCCACAGAACCATTTATTGCACCGATGGCACCAACGGTTGGTAAGGCAGTCCGTGCAGCGGGCAATAAGGACCGGATGCTCGCCTGGAATTAGCTCGGGCCGTTTCGCCGCCGCAACGCTAGATGAGTGCAGTGGCGGGGGGCTAAGCATTGGGAATTGAATATCTGGGGACTGGCTCCATATAGCCGGACCTTCGGGGGAACTGTGGCATCCATCACATCCGCGAGGTCCGAGGGCTACGGTGGCCACGGCCGGTCCGAGCAACGAGACCTCAGCTAGGCTGTCCTCCGTGGTCGAACCGTATAGGTTGGGATCGTGTCTCGGGCCACGACACAGAGCGGCATCAAAGGCAATGATGCCCTCACATTTCTTAAGCACCTGGGCCCAGCCTTCCTCGATAGTGTGCTTGAAAAGCTTCCCTGAGGCGCTATACCACTCGTTTTGTTGCTCTACCGAGGATTTCGAGGCCCCATCCTCTTGACCAGGGTCAGATGGGGATCGACTGGGTGTCCGTGGTGTTTCTACCTGGGTTCCCCACCAGTCTCGATACCGGGGTCGTGCCACTGGCCGAGGGTCTGTGTGGACGGGAGAGAAATGATAGATACCCTTCACCCGTGGCGTACCCGGAGGGCGTGTGGGCCGAACGGCATGCTGAATGACCTGCATCAGTTTACGTTCGTTCAGGTGACGACATTCGCGAATAGACAGGATATTGACATTGAAGCGGTCCGTCAAAATGATATCGGCCACCAGATCAGCCGGCACTGCCACCCCGTCCAGGATGAGAGTGCGCACATCTTGCAGTATACCTCTGCCCTCGAGGTTCGTAAAGATTCGCTTCAATGGGGTGGAATAAACCTCATCCTCCGTCTGAGAGTCGTTATCTGCTTGTGTTGCTGTAGAGAGTTCTGTACCCCGACAGTGGGACAAATCAAGATGCCGGAATACATATGGCGTCTGGGTGATCACGGTATGTAGGCGGCGTGAAGTTGAGCTCAGTGTCATCAACGAGGATACTGATAGGTATGGTGCCATCTGGTCGAGGATCAAGCTATTGCTTAGGACATCCTCCAGTCCCGTTCGGGAAGGGGGCGTAGGTGTTTTAGATTGCACCTTTGATACCCGTTCAGGAAGTTCGCGCACGGCAGGCTCCAGGCCGAGTTCCTTTAGCGTCAAGCGGCGAGATCCATAAAAATCGGGAGCGCGACCGATGAGGTCTCGTCTGTAGGCTGTCATGGCCCCTACAGCGATTTCATCCCCCCGGAATCCAAAGGGTGAGGCATTGGGTTGGATATCCCGGAGGGCGGCGCGGGCTTTGACCAGCTCACTTTCTAGAAGATTAATGGTTGATTGTAAGACGGCAGGCATGGCTTCTGTTCTCTTAGGGTCAATGGCAAAAACTATAGAAGACCATAAGTCGGACATGATACTCCGTGGAAATCAAAGTATAGAAAAAAGTGGGGGGGGAGGAGAAGAGATGTAAATAGGTTAGAATGTAAAAGAGATTAATATACTCCGTATATCTATATTGTATACATACTCCGGACTTTAGAAGATTCCATTTTTGGATCTAATACATGTATTTTACATATTTTACATATTTCAGATTTATATATATCAGATTAATATATATTGAGTCCGTACTCCGTATCTTTTCATATAATTCAATCAAGTAAGAGAGATAACATGCAGAACCATAAATGGACTGTCGGTGTAAGTGTACATATACCTATGTACCTACTATGTATATAGTTATATAGGTACTCCGTATATAGGTAAATACTGAACCATACTTGACCACCGAATTCCAGGCAGACTTCTAAGTAGAGTTCTATATATATATATATAGCGATTCAATTATATGACTTTCAATTCAACTTGAGCATAATATACTGATCCCCAGAGGTGACAATGGTGGCTATGTACTGAGAACTCCGTACCCTTGGCGTCCAAAAAACGTTAGGATGATCTGCCATTATGGTCACGCGCAAGTCCGCGTCAGTCTAAGTAAGGGGAGAAATGCGTCCAATGGTGAAGAGGTCTATGTATATAACCCGACTCCGGTTTCTGCCAAGACGATAGGAGATCCTTGAATTCCAGCCCATTGAGACATCTCTGATCTACACGGTCCGCATCATGCCAAGCCTTTACACTCATACTCCGTACTCCGTATTTCGATAAGCTGAGCCTGCCAAGCCCCCTTTTTCTTCATTGAAAAAAAAAAGGCAATCACGTTACGTAGATCTAGTTCTTAGGTCTTGTCAAATCAATCCTACATCCAGTACGGAAGACTCCATACGAGAAGGCTGATCTACTTCATGGTATGCAAGCCAAGCAGGCAGTCGGATCCCCAAGTGGTATTGTGCCAAGGAATAGTTACTCCTCTACACATCACTTGAAATGAATCGGATCCAGACGTCACACAACTATGCATTCACTTGGGAGAATTATCAGGGTAGGATTAGAACTAGTGATACAATGTCGTCGATCGTTCCCCAAGCCCCCGGGATCTACTCCGTATCCCCCCACGGCTTTCGAGAGACCTCTACTTCCACAGCTTCGACACGGCCACCTCCTTGTCATCGTGCTTGTTGAGAATCTTGGCGGTGGCCAGATCAAAGTCCTCTTGTGTGACATGAACCCGACGTTCGCGGAGTGCATACATGCCTGCCTCTGTGCAGACACCTTTAAGTTCGGCTCCAGAACACCCGTTCATTTTCTCGGCAATCTTGGTCAAGTTGATCCCACGGGTCAGGTTCATCGATCGAGAGTGGATCCGCAAGATGTCGGCACGAGCTTCGACCCTGTATTAGAAAAAAAAACCCCCACCGAGTTAGCCAAGAGATAAGAAGAAGCCTTAAATGACTGATGGGGAAGGAAGTAGACTGACGATGGAGGGGGGAACTCGATTTTTCGATCAATTCGCCCAGGACGAAGTAGGGCCGGATCCAGAATATCCAGTCGGTTGGTCGCCATGATAATCTTAATGTTCTTCGTTGGCTCGAAGCCGTCCAACTGGTTCAACAACTCCAACATGGTGCGTTGCACCTCTGAGTCACCGCCACCCGATGAATCTATCCGGCTTGATCCAATGCTGTCAATCTCGTCCATAAAGATGATACTTGGTGCGTGCTCTCGCGCCATGACGAAAAGCTCACGCACCATCCGACTACCTTCACCAATGTATTTCTGCACCAGTTCTGAGCCACTCACTCGGATGAATCGACAGTCAGTATGGTGAGCGGCTGCTCGAGCAAGCAGGGTCTTGCCGGTTCCGGGTGGGCCGTAAAGCAAGACACCCTTCGGCTGTGCGATACCTAGAGATTCGAACAGCTCGGGGTGCTTAAGGCCAAGCTCGATCACTTCCTTGATTTCCTTGATTTGCTGGTCTAGGCCACCAATCATGTCGTAAGTGCTGTCGGGGACCTTTTCGACCATCATGAGTGCCACCAGAGGATCAACCGAGGACGGCAACATCTTCTCCAACTTGTAGGAGTCAGACAGGAGAGCGACTCGCTTGCCCACAACGAGTTTGCTAATATCCACACCATCGGAGATATCCACCACTGTGATCAAGGAAACCGTAGCGTTAGCAGAAGCCCGATCATCAGAAGACATATGGGAATAGACTCGGCCTACCGTATTTGCCTTCTGGGTGTACCTTCACCAGAACCTTCTTGGTGCTCATCACCTTAACCACCTCGCCAACGTAGGAGCCGGGTTGTTGCAACAAACCAAGCTCTTCGCGCAGTAGACGGACTCTCGAATTGTAGTCATTGCGCTGCGCTTCTAATCGTCGAAGAACAGCCTGACCTTGAATAATCTCGAGCTTCATGCCCTCGATTTTATTGCGATAGTAGTTGTCCAAAGCCATGATGGCGAATGAAGTGATGACGCTGTGGAGACTCAAGGGTTGTCTGTCTTCCACAGAACACAGATGGAGTAAAGAAAAAGACCTTTAACTTTTTGCTCAGGAGATGATATATCGGAAAATCGTCAGGAGAGGAGATGTAGCTCGGGAACTGAAATGGAGTTGAAGCTGGGGTTTAACGAACAGAGCCGTCCAGCTGTATGTGAAGCTCAGGTCCGGTGCCCCCAGTGCTGACTAAGAGACACGATAACTCAAGCCTGAAATATCAGGACCATCAACCAAGACAAACCAGCCAAACATCCCTTTGTTTCCATGGATGACAGCTCCCCACCCAATGAGGCAGGTCGTAGGTCTGATTGGGCGGTCGATCTGGGCTGATGATCGGGTCATCTGCAATGCGATGGACATAAGGCAACGGTCAAAGAGCCTTTCTCCCCTTTGACTTACTCTTTTCCACGAGCTTTGTCCTACTTGGACCTGCAATGATGTGTATACATCTCAACTAAGAGAACTTCCACGGACATTTTTCGATTTCTGCGTCTTGCCTAGATCTATCTGGTTGAATAATGTCACTGAGACCTTAGGTCTTATTGTTTTGACATTTTTTTTTTCGTCTTTCTTTGGGGACAACAAAGACAGCATAAAGGAGAGAGGACACCCCGTGTCTTTGAGATTTCCTCTTTTTCTCGCTTATTCTGCTTCCAAAGTTTACTGTGTGCTTGTCAAATCACTGGATTATGGCCGGGGATAAAGGGAACTCCGACTCTCCCAAATCTATGGAGCCATCTGCAGCGGTGGGAAGGGAAACCCCGACCTCTGGACAAGTACCTCCAATCACATCATCTGCCTCCGCACGAAGAGCATACGGTAAGCTTACCGTTGGTGTAACCTCCAATGACGACTTGGGCTGATCTAGAATTGCAGGTGCACTCGATACATCTCCCCTTGAAGCGACTAACTCCGAACTACGTGATGACAGTCAAGAGGAGAGTTCGACTCGGGAACTTACGACCCAATCGTCGACTGCCCCTGATAAGCCCCGAAAGCCCTCGGTATCGCGTCGCATGTCTTCCAAACGTCAAATTCCCCACAAGGGGCAAGGCTTCTCGACAGACGATGATGCCAACGAGGTCAAGCAAGATATGACAAAGAAGCAAGGCGCGAACACGCAACAATCTCCCAGGATCCGTCCACTACGAACGCAAAGCTCGACCCTGAGACGACGTCCCAGCGCTCGTCCCAGTCCCTTGGCAAGAGCCGATTCGGAGAGCTACCACGCAGAGGAAACAGGCTTGTCTGAACCAGGTCCGGATTTCGAAGAAGATTTCTCATTGCAACAGGCTGGACACAACAGCGGAGGGGAGAGTGAGGACGACGAGGAGGATGATGATGATGACATAGAAGACAATGAAGATGCAGCCAGCGATGCTGAGAGCTTCACGCTTAAAGATCGTCAACAGGCCATCAATCAAACACATCCGTTTGGTATCAGGATCTGGAAACCTGCGTTGTACAAGAAGAGCCGCTCTGTAGAGAAGACGGCCGAGGGTGATATCCACTCATCTCCGGGAGGCTATGTCAGTCCCCTGCTCTTTTTGACCAACCTACTATGGTCTTTGTTCTTTGGGTGGTGGCTTGCCCTTTTTGCTCTGTTGGCCGCGGTTGCGTGCTTTTTCTTTTCCTACTCATCGAGCGCTGTGGCATATGGAAGAGTATTTTCAGGTCTTTCGCGATATTTGCTGTACCCGTTCGGATCATACGTTCTGTTGGAGACTGATGAGAACTATGCCGAAGAAGATGAAGGCGAGGGACGCAGTATCAGCGAATATGAGCAATGGCAGAATGGTGACCTGGAACATGGTCGACTCTTCTTCGGGCCTCGCAGAGATCGGTCCCTGGTTGGTAGACGAAGGAACAGCGTTGATTCTGCGGGTGAGCAAGACAGCCTGCTCGGGCGGCCCCAGCGTGGACAACGCGAAGATTCGTCTCAGCTTGCTCAATCTAAACGTCGCCTTTTTGGGCGGGGCGAATGGACCTTGGGTCGTGTCGTGTTCTTCGTGTTCTTCTACTTCTTAGTAGGACCGCTGATGCTCATGGTGTCGCTCGTCTGCTGGCTTTTGGTCTTTTGGATCCCCATGGGCCGTATAACCATTACGCTGGTGAGCCATTTACGCAGACATCCCCTAGCACTGTCCTTCCATTCCGATTCCACATATGCGAGGTCAAACACAACTACATCTTCGTCTTCTATCCTTCTTTGCACCTACAGAGCTGCGGGAACGAGGTACTGGAAGTACACTCTCGATGGAACGAATATCTTCCTGATCAATCTTCTGGGTGTGGTTGTGTTTGTGATTTTCGACTATCACATTTTGGGCAAATTCTTGGGCTTGCAGAACTGGCTCACACATCCGGCCTTAATTTTCCCTCTTGCACTACTCTCCATTATTCCTCTGGCCTATTTCATTGGACAAGCCGTTGCCTCAATCTCCGCTCAATCTTCCATGGGCCTGGGTGCTGCCATCAATGCCTTCTTCTCAACTATCGTAGAAGTATACCTCTACTGTGTCGCTTTAACTGAGGGGAAGGCTCAGCTTGTCGAGGGAAGCATCATCGGCAGTATTTTTGTCGGCATACTCTTTCTCCCTGGCTTGTCAATGTGCTTCGGTGCACTCAAACGCAAGACCCAACGGTTCAACGTCAAATCAGCCGGTGTGACGTCGACGATGTTGTTGTTTGCAGTGATTGCTGCTTTTGGTCCCACTCTCTTCTATCAGGTTCATGGCAGTGTAAGTTTCACCTTCTTTCGCAAACGAATCTAAACTGACTGGTGCGTAGCATGAGCTTAACTGCCACTCGTGTGTCAGTTCCCTCGATACAGAGACTCGAGATTGCCGTCGCTGCTATTTCTCACAAACAGCGGCTGTCGATGATCAGTTTTTTCAAAAGGCGGTACAACCATATGCATGGATCGCCGCTGTTTTCTTATTCCTTTCCTACTGCATCGGCCTATGGTTCACCCTTAGGACTCATGCTGCTCTCATCTGGTCATCAGAGATGGAAGAAAAGAAGAATACCCATGCCCATGCCATCCAATCTGCTCAGGATTCATTCTACGAACCACGACACATGATATTCTCAAATGGCCAACCCGAAGCCTCCGGTGCTGCTTCTGGGTCCAAAGACCCTATCCGCGAATCTCAGCTGTACAAGCGAATCCTAGGTCAGTCATTGAAGCATTTTGGCTTGGAGGACAATGGCTCGGGCAATTGGGAAGGAGTTGGAAGTGAAGGTACCGCAGACCTCAAAAGCAATTCCCCGCACTTGGTGCCACCCAATTCTAGCGGCGAGGACGGTTGCCCTGTGCCAAAGTCTGTCCGTAGTATGACCAAAGAAGACAACGAGCGTCTAGTACGCCAGTTCACGGAAGTGGCCGCAACAGCAGCAGCGGCGGCTGCTCGGGATATGGCTCGAAGCCGCAAGCCCAATGCCCAACACAATCAAGCTTCTGTCCGTCAAGCTAGCCGCTCTGCTCCAGAGCGACCACGAAATACCGCAGCAGAAGAGCTTGAAGATCTCGGGTTGGGCGTGGAGCCCACTCATGCCAGCGGAGGACATGATGCACCCAATTGGAGCAAAGTTAAAAGTTCTGTCGTTCTCCTTGGGGCAACACTCCTCTATGCAGTGATTGCTGAGATTCTTGTCAACACAGTTGATGTTGTGCTAGAGAGCGTGGATATTGATGAGAAGTTCCTTGGCATTACCCTTTTCGCGTTGGTACCAAACACGACGGAGTTCCTGGTATGTTGGTTTATTACAGGCTCTAACTGGGGCCGGTTTGTATTCTTGTTAACTAACGCACTCGACAGAACGCCATTTCTTTTGCTATGAACGGGAACATTGCTTTATCTATGGAAATTGGATCTGCCTACGCACTGCAAGTCTGTCTATTACAGGTCCCTGCTGTAGTATTCTTCAGCGCTTTCTATGGCCGCTCGCTGGACCCATCTGAGCTTGTCAGCCACTCATTCAAGTAAGATCGATATATTTTTCTATCCTTCCCCTAATTGAAGTGCTAGGGCTAACAATTTATTTCAAACAGCCTAATATTCCCTCAGTGGGATATGATTACCGTGATCCTGTGCGTCTTCCTTCTCTCGTATGTATACGGCGAAGGAAAGAGCAACTACTTCAAGGGCTCCGTCCTCGTACTCACATACCTTGTCGTTTTGCTTGGATTTTATATGTCGGGTTATGTGAACATGGACAACATGGGCGTGGATCGATTTGATACCCTGGCCATAGGCGGCACCACTAGTTCTGACAAGTTCTACACTATCGGCCGAACAAGAGGCGGGTTGGCTTATTAGACAAAGTGCACATATTTGACTGGTAGTTGCTTTTCAGCACAAGGAAATGATTGACTTGTCAGCATTAATGTTGGATAACTTCTCTTATTTTTTTTTTTTTTGTTTGGTTTGCTTTGGGGATTCTCGTCTACATGCTTCATGCTTCACGTTTATAGGGACAGTGTAACTTATTATGGCTTTGTTGATGATCTGAGCTCTAAAGCTCAATGCATTGGATATGATTTTACAACCTTTGATTATTAGTCTGTCATCTGGGTTCCATTCTTTTTGATTATGCGATAATGACTGAACAAAATGATATTGTAGATCATAGCACCCCGGTACTCATGCCCTGTTTTGTTTTGGTTGAAGGAAAGAAAAATCGTCAGTCATGTCAAGTTAGGACGTGGACTTCCAAGCCCCCACGGCGTCGTCCACCATCTCACGATATTTCTGTTGCTTGAAGCACTGCTCCAGAAAGACCTCATACTTAACACCGAGCAAGGCTTTCTCGTTCTTATCTGCTGTCGGTAACACCTTCTTGCAACGCTTGCTCATGCGATTCATGATGTCCCAGAGATCAGTGGTCTTGCCCTGGGAATCGGCGCTGGCAGCCTTGGCACCGAGCATAGCAGCACCGTGGCATACTGCAGCATGAATGTACTCGGGAATCAGCACAGGCATGCCGCAGGCAGATGCAACGAGGTTGACCAGGATGTCATTCTGGCATTGGGAGCCCGACATGAAAACAGATGTGATGTGGTGACCTGCTTTGTTCATTGTTTCTACAATCTGCTTAGTTTGCAGCGCAATGAACTCCATGGTGGCGTAGTAGTAAATGGCAAGGCCGTCCACAGATTTGTCACTGGTTAGGCCAAAGATCGAGCCAGTCATGTTGGGATCTGCAATGGGCGAGCGGTTGCCCCAGAGGTCACCATAGAAGAAAAAGTGGCGTCCAAGATAGGATACACTTGGGGCTCCTTGGCCATGTGCCATCTCTTTGAGATGTTCATTCAGATATTCGTAAATGTTGGGATGGGATGACTCGGCAATCGAAATGGCCTGGTTAAATGCCGGGTGAGTCTCAATTACATACTTGAGCAATTCTCCTGTGGCAGACTGACCACCTTCGGCCATCCAGTATCCGGGGAGAATTGTGTCCCGATATGGTCCCCAAACACCATCAACAAAAACCGGGTCTGGTGACATGGCAAGGTGACATGTGGAGGTTCCCGCGACAGCCGCGAGGCGAGAGAAAGCCTCTGATCTATCAAGTTTGGAAATGTCTGCGCTAGATTGACCTGGGTCAATATCGACCTTGGATCCGACGGTACCAATCCAGCCAGCGTAAGCATCGATCACACTACTGCCAATGGCAATACCGGGCGGCAGGCCTAGTTCGGCTGCAGCCTTATCGCAGAGAGTGCCAACCAATTCACCGGCACTCAAATAATCACCATTCTGTGTGACAATAGAGGTCAGTAAACTGCATCGTCGCTCATTAGGAAAAGGCTCACCACCCCGTCGACTCCGCCCATGCGCTTGAAGTTATCTTCGGTCAAGTCACCCAGGCCAATTTCCTGCAAGAAATCTTCCTCCCACCCCTTGACGCTCCCATCGACGCCAACAGGCACGTATCCTTGCTTGCAGACCACGCTGCAGAAGCTTCGCTTTTCATTGCCCGTGGCAATGTGTGTAAGAGCATCTCCCAGATCATAGAATTTGCATTTGTCAAAGAGCTCCTTCGGCATGTTGTTCTTGAGCCAAAGAACCTTAGGGATCTCCATCTCAATAGACATCTTCCCGCCCACATAGCGGAGTAAGTTGTGGTTGGTAGCATTGATCTTTGCGGCTTCCTCCACTGGGCGGTGATCCAGCCATAAGATCACGTTGCGGTCCGAGTCAAAATTCGGACCAGTTACAGAGATTGGCTCGTCGGTATCATTGGAGAAGACTGACAAGGAGCAGGTGGCGTCAAACCCGATACCACGAACCGTGTCAGGGCTGACATTGTGCTGGCTAATAACGCGCTGAACAGCGACACAAATGCAACGCCAGATATCGGAGGTAGATTGTTCCTGGAGGCTAGGTTAGACTGGTTCACCATCATCCCCCCAAATTGCTTGCAGTTTTCACTCACATAGTAACCATGCTCTGGTTGCCAAAGACCAATATTCTCCGAGGCCAACCCCACAATATCACCTTTTTCGTCGATGATACAGGCACGGGCACTGCCAGTTCCGACATCAATACCAATATAGTAGTCGAGATGAACGGCTAGATCCTCTCGAGGGTCACTGGATGCTTTCCGGGAGCTCTGATGGGAGGCACGATGGTAGGGCAGCGAGGCCATTTTGCTGTATAGCTCTTTACTTTCGAAGTGAGCTTGTTATTAATTGATAACCTACTCACCATGGATTAGTCACCAGCGAATATAGATTTGATCGAAGCAGAATTACTGTTAATATCTGTATTTATTGGGATTGAAAGAGTGAATCAAGACAATTGAAAGTTGAACTGGGAGGTTTACAGTGTGACAGCATCTAATTTGCCCCCCTGCCGGAGCAGTGCTAGGCGGTACCTTCCAGGCACTTGTTGAGTACTTTGCCGATACTGGAGTTTACTGCCGTGTCATGATAGTACTTTGTGTACTTTACATGTACTTTGTATGTACCATGAAAGTGTAAATGATGTACCTGTATAGATAGATAATTTATACCGGTTTTCGACATATGTTTTAATATGAGCATGTACTATGTACATTGAGAATATGGAAAATATATAAGATATATATAATAGTCCGAATTGAATACAAGTATATTTAACATGATATACTCCGTACTGTAATGTATTCATCTTCAGACGGGTATCTGTAATCGTGGGGGAACAAGCTCCCCGACTTTCTTCTCGACACATCTCGGGTCCCCTTAGGATTCTCATCGCCATGCGGTTCCTACCAACCATTCTCAGCGCTGTGTCGCTCTTGATTTCTGTCACCAATGCCTCCCTCTCGACCGACATCCTGTATTGGCCCCTGGGATCGTCACAGCCATCCGTCCTCGCGCGCATCTCCTACGACCCAATCTTGATGAAATCGGATGTGGTTTCATATCAACCCCCAAAGGATGGTCAGAGCGATAGTTTGGTGCGCGTTGGTCTCTATACTTCCACATCCACACACACAAAGCAATGGGTGGGAAGTCTCGTGTCGTTGTCCTCCTTAGCCAGTGAACAACCCACATTTCGCCTTCACCTCGGTCCAACCAACGAAGTCTACACTGTCTCCCTCTCTACATCTATCAGCCCCCAAGACTCAACATCTGGTCCTCGAATTGACCTCGTCTCGAACGAATCCGGGACGCAGCCTCACCTGAACAGGCCAGTGGTTGTCGGGCCCGACGGGCAGAACCCAGAGCAACCCGAAGAAAAGTCTCTTTTCCAGAAGTAAGTGAGAGGTGTGTCCCTTTTTTTTTTCTCCGTGTGCTAATTGATCATCTAGGTACTGGTGGGTTCTTCTGATCATCACTTTCATCAGCATGTCCGGGGGCGGAGAAGGACAATAGACCTCTTATCAGATTACCCATCTCGAAATAATACTATCCATCAGACTCTTTTGAGTAGACCAGCCTTCGGGAACAAGTTCAAGGGTCCTACCCGACTACAACTATTCCTTCACAAAGATCACTTGAGTTTAAAACAAGTCTAAACATTGTACTCCGTATAACCTGTAGTTTACCTGTAGGAACCTATTTACATCTGTTTTAATTTAAGTCTATAGCAATCAAGTGCGAAGAAATCCACAATCTAGAAGTATGGAACTTCATATTGCTCATATAAATAGACCGCTAAAAAAGATCTTCCAATATTGCCTTTCCCATCTTTTTTACCATTTTCTCGGCCAAAATCAGCGCTCCCCAACCCCCCCGAGGTAAAAAGTCTGTGCATCGCTTCTAGAAATATGCTTACCTCCTATTAGATCCGGTGCAGATTGCCATGCTACTTCAACTACCAACAGAGCTGATACAGCTAGTCCTTCGAAACTGCGACACACCAACCTACTTCCAGGCAGCCTTTTCAAGCCGCAGGCTTTATGAGATTGCTTCTGGTAGTCGAGAAGTCATCATTCATCAGTTACATAATACTCCTGGTTGGAATGACGGTATTGAAACTCATCAAACCAAGCGTCTGTTTGGTGAGTTAATGAGACGATCTTATGAACATTTAGATGGTGCAGAACATTACGCCAGCCCCACCTATGAGTATCAAGATCGAATAATTGACTACCATGCATCAACTCTTGAGGCACTAGAAGACAGTGTACGAGCACTGCTTGTCTTCAAAGGCCACAGTACTGTCCATCTGGTTGGTATGAGCGATGGAAATCGGACCGAAGTCCAATTGAAATCTCCAGGACAGGATATCGGGGAAATCGAGGTTATTCAAACTGCTTTTGATGAAAACGGTGGAGTCTACGTGCTGCATCGATTCAAACCATTCTTAGACCGAGAATTGGATACAGATCACCCATTTGTCAAACATGCCCTAGAGTCTCACCCCAATGGGAGTATTCACCTGGCCTGCCATCACTTGAATCGCCGGAAAGATACCATTCGAATGTGCGACTTTCCCGAATGCCGAGATTATAGGCCACTGGCTTTGTCCGTTACCAACCACAAAATTGCTATATCATGGCAAAACACGCTTGACCCCTTTGATCACTGCGTCGTCCTCTATACCCAGCTCTACGACGAAGAGGAAGAGGAAGAGGAAGATGATTCAAGCCAACGTGGCACAGACCAAAGCAAGGGAGATAATCCCTGTAGAATTATCCGTTCGTTTTGTCGTTCTATTGTTCTGAAAGTGATTCCTGACATCTCTAGATGCCGCCCTCGAGGCTTACGTTCTGACAAGCTCTGATTATCAAGACCCGTCTGTCCGTCCTTCTCGGAAAACAGGCCCCGCTATGAGACTGGCTTTCAATGATCGAGGCTTCCAGTTGCTCTACCACTACCGAGCTCAACACATCTACGGGGCCTTTCAGAGACTTCATCGCCTTCCTGGCCTCCCAGGCGAGCCAAAGCCCCATGTTAATGAGAACGCATGCACTGTGCAGTTTTCGCCTTCACTCTCGCTTCAATTCTCAATTGCAATACCGTTCTTCGGTACCCATTACCTCGGTGATATAAACCAAGGAGAACCATGCCATTGGCAGTATCTCGCCTTCGGCATTGCCACCCACCGCGTCGAAAAATGGACTGTGGCATGCCTCCTGAAGTCTGAGGCATATACTGGCCCGCGATGTACCCATGTCTTGAATCTCGACCGCGGCAGGCGTTTTGATCACTGGCGGATTATGGCGCAGCTTGGTGGATTCCGGGAAATATCAACTTCACATGGCTCACCCGTGGCAACTTCACGTCGCGGAACTCGTGTGGCTGTCGCGAACTGGAAAACCCTCTATGTCTGGACACTGAATCCCTCGGAATTGATAGAGAACAATAGCAACGGCTTTTATCCATCATCATGGGAATCCTCTACAGGTGTCATCGAGTTGCGACCGGTTGTCCTCCAGTTAGAGGTGGTTTGCTCACACTTGCGTTTCACGAAGGAAGACGAGCTGGCTGCGATTACTGATCGTGGAGTGATGTTCCTGAATCTCGGTTATAGCGGAAAAGGCAGGCAGCACGCCAAGAGTGAAGAGCAAGAGGATGTTATCTGACAACCATGACGAGAAAGTTGGAAGATCCGTAGATTGGTCGGAACCCCTGCCGTTTAAGGTGTGGTGAAAGTCTTGAAGTTAATCGCTGAATACCAAAGACGCATTTGTGGTTATGAGTCTCCAAAACACTGTAACTGAAATAGAGTATTTCTCGAATCTCAATAAGCAGATCAAGACACTACCATTCCTTTATGCTAAAACTACGCAATGAAGAATCCCCGAGCAAATAAAATGTGTCCGTTTTTCCTTATCCTCAAAGCAACCCAAAACTCCAGAAAATGCAAAAAAAATGCAGAACCACGAGCTGTATGACATTGTACATAGATCAAAAGAAAACCATGGCCTCAAGAATTCAAGGCCAGAAAAGGGTATCCCAGGGTCGTCATCATAGCAAGACAAAAGAAGGCGGGGGCTAAGGAAAAGAAGAACCTAGTCCGATGACTTGCTCTACTTCATCTGAGAAACGAGCCATTCGAGCACGCTCTCATAGCAGAGTGCGTATTGACTCAGGTTCTGTACCATGCTCGGTCTTTGCCTCCGGAAATCTTCCACCGTCTTTGCAATTAGGTCAAGATTGAAATCCCCCATCCACTCGGTTGATCCGCTGGGGTTCTGGTCCAGGCCGCCACCGTCGATAGCCTGCACACGTTGCCGTTTCAGCATGTCCAAGACACTATCGACAGTGCAGAAGGTTCCCGTACGCCCACAGCCCGCACTGCAATGCACCAGTACTGGCCGTTGACCTTTCGGTTCTGGTTGCTGGCTACTAAAGCTGGAGTTGCTGGTGGCACGGATGACCTTGTTACATTGCTCAATCAAATGGAGAAGGTGGGTAGGCTGCGACGTTGTCCCGAAATCGGGCCAATAAGGATATTGGAGCTGGGTGATATCGCGAAGCGGCTGGAAGGGAAATGATGTATGGCAGATACTGAAGTTTCGCACAGTGATGACTGGGTTTTCGTTTGTGCCATCAGATCGTTCAGTCGATGCCTTGGGGCTGCCAACCATGGGTTCGATATAGATGTGCTTTTCCGAATAGGCCTTCACCTCAAATGGTCCATATTTTCCCGACTCCCAATATCGGTGGCATTTCACCTGTCCCCGCTCAACCTCTGCAGTGAGGGAAACGATGAGTCTAATGTCTTGCTCCCATACCACGCGCCAGAAGTCCTGTATATTGTGAGTGATATGATAACAACAATGCGAGGGGCTATTACTCACATCAAATGTATCAGGAACGGGAGCCTGAGTAGCGATGTATTTCCGATTGGTAAATTCGGCGGAAATATGAGTTGCATTGATATAATCACAGGCCCCAGGTGGGATTCCCTCGAGTCGGACACGGGAATGATCGAATGGGTAAATATCATTATAACGATTCTTCGTGCCTTTTTCTATCCCCGCAACGCGATATTTCTTAGGGCCACCGTCGGTATCAGCCGAGGGCCCTTCATATGTTAAAGCCTGTTTCATGCGTTCTAACTCTGTTTTTTCCAAAACCAGGAACTTGTTCGAGACAATATGCCCTTGATCCCTGATGTCGGAAGCGCCCCGCAACCAGGGAGGGAGCTGCTGTCGCTTTTCTTCGGTCAATCGGTCGGGCTGTTTCAAAGGAATTTGTCCGACACCTCCGAGGAGATCCATGTTCTGTCGGATATTTCCAAAGAATGGATTGGCGGCAGAGGTTGATTCTGGTAGGGCACAGCCACCCACTACAGGGGCAACAGATTGTAAATTGATTCTCATGGGAGAGGGACGTTTAGAGGATAACCCGGTCGTCTGCGTTTGTGACTTCTGAATCAAATGTGAAAACCGGGCCGAGAAACCTCGAAATCCGTTTTGTAAGATCAACCCATCTCCCTTCCAGTCTTCAGCCTGGAATTTATTGAGAAGGTTCAAGAGAGGCGCTGCATCCTTCGAATCCGCCGCGGCGGAATCATAGACTATGATCGTGTCGCACTTTCTCCAACGAGCGAAATTCTGTTTGTCGGCGTCGTCTGTGAAGGTGCCCTCAAGTTTCTGAGTATCGAATGATCGGCGCTTGAGTAGTGTAGTGGGGATGCATAAATTGAGTGATCCTTTGATATTGGCCTGCCTGAAATGAGCAAATGGGCGAACGTCGAATAGCATGATATTTGACTGAGATGATTCAAGAAGTTCCGCGCAGCGTTCGGCTGATACCCAGGGAAAAGACGCGGGTGTGACTCCTGAAGAAACTGTGTTAGTATCTGATATACCTCATGGAAATTATGCAGGAGAGCAAGCTAGGGGTTATAGGACCAAAGCAGAAAAAAAGAAGAGGATAAAAAAAAAAACACCCCCCCAAATCCAATAGTGGTCAGTCATACCTTGTGAGGTGGGTGCTAAGTTCTTGCTGGTTGGAAGCTTTGGTCCGTTGGGCTGCGCAAATGAAAAATTTCCCAGCGGATGTGAGGCCGAAGGCGCTGACCATGAAGTCGTTTGGGAGGGGGAAGATCCATGCAATGCTGATTCCCGGCGTATGCGGCTGGTTTCAGGCTCAGTCTTCAACATATTCTTCAACCCTGCAGATACCGATTCCTGAGAAAACACTGGCAATTTTGGACTCGACAGAGCTTGCGTATGGGGTAATGTGCCCCAGTTCTTTTGCACGGACAGACCTGGGTTGGGATTCTGTGAATTGTTGGGATTTTGCACAGCCATGCCAAAATAATTGGGGCTTGATCTTTCTGCAAAAGCCGCGCTCGAAATCATGCCCGTGGCTGATGGCGACATGGCAGATTGGAAGGGCTGTGTGGTACCATCATGATGACCACCTTGCGCACTTTGTACCCAAGGTGAGGAGGGTGAGCGTCCTGGGCCTGTCATGGCAGGCGGGTTGGTTTCCACAACTCCAGTTTCTGGTCTGTCGAAAGACGGTCAGCTGAAAATTCTCCTTATCAATGACCGTGTGGGTAATTTCAAGCGGCTCCTCGGGGATTAGACTGACAAGTGCTCCCAAGCTTTCGGATCAAGATATCAGGGCCGGAGACCAAGGGCTGTAGCAGAATCGCTCATAAACATGCAATGCAGGTGTAGATGTCTAATAAAGAGTGAAAACTTAGACAACAGATGGAATGAATCGAGATATATCTGACGTAGGGACAAAGAGGGGCAAGCGAATAGACCAGGGTCCAGCCAAAAGGAAAAACCAAAACGAAAAAGGTCAGTGAACCGGTCTGTGATATCAGACGTGTTGCATGATTAATAATCTGACACTGGGCAGCCCAGGGAAACTAGGTGAAGAAATTTGGGGGCTTCGAGAAGAAAAGTTATGACGTGGTTGTGTGGGGGATCACGGGTTCACTTCGGTTCTGACGTAGTTGGATTTCTAGATTTCTAGATTTGTGATATTGTATATATAATGTATTGTACTGTACTATACTGTATATGTAATATGTTGGATATGTCAATCAAGATATCCTATATAGGTATATATATATATGTATATATCAATGTATCAATGTATCGCCATGGATACATAGTAATTGGATAAGAGAACCGATATAAAGGGAGGGCTCCAGGTGTCTATGGCTGAGTAAGCAACAGGAGCCCTACATTATGGATCGTTATGGATCAATGCATACACCGATGTATCTCGAAATTGAATTATGTTGGACATGTCTTTAGGCTGACCCCATATTAAGGGTGATATCATCCCAGTTCCCGGTTGGTGGCGAGCCTCCAAGGGACCAACCGTGGTGTGGTTCCACTCATGCAGGTTTCAGGTCGATATGACAAGCGAAAGGATGAGGCGAAAGACTTGAAAAAAAACAAGATATATCCCATATTCGCAGTCATTGATCCAGCATATGAGGTTCGGGAAGCGGAAGTGTACATTGTATGCTTTATACAAGATTCGAGAGGCTGAGGGAGTAAGCGAGACCAATTCCAATGGCTACCTAGGTAGGGAGAATGGTGTATGGCATGCGTTGTATGCAAAGACCAATCGGATAATTGAGTGACCAGACTCCTGGTCTCCTCCTTTATCTCAACATGGAAATGTACTGTAATGTACTCCTAGCTCCTACGCTAGGTTGAGGTCATATGAGGAACGCGTGTTGTCGTTGCGTTCGTGGATACCAGAGCACTCAGATGCTTGAACGCGAAGTGTTACAGCCTTCCGTCTGGTTCACCTTTGAATCGTTCTACTCGCTTCTGCTCCCATTGGTCGAGGTCTTTGGCCATGAGTCTCTGTGGGCGTACACAATCATCAGCATTTAGTTGAACTGTCAGGTGATAAGATCAGAATTAGATAATACATACGTAGTATTCTTCTTTTTCGTCGCCAATAATTCTCCTCCGCGGGTTGCGTTTGATTCCCTCTTCCCCGTCAGGACCTTTGAGTCCGAGATCAAATGCTTCGTCTTGACTGAGCTGCTTGACTTTGCGGTCATACCGCTCATACCGTAGAGCAGCAGCAGGTGTCAAGGCAAATGACCCAGCTACAATAACGGCCATGAATGGGAGTCCGAAAAGAATGAAAGGGTGTCGAGTTAGTCGCGCTCGGTAGAACGCACCGAGCCGCTCACCGAGGGACGATGATTCTGTAGCTGTCCGACGAAAGGTTTTGGATTGGAACACAGGCATATTTGTGAATCAATTTATCGAACACTATTATCGAGAGGTTCAATGGGTTCAATGAGTTCCGATCATTGGTGAATGAACAAAGGAAACAATAGGATTTTCGGTCAATCGGTAAATAGATGATCCGAAACGTCGGGTTGAATTGTTTAGAGCTTCTAAACAGCCTTTTCAATTGCCTATTGACACCTACTGACCCTCAATCACTGGTCATTTTTCTTTTGTGGATATACAAGCAGAGCTTAGCCGAAGCTCAACTTTTTGTACCTGAAAGCCCCAGAAATTCCTCTACTTATTGTGGTGATTCTTTACAGGTCACAGAGAGCTCTTGTGCGCAGTCCAGTTTGCTTGCCCGTTGATAAGCCCTGAAGCATCTTTCTGCTTCGTCGCCAACCCAAAGTGATTTAATTTAAAGCATAGCCTCACTGGACTTTGTGCTTTATATTCCTTGTCTTTTGACAGCTTTCAAAACTACGAGCCCTCCAATGGCTTCCAACACCGGCTCTCTCTTCGGAGGGGGGGTCTTGGAACCTCGACAACACCACAGTCAAACAGCCTTTTTGGCGCAAACAATTCGACAGCGAGTCCTTTCGCAAACTTTTCTGCTACAGGCGCACAAGGCGCGCAAGGCGCGCAAACATCATCTCTGTTCGCAGGTCAATCTCAGGCCCAGCAACAGCCTGCTCCAGCCCCAATCTTGGGCCAGACCCAACAAGCTAGCAATCCTCAAACCCAGGGACAATCTGCAACTCAGCCAACGCAACCTGCATTTTTTAATAGCCTATTAGAGCGTGGGAAAAAGCGACCATTGTCATCCGTTATCCAAAACAACAACTTTGAAGACGTGCCTAGTCTCCAGTTAGGTCTGGATGACATTCGAAGGAAGGCACGAGAGCTAGGCTCCGCTGGACAAAAGGATACCCCAAACGGCAAGAACAGCAAAGCGTGAGTTTCATCTCCACCATCCTGTCACACTTTGTTATTGGCCTTAGCTAACCTTGCGATATCATCAATAGTCATTATCTTCTTGCAGCTTCTGGCATTTCGCCGGGACAAGCATTGCGCGACCTCAAGTCCATGGACCCCCAGGCATCTCTATCCGCCCCAGCGAGGGACTTAGACCACTTTGATCCAGACAACCAAAGATTTTTACGCAACATCCAGCAACGTGGCCGACAAGTCATGATCGCAGAGGGTCTCACCAGAGCTCAGCGGGATTTCGATGCTTTTCTAGAGGAGAAGGTAGACATGGACTGGGAAGACCAACGTCAAAAAATTTTCCACCACTTCGGGCTATCACAGAAGGACGCCACCGGCGCTGGAGGACTGAAATCTACCACCAGGGGAGCCTTTGGAAGGTCGGCAAGGCAGTCTAAGCAGAACGGGGCTGTTCCAGCCGGTGGGCCCTCAACCGCATCCCGCCGAAGCGTTTTCGGCCGTTCCGGTCTTGAGAAGTCAGTGATTGGCACACCTGGGGTCGGCTTGGCAGGCCGTCAAATATTTGAAGATCCAGCAGAGCGCAACGAAGGAACTGCGTCTCACTCGCCTGATCTCAGGTTCCAACGGGAGAAGATGGGCCACTACGCGGAGAAGGTTCAGCAGTTGAATCTCGCCAGACTCCAAGGAAAATGCTATCCCGTACTGGACGAGTTTTCATATGTTGAAGTCCAAGCCGGTGGTGATGTAAGTTTCAAGCCTTTTTGCAGCATGGATGTTCGTCCAGCTAATCCTTTTCCTTTTTCCAGGTACCCCGGCAACTCTTCAGTGCATATCAAGCCTTGATAAGAATTGTCCATGAGAAGCCAAATATCATGAACCCATCGGAGCCTGGAGCAGTGAAAGAGCGACAGTATGCCGAAAATTACCTTGAAGAATCGTCCAAATCTCTCAAAGCAATCGAACTCAGGAAACAAATTCTTGAAGGGTCCAGGAGTTTCCTCGAGAGCACATTCTTCGACGAAGTGGAAACGGCCATTGCCAAAAATCCCCGGGAAGCACAATTGGGAGGGATTCCAACTGTCATCAATAAGATTCGCGCCTACATCCGTCTTCAAGCTGCGAGGAAGGACTTGGCACCTGACGGTACCGAGCTCCAAATGGTGAACCAAGACTACTGCTGGATTCTCATTTTCTACCTTCTTCGATGTGGTTTTGTGACCGAGGCAGCTGAATACGTGAGTCGGGACAGTGGGTTCCGGTCTTTAGATCACAAATTCGTGACCTACATGACAACGTATGCGCAGAGCAGGAGACTTCCCCGGGACTTGCAGCAAAAAATCAACGGCGAGTTCCAGCAACGTTCAAGGAACGCACCTGAAAATACAGTCGATCCTTACCGAATGGCATGCTACAAAATCATTGGCCGCTGCGATCTCTCGCGTCGCCGCTTGGATGGTGTGAAGCAAACCGTCGAGGACTGGATGTGGCTACAGTTCAGTCTTGCAAGAGAGGACGATCGCGCTGAAGAGGTTGCAGGTGACGTTTTCGGCCTGGAGGACATTCAGACCGACATCCAGGAGATTGGCCAGAGAGTCTTCGTCAAAGGCAATGAGGGACCCGGTGGCTATGGAACCTACTTCCTGCTGCAGATATTAGGAGGAATGTTTGAGCAGGCTGTGCATTATCTCGGCACTTATGCACCAGTCACCGCTGTTCATTTCGCCATCGCTCTGTCCTATTATGGTCTTTTGCGCGTGTCCGACTTTTACACCTCTGGGGAAGAAATTCGTAAGCTCACCCTTTGCCATACTATTCTGATTTTGCTAACCTCAAATGTTCTCGCTTTATGCAGTCTCCTTTACAGTCAAGCAATATCCCCAGATCAATTTCGGATATCTCTTGACTCAATACACCCGAGAATTCCGCACTGGATTTGTTGAAGCTGCCATCGACTACTTCACATTGATTTGCCTCAATGCAGATCTTCCAGGTGCTCTAGGAAAGTCCCAAGCATCAGTCTGCCATGAGGCCTTGCGAGAGTTCATCCTAGAAACCAGAGACTTTGCCAAATTGCTTGGCGATATTCGGGCGGATGGTACTCGTCTCAAGGGAGCCATTGAGCAACGTCTCGATTTGATCAAATTGGTTGACCAGCAAGAATTCTTGAAAACTATTACGGTTCAAGCTGCTGCTGTTGCGGACGATAAGGGGCTGATTACGGATGCCGTGCTTCTGTACCACTTGGCAGAGAACTATGACCGTGTCATTGACATCATCAACCGTGCCTTGTCAGATGCGATTGCGGTTGAGCTAGGTGGTGCCATGCCGAAGCTGCAACCCCTGTGTCCCAGGGTCGACCAAAATCAAGATATCCAGCCAGAGGCAGGGGAAGCCGGAAGCAGCCTCAGTTTGACTGCCGTGGATGATCCCGGTGTGCTTGCCAAGAACATGATCAGTCTTTACGATTCGGACAGAATGTACTATGGACAAATTCGACAGATCAACCGCGATGCTTGTGGGTTGCTGCTGCGTATGATGGAAGCAAAGACCCAAGTTGAAGCCGGCAGATGGGCGCCAGCTCTTGATGTAAGTGTCTTCTACCCCTATGGTCTTATTCCATGATTTATTAATGAACGTAACAGGCTATCAATGCTTTGAATATTCTCCCCCTGCAAGCACGAGGCTCCGTGTCGTATATTCGAAGCACAGCCCAAGCTTTCTCATCTTTACCACCTATCATTTCACGCAACGTCGGACCCATCATTATGTGGAGCATCACATGCATTGGCTATGAACGCCAAAAGCGAACCTTTGGGATGTACGATAGTGAAGTGCGCCAGGGATTGGCAGATACTTTGCTCGTCATGGCCAAGGATCTCATGGTCTTCTCGGGAATGGTCAAGTACAAATTGCCGCCACGAGTCTACGAGACTCTGGCTCGTGCTGGAGCGGATATCGGGGCATATTAGATTTGATTTGAGATACTGAGATACTTTGTGCTTAATTGTCTCTGATACAATCGAAGAGAATAAAATTATCGATCTCGTAATGTCTATCTGCTTTCAAAGACCAAATCTAGTTGCAAACTGTCAACTATGTAATTCTCCTTTATGGGTTTGATATTTTGGTATACTACGTACAGGTGGACCTCAGGAAGGGTAAACATGTCCGGGCCTTCATGTTTCCGCCCCACCAAGTTCTTCCCGAGGCTCCTTCTCCGACATTTCGCTCTGATATGATCTGTATATATCGTCTTTCCGGGGATATTCTCCAGTGAAATGGCCATTTCATTGCCATAGTTGGGAATACAGAGCTATACCTGTATTCTGCCACCCCTTCTCCATGATGGACCATGCCTCCGTCTCGAGCTTACAGAGTTCTGGCAGCGAGGCAGGCTCCCCGCACAATGGGGTTCCAATGCAGGCAAAAGACCTTTTGGAAATAGACCAAGAGATCGAACAGGGCTGCCATGCACGAGACACGATAGACGAAACCCCACCTGAGACCACAGCCCCGATCAATCTATCCAGTGCCCTCGATAAGCAAGCATTACATGGTGGCGAGAACGAGTCAACACAGCGAATTACGACCATTGGAGATCCTCAGAGCAGCAGCGCATCAACGAGCCAAGGTCCAAAGGCCACCCCTAGCCTTTTCAACAATCCGCCGAATCTAGCGCGCATACGCAAGGTCCTATTCGAGTGCAAGGACCCGATAGAAATCAGTCTCGAAGAATTTGAGACATATTGGCCCTTTATTGACAATGTGTGGGTCAAACAAAGATCAAATGCGAGCAAAGAGGGCCATTGCACCACCGACTATTACATGTGCCGTCTACGGCGTCCAACACATCGCACATCAGAAACTCGCCCCTTACCAGAGGGCAAACGCCCTCGCAAAAAAAGAGTCCGAGAGGGAGGCATCTGTAACTTTCAAATCAAGGTCGTCCGGTTCGATGGCGCGTACTCGACAGTTACTATCGCGAGAACGCCGGGAAGTTGTAACGTCCACTCGCATGACCTCGACTACATCGACCGGGTGAAGCGGAACTCGGGATTAATGGAGTACGCGCGCAAAGAATCCGTGAAGGGATACCTCCCTTCTTCCATCTATACCAAATTCCAAGAAGAGCCAGATAAGCTTGGGGAGGCTGGAGGGCGATTCTTCACTGTTACGGACGTCCGCAACATCTCCGCCAAGTGGCGTATACAAAACCCAGAAGTGAATCTGGTCGCACATGAGGGATACGAATACCAGAAGGGTCATGGTATCATTAAAACCCAAAGCACCGATGGTGTTAACGAGGTGTCCTCCCAAACAAAACCAGCCTCAATCTCGTCAGTTTTGCCCCCGGACACACTATCATTCCCTCAATTCTCGCTAGACTTCTTAAACCCTTACCTTCCCAACCACTCGGACCGCCGGGAGCTCCCCATGTCACACTGTCGTACGCATCGTCAATGGACTCCAAGATCTCCCTTCAACCAGGAATGCAAACGGTATTGTCTGGGCCGGAGGCCAAATTGATGACCCATTATCTTCGCTCCCGGCATGATGCCATTCTTGTTGGAGTAGGAACTGTCCTTGCAGATAATCCGGGTCTAAATTGCCGTTTGGAAGGGGCCGGCGGATTTGGAGGCCTGGGGAGAATGTGGCAACCACGGCCAGTGATCATTGATCCGATGGGCCGATGGCCTGTCCATCCTGAATGCCGGATGTTGCGTACTGCCGTTGAAGGCAAAGGGAAAGCTCCATGGGTTGTGTTATCCCCAGGAGCACAAATCAATCCCCAGACACTAGTGATGCTCAAAGGCTACGGTGGAGATTTTCTCCGCATTGTAGAGTACAATCAGCACTGGCGATTACGCTGGGAAGCTGTCTTTCGTGCCTTGGCATCTGAGGGTATTAAGAGCGTCATGATTGAGGGTGGTGGTACGGTCCTGAGTGAATTGTTGAATCCAGAGTATACAAACTTCATTGACTCGATTATTGTGACAGTTGCTCCCACCTACCTTGGCCGGGGCGGAGTGAATGTCAGCCCTGACTCCAAACAAGATCAGAAGGGTACACCCAATGCTGCATTAAATCCTCGAGATGTTAAATGGATGCCATTGGGACAAAATGTGATTATGTGTGGAAAGATTCGCGAAAGCTATTAACTTCTTGTTTCGACTAGTATTACCTCTATTGTCCCAATTGTCTCGATTGATCATCTTCCTATTCTATTCATAAAACAGGGAGAAAAGAAAAGAGAAATCGCTTAATTTCAAATAAGATGAATGAATCAGCCCATTGAAGGTGGCTGGGGAGAGAATGTGCTATGTTTTGACTGTTTTCGCTGTTTTGGCTTGGCACCCTTTTTTTTAACCCGCTACGCGCCTTTTTGCTTTTCTTTCAATCTCAGCTTGGAAACATTCCTTTTTTTTTTTTTTTTTTTCTTCTTTTCATTCTTTGCTATTTCTAATAGTTTAGAGGCAAAATGCCCCCTAAAAAGAACACGTCCAAGCCTGTCGAGGCTTCGACAGACACAGTGAAGAAAAGTACTCGCACCAGCGCGAGGCAAGCCACCATGACCAAGACTGAAAATCCCGTGAAAGAGTCTACCAAACCAGCTGCAAAGCCTGCAAAGCCCACTGTCAAACCTACGAAACCCACTACGAAATCCACTACGAAATCCACTGCGAAATCCACTGCGAAATCCACTGCGAAATCCACTGCGAAATCCGCTGCGAAGCCGACTGCGACTACCAAGTCAACTGCGAAGTCAAGCAAGATGGCAACGTCTACCACCAAACCGGCCTCTGGTACAAAGAAGCGCAAAGCTAACGAGGATGAAGAGAAGCCTCGCGAAATCAAAAGGTCGCGTGTCGTGCAAGCCCGTCAGCCAAAGCCCAAGGTCAAAGTTGTCATCAATGAGGCCCCAAAGTCTAAGCTGAACGTATTTGTCTGTGGTGAGGGTAGCTCTGGTGAGCTGGGTCTGGGCACAGCTAAGAATGCCATTGATGTGAAGCGCCCACGTTTGAACAAGCTTCTGTCTGCCGAAGAGGTCGGAGTTGTACAGGTAGCTGTCGGAGGTATGCACTGCCTAGCTTTAACCCATGACAACAAGATCTTCTCTTGGGGAGTGAACGACCAGGGCGCGCTCGGAAGAGAGACCGAATGGGACGGTGGATACAAGGACATTGAAAACAACAGCGATTCCGATTCCGACGATGAAGATAGCGGGTTGAACCCCCGCGAGTCTATTCCTACTGCTATCCCTGCTGCCGCTTTCCCCGAAGGCACTGTCTTCGTCGAAGTCGCCGCCGCCGATAGCGCGAGCTTTGCCCTGACCGATGATGGTCTGGTCTATGGCTGGGGCACCTTCAGAGTAAGATTTCCTGACTACCGTGGATCGAATTCCTTTCGCTAACCACAAATTCAGAGCAATGATGGAATCCTCGGATTTGACGCATCTTCTCACGTTCAAAAGACTCCAACTTTGATCTCGTCCTTGAAGAAGATCACACACTTGACTTGCGGAGCCAATCACGTTCTTGCCCTGAACGACCAAGGTCGTGTCTACTCGTGGGGCTCCGGGCAGCAAAATCAGCTCGGTCGCCGAATCGTGGAGCGCAACCGATTGAACGGCCTTCAGCCCCGGGAGTTCGGTCTTCCCAAGAACATCGTCCACATCGGGAGTGGTTCATACCACTCGTTTGCTGTTCACACCACTGGAAATGTCTACGCCTGGGGATTGAACAGCTTCGGCGCAACGGCTATCCGCGAGGGTGCCGGCGACGACGAAGCCGCTATCGTGCATCCTACCCTTGTTGAATCTCTTTCGGACCGAAATATTTCGCAAATTTGCGGAGGCTCTCATCACTCTGTTGCCATTGCTGGCGATGGTGAGTGCTTGGTTTGGGGCCGTCTCGACGGGTTCCAAAGTGGCTTGAAAATCGATACACTTACCGATGACGCTGTTATCAAAGATGAGCGCGATCGCCCCCGTATCCTGATTGCGCCTACCCCCGTTCCTGGCATCAAGGCCAAGGTTGTGGCAGCTGCCTCGGATCATTCTCTCGCTATCGATGCCGATGGCCGTGCATGGTCATGGGGATTCTCCGCTACATACCAAACTGGCCAAGGTACACAAGATGACATCGAGGTGGCTACCGTTATTGACAACACTGCTACTCGTGGGAAGAAATTGAACTGGGCTGGTGCTGGTGGTCAATTCTCTGTGTTCACGGAGCCTGTCAGCGAGTGAGGTCAATATCTTCCATTGACCTCTCCTCCATTGTAACATCTAATGTCTCTTCTTCTCCCTTCGGTGTGTTGACTCGTCTCCAAGGCAGTACATGAAAGTTTCTTTGCAATCTCCAGTTATCGTTACCCGTTAGCATATCATTTGAAATTAATTCTCGCTCTTCAATATGATCCAATGTATTGTTTCTAGTCATCCTAGTTTCAAGCTCGTTTGAGTTCCGGTTACGCGATACCTATCTGAGCCATACATGGCCAAGGTGATTTGATTAGACAGGTGTGGTCTGGCAGGTATAAGGGGCTTGTCCCGAGGTTAAGCATATTCCATCGCTGTCATTAAAATATATTGCACAAGATGCCTTGACAGCTACATCCCAAGCTCCTTCATAGCTTCGTATTCAGCATCATATTCGTCGTTATCGTCATCTGGTGCCCGTGAGGATGAGGCACGCACGTCGGAGGGGGAATCGATCATTGGCTCATCCTGTTCTCTGAGAAGATCATCCAAATCATCGTCCTCGGGCTCAGGGTGGCTGGTTGTAGGCCGCGCGCTCTCGTTTGGGTCTGGAATAAATAGGTCTTGGTCGGTAGTCGCTTCCTGGTCCTGAGGAATCGCTGATGGATTATTATTGGAATCTGCAGTGTTCCTGGGGCCGAAGCGATGTTCGAGCTCCTCCTGCGTAGCCCCGGCGCTATCGAAGAGTCTCGGTTTTTCCTCGTCTATCCATTCTCGTCGCATGGCCTGAATTCGTTTCGAATGTCCCAGTTTCTCAATCATTGTCAGGCCGTCTGTGAATTTTGCGCGTGGGAATAGATCATCGAGCCATAGCTGGTAAAAGTTGAGCAGGCGTGCGGCATCCTTGAACTATAGCGAACCCCCAGGTCAGTTACACTTCTCATGCTTTAAGTATGCTAGATAGACAAGAGAGCGAACCTCGTGTCCTTTGCCCTTGAACTTCAATTTCTGTCTGGCAGTATGTCGCAGTTTGGGGATGCCTGGTTGTGAAAGTAAACTAGCCTATTTATCAGCACTTTTGCAACCCAGGTGTTCTTTCGATGCAAAAAAAGAATTTCAGCCAGGAAGCAGGATATTATGTGAGACTCACCGGCCCTCGTCTAGTTTTGCCACAGGTTGTCGTTTTTTTGCGACTTTCACTTCTTCATCAAGACCCAAACCAAGTGTCGAATCCCCTGTACCAGAGACCTTGGTGCTATTTGCATTGGGAGCATTGTTATCCGGAATAATCTCATCTAAGCCGATATCATAATCAAAAAGATCGTTCAATTCACCCGCTGTCGGGGAGCTTCCTCGCTCTGAAACGTTCGCCATAGTTCCACTCGGGCGTACAAATACTGTTGTAGGTGCAATTATATCAAAGAGGTGGTTTGGAACGAGCGCGGTAATTGGAGGTTAAAAAGAAAAAGACGTGGCACCTGGGTCGAAGTACGTCAACTTTCGCGTCTTGAGACGATATTGGCATATTGGTGGCAATCAATCAAATGCCGTTTTGACGCGTGACGCGAGTATGCTGTTATCTGCGTTCTGATTGGCTCTTGGACCACTTGTCCGCCTTAATTTTACTAGGCCTAATAAGGTTAGCTTAGCCTCTCCCTCCAACTCTCAGAACTTCAACCTCCAATGCCTGCACATTCACACCTCAAGCAACATGGCGACCGATACCAAAACAGCCATTGTGCCCTCTAAGCGGGCTAACACTGACTACCCGGTATGATAGATACAGCATGAATTGGAGCTGCGACTTTTCCGTCTCCAACTGCTCATTCGCGTCTTTTGCTAACATATCCCACAGTTGATCGATTCCGACCCGTATGGTTTACCCCGGATTCTAAGAATTTCTCACAAGCTCACATCTTTATCAGGCATTTGAAACGGGTGTTCGGATATGCCCGGCCTTCCGACTGGGCCGTGGCTGGCGGTATGGCCTCGGCTGCTCCCATCTCGTTCTGGATCATGGAGAGAGCAAGCCCGTCGCATGTAGGCCGGGGTGGCTTCGCTCCCGTTATGCGACTCGCGACAGCTGTTGGTCTGCTGGGCGGTCTTCATGTCCTTTATCAGCGATCCTGCCGTAAGCCATATTCCCCCACCAGAAACCCTCGCCCACGTTTTGGATAATGTCTCAACTCAAACCTTCACAGAGCGCTTTTACGGTTTCACTGAGAATTCGAGAGAGGTCGCAATGGATACTCGCGAGATGGTCGACAAGGTCAAGAAGGGCGAGCCTCTGTACGGTAAATCCCAGATGTCGTCCAATCTACAAGGTATGGCAGCCCGCAACTCGCGGTACTCGGAACTTTTCATCCATGTTGTTCCATGGTTCAACTTTGTCAACCATGATCAAGTAAGTACTGTATTCAAATCAATCTGAGAAGGATGATGTTGATTGTTTTTGTGTCAGCATGGCGTGGACACTGCCAAATACTACCAGCAGGCCGAGCAGGAATTGGAGGCAGAGCGTACTGGCTCTTCATAAATATACACCATCAGCTAGAAAGAAAAAAAAGAATGATGGGCAGCCTTTCCGTTCAGTGTTGCAGATTTGTACACATATCCGATTTTGTGTGTGTTTTTGGGGGCGCAATTGATATTCGCAATACAAATTCCAGTTCTGATCAACCCCAACGCCTCTTATATTTACATGGAGATGGCCCTTTGGATCTAATAGTTCCCCAGCTGTATCGGCAGCGGGTTAAATCTAGCTCGGAAGGTATTGCGTAGTGAGCTAGCCGATGTTTGGAGACATCCCGAATCCGAGCCTTGTGGTTGGTTCACCAGGTTGGTGGCACTTCTTCATTGCCATTCTCGAATTTCGTGTTCAACTCTCGATTCTTCTTCGGTCTGGGGTTAGGAGCTGCCACGCAATCAGCAGGTAATCAAGCTTAGGGATTATGCGTCCCAACTCCTACCTTTTTCGTTCTCCTGTATGTAGAAACGACGGAGCAACATAATTGCTTCTTTCTCAAACAGCCCACCGTAGACAGGGTATGATGGGTCAATTGAGGAGCTGTGTCCAATCAGCCTTACACGATCGGCTCGCCGGCATTGAGTTATACTGACTCGGAATGTAAAGAAAGAACACCTCCAGTGCCTCCGAATCGATCATTAGCGCACCCAAAGTACACAGCGCGGATGTGGTATTGCTTCAGCGCAGAAGCGCACATGACGCAGGGTTCGACCGTGACGTAGAGATCAGTAGATTGCAATGCTGACCTAGGGTAGCTTTGGAGCATCTCTGCAATCGCTATAAACTCAGCATGTCTCGTTCCCTAGGGATTGTTAGCGGTTTTTACGCGTTGAGGCATTACGATCTTTAGAATGCTACCCACATTCATAGATCTATTTGTGTCATTCATGCCAAATCCCACAATTTGATCGTTGTGCACCAGAACGCAACCAACGGGAGTCTCGCCTGACTGAAGAGCCTTTTCACCCTGATATCTCAATGAGCATGTCTCCATTCCTCGGCATCAAGAATTTTCGCACCATCAACAAGGCTTGTCTCATGAAATGTCCATGTCTCGAGTCCTCCGCCACTACGGAGTCATTCTTGAACTCCATGGCCAATTCGGGTTTTCTGTTCTCTAGAAAAGATTTTATATTTTGAGTTGACACCGATTCCTAGTCAGGGATTTCATTGTGATGAGGAAGTGAAGGAGTCAGAAGAGGAAGAGCAGTGGCACCCGAAATTTCCCAGTGAGGTTGACCAACTTTTGAGCCACAAGGTCCAACATGATACAATAGATATTCATTTAGCTGGGATCCTTCTTGGTGCTCTTGGATCATATGAAATTTCACGATTTTGAATTTTCTAATCTTTCGATAATATTTTTTCTACATGTTATGTATCTAGTGCAATGTGGGCAATTTTTCTGAATTCAAATCGCATATATCGAAGACCTCTCTAATACCATTACTCCTTTGAATGAATAGAGAAATAGAAGGCTCATTTATAGGATTTCAGACCGCGATTCATCATAAGATCTGATAGTATTGCAGAATGTACTCCGTATGCACGCAGGTAAAGATGGGTGCTTGCTGCCTCAGGTGTCAGTTGACATATCAAGTCTCGCCGCGTATCTGCGCACTTCAAGCATCCACTTGAACACAACACAGCTTCGGAATTCGTTTCAACACGAGGAATTTAATTGCTAAACCTGATGCTATGAACATGCGTGTCCCATATGGCGACCGAGGGAGAGAATGAACGGGCCACCGCGCCTGGGAACGCTTGGAGAGCTGAACCTGCCTCGTCTATCCTTGCTTCGCGCTTCGTACCGCATCTTGCAACTCAGGGAAATGAATCACACATAACCCGGGAAACATTTGCACAGCTTCGCCAGGAAATTCTAAGTGAATCACAGACTCACCTACGCGTTGACGAAGATGTCACCGATGTCAACAAACTCATATGCATTGTCTTAAAGGCCGGCCTCGAGAGTAGCCCGAACGGAAGCGAATCAAAGCAAGATCTGGAAGGACAAGTCCTTGATTGCTTAGATATTATTCAAGCTAGCATCGAGAAAACTCCCCAAGCTCTGTGGGAATCCTCTGACCCTCTCATCCTGGGCGAGGACATACATGCTCCTCTATTTGCATGGCTAATCCTACGACTGATCCGACTCGGCACCGCCTGGACCTCCGAAGTTGTTTTAGAAAAGATTCAAATTCTTTACGCGAGCCTAGCTCATTCTCAGTCCAAGCAAGCCCGTTTATTGCCTGCAAGCTATGCCGTTGCTGCATTTCTGCGTGCTTGCACGTCAGGTCAGTTTATTGTCTCTAGAAATATAGAACCTTGCGCCTAACTCACATTCGCTAGATATTTTGTGCTCTCTTGAAACATTTCAACTTAGAAATTCATGGGATACACGTCTCAGAGGGTTGTGGATACCCGCCGCAGATGGATCGCTTATCGAGGATCTCCAAACCCTGGGCCTCTCTCCCGGGTTATTCAAGAGCAAAACTTCTCTTGGTGGCTTTGTCCAGACAGTTTCCCTGGCATGTCGGTTGCTTGATTCATTCAATCCTAAGGGTGGAATGCAATACCGTGCAAAGCATCATGATTCCATCCTCCGCCAAAACTTCTCGTGGGTACTAAATGGTTTCCATCGCCTTAGACAGGTCATTATCGAATGGCTGCAAATGAAAGGAACGCAAGTCACTTCGGAAGACGAAACTGTGCCGTTACAATATCTGACATATTTGCACCGATGCTGCTTACCAGAATCGACTTCGGGTGGACTGCTCTCAAATATGAGTCTGACTTCTACCTGGGCTCAATGTCTGTGTGGCTTCCTGGGCCTTGAAAATATAGGAAGGTTGCCTTCTGTCCAGGTTATCCTAAGTCGCTTCTTGTGCGATTTGACAGAAACTGCAAAATCCTCTCAGTCTCTGATGCAAAAGTTGAGGGAAGTCCTGCTTCCAGTATTGACAGAAGTCAAAGATGATAATTTCGACTTCCAATTCCGTGAGTCGTGTCTATGGGTAAGCTGTCCTCGAATAAAGCACAGGTAGTTTGCCGAACTAATACCAGATCAGAGTCCTCTCAAGACACTGCATGCTCAGCTTCTAGATGGAGCCCTTCCTTCGACAGTATGCTCGCTCAAAGGGTTACCAGAGGATGTTTCTGAGGAGTCAGATATGGCATTTCAGAGGGTTGGAGTCGTACACCAAGCGGAGCCGAATGAATATGCCCGGGCATCGAAACGGCTGTGTCTTCCAGGTCTGTCAACAGGGTCTACCAATAATGTCCTGTTCTATCTGCTCGTGGACAATATATCATCGATTCTTCAATCCGACTGTGGCAAAACAATGGCAGATCTGCGCACCTCCATCCAGTAAGTGGACAAGGGAATTCACCTCGCTTTGTAAAATGCTGACGTGATTGTGTAAAAGAGCATCCTATGATGAGCTTTCTGAATCTAAAAAGACCGAGCTATTGGACATCCTAGGTAAAATCTGCTGTGCAACGGCAGAGAAGCTTTTGAGGAAGCCCTCAGATGTTGTCAACCGAGACACGCTCCTCTGTCAAACGTGCGATACGGATCAGTATCAGGATGATCGTGCAGGAAATGAGGAGCATCTCGAATTCGAGGAGATGTGGTCACTATTCAATTTCATCCTACCCAGGCTTACGCGCACACCTGGCCCTCGAATATCTGCAATGATCGCGCTAAAAAGATTTCTGATGCATTCTCCAAACTCCAATCAAATGCATATCTCAAACGCTGCATCCGGAGAATTCTGTTTTCACTCACTCCGGAGCTCAATCAGAGAATTACGTGTTGCAACTGGGTGCGTTTCATAGCCATAAT